TCAAAGCAGATAGAGTGTTAACTAGAATTCATCACCCTCACAGGGACGGGGAGGGGTGGGGGGGTGGGGTTTTATTGGGGTTCTTCATGGTAAAAAATAAGTATTGGTAAAGGGAAATGTGTTTGATATTTGCATGACTGAGACCTAAACCTGAAAGCTTTGTAACCTTTCCCACAGTGATTCAATAAATAAATAAATAAATTTAAAAAAAAAAAGAGTTTTCGAAGATAGGCGATTTTTTGTGGCTATCTCTCTCTTGGCCTTCCTCGCACATTCATGGAGGTGGTGAACCAGTCGATGGTATTCCTCATCAATGTTGTCAACAAAGGCATCTTCCCATGTTGCCGCAATAGTACCAAAGAGTTCCCAGTTGGTGGTCATTCTGGAAGTTCTCTTTTTGAACTTTGCAGCCCTTTCTCCCCGCTCTGTGAAGTAGAATTTTGCACAAAGGAGACGGTGGTCCGATCCCGTTTGAAATTTTGGGACAACAGCGACATCAGTCAGGCAAAACCGTCGATTGAATATGATGTGGTCTATTTCGTTGTGGAATCGTCCACCGGGAGACTCCCACGTCCATCGTTTAGATTCTGCCTTCTGGAACTGTGAGTTACCATGAATGGTCTTGGTCGACATGATGAATTCAGTCTCTCACCCTGTTCATTCCATTCTAGGCCATGGGTTCCGATGTGAAGCTCTTCAGCTGATCTTCTCGGTCCTATCTTGGCTTTAAAATCATGCACAATGATCTTGTAGAAGGTGTGGTCTTCTTTATAGAACTTCTCTAACTCCATGTAGAACTTCTCGATGAAATTCTGTCTGAATGCAAGATTCCGTCCCAATGGAAAACCAGCAGGACCGTACTACTGTTCAAGAAGGGACACATCCATGACATTGGCAACTATCGCCCGATCTGCCTATTGTCTGTCATCTACAAGTTGTTCACTCGAGTTATCCTGAATAGGATTGGCAGAACACTAGATGAAGGACAACCATGTGAGCAAGCCGGGTTCTGCAAAGGATTCAGCACCATCGACCATATCCACACGATATCCAAGCTCATTGAGGTTTCTCGGGAGTTCAAGATGCCGCTCTGTTTAACATTCATTGATTTAAAGAAGGCCTTTGATTCTGTTGAGACGGAAGCGGTCATTGAAGCCCTAGCCAATCAGGGCATTCAAGCCCAATACATTATGATCCTCCGTGAGCTGTATTGCAGATTCACTACCAGGATCTCACCATCCTACAAAGAAGTGATCGTTGATGTCAAGAGAGGGGTGCGGCAGGGTGATACCATTTCACCGAAACTCTTCAGTGCTACCCTCGAGAACATCATGTGACGACTGGAATGGGAAGGAATGGGAGTGAAGATAGATGGTCGGCAACTACACCACCTCCGCTTTGCTGATGACATTGTTTTAATAACACCAAACATCAGCCAAGCGACACAAATGCTGGCCGACTTTGACCGTGAGTGTGGAAAGGTAGGACTACAGCTGAATCTTACAAAGACAATGTTTATGAGAAACAGCCTTGTTCCTGACGCCCCATTCGCTCTCAACGGAACGACCATCTCCGAATGCAACAGCTATGTGTACCTAGGTCGAGAGGTCAACATTACAAATGACCTGGCACCCAAGCTGCGCAGGAGGAAGAGAGCGGCTTGGAACGCCTTCAAGAATGTCGAAGAAATAGCTAAGAAGACGAAGAACCTCCGGCTCCGGGCACATCTCCTTGATTCCACTGTTCTTCCTGCATTAACATATGCCTCAGAGACCTGGGCCCTACGCAAACAAAATGAGGACGCTATTCAGGTCTCCCAAAGAAGAATAGAAAGAGCTATGTTTGGAATATCACGTTTCACTCAAATGAGAGAAAGAATCCGGAGTTCTGACATCCGTCGACGATCAAGAATCAGGGACGCTGTCTCATTTGCCAAGGTGTCAAAAATCAGATGGACTGGTCACGTAATGAGATTTAAAGACGACCGCTGGACTAGAGCTGTTACCGACTAGATTCCACGGGATGTCAAAAGACCGCGTGGCCGCCCACCTTCCAGATGGTCAGACTTCTTCGTCATGATCATGAACGATCGGTTTGAGGCCGTTCATGTTCCCGGAGCAAACAGATGCCATTGGGCTACACTAGCACGCGACAGAGACAAATGGAGACATTACTGGCACCCGCTCGAGCAAATCGACAACTAACGGGAAGTTAATTGATTAAGTGATTATATTGTAACTGGTTATATTAATATATCTCAACATTGACGAACTCTCTCAACAGTCTCCTAGGACAGAGAAAATTACTTGAAACTCACCTGTGTTTCAAGTTGGACAACCAGGTAAGGATAAAAACGATGAGGATCTAATTGGGTTTTTGTTGTGGTGGTGGGGCCACACCCAGTTATTCTCAGGCCTTACTCCTGGCTTTGTGGTCAGGAATCAATAGTGGTGAGGGCTTGGGAGACAATATGAGGTGCAGGACAGGAGACTGAACCTATGTCTTGTGCGTTCCAGGCAAGTATTAACTCTCCTGCTATACTATACGGCTCTACTATTTGGCCCAGATCTTTTTGGTCTTAATTAATTAATAACAATGTCTCCTTTTTACTTAATGATAACAATTTTGGTATGACTTATGCAAGATCGCAAATAAACAATATTTAACAATTAACAATTCTCAAAAAAAAATTCTAGTGGGGGAGGCAGACACTAAGATACAAGAACCGCAACATGAGGTGATGTAAAGTACTTGTCAGAGTAAAGCCTAGCAAGAAACCTAGGCTTGGAACAGGCTTAACTTTTAAGGCAAATTCAAGATTCTTTCACTAATCTTAGAGGTGCCTTAAAAAAAAACAGGGTTCCAAGATCCCTGCTGACTTTTTAAGTTAACAGTTTCACTTGGCTGAAATCTGAATGTTGCAAAACTGTGCATGTATCTCATTCATTTTAGAAACTTCTTTATTTTTTTTAGTACCAGTGGTCCTGCAAAGCCAGAAAATGAAAAGTAAATTCCCCTCAGAAGAAAGAACTTTCTATTGATAGCACTGAAAATATTCCTTTGTTCTTACTTCCTGGTGTTTCTACATATTGGCCAGACACCCCCTGGCCAATATGAAAAAATTTAATTTTTTGAATCATTCATTTTTGGAGTTTGACTCACAAGGCCTGGGGTCTCCTTGCCTCTCTTCATGTTCTCGTTTTTTTGCTCTTTGTGTCACACCCAGCCATGCACAGGGGTTACTCCTGGCTCCAGCACTAAGGAATTACTCCTGGTGGTGCTCGGGGGACCATATGGGATGCGGGGAATCGAACCGGTGTTGGCAGTGTGCAAGGTAAATGCTCTACCCGCTGTGCTGTATCTCCAGCTTCTCTTGTTCTTGTTCAAGAGACGCATTAGTAAGAAGCTGATTGGGCACACGTTGCTAGGTGCACAGGACAAAGAACAGGCAAACGCAACCAGCTGAGGAACCCTAAAAGGAAATTCTAGACTGCAGCCCCAAGCGTGTATGACCCACCTGGGAAGACCTGGTTGCTGCCAGGCTTTAAAGTTAAGCCTGGTGGTTGTAACTACCATCATGTGTGCCTGGAGGCCTAAGTGAAGTAGCATGTTAATAAGGGGAACTGGCTTTCCTTGAGGGGGTTTACAAGTGAGTTCTATCAGACCGGGGCTTGCAGCAGCTTGCAAATTCCCTTGAAAGCCCTTTACCCAAGAGCACACTTGAGATTACACTTGGGACCTAAGAGTGCAGATCTTGAGGAACTACCTATAGAATCTCCAGGATGAAGGGAGGAGTCCCGAAATTTCCATTTTAATTAGGAACATTCTCCCCCAGGCTATTGTTATGTACATCTGAAACTTGAGAACCTTAGACCTCCCCCAACTCCCCCCCCCCTTCTGAAATTTGGCACTGTTACCTTCACTGTTTCACAGAGGCTTGGAAACAAGGCCTCAATTGGTTGATTAAAACTGGCCTTGGAAAGGGGGGGAGGGGGAGTTTGTATATTGGGGACATTGGTGGTGGAGAATGTACACTGATGGATCTGATGGGTGTTTGATCATTGTATGGCTGAAACTCAAACATGAATGCTTTATAACTGTATCTTACGGTGATTAAAAAAAAAACTGGCCTTAGAAATGATTAGAACCTAGAGGCAAGGCTAAAAAACAAACCAACAAACAAACACCCAGGGCAGGAGGCGGTGCTCCTGGGGCTTGCAGCAGCTTGCAAATTCCCTCGAAAGCGCTTTACTCCAGAGCACTCGTGAGATCACTCTTTTTATTTTTATTTATTTATTTATTTTTAAATTTCTGGTCCTTTGGAATTTCAAATGTGGGCCCACCTGCAGAGGGACCTGGCGGGGCTGCGCGGGGCGGGGCGGGGCGGGGCGTCGGGGCGCGATCGATGAGAGCGGCGCGCAGCTCGCCGGCCCGCGCGCTCGATCGGCGCCAGCCTCTCCCGCCGGGTCTGCCCCGGCTCCCGCGCGCTGCGCGGCCCCGCCCCCTTCCGCCATCTTGGCCTCGGCGGGCGCGGGCAGCACGCGTGAGTAAACAGCCGGGTGCGGGGGGCCAGCGTTGCGCTGCGGCCGCGTCCGTGCGCCGCGGAGCGGGGACGGGGGTCGGGGGCCCCCTCGCAGAGGACCCAGCAGCCCGGCTGTGCGTGCGTGAGCCCGGAGTCTCGGGGTGGCCGCGGGGATCGCGCCGCCTCCCCCCCGCCCCCGCTTCCCCGGGCTTCTCCCGCCCCTCTCGGGTCTCCTCCCCCAGTTGAAAGCTGCCCGGGAAATCGGTGGCGGGAGGAGCGGGCTCGGGCTCGGAGCGCGGCGCGGGCGGCGCGGGCGGCGCGGGAGCGGGCTGGGGCGACGAGGCCTCCCCTCAGCCCCGGGCGGGCCGGCAGGCGAGCGAGCGGGCGCGCGAGCCAGTGCGGGGCCCGGACGCGCGTCGCCGCCACCGCCACCGCCGCCGCCTCGGGGCTGCTTGCAGCGGTCACCGGCGTCTCTCCTTTTCCGGTCACAGTGCCTCTCTCTGGCTGGCCGACATGACGGCCCCGGCTCGGAGCCCCCTCGCGCCGCTGCTGGAGACCCTGGAGGACCCCTCGGCGTCGCTGGGCGAGCAGACGGACGCCTACCTCACGCTGACCAGGTGTGGGGGCAGTCTGGGGGAGGGGAGGGAAGGGGAGGGCGGACTCCGGGAGGTCTGAGGGGGTGGGGGTGGGGTGGGGGGCAGGAGGAAGGTCGTTGGGGGTGGGGCGCGCCCGGGGACCTGGCTGTGTGTTCCCCGACGGCTGGCAGTTGTGGTGGTGTGTGTGGGGGGGGAGGGGGTTGCGCGCGAAGTGACGTTTCCCGGCGCTGCGCCCCGGAGGGGGGGTTGTGTGCACGCCAGTGCGGGGAACCCATTTGGGCACGTGTGTGTCTGTCTGTGCCTGTGTGTGCGCCAGTGCGGGGAATTCTTTGGGCACGTGTGTCTGTGTGTCTGCATGGGTGTGTGCGCTCCAGTGGGGGCACGTGTGTGTGTGTGCGCGCGCGCCAGTGAGGGGGAAGCCTTTTGGGGCACGTGTGTGTGTGTGTGTGTGTGTGTGTGTGTGTGTGTGTGTGTTGCGCGCGCGCGCTCCAGTGGGGTGGGGGGAGCTTTTTGGCACGTGGGCTTCGGGAGCCCGGGTTTGCCTAATGCCTTAGAAGTGGACAGGCTGCTTGCACACGAGTGGCCTCTCCGGGTCGCCTGCTACGACTGCCTTGGTACAATGTAGCCACCCAGATTGCTGTTTCTTCACTCTCCTCTCCCTCCCACTCCGCCCCTTTCCCCCCTCCTACCCCCAGCAGCCATCCTGGTTTTATTTGAATTGTAAATATCTGGATACCACCACCACCCCTCCCCCCGCCCCCCCCCCCGCAAGACAGTATTCTGATTTATCTCTATTTGAAAATGGCTAGGGGTCGTTAGCAGCTTGAACACAAAAAGTAAGTTTTTAGTAAATTTGTAACTCATGGAAAGCTTTTCTTGTTCCTTCTGGCAGTGAAACTGTCCAAGCGTGGGACCCTGCATGCAACCTTTCAGATTGGTTTTATTTTATGCATTTTTTCCCCACCTGTGCATTGCATAATATACCCTATGCATTAAGTTACATATATTTTTGATGGTGGAGTGGGGACCCGTCAGGGCTTACTGTTGGCTCTGTGCTCAGGGATCACTCTTGGTGGTGATGTGGGGTGTCAGGGAATCCAAATAAAGTTGGCTGTGCAAGTTCAGTGCCTTAGGGTATCCCTCCTGCTCCAAGTTACATTAAATTCTTAACTATTTTGAGTGCTGGGTCAGTTTTCCTGTTCCAGTATAAACTCTGAAGAAGATCTTGCAGTTATCTAGTCTAGTCGTGATGATTGTTTCTCTGTCACTTAAGTTTGTTTTCTTTGCTTTTTAGTCGAATGACTGGAGAAGATGGAAAAGAAGTCATTACAGAAATAGAGAAAAAACTCCCTCGGCTCTACAAAATTTTAAAGGTTTGTTAATTTGTTAAGTAGTAGGGTTTTTTGTGTGTGTAAGTGGGGGGGGGTGCATAGTTACCAAGCTAACTAAAATTCTTTGAATTTAAAATAACTGGAGCAGTAGCCCCTGGATTGTTCTAGCAGGCACCTTTTTATTATAGTACTGAATTAGTGACTATTTACTTTCTAGTGTATCCCTTAATTGTCTCCTTTCTCTTAATCCTCTCAATCTGGGTGAGGTTACTCTTAGCCCACTTTGCAAATAAAATTGGTTTAACTTGTCAAAAATTGCCTTTGGCTACTAGAATCCAAAACATTCTTTAAAAGAAGTGATTTCTAAGTAAATGAATCTGTAATTTTGCCTTAAAGCAACTTAGCTAACAATAAAAAGTTGCCTTCATTTTTTGTCACTTTCCTCTGCTATTACTATAGTTAACCTTTTTAGCTTTTTTTTTTTTTCCTTTTGGGGTCACACCCAGCTATGCTCTGGAATTATTCCTGACTCTGTACTCAGGAATTACTCCTAGCGGTGCTTCGGGGACCATATGGGATGCCGGGGATCGAACCCAGGTCGGCGGGGTGCAAGGCAAACGCCCTACCCTCTGTGCTATCGCTCCAGCCCACCTTTTTAGCTTTTTGTAGGGAAGTCGTATAGTTTAATGTCAAACACAAGGGCCTTATTTACAGTTTTATTTTTTGATCTTTGTGCTTTTAAACTGTCACTGTCCTCCCGTTGTTCATCGATTTTCTCCAGCGGGCCCAGTAACATGTCCATTGTGACACTTGTCATTACTGTGTTTGGCATATCGAATACGTCACAGGTAGCTTGCCAGGCTTTACCGTGCGGGCGAAATACTCTCGGGTAGCTTGCCGGGCTCTACGAGAGGGGTAGAGGATGCTTTTAAACAAAGCTATTTTATCAAGATTGTACATTTTTGTTTTTCCTCTCTTTTGCTGCTGCTCTGATGGTAACTGGGGTTTGTGCACACTTGGTTGTGTGTCTCACACATTTGGTTGTGGTGCTTACCAAAGTTTGTGCTCATTGAGGTGTTCTCACACATTCTGGTTTTGGTGCTCTCGGGGATTGTGATCAAGCACATCCTTGTTAAGCGTTGTACTCCTGACTGAGGTGCTTATGTGTACTGTTAGTTGTGGTGCTTTTGCATATCTGGCTGTAGACCCTCACTTTCACCAGGGGTCAAACCCATGCTTATAAGACAGGTTACCCCCCCCCCCCTTTCCGCCCACAGTGGGCCATTTTGGAGGGACCAGTTTGGGTCAGGGCACCTTTTCCCCGGATTGAATTGGGATTGACCACAACCAAAGCAAGTGCTTCAAACTCCCACACTATCTGACTTTCTATTTATTTATTTTGCCACTTAAGTTTATTGTGTATTTTAGCTTGGTGTCTGCATAAATGTTGGGATATTTAAAATACTCCTAACCTTTAAATATTTCTGTTGTAGTTACCAGTGTTTTTGTTACTATAATCAATAACCTATCGTGTTGCTTAAGGCTTATTAATAGTTTTAGGTAATATTTGATCTTATGCTCTATATCCCAGCAGTATAGTTATATGATGGAGACATGTAGTCTCCATGTTTTTACTTTAGCTTTATTTTAGTTTTACTTTAGCTCGTAAAGGATCAAGAACACAATTGTTTGTATTTTGTGTTAAATTGCACTATGTGTAAATAGGATTGATAATGAAAATGCATTGAAGCATGTGGGTGGTTAGTGATAAGACAATCAAGGGATGCTTTCAGGCAGATTATTAAAGTATTGAGAGGATAATTCAGAACAAGTGCCATACTAGTTGAAATACAACATGTTCTGTTATTAGAGTTCTCTTAGTATTGTCTAGGAACCCACGGCATTTGTGTGACATAAGACTCACTGCTCTTGGGACCTGGTGAAATTGTGCAGGGGTTTAGAGCTGCCTGCCTTTCAGGTGTGTGTGTGGTCACCATTTCAAAGCCTTGGCATGCTGTATGCTGTCCCTGAGGTGACGTGAGGTCCCAGGTGCTGTAAGGGATTACTGGTCATGCAAAAACCAGGTTTGATAAGCACAACGAAAGGGTGCAGCCTCTGGTGAGCACTTGATTTGAGCACCACTGTGACCCCTTGGAGAGTACCACTATTAAAACTCAGGTACCACAAGTGAGAATGTGCCTCATGGCAAGCACATATGCAAACACTGAAGCTACAGTTGTGCAGACCTCAGCGAGGCGTGAGCCTTACAGACCATGTGTGCAGATCCCACACTCATACTTTTACCACAGCTGGAATAGTGAGGTGTCTGGAGGGTTACAGAATAATCTTTCAAGTACTTTCAGGTGCCAGGGATATGAGTCAGGTCGCCTGGTTTTGATCCTTGGCATTACAGGGCTGCGTCCCCCCTCCCCTTTGCATCCCATAGCAGCACTGTTGTCCCCACAATAAATGGTTTCAGGGGCTGGGGCCATAATACAGTGGGTAGTGTGCTTTCCTAGCATCCTGTGTGGCTTCCTACACACCGCTGGGAGTGATTCCTGAGTGCAGAGCCAGTAGTGGCCCCAAACTTAAAAAAAAAAAGTTTTTATCGAGTAGGTATTTAGTAAAAGTTGATCCTGAGTATGTGCTGGCTCTTAACCAGGTGATGCAGTGGTAGGTCCCAGAGTATTAAATGTTTTTTTGGACATCTGAACTGATGAATCCTCGGGCATGTCTTTTTTAATTTTGATAAGTTATAAGGGAATTTTTTCCCTGAAAATACCTATATGTAATTATGTCTTCCAACATTTGCTGTTTTCCTGCTTATGAATAACAAGTGGCCATTGATCTTGGTAATCTGGTTTATAGAAAAGGGATTTGATGATAAAGAACTTTGAAATAGGAACAGTACAGCATAGCTTAAGTAAATACAGACTTGGGGGATGTAGCAAGACCACTTTTGACAAGCTTTACATATATAGCATGGGTTAGGCCTTGAATTCCAGATGACAGTATTCACATTGTCCAATGAGAAAGATATAAAAGTGAGAATGATGTTTAAAATTTCTAGCACACTTACTCAGTTTGTTTACATTCCCTTAGGGGTGTCAGTTCCCCCTAAAGCTAAGATGTAAGCTTTTGCCCTTGAATTTTTAGTTTAACCTTGTGGAAAGCTTTGCTCCTATTTGTTTGCTTGAATAAATATCTTTGTGTTTCCATTTCTTGGCTTTTTCTTTGCTTTAAGATCTATGGAAATGTTATCTTTTAAGAAGAAAGGTTCTTCATTGGGGTGAGGGGGCAGGGAAGGAAGTGATAGTACCCTGGGTAGGGTGCAGGGGAAGGGAGGAAGAGAGCGCAGGCAAGAGAGAGAGCACGGAAAGCAGTTGTTTATTGCTTGGTATTCCTCCAGTCCACAGGTGGTAGGGCCCCCAAATGGCAATGCTCAGGATCAGATTCAGGGTTTTCTTTCTGAGTGTGGAACTTGGGGGGGGGGGTCCTTGCAGCTATTTCCTGGCCCTCTGCTTTTTCCTCACCACTTCTGGCCCTCAACTTTTTAAAAAACTATATTTTGCTGTAAAAAAATTGCTTTTTGATCAATTTTTTGTGACTCGCTTTTGTTTTTTTAGGTTCATATTTCCAGTCAGAACTCAGAACTCAGTAGTGCTGCTCTTCAGGCCTTGGGATTTTGTTTATATAATCCAAAGATTGCTTCAGGATTATCAGGTAAAGTTATCCTTAGTGTTTTCAGACTTTATATGTATAAGTCCTTTGGTACCAAGTATTGTCACAACTCTGTAACTTGTTGTTTAGGATTAGCTTTGAGAAAGAAAATAGATTACCATTGTTGGAAGATTTCTTTTTCCTAGATAAGTTTTATATCAAAGATTAGATTTAAAAAGCCAAAAAGCTGTGCACTTCTAGTGCATGTGTGAGGCCCTAGATTTAATCCCTAGCACTTGGGGAAGGTGGGGGAGGAGAACAACAATTTGAAAATGGTGCTGTAAAATCTAAACCTTGCCTTTATAAACATTTCCTTTAGAAGTTAATAATTTTTGTGGCCATTTATTTTATACAGTAATATGCACTAAGTCACATACTGAATTGAAAAACTCTTTCACATGTGATAGATTATTTGGTTCTAAAAATAATAATGAAAGCCCAGGCCAGGACATGGTACTTTCCAAGTTTTAAAGTAATTTTAATTATTACTCTTTGATTGGGCTGGAGCGATAGCACAGCGGTAGGGTGTTTGCCTTGCACATAGCCAGCCCAGCCAAGCTGGGTTCAACTCGAGAGCCCAGCACGCTACCAAGAGTATTTCGCCCGCCCGGCAAAGCCTGGAAAGCTACCCGTGACGTATTCTATATGCCAAACACAGTAACAACAAGTCTCAAAATGGAGACGTTACTGGGCCCGCTCTAGCAAATCGATGAACAATGGGAGGACAGTGATAGTGACAGCTCTTTGATTGGTGCTTTGTCGTTGAATTGTTTATCAGAAAGTGACTATTGTGTTTATTCTAAGGTAAGGATTTCTGCTTGTATGAGTGTGTGTTCATCAAAGTAGTAGATAATTTTGGGGTAGAAATACAGGATTCATAACATCTGGGTAGGAATTATGTTTAAACATAATGATAGCTGTAAAATTATTTTAGTTGCACAGAATATCTGATATGGAATCTATTTGCTTTGGGTTTATTGCAACTGCTATTCACCCGTGTGAATATTGCCTGATTATTTTGTTTGGCTAGACCTTTATATCTTTTTTAAAAATGATGTATGGAGTCTTAAAGGATTTAAACTAAATTTTGTTCTTTCAGAGGCAAATATTAAGGAACTTCTTTCAAAATTAAATGATGTTGTTAAGAGTTCAGACAAAAATGTACGCACTCGTGCACTCTGGGTGATATCTAAGCAGACATTTTCCACTGAAGTTATTGGCAAAGCAGTGAGTACAGTTTTTGTATTTTTTCAGTTACACAATTAGTTAAGCAGTTGAGGCTTGTTTGATTTGTATTTATGTGGTTTTTTTTTTAGGTACCTAGTATAATTGACTCTTTGGAAATAATACTTAATAAGGGAGAGTTACATTCTGCTGTTGTTGATTACGAAGCATTAAATGTCATCATCAGGTATGTGTTTGGATCTTGTGCAAGTTGAAGAGAAACTAAGAAAACACTGAAGGAGTAGACTTGGATCCTAAGAGTTAAGCAGAAAGAGTATGTCTGTTAGATTAGTCAGTGTGTTGGTGTCTCTTGGGGCTAGAGAGAATAGGAAGTAAGACACTTTCCTTGCCTGCGACTGCTGTAGCTGGTTCATTCCTTGCATATGATCCCCTGAAACATTGTCCGGGGTCAAACCTGCGCACAGACAGGAATAACACTGCTGGGTGTGGACTCGCCCTCAGAAGTTCGGGGCTAGAGAGGTAATACAGAAGTTACGGCACTTGCCTCACATGTAGCCAACCATGGTCAATAATTGGCACCATGTCAGTTCCCTAGCCCTCTCAGGAGTGATCCTTGTGCACAGAGCCTGGGTAAGTCGTGAGCATGGCTAGTCAGCCTAAACCCACTCTTCCTCCCAAAATTATATCTGTTTTTGATCTGTTTTTTTAGAGTACACTTGGCAGTGCTCAGGGTTTATTCCTGACTCAGCTCAGGGATCATTCTTGGCAGGACTGGGGACCAGGGATCAAACCCAGGTTTCCTGCGTGGAAGGCAAATGCCATACTTGGCTGTTTTAATCTCTCTAGCTCTCTGGGCTCCAGGAAGTTAGAACTAAGAGATCTGGAGCTCATGCCCTGCATGTGATAGCCCTAAGCTGGATCCTGAATTCTGATGGTTCCCTGAGAGCTGGTTATGGCCCTGGTGGCCCCAGCACTACTGAGTCTTAATAGCACCCTATCACTTGGCCAAGCACCGAGTTTTCATTCCCACACAGCTGGCCCAGTATCACTGAATGGTCTGGGTACCTGAATACCACTGGGGAGGCTCCCTACCAGTGTTTTCTCCCTGCTAAGTGGGCTATAGGGGGATATTTATATTTAGAGGGGCATTAAAGGAGCCTAGCTACGGATGAAAGAACTAGACTGGAGTGATTGTACAGCAGTTAGGGTGTCTGCCTTGCATGTAGTTGACTCAGGTTTTCATCCTGTAACCCATTAATGATCTCCTGAGCCTGCCAGGAGTGATCCCTGAACAGGAGTAAGCCCTGAATAAAATCAAACAGGAAAGTTACTGTTACCTTATAAGCCACATGCAACAGAAACTACTGATAAAATTTGTCTTGGTTTTTACTATTCTGCTCAGGGGGTTACTCTTGTGGCTCAGGGTTCAGGGATCATTCCTGGTAGTACAGGAGGGGTGTTGGAATACGGGATGCTGGGGATTGAACCAGAGTCAACCACATGCAAGGCACATGTGCTACCTGCTATACTATGTCTCTGGTCCATTAGGATTTTATAGCTTTTAATACTTTCTTTAGTTGTGCTGTTTACCTTTAAACTTTCTAGTCTGCGGCCCTGTTTGATGCTCACATTATATCATGGCTCTCTTAATTCTCGTCTCTAGAAGCATCGAATTTACCTGTCTCAAAACACCATATGCAACATTATTTTAACATATCAAAATATAATTTTGTGTTCTTACTTTAGACATTTACCCAAAAGATACAGAAATCTTGAAAACTTACAAATGGAAATTAGATGTCCTTGTGAGTTATACGTTATATGACTTAAAGTAAACAAACTGTACATACCATGCATATTTCCCTAGACTAGATACATATTTTCCTAGTAGTTCAGAAGTAAAAAGTGTATTTATTCATTGATACAGGCTAATTCATTCATTACAGGCTAATCGAACAAGCTCCAATTCAAATGGGAGAAGAATCTGTCAGGTGGGCAAAACTGGTCATACCATTAGTGGTTCATTCAGCACAAAGGGTGCACTTAAGGGGAGCAACTGCTTTAGAGATGGGAATGCCATTGTTGCTTCAGAAACAGCAAGAAATAGCATCTATCACGGAGCAGCTTATGACTACGGTAAGTCTTATTTATGTTAAATATTTTGGGTATTCCACTATAAGGTTCTGCATTGCACTTAAAAGATTGTATTTATGTGTAAGCCCTGAATAAAACCAAGATTGTATTGATTGATATAATGGAACCGTGATCTAGAAGTTGTCCGAATTAAAACCAACAGCTGTTTAAATTAGTGTTGGGCACACTCCTGCAGTGTTACAGTAGGAAAGGAGCTGCTTATTCAGTGCTAGTATGAGCTAAGCATTTTACTTCAGTGAATGGTGAATTGAGAGAGATTGTGGTTATGAAAAAAGGAGAACATTAACTAATTAACACCTGGTGTGAGTTTTAGCATAATGCATCTAGTTGTGTAACTTCTTTAATGGAAGATTTCTCCCCTTTAAGCAATATTAATTGGCCATTCCTGGGTAAACATGGTTCAGTGCTTGGCTGTGTAATGCCAGGGACTAAACTCTGCCTCTTTTGACACCCAGCAATGCTCAGGGGTTAATCCTGGCTCTGCACTCAGGAATTACTCCTGGAGGTGCTTGGGAGACCATATGGGATGCCCGAGATCGAACCCAGGTCGGCCACGTGCAAGAGAAACGCCTTACCTGCTGTACTATCACTCCATCCAACTCTGGTTCTTTTAAATGCAAGGCACACTCTTGATCCTTGAGCTATATCCCACCCTGTCCAACCTCTTAAAGTTAGAGTTAGTACTTGTCCCTGGTTACAGACTTTAAAGTCTCTTCTTGAGATAGTTCTATTTATCTAGTGACTGTTAAATGCTGGACATTGTTCCACACGCTGAACATAATAGCACAAGAAACTTGTGAAGTTATTTACTCCTGAGGTTTAAAAATATATATAGTGCATTGGGACTGGAGAGGCTAGTATAGAAGTGTGGACTACTTGGCTTGCCTGTGGTTGTTGTGGTCTCAACCCTTCTTCAGGTCCCTGGCACTACTGGGGAATTCACTCCTGAGCACAGCTCCAGGAACAGCCCCTAAACATGGCCAGGTATGATCCAGCCCCTTCACACACCCACTCCCCTGTTCCCCATCCCTCCCTGCCAGAATGTAAATGAAATTTCCCATCAGTCCTCCCAGCCTGTCCCCAATATAGTAACTGAAAAGCATGGGGGACTGCATGATTTGGATAGAGTGCTGTCCAGTGAGAAGTAGGGAAGAGAGGAAAATAAGAGAGAAAGAATGAGATGTTTGAACTGTAACTTGAAGGTGATACATAGAAAATTGATCATTTAGATAGCTGTGGAGTATGCTCATTCCAGCAGGAGTCATGAGCTTGCAAGACCAACCAACTAGTATATCTGGTTGGTGTTCAGTGGGTATGAGGCTATTTGAGAGGAGTGAATGAAGGTCACAAATAGGAGAGGTCAAAGGGACAGCCTTTTGTAAGGTACTTGTTTTTTCATCTAGAACCACATTCATTTGAAGACATTGAACTACGTATTTAAAGTTATCTTTGAAGATTTTGAGTATAGAGGAGATAAATGCATTTGTGTTTTAGAAGGACCACTGTATGCTGAGAACTCTAGGGGGAGTTGAGGCGATGAAAGGAGTTTAGAGATTCGGTAATAATTTGAGGGAGCCTTTCCAGATTCTAAAATCTGGGTTACTATTGTTTTAAAATTCTGGAGGCCTCGATAGGGTCTGTAGTTTAATAAGGTAGCTTCAGTATTTGAGAGATTTTTTAAAATCCTGGTAAGAGCATTGTTTTTGGTGTCCAGGGAGCAATTGGACTGCTTTGGAATCCCATCCAGAGTGATGCTTTGGCTCTAGCCTTTACGCTAAATTTTGATAGCATATATAAAATTGTTTAAAGTATTTTTAAAGGTCTTACATATGAGGCCATTGATGTATTTTGGTACAACATCATTTTAACTTCAGTTAAATGGATTGGAAGATTGAGGGGCAAGTACATTGGAGGAGGAAAAATGGATAGAGGGATGGAAGAATAGCCATATATGTGATAAAATGAACATAATAAAATTTCAGGTAATGGTATTTGTATTTTATACATTCATTATCATTGTCACTGTCCTCCCGTTGTTAGATTTGCTCGAGCGGGCTCAGTAACATTGTGAGACTTGTTACTGTGTTTGGCATATCCAGTATGTCATGGGTAGCTTGCCAGGCTTTGCCGTGTGGGTGAGATATTCTTGGTAGCTTGCTCTCCGAGAGGGGCACAAGAATCAAACTCGGATCGGCCGTGACAGCCGCCTGCAAGGCAAACGCCTTACCCACTGTGCTATCGCTCCAGCCCACATTCATTGTAAATGAATTTTTGCTGTATGAATACAAGGTTTCCCAGTAAAACATTGGAAAGTTAATTTGACTAAGACAATAAATATGCTTCTGTATACTTTGTCTGTGGAAGATGCCTTACTGTTTTTTGCTTTTGTTTGCAGAAATTGCTTTCAGAACTCCAGAAACTATTTATGACTAAAAATGAGACTTACGTATTAAAATTATGGCCTTTATTTGTCAAACTTCTTGGGAAGGTAAGACCACAGTTAATGACTTTGACAGTTTTTACATGTCTTGCCAGAACTTGTATTTCTTAAATTTTCCACAGTTGATCCTCACGCACACCATTATATAAATTTACCTGCACTCTAGAATTTATTTGTAAACTCAACAATTAGTACTTTGGTACAATCAGTACTTCTTTGCAGCCAGTTTCAGACATGCAGTATTGCAGAAAAATGGCTACCTCAGCATATAGGTTGGGTTTTTTTTAGGGGGGGGGGGTCACACCTGGCAATGCACAGGGGTTACTCCTGGCTCTGCACTCAGGAATTATCCGTGGCGGTGCTCAGGGCACCATATGGGATGCTGGGAATCTGGGTCGGCCGCATGCAAGGCAAATAAATGCCCTATGCGCTGTGCTATTGCTCCAGCCCCCAGGTTGGTTTTTTATTCCAACTTTTGGTGTCCTTTAAACACTTGTTTTTTCTGGCTTTTGTTTGTTTGGTTTTGGGGGAGGAGCACATTGCAGTGCTCCAGAGATTACTCCTGGCTCTGTGTTCAGGGATTCCTCCCGGTGGTACTTGGTGCGGTGGCCTTGTGGGATACTGAGTATCTGAACCCAGGTTGGCTGTGTGGAAGGCAAGCACCGTACCTGCTGAACTATCCAGTCTTTATAGGCCCCTCCAGCTTATGTTTGTTACTTTTTTTTTCCCCTTCATGTTTTGAGCTTTTATTGGTTTCAGGGTTTTTTGATTTGCTTTGGAGACCACACCTGGCCATTCTTAGAGGTCACTCCTGAGACTACACTCGGAATATACTTGTGGCGGTGGTGGTGGACCACATGGGATGCTGGGGATTGAACCCAGGTTGAACACGGGCAAGGCAGGTGCCCTACCCATAGTACTATCACTCCATCCCCTAAAGGTTTCAGTTTTAAACAGTCCTTGTGTGATGCCGAAGTGCTGCCTCATTCTGAAAGGAGATTGTGGTTTATCTCCCTCAGGAGAAAGTTGGTATATTAAACTTGCTTTGTTCTGATGTGAGCTCCAGTGCTGTTGTCTATGGGAGTTTGACGTTAGTAATTTTCTTTTACTGAATGCCATGACTTTAAAATAGACAAGTGAATTTGGCTTTCATTTGTTCTTTCATTTATCCTATGGTATTATCATGATTTTAATACAGTGCTTTGTTTTGAAGGTCAGAAAATGTGATTCCTCTGTTCTTTCATATTTTTTGACTATTTGGGATTCTTTGCAGTGTCATACAGAGTTTGGGAACTTTTTTTTGTGGGAAAGGTTGCTGAAGTTTGGTTTTTTGGTGTGTTAAATCCGTAGATTACTCTTGAGGAGTATTGACATTTTAGGTTCTTTTGTTTATGGGCTAAGGTTGGTGGTGTCAGATCTTTCTTGGCTCTGCACTCAGGAATCACTCCTGTTAGAGCTAGGGGGACCATCTGGGGTGCCAGAGATGGAATTTGGGTCAGCTACTTAGATGGCAAGCCCTTACCTACTGTATTGTTTCTTTGGCCTCAATATTGACATTTTAGTATAAGTCTTCATATTCATGGACTTAGGATGATTTTCCATTTGTTAAATCTTTTTGAATTATTTTAATAGTGCTATTTAACCTTTCATGCCTGTTTTTTTTTTTAAATTATTTTTTAAAAATTCCTCAGTCTTAGATTTTTAAATTTTTAATGTTAAGACTTAAGTGTTAATTTTAGGTTGTAAAAGGATTGTAATGTGCTTTCCAAGTTTTCCTTTTTAAATTATTAATTGCTGGTGTATAGAAACAACTGATTTTAGTTTCAGTATTGTCCGTTGAAGCATTACCAACTTAGCTCAGGTATTTTTCTTTTGGATTATTGTGATTTTTGTCCCCCCCCCCCAAAATTTTTCAGTTGGTTTATCTTCCATTCAGAATGTTTTGTAGCGTCTAAGAACTGTTAATGTTTAATCTTTTTTTTTTCTTGGTAAAAATTTTCAAAGTTATCCATCTTGTAAAATTTTTCAGTTTAATTAGTAGATAGTAATTGTTTTCTTCATTGTTTTTTTATATATGAACTTAATTTTTTCTTAATGTTTTCCTGCCTGTTTCAATATATTTGAAAGTAATTTTGCTACTTTCAGAGTTCAGCTCTAATTTAGTATTTTTTGAAATGTAAATTTCTAAGCCTTTATATAACAGTGATGGAATTTGATGAATGATACTTTTTATTTTCATTTAAATGACTGATTTTTTTTTTCCCTTTTTAGACCTTGCATCGAAGTGGAAGTTTTATTAATTCTCTATTGCAGCTTGAAGAGCTTGGATTTCGAAGTGGAGCACCTATGATTAAAAAAATAGCTTTTATTGCTTGGAAAAGCTTAATAGATAATTTTGCTTTAAATCCAGGTGAAGTAAATATTTTTTAAATTTAATGATTTTTAATTTTTATGTTATTTTTGGTTATTTATTATTGTATATTTTGTTATTTTGGGTGCACATTCAGCAATGCTCTGGTTACTCCTATTTCTGCACTCAGGATTTCTTGTGGAGGTGCTCAGCTAACCATATGGGATGCTGGGGGGTCAAACCATAGTCTACTGCAAGCAAGGCAGAAGTACTTGTACTCTCTTTTCTGCCCCTTAGTAGTGTATAAGAACTAAGTAATGTTGATTCATCCTGTATCTTCCCCTGCCAAAAGTAATACTTTTTGCGCTCCCCCTCATCCCACTCTCAGCCTCTTCTCTTTGTTTGTTTGTTTTGTGCACAGGGCACCTAGTGGTGCTCAAGATTACTTCTGGTTCTGTGCTCAGGAATTATTCCTGGTGGCCTCAGAGGACCATATTGGGTGCCAGGTCTCAAACCTGGGTCAGCCGTGTGCAAGCAAATACCCTACCCATTGAACTATCACTTTGGCCCTTAACACTCACTCTTCTTAATATGTTTTGTAAGCTGGTTATTTTCATTAGCTATAATAGCTTTATTGTTAAACTTTACAAAAATATTGAGGTACAAATTTCAGTTGGAAATAACGTTTTAGTTTATGAACTGTTACTGTAAGTCTATGTTTGGGACCATGTTTGTTGAAGCATAACATTTTTGATTACGGCATAACATAATGAATTCAAGTAGATAAAATACTGTTATCATTTGAAAAAAATTACAAAACTAGATTCTGGGTAGATTTTTGCCATCTTACAAAACCTTTTGAGCTAGAGTGATCCTGTAGCAGATAAGGTGCTCGCCTTGCACTTGACTGACCTGCATTCGACTCCTGGCATATCAGTGGTCCTGAGAGCAGAACCAGGAGTACCACTGAGCACTTCCAGGTGTGGCTCAAATACCGCTCCCTAAATGCTGATTTCCAGAGAGGTTGAACCATTTTATATTCCCACTTAAGGGTTGCTCTTTTGTTCTGATCTTGCCAATACTTGTTTCTGGTCTTTGGAGGCCAATATCCACTGGTACACTCAGGGCCTATATCTGGACCCTGTGCTCAGAATTTTATGTGGTTGTCTAGATCACCATAAGTACTGCTGGAAATTGAACTGGGCTTTTGCATGTGTTCAGCCCTTTGATCTCTCTTTAGTTTCTGGTCTAAATCATTTTTGCATTTGTTTCCCTTGTTTTTTTGAGTTGAGTCTTAAGACATTGAAGTTGCCAATATGTTGGAGTGTTTTGCTGGTTATCCTTTATGTTTTATGGTGTACTTTGGTTTTTTAGTTCACTGTGAATTAATTTTTGGTTTTGGTCTGAAGTAGTCTAGATTTAGTTTGGTGTGAGTCAATCTGTTTTTCTCCCATTTGAGGAGAATGCTTTCTTTTATGTTTTTGACTACCTTGTCATAAATTTAGTTGTGGTGTTGTTTTTCGACTTATTTTTCTTTGGATTCTGGTCCATTGATTGGCATGTCTGTTTTTTAATACCGTACTATTTGATTACTATTGCTTTATAGTCTAGTTTAAAGATGGAGCATGTAATGCCTCCTGTCTTTTTATCTTTCACATTGCTTTGTCAGACTTTTGGTTCCTTTATGAATTTTAGGGAAACATTTTCCCCCCCTATTTCTAGAAGAATATCATTGGGATTTAATAGGAATAGCTTTGAATCAGTAAGTTGTTTAGGCAGCATGATCAGTTTCACAGTTTTAATTTTTTACAATCCATGAACATAAGCTCTTCCTATTGTTCCCTTTTTCTCTTGTTAACGTCTTAGAATTGTTATTGTACAAATCTTTCAACTCTCGGAAGATTTAATCTTAGGTACATCTGAGGCGACTATAAATACAATAGTTTTACTTATTTACATATAGGAATATATCAGGTTTTTTTACGCTGATATTGTAGCCTGCCTATAGTAAACAGATTCTACTCATCTGTTTGGTAGTAATTTTTTTATTGTAGTGTCTGGAGTCTTCTGCATATGCCATTTGCCAGTAGGACCCTTTTCTTTATTTACTTGGTTTTTGGGTCATCCCCAGCTATGCTCAGGGATCATTCCTGACAGACTCGGGACCATATGGGATGCTGGGGATCGCACTTGGGTTGACCACATGCAAGGCAAGTGTCCTACCTGCTGTGCTATTGCTCAGGCTGAATAGTGACTTTAAACTTCTTTTTGAATTCAGATTTCTTGTTGATTACTGTTTACAAGTGATGTAAACAATAATGATGATCATAGGAAACCTCTTCTGCTTGATCTTAGAGAAAAATCTTTTGACTTTCATCATTAAACATGATCTTAGTTGGACATTTGCCATTAATGGCTCTTATTGTGAGTACATTAAATGTTTGAATAAAGGGATGTTTAATATTGTCAGATGCTTGCTTCATGCTCTTTTTGGAGTGGGTGGGGCAGCATTCAGCAGTGCTCAGAGTTTACTCCTTGCTCTGCATGCAGACATGATTCCTGATGGTGCTTGAAATCTCTGAGGTTCCTGACATTGAACCTGGATCAGCTCCATGCAAGACAGTTTCCTTAACCCCAGTACTATTTTTGGCCCGTTAGGGATTTTTTTTGTTTTTTAAATTTGTTTCTGTATTGGATAATGTTGATATAACACGTTTGGAAGCATTACTTTTTTTTTTTAAAGTTTGGTAAGGATAGAGTTTAGATCACCTTTGTTTTAATTTTTTGTGTATGTGTTTGGGGGCGACACACACAGCTGTTGATGTGTGTTCAGGGATCACTCCTGGCAGAATTCAGGGATCATGTGGGGGTGCCGGGGATTGAACTCAGTCGACTATGTGTAAGGCAGGTGTTCTACCCACTGTCTTTCCAGCTCATAGGTTGGTTTTTTTTTTTTATATTAACAATGCCAGAGATTAAACCCAGGGCTTCACACATGCAAGGTAAGTGCTTACTCTGCTAAGCCACTTTTTTGACCAGGGTCATTTTTGAAGATTTTGTTGAACTCGCTAATGATGGTATTGAGAACTTTATATTGATGAGACAAATTTCTTTCAAAGTTACACTGTAAAGTAGGGGATAATGTAAAGCAGTTTGGATGTAATTTTGCAACATTATGGTCTGTTAAGCTGGAGGTCATATTTTAAGGATTTCTGAGTCTTCTAGGGTGTTTTGTAGCGTTAAAGTAATGGATACAGCTCATGAGCTATCAGTGGAATGAATCCTCCATACTCTTTCCCCCAGATATAACCAAAATTGGTATCCATGTTGTTAGCTTTCTTTGTAGAAATGCTCCTGGTACTGTATCCAGTAACTATTGCTACTTATAAGCATGGTCATTGTTTGCCTGCTGGGGTGTTTCAATAACAATTACAGTTGGTACAGGAACAGTTGATGATTCAAGGGGAAAAATCCTTTTCCCAGACCTTGGTTGAAAAGGATTTGGGTCAGTGAATACATGGCTCCAAGGATTAATTCAGAACCTTTCTCTCTCTGCTTTTTCTAAGCCAGTGAGCCACCTTCCAAGTCTTTCCTGATGGGGATGCCCAGAAGCAAAGCAGAGTTGTCAGCATCACCAGTGCTGGCTGACAGCACAGGGGATTGAACTTTTGACTTTCATCTTTTTGGCCTTATGCTTGCTTGGCATGTGCTTTCTTTGAGCTTTCTTCTTGGCCTCTAGAAGAAATTTCTTTTTAATCAGTGTCCTTGCTATTCTTAATAGAGACCTAGACTGTTATATATGCATTTTAAAAATTTACTTGTTTGTTCTTATATGTCTGAACTTTTATTTTCAGAAATACTATGTAGTGCAAAAAGACTGAAGTTGTTAATGCAACCGTTGAGTTCCATTCATGTGAGAACAGAAGCTCTAGCACTAACAAAACTAGAAGTCTGGTGGTATTTATTGATGAGACTTGGACCTCACCTTCCAGCTAATTTTGAACAGGTATGATTATTTACAAGTATTTATAGTAATAGTTTGTACTTTTTAATGTGTTCTTAAATTCTTAGCAGTCTAAGCTTTTCCCTGTTACCGCTGCCATGTAAGTATATCACTATATGAAAGATCTTTCTTGTCCCTGACACAGAATTTGAATTCATGTCTCTTCAAAGGTATGCATCAGCTTAGCTGAAATAATACAGCTAGTACCTCTCAATTAGAAAACACAAGTTGGGGGCTAGAGCAATAGTACAGCAGGTTGGACATTTGTCTTGCACATGGCCGACTGGATTTCAGTCCTTGGCATCCCATTATGTCCCCCAAGCTCTGTCAAAAGTAATTCCTGAGTGCAGAGCCAAGAGTAACCCCTGAGCATTGCTTGGTGTGACCCCAAAAGAGCAAAAAAGAAAAAAAAGAAAAGGCAAGATATTTGTCATCTTTATTCTTTCTTTCAAGAGAAAAGATTGTTTGAGTTTTTATATGGGCCTACACCTGCGGGTTTCATGGGATCATGCAATAGTGGGGATTGAACCCAGATTTTCTTTTGCAAAGTATGTACTCTAGCACTTTGAGCTGTTTAAGATTTTTTGGAATGGTGTGTCTTAAGGCTATTGAGAAATTAAGTATTACAAAATTGAGAATAAAATTGTTGCATACAAATCAGTTAGGTTAATTACATAGTTGAATCAGTTTCTCTGGTTTTTAAAACTGTCTTCAAGAAGAATAATTTCTTAGCTCAAATATTTGTGTTCAAGTGAGCACTGATAAAGCCATTGGTGTTGAAACAATGTATGCCTGAAAACAAGTCATGAATAACTTTTTAATTTCTCGGTGACTACAAAATTTTTTTTTAAATTAATGTCAAGTTTAGGAAGATAAGTCAGTTACTTCATGAAGGTCAATCCAAAGACATGGTTTGCATTTCAGAATTACTTTGTACTCTTAAAGTATACTCTTGTTCATCTTTTTAATATCTTTCTGTGGAATTATATAACTTTTGTCAATTTATACATCATTTAGCAACAGCAACCTTCAGAAAGCTGCAGCTAGTAGGGTTATAATGAATGCCCAACTGTATGAAGTCGGACACATGTGCCAGAAGGCTACAAAAAGGAGATTTTTGTCAGAGCACGGGAAGCCATTATAGTTAGGCTTCATAAAACCATCACTTCACCAATTTCCCCAGGGCATATAATAGTATTCCAGTAATACATTTCTAAAAGTGCAGTTAACTATTTTATAGATAAACTCTTTTTTTTTTTCTTTTTGTTCCCGGTAGTGCTCAGGGTTTACTCCTGACTCTGCTCAGGGGTCACTCCTGGCAGGGTTTAGGGGACCATATAAGTGGTGGTGGCCATATGTATTACTGGCCCCTCTCTGTACTATTGCTCTGGCATTTATAAATTTCTGTGGATTTTTAAATAAATTTAGTGCATTGGAGATTGTCCACACCACCTGGTACCTCAAGCACAGCAGCATTGAGCTGAGTTTAACCAGCTTGAATTTAGACCTGTGATTAATCTTAACTTGGCCTCTTTCATTTTGGAAGTAATCTGACATTTAGCTTCTTTGTTTGTGTTTTTTTTAATGTTTAATAAAAGGTGCCGATAAACTTTTATCCTATTTCTTTGTTTATTTTGGTATTTTTGGATTTTAGAGTCCATTTTATTTTTAGTTCTGAGTTCTTTTAGTCTTGATAACTGCACGAGGATGTAAAATCAGTATACAAAAAAGTTTCAGATCCATAGGCAAAAATAAAATTAGAAGGAGAAATGCACAGTTACAGCAGAAAGAACAAAATTACCTAGGAGTATTCTTAACAAAGGAGCTAAGCAAAGAAACTCCCAATTGTATATTGAAAACTGTAAGGTGGGACTGAAGAGAGGTAGTACAAGGGGTTAGGACATGCGTACAGCTGATCTGGGTTCTATCCCTGGCAACCCGTATGGTCCCTAAGCCTGCCCAGGAGTATTTCCTTAGTGCAGAGCATGGAGTAAGCCGTGAGCTTTGCCAGGTGTTGCCACCAAACAAACAGAAAAGAAAACTGTAAGATAGTTTAAATAGAAAACACAAAGGATACCCCATTTTTATGGATTGAAGAAGCAGTGCTAGAATATTCATTCATATCACTGTGTTCTTAGATTGAATGCAGTCCCTGCTAATACCTCAATGGCATTTATCTTTAATTTTTGTTTTGTTTTAAACCTTGGGGCCACACCTAGTAGTGCTCTAAGGCTATACTCAGCTCAGTGCTGCTGCTGTGCTTGAGGTACCAGCTGGTGTGGATAATCAGACCCAGGCCTCTCTAATGTGTCCAGACTGCAGAATTCTCTCTGTGATGTTCTATTTTGTATTGGGCCACATCTGGAGTACTACTCCTGCCTCTGTTCCTTGAATATCTCCTCTTGTGCTGGCTGAGGACCATTAATTGTAGTGCTTAAATGCTCAGGAATCACTCCTAGAAGTGTTCAGGGGATCGACCATAAGTGATGCCCAGGGATTGTGCAGCTTGTACAAGGCAAGTGCTTTACCCCTGTACTTTCTAGCATTTTCTGAGAAATAATCATTTTAAAATGGGCATGGAAACAAAAGTCTGAATAATTAGCACAGTCCTGAAAGAAGGAAAAATGGAAATTGTCACACGACTTGATGACACTTAATTCTGATAGCAGCAGTATGATGCTGTGTAAAATTATTATGGTACTGGTACAAAAACAGACACACAGGCCGTAGGGCAATGGAGGGTTAAATGAATGGTAGATTATTAAAATTTGAATTAAATTGAAAACTGAATAGCAGTGAAGCAAATAAAGGGCCTAGTAAATCTCAATAAAGATGTGTGAAATTTTGCTAAATTCTTAAAAATTTTTTGTTTAGGGCTTTAGTCATCAATGCTTGGGGCTTACTGCTGGCTCTGTGCTTAGAGAACACTGGGACACAGTTTAAGGAACCATTCGTGATGCTGGGTATTGAACTTGGGTACAGACAAGCTCCTGCTCACTACTGTCTCTCTCCAGTTCCTAACGTTTTAATTGTTTAATATCTTTAGACTTTGAAACTTCAGGTCATGAACTAATTCAAGATGAACATTGATGGCATTGAGGATCATAAAAGAAAATGGGGGAGTCAGCTGAGTTCTAGCTGCTTCTGTTGGTGCTCAGAGGACCATGTGGTGGGCATGCTCAAACCCTGATTGTCAGCATTCAAAGTCTGCATTCCTCCAGTCCTTTGCACTGTTCCCAGCCCTGCTAGCAATTTTTTTCCCTCCGGTTTTCCCAACACCAATTTGTAGTCTATTATTCTTAGAGAAATGAGCAATTTTCTTTAAATTTTCTTAGGGTGTATTTTTGGTAAACCTGAAATTTTCTACCAAAAAACATTAAAATTTTTTCCTTTTGGGGTCACATCTAGCGATGCTCAGGGTTTTCCTCCTGACTCTACAGTCAGGGATTACTTCTGGTGGTACTCGGGGGAGCATATGGGATGCCGGGTATCGAACCTGGTTCGGCCACGTGCAAGGCAAACGCTCTATCTGCTGTACTATCTCTCTGGCTCCGCAAGTGTATCTTTTTTAGCAGAAGTTAATTCTATATTTCTCTATCTGATATTCAGAAGTAAAATTTTTTGATACACTTTAGCAGTTTCACTGTAAATCTTTACTTTCCCAAATTTCTGGATTTGTCTGTGTATCAAAGCAGTCAGTAAAATTCAACACCTCAAAAAAATTCAACATCTCAAAAGAACATAAGAGTTAAGGATATTCAGGCTGCTAGAAATTTTAAATGTGCAAAGCTTTTTTAAAAACATGACAGTTTACATATACAGTTTGTTTTTACCCAAATAGGTTTGTGTGCCTCTGATTCAAAGCACAATAAGTGTTGATTCTAATACTTCACCTCAAGGCAATTCATCTCGCATAGGTACTTCACCAGCTTTGAATTCATCTCCTGCACACAAAGGTAAGATAGACACACCATCCTCCTCTCTCCCCATCTTTGATTTGTTTCTTAAAAAAGCTGTTGCTTGGTGTTCTTATGTAAAGTGAGGCATTTACAATTTAAGCTGCCTTTAAAATATCTGTTAATATAATTTTACTTTTCATATTACATACTTATCACATATTACTTACCCCTCATATTACAATTACCCCTGTAATTTGTTGTCAATGGGAAAGTTGCTCCTTATTTCCCACTAAGAAATGTACTTTTATGTCACTGTCCTCCCATTGTTCATCGATTTGCTCGAGTGGGCCCAGTAACGTCTCAATTATGAGACTTGTTACTGTGTTTGGCATATCAAATATGTCACGGGTAGCTTGCCAGGCTTTGCTGTGCGGGCAAGATATTCTTGGTAGCTTGCCACGCTCTCTGAGAGGGGCAGAGGAATCAAACTTGAGTCGGCCAGGTCGGCCGCATGTAAGGCAAACGCCCTACCTGCTGTGCTATCGCTCCAGCCCATATGCTTTTATGTATACTAGTGAAATAATCATTTGCTTTACCGGATAAAACTGCGTGGCGATGGCCGGGTATGGAGCCTATGCTCCAGCGCCATCAATTTTCAGGGCTACCAAAAGTATCCTGCCCACACGGCAGAGTCTGGCAAACTCCCCATGGCGTATTCAATATGCCAAAAACCAGTAACAATGATGAGTCTCATTCTCCTGATCCAGAAAGAGCCTTGAATGTGGCACTTTTTAAAATCTCTGGGCTAGGACGAAGGAGACGTTACTAGGGCCTGCTCGAGGCAATTCATGAACAACAGGATGAGAGTGATTCAGTGAAATAAATTTTTTTTTTTTCATTTTTGAGTCACACCCAGCAAATGCATAGGAGTTACTCCTGGTTCATACACTCAGGAATCACTCCTGGCGGTGCTCAGGGGACCACACGGGGTGCTGGGAATTGAACCTGGGTTGGCCGTGTGCAAGGCAAACGCCCTACCTGGTATGCTATTGCTCCAGCCCCAAAATAAAATTTTTGACTTGCTCTTTTCTTTAGTATTCTGAGTCAAAATTAAAATACTAGAGTTTCCAGAATGCCTGCATATTAAGATTTAGGGGTAAGAATTTACAAGAGTTTCACTAATTCAAATGATATGCCACTAACCCAATATTAATTAGGAGTGTTGGTGGGCTATATGCAGCTGCTCTCAATTTGCCGCTCTCAACTTTCACTTAAAAACAAACTTTTTAAAGGGTAAATTCATTGAAATGGAGTTAAATACATTCTTTTTAGTAGCTAATTTAAATATAAATTACTAATTTAAATTATTTAGTTTTTTTTTCCCTCCCCCTTTTTAATTGAAGGTGCTTCTCCATATGGATCCCCTGGATCTACCCGCATGAACCTCAGTTCAAGTTTTGGTGGAATGGCCACAATCCCATCCATTCAACTTCTGGGTCTTGAAATGTTGCTCCATTTTTTGTTGGGTCCAGAAGTTTTGAATTTTGCTAAGAAAAACAAACTTGTACTGAGCTTAGGTATGTAGTTATTTAAAAAATTTCAGTATTAAAACAATTTACAATAAAAATAGAGTAAATCAGACTGGGAAAATATTCTCTAATTGTGTAGGTTTGATGTAAATCTTTTATTTCTTTCAAAATTTGTTTTGCATAATTTTCTTTTTCTCTCTTAGAGCCACTGGAACATTCCTTAATTGGCAGCTCCTCTTTCTTTTCTAAACATGCGAATACACTTATCTCTGCTGTGCAGGACAGCTTTGTTACAGTTGGAAAAGATGCTTCTGGTAAATATTTAAACTTAAATTGAAACCTTCATTTCACAGTCAGTCACAACCATCCTGTTATTTGTCGATTGCCTCGCGCAGGCCCCAATAACGTCTCCTTCGTCCTAGCCCTGAGATTTAAAAAAAAAAAAAGTGCCATATTCAAGGCTCTTTCAGAGTTAGGAGAATGAGACCCTTCATTGTTACTGGTATTTGGCATATTGGGTACGCCACGGGGAGTTTGCCAGGCTCTGCCGTGTGGGCAGGTTACATTTGGTAGCCTGCCAGTTTGTCCAAAGTAGGAATGAGACGATAAGATGTCACGTGTCCACGAATGCGGCCGCGCTTCCGGGAGCTGAGTGTGATAATCTCTGGATCCTGGCCGTTGTTGGGGTTACACGGCAGTTGGTGGGTGTAACTGTCTTGCTACTGGCAGGTCTAGTCCCAAACCGTGCAGGCTTGGAGATCTCAGCCCCGGGTCCCACACACCTGGGTTTCTCTGCCAGTTCTTTTATTCGTGAGGCTCATCCAAGTGTGTAGAGAGTGGTCCCAGTATGGCCTTGGCTGGGGCCCAGAGGTCTTCAGCTGTTGGGCCCTGGTTAGGACAGTCAGGCACAGGGTAGGAGACTCTGCCTTGTTCTCTCCCGGGAGCTTCAAATCTCCATTTAAAAGTAGTAAATAAGTTACCTGTGAATCAGGTTATTATGTAAATTTTAAGTACATAATAGTTATCCCTCTTACCCAGTTTCATTTGGCATGTTTTTAGTTCTGTTCAAAATATGTACAGTAAGAAATTTAAGAAGTGAGGCTCTAGAAATACTTAAGTGTGTCAGGTTCTTTGCTTGCACACAGCTGCCTCCAGTTCGAATCCAGCACCCCATATGGTCCTGTGAGCCCTGCCAGTAGTGATTCCTGAGTGCAGATCCTGAGCCTCACTGGATCTGACCCAGAAACAAATTTTAAGAGGTGACACATTCTTAAGAGCTTTAGTACAATTTTGTTTTAACTGTTCTAATGGAATTCCTTATTGTACCTTAGTTACAATAGGACTTTATATTCAATAAGTACAAGAAGAAAGCATTGTGTATGTAGGACTCACTGCAGACATCTCTGGACCTGGACCTCAAGCAGTTTTTTTTTTGTTTGTTTGTTTTTTAAATGGGTCACATCTGACATGCTCGGGATCACTCCTGGCAGATACCTACAGGAGGTCTTGGGATGTATTCCCTGTGACTACTGTTACTGTATTATTCTCTGAGTAACCTCTGTTGGTCCAATTTGTAGATGGGGTTTTGGGTTTTGTAGCGATTTCAATAATATATGCAAGGTCACATGGTCAAGTTATAGAACTGTGATTCAAATTGAGGCTCTGTTCAGCATTTCTACCCGAATAATTACACCTAGCAAATGAGAGGGAAAACATTTCAAAAGTTTGCTGTGTAATGGGCCCCAGAAGTTCTTTTTTCCCCAAAATGATTTTTTAATACCCTTCCCAGTCATTGATTTTTTTTTTTTTTGGTCTCAAAAGAATAGATATTACAAACAGGGGATAGAAATAATGGCAATACAGAAAAAATATCCCAGTTATATGATCTCTGTTACTGTATTAACATTTCTTTGGAAAGAAATATCCTTAGTTACATATACTCTTTCTTTAGAAGATGATTATAGTGTTCTTAATGATTGTGTTGTAAATTATTTGCTCAGGTTTTTTTTTTTTTTCTTTCTTTTTGGGTCATACCTGGCGATGCACAGGGTTTACTCCTGGCTCTGCACTCAGGAATTACCCCTGGCGGTGCTCAGGGGACCACATGGGATGCTGGGAATCAAACCTGGGTCGGCCGTGTGCAAGGCACACACCCTACCCACTGTGCTATCGCTCCAGCCCTCTCAGTTTATTTTTTTATATACAGTATAGGGGGAGTCTTTATACAAGTGTCTACTTCATCAAGTACTTAATGCTTTTCATTCTTTGACAGATGTAGTAATCAATGCAATTTGGAAGGAGCTAATTAGCTTGGTAACATCGGTTATTGAATCGGGTAAGCATTTTAACTTATGAGGTGATTTTTATAATCAGTGAAATCTTGGGTTTACATTTTAAAATCATTTAGAAATTTTTCAGACTTCGACCAGCAAAGTTAAGTTTTGTTAACTTTGAAAAAAATTATTTTATAGCTAAGCAAATATCTTCCCCCTAAAAATACTAAATTTAATTCAGAAAAAAATGCTTAGAACTATATATAACACACCTTTTTATTGGATAGGTAACAAGAGAGAGAGACCAGGTTCTGAGGTTTTGACTGTCTTGCTGAAATCTTTGGAAAGCATAGTGAAGTCAGAAGTATTTCCTGTATCTAAAATACTGGTAAGTATATACTTCACTGTTCGACTTTAAGAGTTATATTCTGAAATTAAATTTGTATTGAAGATACTTCACATGTTTTGAAATTTGAGAACTTTTTTATTTTGTTATTTTTGATTTTAGGGTCATACCCACCTGTGCTCAGGTTAATCCTGGCTCTGCTCAGGGACCTTTTCAGACATTTATTTATTTTGTTTTATTTAATTTTTTTTTTTTTTTACGAGCTACACCTGGCAGTGCTCAGGAATCACCACTGGCAGGAAAGCCTGGAGGACCATATAAGGTACTGGGTATGGAACCCAGGTTAGTTGTGTGCAAGGCATGCCTCCTATAAGCTGTACTATCTCTCAGGTCCCCAGAGAACATTTTTATATCAAATATTAGTAGTTTAGTCTTAGAAAGATCGCTCTCCTTTTGACTGTGGACACTTAGAACTTTTGTAGTATGTGAGTGAGTAGAAAGGCATCCTAAATCTCCTAATTGAGAAAAACACTTAAGCTATTTAGAGGGAATGTACTAAAGGACATGAAACTTTGAAGAAAGTTGGAAGAATATAAGTTCAGATAAAATGTAAATTCAGGGGCCAGATAGTACAGCAAGCAGGTAAGGCTCCTGCCTCCCATGTGACTGACCCGGGTTTGATTCCTGGCATCCCATTTAGGTCCCTGAGCATTGCCCGGTGTGGCCTCAAAATAAATCTCCCCTCCCCTCCTTACCCCCCCCCCCCCCCACATGCACACACATATAAAACATAATGAAAAGGTGAATATATTTCTGTATTTGGAACTTTTTTTTTTTTGCAGGGGGTAGGGGTGTATGTTGTGTATGTTTGGGCCATATATTGTAGCAGAGATATGAACCAGAGTGGCTTCAGCTGCATGCAAAGCAAATTGACCTTACCTACTGTGCTAGTTCTGTGGCCCACGGAATACATTAGTTTTTGGGTTTTTTTTTGGGCCATGCTCAGGGACTATTTCTGGCTGCACAGGAGTGATTTCTTTATTATCTCCATCTGCTCTTTGGACATGTTTATTTATTTTTATTGTGATGTAGGAGCACTGCTATTTATTCATCCATTGATTAAGCTGATTGAATTGGGCATGAACGCCGCATTACTTTTTTTTAAAATTTTTTTATTTTTGATAATTTTATTTATTGAATCACCGTGAGAGCGGTTACAAAGCTTTTGGGTCTAAGTCTCGGTCATACAGTGAAACACCCGTACCTTCACCAGTGCCCATTCTCCACCTCCAAAAACCCTGGTATATCCCCATCCCACACCCTCCCCGCACTTGTGGGGCAGATGATTTCCACATTACTCTCTCTCTACTTTGATCACATTCAATATTTCGATGGGCGATGACTTGGGGTCTCGTTGGGGTGGGGAGGACAGGCCCCATCCCGTGAAGCTCAACAAGTTTCGTCACTGCAGGCCCAAGCTTGACTGTCCAATGGCCTCTGGAGGATGGCGGCCACCGAGCCGCCAGGGGGAAACCGGCAGAGGGACAGCACCCTTTCCCTCCTGGGGTGGCCTGGCGACAGTAACCTACTGCAGGGTCTGGACACATTTCTGCCAAAAGCCGCTGGGTTTTGAAATTTGTTTCTGAGTCTCTGGAATCAAGGCCGTTAGCAGCTGGATCAGGAGCCAGAGAGGCCGTTTGTGGGCAATGACTTGGGGTCTCGCTGGGGTGGGGAGGACAAGCCTGGCTCCACCCCCATCCCGTGAGGCCCTGTGTGTCTCGTCACTGGGGGCCCAAACCAGACTATCCAGTGGCCTCTGAAGGATGATGGCCACTGGGCCGCCAGGGGGAACAGGCCAAGGCATGAAACCTATTCCCACCTGGGTTGGCCCAGCACCGGTAACCTACTGTAGGAACCAGACGCATTTCTACCTAAAGCCACTGGTTTCCAAGATTCGTTTCTGAGTCTCTGGGATCATGGCCATTAAACAGTTCAATCAGGAACCAGAGAAGCCTTGCCTCCAATTATATAGCTGAGCCGGAGGTGGTTTGTGGGTGTGTTTCCCACATACCTAACTTTTGGCTGTTTACTTTCTTGGTAAACTTTACCCCAAGTTTTTGGGATCTGGCCAAAGTACAGCAGCAATTTTGGGGTATCTGGAAGTCTGAAGGCGCCATCAGGCTGCTGATGCACTCGCCTCACAGGTACACATTGACCTGCTGGCAGCACCATACCCCCTTTTTTAAGATTTTTTAATTTTATAAGTTCACAATGTTTGATTACACTCAATATTCAAACACCAATCCCACCACCATTACACCTTCCCTCCACCATATTCGGGATGTTTCCATCCCAAATCCCAATCCCTGTCACAAAACACAACCGAAGTAATATATTTCATATTGTCTGTTACGAAGAACTGCTGAACGTGCTTATAAAACAGTATTCTATACGAAACTTTGTGAATATTATTCTGTTTTGGGAGGAACCATTAAGACATTCTATAGGATATCACTAACGTTAAAAGTTTGGGTGGTGTCAGTTTTGGTATACATATCTGAAATATCTATCTATGCATAAATATATATATATATACATATATATATATTTCCCTCTAGGATTTGTTGACTACTATCTGAACTCTATCAAATGTGGTGTGGTAATTATGAAGAATGGGCAGGGAGTGTTTCATCATGTGTCACACAGTCCAGGAATATGTTTACTCATATGTGAGGCTTGAACCCAGCATGTGGGAAGCAGCTTTGGGCATGGCAGCGGTTGGGTTGTTGGAGATTTTTGGCTGCCAGAGCTGGGTCCCTTGGGGTGGGGAGGACTCTCACCCTCTGGCCCCCCCCCCACGGGGGGGCACCCCATGTTAAAACAGTATGTCGCGGAGTCAGTGGCATGTTGTGGGGGCCTTATGCTCTTTTTCCGGAGAAGCAGCCATGTGATCTGGATGATGGCCTTTGACGAGATTATCTGGTGCCAGTTGGAGGTGGTTTATGGGTGTGACCCTTGGGTCTGCGGACACTGGGGAAAGCAGGCAGAGGATCTGTCTCCTGGTCCTCTTGAGCCCAGAATCCAAGGTCACAAAGTTCTGCATTACTGGGTTCTGTAGGACTTCACTCAGGCATGAGGCTCAGCCCGAGCGCATGTGGAGCAGCCTTGAGTGTGGCACGGGTTCCCGCCTACCTCTGCACTATAGACTCTTAACTGCGCCTTTTGATGTCTTTTGAGGTTTATGGGTCTCTGAAATAAGGCCAAGAAATGAGCTTATATAGCTGAGCCAGAGGTGGTTGTGGGTGAGTCTCCTACATACCTAACTTTTGGCCGTTTAATTTCTTGGTAAATTTGGCCCCAAGTTGTTGGGGTCTGGCCAAAGGCACAGCAGAAATTTGGGGGTATCTGGGAGTTTGAAGGCACCATCAGGTTGCTGATACACTCGCCCCACAGGTACAGGTTGACCTGCTGGCGGCATCATGCCCCCTCTTTGGACATTGTAAACTCATGTAAAAGTATTTGTTTTATGTTAAACTATTTCTGTGCTAGTATTAATATGTTAGTAAATGTTACTTAAAATGATGAGTTATGACTATGTTAATGACTAGAATTTTGTCAACTACAGTTTTTATGACTAATTTATATATAATAAAAATCTTTCCCTTAGGTCCTCATGGAAATTACAATTAAAGGACTTCCACAGAAAGTATTAGGTTCACCAGCATATCAGGTTGCTAATATGGATATTCTTAATGCAAGTATCCTAAATGTAATGATTATTGAAACTTTATTTTTTAAACCCTTGGTATTCCCTTTTTTAAGTAAAACTTAGATTGTAAATTTCTGAGTTGGATTTGGATATACTGATTGCTAAAGAAAAAAATAATGATAATCATAAGTGAAACTATTAAAGTGTTCAAAAATGTATTTGTTTATATAAAATAATAGAGCTATTATAAATTTTGGGACTACAGAATATATTGGCTTATGCTGAAACGTCTTGCTATTTTGGCAAGTTTTAAGTTACTGTTTTTATGTTTGTACTGAGTTTTAACTTGTTTATGTAGATGGAACATCTATGAGTAAAATTATAAAGAACTTGGTTTTTTTTTCTTGTTTTCTGTTTGTTTTAATTTTTGCCATTTAACTGATGGCACTATTTCTCAAATTTAAAATCATTTCATTGATGCCTAAGACAAGTCTAACAGAATTGAACCTATACAAAGATTAATTGCAATGTCTCTCATTTTTCTCAGGGAACTCCAGCTTTGTTCTTAATTCAGTTAATTTTCAGCAAGCTTTTGGAATACGGCATAGAAGGTGAAAGGTAATTTAAGATGAAACTGCGTATGTTTTTTTGCGAGGCTAATATGTAACAAATGATAATTTTTTGAGTGTATGTAATATAAAATATTTATGTTTCTGTTGGGAAAGAACGTTGGAGATTTAGCCCACTTTCTTAGCCCTGATCCTTAGTTTTTAATATATCAACTCATGAAATAAGATTTGGTATTATTTTTGAACTTTTGGATTATTTTTAGAATTTTCCTATATGATTTGTTTTCTATATTTGTTTTCTATAAAAATTTGAGTCAATTCATGGTTCAATTCATGATTCAAATAAATTTTTCTTTAGGTTTTTTCTCAATCTCGAAACACTTGTAGGCTGTGTTCTTTCTGGTCCAACTTCACCACTAGCTTTTAGCGACTCTGTTTTAAGTGTTATTAGTCAAAACGCGAAGCATTTGGAAAATAAGGAGCATCTGTGGAGAATGTGGAGTATTATAGTCAGCCCCTTAACAGAACTGATCAATCAGGTATGAAATAATGTCTTATTTTCCCCAGTATTTGATGAATCTTTTTTTCTTGTTATTATATGGATCGTTTAGAAATTTGAATACAAGATCATGAAAATATTTTTTCTGTGGGAATTGGTTAAATACATGTGAGGTAAGTGCTATACTACAGAACCACTTAGCCCTGCTTTAACAAGGTGTAAGTGGAAATTTTGCCTGGGAACTAATTTTAACTTTAAAATGAAGACACCAAAGAATGTAGGTGATAATACAGTAGGTAGCTCTTTTCCATGCAAACCAGCACATCATTAAACATAAGGGAATGTTAACCACTATGTATCATAAAAGATTTTTCTTGGGGGCGGGGACGGTCACACCCAGCAATGCACAGGGGTTACTCCTGACTCATGCACTCAGGAATTACTCCTGGCGGTGCTTTAGGGACCATAAGGGATGCTAGGAATCAAAACCGGGTTGGCTATATGCAAGGCAAACGCCCTACCCGCTGTGGTATCACTCCAGCCTCATAAAAGATTTTTTCTCTGGAATTCCTTCTTAGGATACAAATAAAGGCATTTGTTTCTTGAACTTACTATGCAAATTTTCACAGATTTGGAGCTAAAAAATCTCTGTAACTGCAATTTACCTCTAACTGTAGAAGCCAGAAATCCATAAGTAATTTTGGCAAAAGTGCTTTCTTCTGGAGTTGTGAAAGGGAGAATCTATTTCTTACCTCTCAGCTTTTAGTGATTGCTGATGATTCATATATCTTGACTTGTAGACTTGGGTTTTAGCCTCCCATCTTCACATGACATTTTTCCCCTTTGTCTTCTCTGTGAATATTTTCTCACTGGGATGCCAGTTACTGGATTAAGTTCAACCCTGTAGCACTGTCCTCCAGTTGTTCATTGATTTGCTAGAGCAGGCACCAGTAACATCTCTATTATGGAACTTGTTATTCTTTGTTACTGTTTTTTGGTATATCGAATACACGGGGAGCTTGCCAGGCTCTGGGATACTCTCAGCAGCTTACCGGGCTCTCTGAGAGGGATGGAGGAATCGAACCCAGGTCAACCGCATGCAAGGCAAACACCCTACCCGCTGTGCTATCACTCCAGCCCTTGTAACTTGATTACATGTGTAAAGACACTAATTCTAAATAGTGTTATATTCACAATTGCTGGAGTTTGGAACTTACCTGAATGTCTCAGTATTTACGACTGCAATTCTACACACTTTACTTACGAAGCTAATACTACTTGTGTCTAAAATTAGGTGGTTAAATATCTAACCTAAATTTATTTTGTTTCAGACAAATGAAGTGAATCAAGGTGATGCCTTAGAACATAATTTTAGTGCCATCTATGGTGCACTGACTTTACCAATAAGCCACATATTTTCGGTACAGGAATTTCCAGTGGTAAGGCTCTTCTGAAAATAATTCATCCTTTATAATGAATTCCTGTATTAATGTTAACTAAATCCTACTTTATGACTGTTACTAAGTTCGGTGAAAGAAGAGAGGGATTTGTTTTGACCTTTGTTAAATTCTGGTGTTGGAAGTTATTACAGTACTGCCATTTGAACATGGGTGGTGCACACTTAGTCCAGTCTGCTCTTGATACATGAAGTGCAGCAATGACTTTAATCTTAATGTATTTTGTTATGGGGGCAAATTTGGAGGTTCTTAGGGGGTCACGGCCACTCCTGTCTTTGCTAGGGCAGAGAGGAGAGAAAAAAGTGGTACTTCAAATGAGGTCACTTATGCTCTGCCACATCTATTGATTGTATGGTGGCTTACGAAATGCATTCTGTTAGGTGTTTGTAAATTGTTATTTTATTTTATTTCTTCCTAATTGTTAGGCCACTATGAAAACCTTACTTAAAACTTGGTCAGAGTTGTATAGAGCATTTGCCCGTTGTGCTGCTTTGGTGGCAACAGCAGAAGAAAATTTGTGCTGTGAAGAACTTTCTTCTAAGATAATGTCCAGTTTGGAAGATGAAAACCTTTCAGTGAGTTTATCCCAATCCTAATCAGTCTTCTTCTTCTTTCTTCCTTTTGCTTACTTGCTCTCCACCTCCCTCTCAAGTGAATGGTGGTAACATCTTTCAAAAAGCTTTGTGAGATAATACTGTGCCTTTTCATCCTTAAGCTCCTTGTTAGGCTCTTGATCATTGATGTACTTTTCTACTATGTATATTTCACCGAATGCCCACGCCATTCTAAATTAACAGTCGGGAAAACTTGGTATCATGGACTTTTGTCTCCATTTGCTAGCTCTTTAAAGTCATTCCTATGGAACTATGTAGAATTGAAAGATGTCCCTTTTTTTCCTTTTTGGAGGAGGTGGGTGCTGGTGAGGTGTGTTTTGGGACATGCCTTGGCAGTGTTCAGGGACTGTTTTTGGCTCTGTTCATAAGGGTCACTCCTGGCATTGTTGAGGGGATCATGTCCTAGGGATTGAATCAGGGCTGGCCTCATGCAAGACCAGCTCCTTTACCCTTGTACTATCTGTCCAGCTTTTCCTTTCTCTCATCCAGTTAAAAGGGACAATTGTCAACAGCTTGATCTGTATCATTTTAGGTTGCATGTACTTTTTGTATTTACATACAATTTATATATTATAAATATGTCCATGAATATGGTATGCTGAATTCTGCCTATTACTGCTATGCATGCATTTCAGATCTTTATGTGCATGTGACAGTATTTTAGACATACAGAAATAAAGAATAACTTCAGAATTTTTTTTTAACTTCATGTTGCACATAGGGCACAAATAGAATACAAATGAATTGCTTACAGTGCAACTAGGCTTGTAAATTCCTATTGTGTTACTTCATAGTGAGATTTGAGGTAGATGTTCTGTCTCATATTTCTGTAACATTTATCTATACAGATGATAGTGAATTTGTTGAAAGCGTTTTTTGTGTGGGTGCTCCAAAACAGTGCTTAGGCGGCCCAGGCCATTCCCAGAAATTCTGTACTGATTGTTCTGAGGCCAGCAGGACCACATCTAGTTGAACTGTAATTTTGTGTTTTGGGGAAACACATTACCACAGAATTTTTTTTACAACATGGTTTTTCTTTGGGTTCTGGGTCAGGCTGCGCTTACTCTTGGCAATTCCCTAGGACCATGTGTAACACTGCAGATTTAACCAGGGTCAGAGCATGCAAGGCAAGTGCCTTAACAACTGTGCTGTTGATCCAGCCCCACGGTTTTATTTTTTCTTGTATCTCATTAGTGAGATTAGAAATCTTAACTCTCCACTTTTTATATTGTGGGAACACTAAACTCTTGGGGTGCATTACAAAACTAGTAAAAGTAAAGTAAAGGCCCTCCCGTTGATCATCGATTTGCTCAAGCGGGCCCAGTGACGTCTCCATTGGAGACTTTGTTGTTACTGTGTCTGGCATATCTAATACTCTCGGTAGCTTGCCGGGCTCTCCGAGAGGGGCGGAGGAATCGAACTCGGGTCGGCCATGTTGGCTGCGTGCAAGGCAAACTCCCTACCCGCTGTGCTATTGCTGCGGCCCTACTCTACAAAATTAGAGTTTTACTATTTTCAGCAATTTGAGAAGAATGCCATATATATAAGTAATATGACCCTTTTCTTATTTTGTTTTTTTTTTGGGTCTATGACACCTGGCTGTGCTTAGAGCTGTGGGCTCAGGGATCTCCCTCCTGATGGTGCTTGGGACCATATGTGGTACTTCCTTGATGCATACTAAAATTGAAAACTATGCCAGTCGTTGGATGTTTCTGTTATAATTATTTTTCTAATATAATTGCTATTGTTTTCTAGAATTTGTTCTTCTTGGATAGGATTATTCATGTTATGAATGTAATAGTTGATTGCATAGACTTCTCACCGTATAATATTAAATGTCAACTCAAAATTAAATGTAAGTATTTTTTTAAGCTTTGTTTTCTTCCAAGATTTTATTAATGTGATTGAACTGTTGTAGGGGGCAAAGGTTTTTTACGTATCCCATTTTACTGATCGGATTTGGAATAATCTTGTCAAAGTAACTATACCCGGAGCTCAAGTATAGGTGCCCTCTCATTTTCTCACCTTCACCCTTTTACCCTTCCCAATGTTTAACTGTATTTTTGTTTTGTCTTGTGGGTGTTTTTTATTTTTTGCCCACATTCAGCAGTTCTCAGGGGTTACTCCTGGCTCTGTGCTAGGAATCACTCGTGGTGGTGCTTGGGGACTGTATGGGGTACCAGGTAGCAAACCTGGATTGGCTGCAATCAACACAAATGCCCTAAACACTTGTATTATTGCTCTGGCCCCTATATAATTTTTAAAACTGTTTTTAAGGCTTGAGAGGTAACCAACTTCCTAGAGCCAAATGGGCTGGTTGTTAAGGATGCCAGGGATTACCTGGGCCTCCCAGGTAATGCTTGAGGACCACCAGGGCTGCGGCCTGTAATGCTCTAGGGATCTTGTGCCAGTTTTCTTGATAAGAATATAATTTTATCTTTCTTTGTAGGTGTTTGGGGGAGATGTTGCAGTCTTAGAAGGGTAAAAAGTTGGTGCATGTTTTTTAAAGTGTGGGCTACATACAAGTTGCTGAGCTGAGGCATGTGGAGCCAGGGTTTGGACCTAGGGCCTAACAAATGCACAGCCTGCAATCCACATCTTTGATTGGAAAGTCAGTGCTTTAAGGCATCTTATATTTTAAACCGTATCTTTAAATATAGTCTCCCTTTCCTCTATTCTTTGTGAAGACTCGGACTCTTAACTGGTCCATTTTTACTTGTAAGGTTCACTGTATTACAGATGTGGACAGAAAGCAATACGTGTTAATTAGACAACCAAAAATCAGAGCTCCCCCCCCCCTTTTTTTTTAATTGACTCAACATGAAGTAGACTGCAAATCTTTTCATGATTGGGTTTCAGTTGTACAGTGTTCCAACACCTATCTCCCCACCAGTATCCTCAGTTTTCCCTCCCAGTCCCTCTCTCCTCCCCCTACCACCTGCTCTGTGGCAGACCCTCTTCTCTCTCTTCCCCCTCTCTTCCTCCCCCCTCCCTCTCCTTCTCTTCCTTCTTTACTCTTTTTCAGCAGTAAGTGTTGATAGGGTTCGTCCTGAGACAGTGGAGTCTGACCAGGGGTACAGTCGCGATTTTGGGTTGTGGAAGAAAGCAATAATTTATTTTTCTTTTAAAAATTTTTATTAGTGAGACACTAGGAGGTACAGTTGTAGACTTGGACAAATTTTATTCTAACATTTTTTTAATTTTATTTTTATTAGTGAAACACCATGAGGTACAGTTGTAGACTTACAGATTTTTATGCTTGGGTTTCAATTATACAGTGATCAAATACCCATCCCTCCACCAGTGCCATTTCCCAACACCATGGATCCCAGTATCCCCCCACCCCCCATTTCCCCCATTTCACCTTGCCTCTGGCAGGGCATTCCCTTTTGTTCTCTCTCTCTTATTGGGTGTTGTGGTTTGAAAAAGAGGCAATGGGTGACAGTCAGGTTTGGTCTACGGTCTACTTTCAGCATGCTTCTCCCATCCTGGGAGGATCCTCCCAACACCTTTATTTCGTGCTCCCTTCTCTATCTGAGCTCCCTTTTCCCCTAGCATGTATGGCTGGCCTCCAAGCCATGGAGTAAAATTTCTGGTACTAATTTCGGCCATTATTGGTTGTTAGTCTCCTATTTTGTTACTTTATGTTCCCCAAATGAATGCAATCTTTCTTTGTCTATTTCTTTCTGAGTCATTTCACTTAACATGACACTTTCCATGTAGTACCACTTGTATGTAAATTTCATGACTTCATCTTTTCTAACAGCTACATAGTACTCCATTGTGTAAATGTACCAAAGTTTCTTTAAGGAAAGCAATAATTTAATGAAACAAGTTTCATTAAAAATATATACATAGCAGGGCAACACAGTTTACAATTGTGTTGTTTTTGTATCTGATTACCTCTACTACCATGATGGGAAATTATTTTTATAAGCTGATATTCAGTTGGATAAATTGTTCAGTAGTAGAACACATATCTTCTGAGGCCTAATACCTGTACCACACAATACCTGTCATTTAAAATTTAATTTCTTTAATTTGTTTATTTTTATTTATTTTTTTTATTTTGATGTAGGAGTATTGCTATTTATTCAACCATTGATTAGGTTGATTGAATTGGGCATGAACTCCACCTTACTTTTTTTTCATTTTTATAAATTTATTTATTCAATTACTATAACAGCAGTTACAAAGCTTTTGGGTTTAAGTCTCGGTCATACAATAATGAAACACTCGTCCTTTCACCAGTGCCCATTTTCCACCACCAAAAACCCCAGTATACCCCCCATCCATACTCTCCCCATACCTGTGGGGCAGATGACTTCCACATTACTCTCTCTCTACTGTGATCACATTCAATATTTCGACCCTAGACCCACCATTTTATTATTTGGGATTTTACCCCAACACTCAGATCTGCCGTAGACAATTTGTTTTCTATTGTTGGTTATGAATAACATATGATGTCACATGGCCGCAGTAGTGCCTGTGCGATTTTGGAATTCCAGAGTTTTAACAAGTAAATCTGGAGGAATTTCTGCCAAAACCTGCTGGGTTCTGAGATTTGTTCCTGAGTCTCTGGGATCATGGCAGCTTGATCAGGAGCCAGAGAGGCCGTTGGTGGGTGGCAGGGCTGGCTCCACCCCTATCCTGTGAGGCCCCTCATGTCTCATCACTGGGGCCCAAACCTAAGTGTTCAATGGCCTCTGGGGGATGGCAGCCACCTAACTGCCAGGGGTAACAGGCCAAGGCACAAAACCTGTTCCCTCCTGGGGTGACCTGGCACCGGCAACCTACTGCAGGGACCAGACACATTTCTGCCAAAAGTTGCTGGGTTCCGAGATTTGTTTCTGAGTCTCTGGGATCATGGCCGTTAAGCAGTTTGATCAGGAACCAGAGAGGTCTTCCCTCCAATTATACAGCTGAGCCCTAGGTGATTTGTGGGTGTGTCTCCCACATAGCTAACTTTTGGCCGTTTACTTTCTTGGTAAACTTGGTCCCAAGTTGTTGGGATCTGGCCAAAGGCACAGCAGCAATTTTGGTATATATAGAAGTCTGAAGGCACCATCGGGCTGCTAATGCACTCGCTGCACAGGTACAGATTGACCTGCTGGCGGCACCATACCCCAGTCAAAATTTTAATTTTGAAAATTTTTTTTTTGTATTATGAAAAATATTTTAAATGATTTCATACTTTAAAATTTGTTGAAATTTGGAGAGTTGCAAATAATTTTGAAAGGAATTTACAATTTTTTTTTTTTGGATTTTTTATTTCTGGGCCACTCCCAGTGATGGTCAGGGGTTACTTCTGGCTCTGCATTCCTAAATTACTCCTGGCGGTGATCAGAGGGCCGTATGGGATTCAAACCCAGGTTGGGCCACAAACCTTACCTGCTGTGCTGTTGTTGCAGCCCCAGGATTTCCTAGAGAAATAGGCCATTCTTAGAGAAAATGGAATTCTTAATCTGCATATGTTTTAAATTGTGCTTTTTAAAAAGTGGTATCTGTCCATTATTGGCATATTATTTTTGTCTTTGGGTTTAACATTACATAGAAACATATACCTGTTATTTGAATGTAAAGTATAAATTGTAGATTAGTTTTCAGAATATTGCATTTCTGACAAATTGAATGTTGTTTTAGCACCACAGAGACTTTCATCAGATTGGTCAAAAAAGAAGAAGGAGCCTTTAGGAAAATTGGCTGCTTTATTTAAACTTATTGTGAGAATAATCTACTCTTTCCACTCGCTGAGCCTCAAGGAAGCACATTCTGATACTCTGCTCACTATTGGCAATTCAATCACCAACATTCTTTCTAATGTACTTGGGCATATTTCTTTACCTTCTATGATCCGAAAAATATTTGCAACTTTAACAAAACCTCTGACGTTACTCTATGAAAATTCAAAGTAAGTATTTTGGTCTTAATAACTTTTAATCAAATATATAATTTAGATTTAGGAATCAAACTCATATATTCCAACTAGTTCTATTGGAAAAGATGTTATACTTTTATTAGATAACTCTAAAGCAAATACATAGTTATAATATAATTGTTCCTCTGTTGCCTTTAATTTAGAAACATCCGGTCTGAATGGGGTAATACAGTGTTAGGGTACTTGCCTTGCATATGATAGATCATGGCTCTATCTCTGGCACCCCAGATGGTTCCCTGAGCTGTCAGGAGTGATTCCTGAGCGCCACCAGGTGTGGCCCCAGAGCTGTAATAATTCAGAAACATTTTCTTCAGACTTGCTTGTACAACTATGTATACCTGTTGAATGTACTCTATACACAAAAACATGCTTTCCATATACTACTTCACTATTAAAGTGGCATTCACTTCATATATGTAATTGTACCTGAGAATCTCCTGCTTTGTAATGTTTGCATAGGCATTTATGAAGCGTTTTCACTCGGGCTTTGAATTTGTGAATCAGTGTCTAGCCTTTTCATTCTATTTCCTTTAAGTATAATTGCATACAGAATTTTCACATTTGCCAAACTTCCTGCTTACTTATTGTACTTAATAAGTACACTCCTCTTACTGGTATGTACAGTACTTGCTGGTAAGTACTTGCCTGTGCTTACTGGTTCCTAAACTGCTTTCAGAGGAGGATAAACATATTCAAAATTTCTGGACTACAATTCAAGTATTTGCATTGATTTATATTACCCTTTGCATTTGAATGGAAGCAAAGGGTACACTTTAAATCTAAAAAAATTCAAAGCAACTTTTTGGGGAGCTTTTTAGCATTTTGTGTTTTTGGGGGGGTTACACTTAGGGTTACACCCTCACAAAAAGCACATGCTCCAACCCTTGGCCCCTATCTTTTTTTTTTATAAATTACATTTATGTCATGTTTTAGGAGCAGATTTTGTAAAATTCGACGAGAGCACAAACTGTTACTTTTGTTAAGTTTTCATAAAAATAGGCTTTTAAAAAATGCAATCCCGAACATTTATCTAATTCCATTTTAGAAGGCATTTCTTTCTTTTTTTTTTCTTTCTTTTTTCTTTTCTTTTGTTTTTTTTTTTGCTTTTGGGTCACACCTGGTGATGCACAGGGGTTACTCCTGGCTCTGCACTCAGTAGTTACTCCCGGCAGTGCTCAGGGGACCATATGGGATGCTGGGAATCAAACCCAGGTCGGCCGCGTGCAAGGCAAACGCCCTACCCGCTGTGCTCTCTCTCCAGTCCCATTTGTTTCATTTTTAATCTTGGGCAATTCGGTATTTTTGTTCAAGTCTATAATGTCATGCATCAAATTTTTATAGCTGTATTGCAATGGTTTTTGGTTTAACTTGGTTGCGTATAATTAGTGTTCCAAAGTATAAATAGTATTTTGTGTTTTTCTTCCTAGGCTTGATGAAGTTCCTAAAGTTTATACCTCTATGAATAATAAGGTAAAAAGAGACAAATGTTAATGAAACACATTCATGGGGAGAAGAGATTCTGATTGATACTGTGGGTTTGACCTGGGGTTGGCTGCATGCATGGCAAAGTGCTTATCTCCTGTCTGATCCCAGGACTTCTAAATTTAGATAACTCTTTCACTCATACCACCCCTTTAGAGGGTACTTGATTCCACTATTTGGTATGTAAAATATGAGTAGTAAGCTATTATAATTAATGCTAAAATACAATATTTTCTTTTTATGGAAAACATTAAGCTGTATTATTAATAAACCAAATTCAGTCGATAATTAGCCTGAAGGGCAGATGGGAGAAATCCTTGGGGTTTTTTAATTGGAAGTAGTAATGGATAATTTGTTGAGTATGTTTGCTTTTATGGTTTACTGTGTTAAAGTTATTTCCAGATATTTCTCTTAAACTTTTTCCTTTTTTCTAGTTAGAGAAACTACTAGGAGAAATTATTACTTGTCTACATGTCAGCTATACTGGAACTTATGATAATGAACTTCTTGAACAGATCTCCCCATTATTATGTATAATATTTTTGCACAAGAACAAACAGATTCGAAAACAGAGTGCTCAGTTTTGGAATGCCACATTTGCTAAAGAGACATTGATTTATCCTGAAGAGTTAAAGTATGCTAATAAGAAACTTTTATACAACTATTCTATTGTTATACAAATTAATATTTTAGTTTTAATGTAAATTTTAGCATGGGAAATCTGTAGATTGAGTATTCTTAGTTCAAACATTGCTTGGGTTATATGGTAATTCTTAAACATCCGTTTTTCTTTTCTCCTTAAAGTATTCTTGTCCTTAAGAACATTAAGCATTTCCTAATTATCTTTAGTTACAAGATACCAAGTGCAAGAAAGTAACTGGGATTTTGGGAGGGGGGGGTTGGATAAATTTTGGCGATCTGTGTAGAGGTACTAAACATTTAGAATTTCATGTGAAAAAATGAAAAAATTTTTCAAAGAATGGGAAATTCTAAAGAGTTTAGCAAAAAAGTAAAATCTTGTCATTTGTGTGTTCTAAAGTAAGATAGTGATTTTTAAATATATTTTGCAACTTTAAAACTATTATCAATCTCACCAGTATAACTTGCCTCGAAATTTGTGTGTTTTCTTCTTTAAGACCAATATTAAGACAAGTCAAACAGAAAATTCTACTTCTGTTGCCTGGTTTGGAAAATGTTGAAGTTATTGAAGAATCAAGTGAGCCATATTCAGATGCAGTAAGTTGGGTTTCTTGAGTTTTTGAATGTTTGGTGTTGGATTATGGTGTGTATATTTAAAAGAATACAAACTGAATGTTTTCTTGAAGTACAAAACCTGAATAGAAAGTGCTCCATAACATAATTTTTCCACGTAGTCAGTCTGACCTGAAATATACTTAACAGCTTATAAATAAACTTGTTTATGTTAAAGACATATTTGATTAGTACAGTCATAAATAATCCAATTCCTATTCATTGTTGATCTCTTAAGGTATTGAGCACATGGTTAGGGGCCAGAGAGGTAGGTAGTTCAGGGGTTAAAACTCTTGCCTTTTATGAGGTTTACCTCTGTTTGATATCCCATAAAATGCCTGGTAATGCAGATGGTCCCAGAAGGACTAACATCATATGCTTAGGACTGGGCTGAGATGTAGCTCAACACTACAGTAACTTTAAGACCAATTTTAAGGCCAATTTTCCAGTGTGCATTAGACTCTAGGCTCAATCCCTGAAGTAGTAAAAAAAAAACAAAAAACAATGAAACCTAATTGAAGTGTTGCTTTAGGTCATAGATTCCAGAGTAGGACATACTCCCTCCCCGCGCCCCCCCCCCCCCCCGGGTGCTAGAATGATGGCAGGTGTAAGGGTGGGGGCCAGACACAGCATTACTGTTTTTCATGTTGGTGAGGGTGAGTGGGACTTTATTTATTTGGGGACAGAGGGGGTCACACTCAGCAGTGCTCAGAGCATACTTCTGGCAGGGTGAGGAGTCTGTGGTTCCAGGGATGGAACCCGTGTTCTTCCCAGCTATTCCATCTCTCCTCCCCATCCTATTTGTCCTCTCTGTGTTTTTTGTTTGTTTTTTTCCCCTTTTTGGTCACACACTGCAGTGTTCAGGGGCTAGTCCTGGGTCTGCACTCAGGAATTACTCCTGATGGTGCCTGGGGGGCCATATTGGGATGCAAGATATCAATCCGGTCGAATATGTGCAAGGCAAATGTCCTACTTCTTGTATAGTTGCTCCAGCCCTTATTTATTTTTTTGGTGTTTGGACAACACACAGCCATAGGCAAGCGTACACCTGTTTGTAATTATTGGGAAAGTGTACTGCCATCAAGCATTTTCTTAATAGTATTTATGTGGTACCTTTGGAACATGTAAAACCAGATGGTGTAGAACTGTTGGCTTTTCTTTGACTTTTTTTTTCTTTTTTTAAAATTTTGGTGCCCCCACCCACCACCCCTTTTGGGCATTATGGTTTGCAGTGCAGATACTGAAAGATTATCATGTATATCGCTTTATCTGCTTTGAACTTTACGCTCTTGCCCAGAGTGACCATTTCAAACTGTTATTGCCATGCTGGTTCCTTCTCTGTTCCTTCACGTACTTGTGGTAGATTCCAATCATTGATCAGTACTCCCAGCCCTATTTTCCATGGCCTTGGATATTAGGCTCATTATTTTCTCTTTATATACCACAAATGAATGCAGTGATTCTATATCTGTCTTCTGACCCATTTCATTTAGCATGATACTCGCCAAGTCCATCCATTTATGAACAAATTTCATGACTTAATTTTTTTGCGTGACCTCTTATTGTCTAGTTCTCACTCTCAGAGAATCCAGCAGGCTACCTACCGAGAGTCTCCTGTCCACATAACATGCCTGACTGGGAACACCTGTAAAGGTGATTAGAGGCTGCCCCAAAAGCCTCCATTCGTCTCGGAGAGCCCGGCAAGTTACTGAGAGTACCCCGCCCACAAGGCAGAGCCTGCAAGCTACCAATGGCATACTTGATATGCCAAAAACAGTAACAATGATGGTTCTCATTCAGGACCCTAAAAGAGCCCCTAGTCTGCCATCGGGCTTCACTAGCACATTACAGGGATGAATGGAGATGTTACTGGTGCCCACTCGAGCAAAATGATGAACAACAGGGTGATAGTGATAGTGAATTTTTTTTTTGTTAGAGCTGCATAGTATTCCATTGTGTAGATGTACCATAGTTTCTTCATTTCTCTTCTCTGGCACTCAGGGTGCCAGATTCTGACTGTTTCCAGATTCTGACTATTGTGAATAGTGCTGCAGTGAACATAGAAGTGCATTATGTTGTTTCTGTTTTGTGTTTTGGGGGCTCCCAGGGTATATTCCCAGAAGTCAAATGGGTCTAATGGGAGCTCAATTTCTAGTTTTTTGAGGAATGCCCATATTTTCAAAAAAGGCTGAACCAGTCAGCATTCCCACCAGAAATGCATGAATGTCCTTTCCTTCCCACATCTGCACCAGCACTGGTTATTCTTGGTTTTTTGATGTCTGCCACTCTCGGTGTGAAGTGATATCCTGTTTTTGTTTTGATTAGCATCTCTGATGATTAGTGATGAGTATTTTTTCATGTATGTTTCGGCTATTTGAATTTCTTCTTTGAGGAAGTCTCTTTATTTCTCCATTTTTTGATGGTATTGGATTTTTTTTCTTGTAAAGTTCAACCAGTGCATGGTTTATCTTTGATATTAATCCCTTATCAGATGGGTATTGGGTAAATAATTTTCCCTATTCTTTGTATCTTGGTCACTTTTTTTTTTTGAGCTGCAGGAACTTATTATAGTTTAATGTAATCCTATTTGTTTATATTTGCTTCCACTTGCTTGTTTTATCCTTGAAAATGCTTTAGCTTCTATGGAATGTAAGAATTTTGTCCATGTTTTCTTCTGTGTACCTCATGGATTCAGGTCTGATGTTGAGGTCTTGAATCCATTTTGACCTGACTTTCATGCATGGCCTTAGAAGTCTGAGTTCAGTTTTTTACGTGTAGCTGTCCAGTTTTCCCAGAACCACTTATTGAAGAGTCTTACTCCACTTCACATTTCTTGCTCCCTTATCAAAGATCAAAGGATGATATACTTGAGTGTTTGTGTCAGGATATTCAACTCTGTTCCATTGGTCTGCAGGTCTGTCTTTATTCCAATACTCTGCTATTTAAATTACTACTGTTCTGTGGTACAGTTTGAAGTTGAGGAAGGTGATGCCTCCCATCTTCTTTTTCCCAAGGATTGCTTTATCTACTCATGAGGATTTATTGTTCCATGTCTATTGCAGGAGTGTTTAATCAATTTCTTTGGGGGGAAAAAGTAGATTGGGAGAATTAATGCTGTCCTATAAGGATACCCGTGACAAATTTCTTCGACATAATTTAATGGGGTTGAATAATAAAAAGAAATTGGAAATGAGTATTCTTTCCACTGGTATTGTCAAAATGTGTGAAGATAAAATACGGACATTTGAACTTAATGAAATTTTGTTTTTTAACAAAACAGACAGAAAATTCACAGTTAAATATGAAGATAAGCGGCATTGAGAGAAAATCAAGTGGAAAAAGAGATTCCTTTTTGGCAAAAACAAAGGAAATGAAAGAAAATACGAAGCCGTCAGCCAAAGTACAGTTTCTTAAAGTTTATTAGAATGTTTAACATTGAATTCTTTTATAATTTGATATAATTGGAAGCAAAAGTTGTGCAAGGAAAATTAGAAGATAAGAAAGTGGTGGGAAACAGTAGTTTGGTGTGAGATACTGTCAGAATAGCATAGACATCAAAGATCTTTGTAAATAATCCTTAATATAGTTAAGCCTGCATGCTTCCATTCAATATATAGTTAGTACACGCAATAGCCCTTATATGGATAACCGCAGGAATATAGGAAGTATCTTTTATTAGTACATAGGACTTTTTTTTTTTTTGGGCAACTTTACTTGACTGTGCTAAATTTAAAGCCTCAGGTATACTCTTCTGCCAAACCATTTTATTTGTGTTGGCCTGAAAAACATTTGCCCCAGATTTTATTGGTAAGCACAGACTTAACTGTTTTTTAAAGCATTAGTTTTTTATTTCCTAAGTGTTATTAAAGGCGGAATGAAAGTGAGGAACACTATATTGTTCTTACATATATCATATGGATTGTAACTTTAAGCTTCATAATCGTTGTCCAAAAAGACTTGACAGAGTGCTAGAAGAGAGAATGGTTGAATTATTAGAAAATAATTTGGAAACTCAAATGTGCATTTCTTAAAAACAAAAAAAAATTTACAGTTGAAACTAGAATCTGCATCTCCAAAAACAAAGAGTGAAATGCCCCTGGAAGAAGAAAAGTCTACTGACTTTGTGTTTATACCTCCTGAAGGAAAGGAACCAAAGGAAAGAATATTAACTGAGCACCAGAAAGAAGTACTCAAAACAAAGCGGTTTGTAATCCCTTTTATCTTGAGCATTTTGAATTCATACTTATATTTCATATCAGATATTATAACTTTGTGATTAATGTGGAATGTATAGCTAAATTTTTATGCCAAAATATAATGTTCATAAGTTTCATAATTCATAGGAATATCTAACAGTGTATCAAATATTTCTAAACTGAATTTGTTTACTGAAGTAGTGTAAGTGGAAAGGATGAGAAAAATAGAATTACGGAAAATAAACATCTATATCTTGATGTTTTATACTTGAAAAATAGCTTGAGGTAGAATTTTACATTTAATGTTTAATTTGAAGTTATATATTTAAAATATTTTTCAGGTGTGATATTCCTGTCATGTACAACAATTTGGATGTTTCACAAGACACTTTATTTTCTCAATATACTCAGGAAGAGTCGATGTACGTACAAAATCCATTAAAGTACTTGTTTCATAATTTTTATTTACACCATACTCTAATTTATAAATTTGTTTCTTTCAGGGAAAATCCTATAACTGAAAAGTCAAAGAAAAGTTCCAAGACTTTAGAGGTATGTTTGGTATTTTATATTTTGGGGGAGAGGGTCTTTGTTGTGTTTCCATTGTGGAAAATCTTGTATTTTAAGATTCATTATATACTGTAAGTCCCCAGCAAACTTTAGTAGAATTAGTCACTGTATTGGGGTGGGGGGTATTTAAAATGTATTTGCATTATTATTTACAGTTAATAACACATTGATAACTGTCTTCTAATCATTGAACTGTTTGAAAATATTCAGAACATCATTGTCCTTTTTTTCCTTTTTGAGCTATAGCTAGTGGTGTTCAGGGCTTATTCTTGACTATCTGCTCAGGGATGACTTTATTGTTTTTTTTTTTTCCTTTTTGTGTCATACCACGCAATGCTCAGGGGTTACTCTGCACTCAGGAATTACTCCTGGTGATTCTGCACAGCAATTACTCCTGGCGCTACTCAGGAGACTGTATGCTATGCTGGGAATCAAACCTCGGTGGGCTGCATGCAAGACAAACACTCTTTCTACTGTACTATTGCTCAGCCCTCAGGGATGACTTTGGTAGTGCTTTGCCATGTGTGGGGCCTAACGTGATGCCAGGAATGGAATCCTGGTTGGCCATGTCCAAGGCAAACACTTTGCCTATTATGCTATCACTCTACCCCAGGAATTAACTTAATGAGTTATTAGAGTTTTGTACTGAAAATACTCAGGGAGTCAGATTTACTTGCTGGTTAATCAGTCTTCCTATCTATATATGTGTACATTTCTGTGCAGGAGGATCATACAGAAACTGACATTCCTCACATGGAACGCTGTGGTATGGATGAACATCTTGAAAAGACTTCCCTTTCAAATAATGGTTCTGTTGAGGAAAGCAACCCAGAAATACTGAGCAGTTGTAATGATGCCAGAAAAAAATCTTTAAAATCATCAAAGAAAATAACTGATTGTACATCTAGTGCAGAAAACTCTGTCAGTGTCAACAGTAGCTCACTTTCTAGTTCCACCATTTCTGGAATGTCCCCACAGCCTACAAGTCGAAGGCAAACCTTTATTACTTTGGAAAAGTTTGATGGCTCAGAAAATAGACCTTTTAGTCCATCTCCCTTGAATAATATATCATCAACTATTACAGTGAAAAGTAATCAGGAAGGTATGACTAAAACAAATCCATCAAAAGTAAAGAGAAGAGAAGTGACTATTTTAAAAGCTGATTCTGAAAAAATAGTTCAAGGAATTAAGCGATTAGGTAGAAGATCAAGTAAAACTGAGCAAACTGTGAATAAAAAATCCAAGTCCTCAGTGACATCTGATGAAGAGAAAAATACCCAGGAGTCTGTTGATGACACAGGAGTCTCAGAAAATAATTCACCTGATGTGCTTAACCAATCAGAATGTGCACTAGGCACTGAGGCTCATCTCACTGAATCTGCAATGGAATGCAAAGACTCGACACTTAAAGCACCAACAGAAAATTCTGTATTAGAAAACAATACTGCAGAAGAGAATACCTTAGGAGTGAATTTGGAGTGTAAAGAAAATACACCCCCAGCTGTAACGCCTGCAGAGCAGGTAGTAAATGAGGATAGTCAAAGTCAGGTCACCCCAAATCAAAAAACTCTTAGGCGATCTTTAAGACGACGGTCAGAAACAGTAGAAACAACTACTGATAGTCAAGATAAAGAAAATAATCATCAAAAGAAGGAACGAAATAAGGAAGAAGAAAAAACTCTTCAGAAAAGTCCATTACATGTTAAAGATGATGCACCTAAGCAAAAGCTGAATCCTGAGCAAACTGTACAGGAAAGTTCAGATGAGAAACGAGATCATTTAAATGAGGAAACTGCTGGCGAAACCAGTGCTAATGCTGAAAGTGATGAAAATGGGAAAAAGCCATATCTTGAAATTCTCAAGTCTGAGGGTGATAGTTCCCAGGACATCACAGATAAGAGCTCTGAAAAACCAGTAAGGGGACGAACACGGTATCAAACAAGAAGAGCATCCCAGGGCTTGCTGTCTAGCATTGAAAACTCAGAGTCAGATAGTTCTGAGGCAAAAGAAGAAGGTTCTAGAAAGAAAAGATCTGGAAAGTGGAAAAACCGAAGTGGTGACAGTATTGACATGGAAGATCAAGAGAAAGTGATAAAACAGGAATGCACAAATGTTGAGAATCAGGTAGATTATAAAGTAAATTGTGAAGTAGGCGGAGACATAAAATCTCAGATATGTGAAGATAAAGAGATTAATTCTAATGCTGTGCAAGATTCTACCATTATTAAAGGTTTACTGCAAGTTCCTGATGATTTATCAAATACGCAAGAGGGGAAAGTTAAAATTAGCAAATGTGCAGAACATTTTATGTCAAGCCCTATACAAGAACCAAACCTCAGGACAAGAAATGCCAGTAAGAGATTACATAAGCGAGAATCTATGGACAACAACAGTGTTGGAGACTCTCCCAAAGTAGGAACATCAGACATTTCTCTGCCTGATAAACCACTCCAAACACTTGAATGTCAGCACAAGAGAAGTAGAAGAGTAAGGAGATCAAAAGGTTGTGATTGTTGTGGAGAAAAATTACAATCTCAGGAAAAGTCAGTTATTGTATTAAAGAATGCAGAAAATTATGATGTAAAGAGTAGTGAAACAAAGACAGATATACAAATACCTGTATCAGAAACTTCTAAAGCTAATCTTAACTCTGAAACGAATCTTTCACATGAGGCTCATAACATAAATTTTGATTTAGGGCTCAGAGAGAACAATACTGTCAATGATTCATTAATTATATCAGAAAGTGAGTTGAAAGAAAATACTGTTAAAACTTCTGTTTCTCTGGAAGAAATGACATTTAAAGAAATACTATATGATACAGATTCTAAGGAAGCAACATTTCTTGACAGCCAGGAGCCACCCAATAAAAAATGTAAAACTATTGACCCGTGTCATCCTGAAGACATTTCACTGGAATCATCTGCTTTAGAAACCAAAGAAGAAAAGGCAGAACCTATCTTAAAGGAGGAACTAAGTACAATGGACAGTATTGATAGGGAACCTATCTTAAAGAAGGAACTAAGTACAGAGGACAGTGTTGTTAGGGAAACCAATTTATGTAAAGAAAAATCAGAAGCCAGTTCAGTAGTAGAAGCTATGGAATTGGATATAGAAAGTGATAAATCTGAATCTAGCTTCTCTGAACAAAACAATGCCCAAAGTGCTATTTCTGAAGTGATACCTGAGGAAAATAGTGAAAACAATGAATCTGAAGTGGTTTCAGCTCAAGAACAGAATGCCGAAGCAGCAGCAGCTGAGGACTTTCATTCAGGTATTGACCATTCTCCTAATATGAAACCGGATAAAGTGAGTGGTCAGACAGAGATTTCTGAAGAAACAATACTTGGAGCCGTAGATGAAGAAAGCAGATGTGATCCAGGCTCATCTGAAGGAACCCATGCTGAAGCAGAAAATTGTGAAGAAACAGTAATTGGTGAGGTGAGTCCTGAAATCAAGCAGGTTAGTGAAGAGAATATGAAAGCCTCTGAGCCTGTGGAAACTGAAATAAAAGGATTGAATATAGAAATGGACAGCCCAGTGCCTGAAATTGCAGAGGTTTGCTCTGAGGAAGGAAAAGTTGACATCAGTAAAACTGAAACAAGTGTTAAACTTCAGTCTGAAGATGCAATAGAGGACAATCAAATGGCAATGGAAAATAATGGCGAAATTTTACAGCAACTTCATACTATGGAGAAAGTGCAAGAGCCATCACCATCTTTAACATCTGAGACAACTGTCTCTGATCTGGTAACAGAAGATAATGCCTCTCCTCAAAAATTAAGGGACCTTGATCCTTTACTTGTGTCAGCCTGTGAGAGTCCGAGTGGCATGCAGACACGCTGTGTCTGGTCACCTTTGGCTTCTCCATCCACCAGCATTTTAAAGAGAGGACTAAAGAGACCTCAAGAAGATGAGAGCTCACCTGTTAACAAGGTAGGAGGATTGAAGCTGAGTATTTGGGCCTTGTGCTGGCACCTGGTGAATAAGAGTAGAGAACCACTCCTTTTAAATATACTCCACACTTTTGTAGCTAGACAAAGGCAGGTAGAAGGAAAGGTGTGGAGAAAAGCATGCTGAAGTCCTTTGTAATATTCCTTTATTTCAGGACATGAAAAATCCCTTGCGACCCTGTACTTTATTCTGCTAACAAAATGGACAATTTGATTATCCTCTCCCCCCCCCCCCCCCCCCCCATATTTCGTACCTTGTTATATCAGGAACTGGGGAGAGGGGATGTAGGAAGAACGCTTTACTCAGCAGCTTAACTTGCTGTGTAATGCAGTATACAATCTGTCACATTTAAGTTGTTTAATCGCTGTGCCTTTATCAGTTACTGGATGTGATTATTGCTCTTGTTCCCATTTTCACTAAACTATAACTCCTTTAGATTGGGATTACAGATTACATATTTGCTCTTGGTTTCGTAATTTGCACTTAGTTTATAAAACAATGAAAAGTTGCATGTGCATAATTCAACTTGTCCTTAGCTAAAAGATTTTCTGAAAAGATTCGTTGTAGGCTGGCCTTAATCTTTAAATTAACTGTGCTATTCAGTGTAGAACACAATTTATATATTCAGGCATGTTTGTAAAAATAGATGCAATGATAATCTTAACTTTGCAAAGGCAAGCAAATTGTAAAAGACAAGAAATTTTGTATGCTGAGAATTCAGACAACAGTTCTTGGGAATACAACATGTCTTTGTTTTTGCCTTGATTTTGGTTTTGACATGTATTTTTCAAAAAGTAGCCTAAGTAAGTGGGCCATAGAAATCCTTGAAAAGATTGTGAAAATAGTAAAATACACCAGAGAGCAGTTAGTACTGTTTCTGTTGTTTCACGATGGGGCCATACCCACCTGTGCTCAGGAACCACTCCTGGCAGTGCTTGGTGGTTATATGGGTGCCAGGGATTGAACCTGGGTCAGCCACATGCACAAGTAAGTGCCTTATCACCTGTATTATTTTTCTCTCCCCAGTGGAATTTTACTATACAGTTTTAATCATCACATGGAATTACATTAAATTTCTGCTACTAATCCCCATATACTATGTTATGCTGAAATAGTTTACAATACAGAAATAGAATGACCTGTGATACTTAGTAATATCTATGCAAGCAACCACTAGAAAGAGTGATGGCTATCTCCATGTAGAATTGTAACTTTTCTTAAAATAAGTTCAAAGTCCACATTCTATTTCTCAGAGAAAACACAGGAGGAATTTCAGGAGAAAATACAGTGTTATTTTTTGAGAGTTTTGTTACCTAAAAGTATGCCTTCTGATTTCAGGTTCGCCGAGTCTCCTTTGCAGATCCAATATACCAAGCAGGATTGGCAGATGATATTGATAGACGATGTTCTGTCACTAAGCCCCATGCTTTAACTACTACTTCTATAGCAAAAAATGTTAAAACTTCACCTACTTCACAGTATAAGGTAAGCTGTAAACTTTAAAATACGCATCTTTATATAGACACATAATTATACTGCAATTTTTTAAAAAATATAACACTAAGAAGCAAGACTTCTGTTTGGATATATTCTTTTGACTGATGCAAGGTAAGCAGATACGAAGAGGCAGTAAGAGCTAATAATTCAACTGTAATTGATTAATGGTAAATTGCATTATGCATTTTCTATAAGTACTTATAAATCATTGCATTGTGAAAATAGTTTATAAGACTGTAGTTATATAGGGTTCTGAGTTTTGTTTTTTTCCTCTCTCACATATAGCATAATATCACTTCAATCAAAGGATTTCTGTCCCCAGGATCACGTAGCCCTACATTTAAGAGCTCAAAGAAGTGTTTAGTAAGAAGTGCTTTAGTTTTCATGCAACTTTATATTTTCAATTCAGTCAGGTGACCTTGATTTAATGACTTAAAATTTTTATTCCAAGATTGCAGAAATGACCAAAGAATCCATTCCGTGCCCAACAGAAAGTATTTACCCAGCTTTAGTCAACTGTGTGGCACCAGTTGAAATAATTTTACCTCAAATTACATCAAACATGTGGTAAGTATTTAGGCTTTTGGCTTATACTTAATAAAGATGTCTTTTTTCAGGAAAAATATTTAAATGGTGTAATTTAGAATTACTGTGCACATTAATTTTAATTTAATTTTTGGGGCTTCTGGTGTGTTGCTCAGGAAGTCCAGGAAACCACCTGCAAGGGGTTGCATCATTGCGGGGACCTGAGGATACAATGCTGTTCAGACCCTGTGGTGCCTGGGGTTCAGCGGTCCTTGGGCTCTTCCAGGGCTGACACAGCAATGTTGCTGGGGCCTGTGTAGAGCCAGGAGTCAAGCTTAGGTTGGTCACATGCTAGAGGCATGCATTCCAACCACTGTATTATGTCCTGATCCTACGTTTTAGAAATGAAATTTCAGTGAGAAGATGATCCATAGAGGAATTGTAAGGGAAGTGTATTTTTACTTACTAAGTTACATTTTATGAAAGCTAATCTATTAGCATACCTTAGGCCAGGTCTTTTCCATGCTCTCAAGAAAGCCCAGTTTGCACATTACATATATATATAAACAATGTGTGTGTGCGCGCGCGTGTGCGCGCGCGCGCTCAAAGTCAGTGTAGGTGGGCCTCTGAATGTGTGTATGATTAGCTATGAATCAGGAAATTGAACTGGATAGACTCAAGTAGTATAAAAATACACAGTGACTTGTTTTTCTTACCTATTCAGGGCAAGAGGACTAGGACAACTCATTCGTGCCAAGAATATAAAAACAATTGGTGATTTGAGTACTCTTACAGCATCTGAAATTAAAACTCTTCCCATCCGTTCTCCAAAAGTGTCCAATGTAAAAAAGGCTCTCAGAATATATCATGAACAGCAGGTAAAGCTTAAACATTACTTAGAAAATGATTTAAGCTATGTAAATACAGAAATTTTTATTTTAACTATTTCAGAATTGGAGGGCGGGGATAGGGATAGTGGCTCCATCCACTGTTTGCTCATGAGACCATGTGACCAGTGCCAGTTCTGAAATAATCCTGGGACTCTTACAAGAAAGGCCTTTGAGCTACCTCCCTATTCTGAAACTATTCTTCATTTAGAAACCCGTTGTTTTGCTTCTTTTCCCTTATACCAGAGTCAGACCTGACTTTATTCAGAAATGTGCTTGTCATTTATTTTGTGTTGATTTTATATAATGCTGCTTCTTTTGCAGTATACTTAGGAGAGTACTGAATCCATCAGACTACTGTATCACTTGATATTATGTGAAACTGTAAATTAGTGTAAAGTAGGTTATGTGAAGGATGAAAAAGCTGTTAAAATTTCTAAGACCCTGGTTTGCTAAGTACTAGAAACCGTATTCTTTAAAATGTGCTTATTTTATACTAATATGTGTCTCTTAAAAACATTTGACAGGTATTACTAATTTGAAAATCATAGATTCAGTTTAAATTCAGAAGTAGTTTCAGTAGTACGAGTTTCTTTAACTAGTGAGGTGTTTACATATTTATTCCATTCTATGGTTATAGGACATTTAGGTTACCCATACCTTTTGGTGAACATTGGAGTTACTTACATCCTTTGCTGTGTAATGCACTTGCATATGGACGTTTCTGTGCTGGCATGTTTTTATTTCTTGAGGTTATATGCATCATATGAGGTTATATGAGGAGTAGAATTGCTGGCTCATGGCAACTCTCCTATTTTGCAACTAACATTTTCTTAGTCAGAAAATAATTAGTACTGGAAATGCTCTTTGAGTCTAATTCTTTTGTTTTGGGGCTGCCTGTGGAACTACATGCATTGCTGGGGAGTGAACCAAGGTTGGCTGCATGTAAGGCAAGCTCATTAACTTTGGCCCCAGATACAATCCTTTTAAGAGAAGAGTGTATATTATTTAAATTGAGGAATTTCCCCTATTCATGAACTTGGAAAATACTGGGTGATTTTTTTCTTGTCCTTATGGCTGCATTTTTTCTGAAGTTCATTAGAAAAAATAATTGCAAACCATCTTCTGAAGAAAATATTCTAATGCTGTTTTTTTGTGTTGTGAAGACGATGTACTTTCTTAGCAGTATTTAGGTAAGCTGTTAAGTTATATGATGTGCTATGGAATGTATTGTCAGATCATTAGTATTTACTACTACTCTGTTAAAAGTAACTTTTGGTCGTCTGTTCTGTTTTTCCCCGCCTGAATTTATGATCAAGATGAAGTCTCGTGGATTAGAAGAGATTCCAGTTTTTGACATTTCTGAAAAAACAGTAAACGGAATAGAAAATAAATCACTCTCTCCTGATGAGGAAAGACTTGCCTCAGGTATATTTTTGCAAAATGAAATGATTTTATTTACATGATCAACTTTTTGTTTGGGGGGCTACACCTGGCAGTGCTCAGAGTTTAATTCCTGGCTCTGGCTCATTAACTGCTGGGATTCAGGTACCATTAGGGATGCTGAAAATGAAACTCAGGTCTGCCTCGTGCCAAGTGGCCACTCTGCCTGCTATACTATCTCTTCAGCCCCTAACTTTTTGATGATCATTACGCTTTGCGTTTTAACCATGCTATTTTGTTAATGGCACAGAATAAGATAACGATAGATTTTTCTGTTGCCTATTTGCCCTTTTTTTTTTTGAAGGATACTTAGTCTGCACTGTCAGTCTAGTCTGAAACTGGGTTCTTGAACTCTTCGTTGAATTTTTTGTTGTTTTGGGGCACACCTTGCACTGTTCAGGACTTGCTGATTCTGTGCTCAGGAATCACTCCTGGTGGGCTCAGCACCATATGGGATGCTGGGGATCACACCTGGATTGGCTACATGCAAGGCAAGCGCACTACATGCTATACTATTGCTCTGGCCCCAAACTTCTCATTGATTAAAAGGAGACATGTACAATTTTGATTTTACCTGGAATAGATTTAATTGTGGAATTGTTTCTCCCCCTCACCCTTTTTAGATTTAATTGATCCTGTTGCTTTAGAAACTCCGTTACCTAGAAATCTCGTTGCACAGATTAGTGCACTTGCTCTTCAACTGGATTCAGAAGATCTCCATAATTATTCAGGAAACCAGCTATTTGAAATGCATGAGAAACTTGGTAGCATGGCAAACTCGATCATAAAAAATCTTCAGGCACGTTGGAAGTCATCAGCTCATGAAAATTCCATTTAGGATATTAAAGGAAAAATTGAAATTTTTTCCTTTTTTCTTCTTAAATCACTGGATTTGTTGATTTTAAAATAAGTTATGAAATATAGCACAATTTCAGAGACTGAATCTTGCAAAGTCGGTAACATCTTAAGCCCTATAGGACAAATGACATTATCTAAGTACAATTTTGTAAGTTCATTATATGAGGTCCTTTATTCCTGTATACTCTTGGCTGCTATGCATAGTTTCTGAAAATTTAAATGTTACTGAAAGGTAAAAATGAAAACCCAGAAACCAAAACATGTATTTTATTTCACCTCTTAAACTCATGCATCTCTGATGGAAGTTTATAAGTAAAATAACTTATTTCAAGTAAGTAAAATTTAAACGTTTAAATTTTTTGCTGGAGAGAGATAAAGGTATTTATATTTGATCTATATTTGTTGTGCGTGACTTTTAAGAAATTTGTTCTAGGTAAAACTTCAAATGAGACAAAAGAGTTGGAATGTGTTTTGCAAATACCAACTGTGGACACTAATAGTTTCAACTTTAGGGCTTAAAAATATGAAAGCAGAATTTCTAGGATTTCATTCATATTTGCATTTGCAAATATTTACAGCAGCATTTGCCTGTGAATATATTCTCACATGAGACATAGTATTTGTTTTTAAATGCATGCCTATTTGTACATTGTGTATAGATTTATTTTAATTTATAAATTTCAGCCTTCATTAATAGCTCAAACTATTTGCAGCTTGTGAATACCTTTGTTTTGTTTAATAGGACTTATTTTGTATATATTAAATACTGATATCAGTATGAAAATTAGAAGTATTTTGTGGGCTTGCTGCAGATATTTGTAGGATTCTATATGTACAAATAAAACAATAGTTTTGTACTTAGTTAATGATCCTAGTTAAAACATGAATTTATTTTCTGAAGTAACCAGAATGAGTAAAGTTATAAAAATAAGTGTTACATGACAACTATGAAACCATGCCTTTTTCCCCCTTTTGGTTTGGAAGAAGAAGGTATCAGCTATTAGAAAGTGTGCCTCCTTATTTTAATTTAGTGGGAAGCTAGTTTGAGTATTTTTATTATAATGTGTACTGTAAGAAATCTAGGTTTTATCTTTTTTGTTACCCACACCTAAAGCAAACTTGGAAGAAATTTGAAAGCAGTTTTAAAAGCATGTATGTTTTGCTTGTTTTTTTTTTGAAAACGTGTATATTTAATTAAAACATTTGTAAATTTTGCCAATTAGTATTAGTGCCCAACTTCCCATATGTTTTTGGCCTAGTTAACACACATTATTTGTTCTTCGACTGGAATGAGTAAGTGTTCTTCACAGTTCAACACTTAATTCAGAACTAACCCCTACTTGAAAAGGCACACACTCCTCTACATGTCATGGAAATTTTAATCCTTGTGTCTAGTTAACCCCTACATTCAGAAAAGGACTATCACGGCAGCTACAAGAAAACTTGATGCCTTTTTCATAATCATAAATTTATTTCATATATTTTATGGTCTAAATAGGGCATTCCTATACCAAGAATAATTTTAAAAGAACTTCTGGGACCTTTGAGCTAAGTCTTTTAAAGCTTATGAAATAATAAAAAATGGGAATTTTTAAAGCAGAATTGTGATTTACATTATCATGTTTTCCCCAAATTACTTTTGGCAGTAAAGGGGCACATACATTTTAGTAAACAGTGTGTATGAATGGAAAAGTAAAAATGTGCTTATATTATGACTGCACATTTGTGTGGAACTAAAGTTACTTGCTGTTGAAATGATGTTTTTGGGAAGATGAATATTATAGCAGAAAAATATAACATGATTACCTTTTACTTAAACCATTGAATTTGATGATAGTTTCTTGTATTTTAAAACATTCTGCAAAAATGTATTTTAAATATTTTGGGGGACAATAATTTTGCTAAATCTTCATTGCTGCTTACAGTCGTAAGTATATATTTGAGGTACTTTGTTTTCAATATTGCCTTGAAAATTTTTACAGTTTTCCTCAGTACTAAGTGGCACAGGTATTAATTATTAGCTCCCTGTTTTTTTTCACTATTAAAGTGAAATAACTTTTTTTCAAATATTTACTCATGGTTAATAAAACTAATGGCAACAATTAGTGTCATTTCTTAGTGTATGCACTGATATAAAGACTTAATTGAACACAAGTGAAGTGTAAGTTTTTATGTTCCAGTATGGAATTCATGGTGCATTTAAAATTCAAAATTTCTGAGTCCATTAAAATGATCTGCTATTAGAGCAAGTTTGAGAGTGGTGTGGAGTTTTTTGCTCTCCAGCCCATGTAGAATATTAGTCCCATTAAATAATAATGCTGTCAGATAATGTGATTTTTTAAAATATTTAAATCTTCAATATTAAAAGCATTTTAATTCCTGGTATATTCAGTTCCTGAATTCTTTGTTTCTGTGTAGCTTGAAATTGGTTAGATGCTCTATCACATACTCAGAAGAATCATTAAAATGCCCAAAAACTTGGATTATATTATGTCTAAAATGGAAGTGTCAGGGCAAGAAGAAAATGGTGGTCTGGCTTGGTTGAAATTTAACAGAAAATATAAGCTCAAAGTATCTTTTAACAACTGGCCTTTATGCCATTCTACCCATATCAGCTTTATAATAGTGCGAGTGGAGTTCCATATCATTCTTCATAGTTTATTTCCTGAGAAATTGTCAGCTGTCTAAGAAGCTATTAATAGTGTGGGGTCAAGATTTGATGTGGGGGTAGGCAGATGCTGTTGCTCATTATTAAAACCTCTATATCCAAGTTTTCCATAAGCGTTTTTTAAGCAAAGGTCATGGTGAAATAAAAGTTTGTAAAGGTAATATATTACCTTACTGTACACCTTTTAAAAATAGGAAATTTTTAACTGTTTTCTTATAAGGAACTATATTAAGAGGAGTAGGCAATATTTTCTGAGTTATAATTTTATGTTCTGCTACTTGTCTTATTAGCAAGGTTTTTTTATAGTAAATTTTTGGATGCTAACCATTGTTAAGTTTTTAACAAAATTGTATATTCCATGTTACGGGACTTCATTTTTATAGTAGACACTGGAAGCAGACAGCCCTGAGGTCACTTTGATGGGAAAGCCCACAGTGCTGTATGATATCCACGCTGTGTCATTCCACTGAAGGCCTCATGTCACAAGCCTTGTCATTCCACTGAAGACCTCATGTGATTGCTGTTAGGCCTCTAAGTCCTTATTTCATTGTGAAATGAATCTTAAAAGATGTTGAGTAACTTCTCTTAAGAGTTATTCTTGATGTTGTTAGGACTTTTTATGTTTCTTGTATTTAAATACTATGTACAATTGTCCTCCAACACACTTGAAAACATAGCCATAAGAAGGGAATGTTTTGCGTATCATTTTTTAAAAGTAGCTAATAAAATTAGTTATTTGGTTAAAATCTATAGATAGATATTTGCTTAGTTATGGTAGCCTAAAAGGATTGGAAAGTTTACCCAGTTCTTGAAATAAAATATTACATTTTACCACATAATTTTTAATAACTTTCCTGTAATCTACCCAAGCCTTTAACCAAAGAAAATGATATAAAGTGTCATGTGGTAAATACTTAACCCCTGAAATACCCTATTTGACTGAGTCCCTTTATCCAAAAGTATAAAATTGAAGGCAGTAATGGATGTCACATGGAAGAAAGAAAAATGCCTATCTTTTGTCCTCTACTTGTCTCAAAAGGAAACGTTTTCTGGCCACGTACCTGTTTATAATTGTCAGACTTAGCTACACGTATTTGATAGCAAAATTGCATTCTGGATGGAAATTTTCTGGTAAGTGACAAGACAGCTAAAATAAGTAGGACAGGCCCTTTAATATAATATCAAGACAAATGGACCTCTGTGCTTGGTAAATAGCTGGCAGCCATTGTTTCCTGGTAGTTGTTCTACATAACAGTACTGTAATTGTACATAAATATCTTGAGTGATTACTAAAACTTTAGTATTCCCTCTCTAACAGTAAAATAATTTGTAGCAAAAGAAATATCTTAAGTGGAGAAATTGAAGCCATGGAGCTGAGTGTTATATAGTGTCAGCAATTTGGGTGTTTAAAAGTACCTGAAAACTTATTTTTATAGAATGGGGATTTTCTTGGAAAATTAAAATTAGCAAGTACATACATTTTGAGTATAGAAAATGGTTTCTATATAGATCTTAACTTACTGAGTTTTACAGAGCAAGGGTTGACAAGGTCCAAAATCCTGCCACCTGTTTTTTATATATCCTGTGGGAGCGAAGAAGGGTTTTATTTTCTAAATGGTTAAAAAAATATTTTTTGATATGAAAATGTGTCTAAGTTTTTATTGGGAGGCAATTTTTATTTACATGTTACCTGACTGCTTTCTTGCTACACCAGCAGAGTTGAGTGTTCTGATAGACTGTGTCTGTATTATCTAACATTCCATAATGTATGCGTTATACGGACAACATGATATCTAGCATCTAGTCCTTTACAGAAGGTTTGTCAATCTTTAAAATGGCAGAATAGGGATATTGACCCTTAATTTCTAGTGGTTTAAATTTTGCTATATAAAACCTGATTTTCCCAGTTTCACAAACAGATTATATATACACTACCAGTATTTATTCTAGATACACTTTTTCTCCTGCTCAATTAAGCTCTCAGAATTGTTAAATTACCTTGAATAGTGAAGGACCTTGATATGTGAGGGAAAGGCATCTGGCACTAATTGGTTAAATTACATCTTGAAAAAAAAAAACTGGGGAGTTTGCTTTCCGTGTTGGTAAAGGATTGTTTTCTATTTTAACACTACCTCTTGTGAATAGACTTGACTAATGTGCACTTAGTAAAAGATTGAGAAAAAGCCAAAACAGTCCTGTGTCAGCTCTATAATATTTTTGTTCCCATCATTTGATGAGCTCTAAGAAAGCTTAGTTTTACATTAGAAACTTTATATTTGATAAGTCAAATGACCTAAGTTGAGATCTCACAGAATTACCTTGATCATTCCTTAATTTTGGCATTAGTAGATGGGAAATAGTGTTTTCATTTGATCTGTTGATACTTTATACGATGTTTAAAGCAGGTAACCCTTATAATACTAAGAGTGCTTTTAGATCCATGATGACAGTTGAAGGAAATGTTTATGTCTGATCAACAGTAATCCGTTTTCTTCATCGATTGAAGTTCACTGTTACCACTTGCCAATTGAAACTAATATTGAGACTTTTTTTTTTTAAGAAATGCACTTTAATCTGAAATAAAAGTTTAAAAAAAAACTTTTTGTGCTTTCATTGATTCTCTATTACTTTTTGTTTTGTGAAACTTGAAATGAGTAAGAATTGTAGTACCCCGTGTAGGAACATTGTATCGCCCCACGAACACTTGAATCATATTTGCATCTTATTTTAATGTCCTGTTTTTACCACAGAGACTCTGTTTTAATCAGTTGTATGGATCCCACTCTTTGTTTTCTTTGGGAGCCACACTTGGCAGTGGCCACACTTGCTCAGGGCATGGCTCTGCACTCAGAAGTCATTCCTTGGCAGGCTTAAAGGACGAGATGTCAGGATGATCAAACTGGGAGAGCACTCACTTTACGCTCACTTTTTTTTCTTGGGGGTGAACTGGGGCACACTTTGGGCTGCTTCCTGGCTCTGTCAAGGGGTGGCTACTGCGGGAGTTGAGAAATAAGATGCAGTGATGGTGCTCAGACTTAACCACGTGCAAGGTAAGCGCTTTCTCCACTGTACTGTCCAACTTTCCACACACTTAAGTTCATGCATTAGTGGACTGGTCCTGGCTCTGCTACTCTGCCTAATCCCATTCTTGGTGGGGTTAGGGGGCCGTATAGGATGCTGGAGATTGAGCCTGGGTGTGCCATTCACAAGGCACACTTCCTTGCCTGTGTTAATGCTCTCAGCCTAAGGTTAAAATTTGACACCAGTTGTGCTAGTTTAAGGCCTGTTTTAAGAACCTGTTGTTGGCAAGTGTTGCTCAATTTTTAAATCTCAGTTTTAAATACAGTTCAAGTGAAGGTTGAAACATGGGCAGAGGAACGTCTTAACCATTTGGACACTGGACAAGTCTGCCTTTTACTTGGGACTGAGTTTCATAAGGACACCAACTCTTTTTGATCTTTAGAACCCTAGAACCTAGCAGTGTTGAAGTGCCATCTGTCACTGAACATTGGCAAGTGTGTGCAAGCTGCCCTGGTACATTTCTGTCACCCAAACATTCAAGGAGCATGGCGGGACCTGAGGGACAACTAAGGTTCTTTGCACAGGGTCGATCCCACATATGACTCCCAGGAGCACATTCCAGAGTGATTGCCTGAGCACAAAGCCAGAAGTAAGCCCCAAACACAGCCAGGCTGGACTAGGAAAGAAAACCCAACTCTCCCTCAGGCCCCAAGTGACCAGACTTTGAAGACAAGCATTATTGCAGAGCGAGTACCTGGACAGATCCTTTACTTTTTAGAGAGGTTATGTTCTAAGGCACTTGCAGCTGGCGTTTCACTCTGCTTGTTTCACACCTTTGATTTTCATTGTAATTACTGCAAATTAATTTTGCATTTTAATTTTTTTTGTTTCCAAGCCACACCTGGTAGACCTAGTTCATGTGCTGAGGGTTTATATGGTCAGTTCACTCCTGGAGGGGTTCAGGGGATCATTTGGGGTGCTGGGACTCGAACCCAGTAGGTCATGTGCAAGGCAAGCGTCCTAACCGCTGTGTTTTCTCTGGCTGTGATTTACTTTAGGGTTTGTGGATCTAGTGTGAGGGATTTGCTTTTACTGGGAAAATTTAAATGTAGAATTAAGCAATTGAAAGATAACCATTAGTGGCATTTGTCTCAGAATTATAGATTTTATTAGTTACTAGTGATCAGCTTTACAACTTCAGACCTGGAAATAAAAGCATCAGAATTCAGTCAGGAAGAGATCTCTGCCATCTTTCCTTTAAAATGTGCTTGACATATTCAGAATATCTTAGAGAAGACAAATATTTTTACAGTGAAGAAAGACGACACAGTACTATAACTGCAAAAGTTTTTGAAATGTCTGTTTTGAAATTAAACTTAGTTAAACATAAAGGAAAAATGGGTAGCAACCGTTTAAACATAATGGAACTAGAGAGATTGAATATTTTCTGAAGTTTTATGTAAGTCCAGCAAATAAGAAATCAAGCTTATTAACTGGACTGACACGTGATAAATTTGTTTTACTAAAGAATCACTGAGATTTAAGTACAAACAAATGAAAGGGTGGTACACCATGAAGAGGATTGTCACAGGAAAACCATTAGGCAGTTTGAGAACTTGGGGGACGTGTGGACTCTGTTTGGCCTGCAGGCAAGTGTCATACATTCATATGCCTAAATGGCTTCGACGTAGTTGGCCGGGAGCATGCCTGTCCGGCCGGTTCTCTGCACAGTGCCATACATCCACCCTTCATCGATAGCTTGAACATTGACGATAGCATCACCATCTTTGAAGGACACCTCATCAGCATCGGCAGCCATATAGTCATACATGGCACGGAAGATTTTCTGTTTATGAGTATGGGGGAGGAAAAAAAGATGGCATATTAACTTATTTGTAACAACCCGCCCAAACACCTCATTTTAAAGTCTCCGATGACTGTAAATTTCCTTTTGCATCAAATGTGCAGCCACCACTGGGAAAGTGAAAAGGCTAGGGAAATTGTCTTACAGTGATTTTACAGTGTATCTGGTAAAGGGTTGCTATGTAGAATCTGTAAGCATCTCATACAAATCAATCCCCCCATAAAAAGGGTGAAAATAAACAACTTTGTGGGGAATGACAATACACAGTGTTGCTCGGGGCTATTTCTGACTGCTCAGGAGATATTTCTGGCAGTGCTTGGGACCACATAGAGTGCCCGAGATTGAACAAGAATTGGCCAAAGGCAAGGAAAGTGCCTTAGCATGGGGGAGGGTAGACTGAGTTTAGAGGTGCTCTGGGGACCATATGCAGAATCAGATTAAACCAGGGTGGGCCATGTGAAAGCAAATGCCTTCAGTTCTAGATCTCCGGCCCTGGGGACAAACTTTTTTAGGAAAGAGACCCAAAGAACCAAAAATACATCAGATGCTAAGCATCACTAGTCATTGGGGAAAACAGTAAAATGCCATCTCACTCACACCAGAATGGTGATAATAAAAAGGGCAGATGATAAACAGATGTTGGGGAGAGTTTGGAGAAATGTAAACCTTCATCAACTTCTGATAGGAATGTAAAATGGCCTAGTTGCCTTTGAAAACAGTTTGGGGAGTTTCACATTAAATACAGCCTCTCTGGGATAGACAGAAAGATTGCATTCATCTGGGGAACATAAAGTAACAAAATAGGAGACTAACATCCAAGAATAGTCGATTAGTGATTAGTACCAGGAGGTTTACTCCTTGGCTTGGAGGCCAGCCACACGTGCTAGGGGAAAAGGCAGCTCAGATAGAGAAGGGAGCACCAAATAAAGGGTGTTGGGAGGATCCTCCCAGGATGGGAGAAGCATGCTGAAAGTAGACTATAGACTAAACATGATTGCCACTCATTGCCTCTTGCAAACCACAACACCCAAAAGGAGAGAGGACAAAACGGCAGAGGCGGGGGGGATGGGGGGATGGGGGGTGGGAGGGATACTGGGATCCGTGATGGTGGAAAATGGGCACTGGTGGAGGGATGGGTATTTGATCACTGTATAATTGAAACCCAAGCATAAAAATTTGTAAGTCCACAACTGTACCTCATGGTGTTTCACTAATAAAAAATTTTTAAAAAAATACAGCCTCTCCGTATATACAAACTCTCTATATGATGCAAAAATGTCACTCCTCGGTATACATACCCAGGAAGAACGAAAATATGGCCACACAGTAACTTGATATCCATATTTATGGTGGCATTGTTTTTAATAGCTGTAAAGTGGAAACAACCCAAATACTCACTGTTTGATGAATGAACAAATGTGGTATTTCCACACAATGAAATTTAATGTGGCAATAAAAAGGAATGAAGGACCAATCTGTGGCACAACACAGATGAAAAACATTTTAAATAAGCCAGTTACAAAAAACCCTGTAATGTGATTTCATTTACATGAAATGTCTCAAATGGTGGTGCTGGGGAGGGTGGGATAGGAGTGAACTGTCAAAGTGCTAGGAATGGCTCCTGGTGCCTCCACATGCCAGACATGCGTTCCAGCCCCTTTAGCTATCTCCCTGGCCCTAAGTTCATTTACTCACCCCAGCAGTAGATGGATGAGACGGGATAGAAGATACCGTTGTCTGTTGGGTGGCGACTGAAGATGATCGTTGTTGTGGGAGCACGGTGGTTTTGGCATGTTTGTAAGCTGAAAAGAAGAGAAAAGGTGGTTCTTAAGCAAATATGGCTAGACATTAGTTCATCTCCACTCTTACTTTCTCAGTCAATGCATCCACATTCATTCACTTTTTTTTTTTTTTTTTTACTCAGGGCTTCTCTGGGAATAACAGTTGGCCAGTCGGATCTGGCCAGTTGTACCTGCAGAAGTTGCTGAGAAGAATACACCACCATCGCTGTAGGTGGAGAGGCGGTGGTCGGCATTTTCTGAGTGGTCAGACTTCTCCTCCCCGCCACTGATGCTCAGGGCGCTGGCAGACCGGGACTGCTCCCTACTCCGGCGCTGTGCTTGTACTACAAGGACGAAACTGCAGATGGAGCAACGAGCGCCCCACAGCAAACCTTCCCGCTTTCCCTGCTTGTGTAAACTTGTCTTTGAGCACATTGGCTGTGCCTGGTTTCAAGCACCACAGTTTCAAGTAGATTTCCATCGATTGAAGCCTTAAAACCCCTATGCTCTAGGATTGATACCTTCGTTTTCCAGAGATGAGCTTAAGGACATTATCAGAGGGCATGAACAACAGCTCAGCACATCATTAAATCCTGGAGGATATCTTTCACTTCCACTCACCTGCCTGCTTCCCCAGCTCACCAACAAAAAAAAAAAAATTTTTTTTTAAATAAATAACATTCACATGGACTTCACTTTCAGCTTTTCCAGATGAGATTCTCTCTAACACTGTAATTTAAGTACCCTTCTTTTACGTTCCCACAATTCATAGAAAATAAAATAAAATAAAATGTAACTATGGATTCACTCCACTTCAGCATCAGTAGAATATAGTGTAAATCCCTAAAGGATTGGCACCACATATTATTCTGTTATACCTTGAAAAGAAGGTATGAAGGCACACAGCTTGTTTTGCTTAATAAATTCGTTTTTTTTTAAATTTGTTTGTTTTGGTTCTTTGGGTCATACCCAGCAATGCTCAAGGGTTGCTCCTAGCTCTGCACTCAGGAATTTCTCCTGGCAGTACTCTGGTACCATGTGAGATACCAAAGATTGAACCCACGTCAGCCGCATGCAAGGCAAACACCCTACCTGCTGTACTATCACTCATTCCCCTTAAATAATCTTAAGGAACTGGAGAGAACAGAGTAAGCAGGTAAGGCTGTGTAGGTGGTTGACTTCGGTTCTATTTCCTGCACCACATGTATTTCCCTGGGAACTGACACAGTGATGCCTGAGCACAGCCAAGAGGAGCAGCCCCTGAACACCACTAGGTGTGGCCCCCGAAAACAAAACCCAAACAAATAAGTGCTTTTGTTAAAATTACATTTGCCAAATCAAATCTATTCTTCTTTGTCTGTGCTTTTTTGTTTGTTTGTGCTATTTTTCATTATCAAACAAAATATGTGATATTTTCTTTTCCCTAGGGGGGAAAGGTAAAGGTAAAGGTAAAGGCCCTCCCGTTGATCGTCGATTTGCTCGAGCGGGCCCAGTAACGTCTCCATTGGAGACTTTGTTGTTACTGTGTCTGGCATATCGAATACTCTCGGTAGCTTGCCGGGCTCTCCGAGAGGGGCGGAGGAATCGAACTCGGGTCGGCCATGTTGGCCGCGTGTAAGGCGAACGCCCTACCCGCTGTGCTATCACTCCAGCCAGGGGGGAAATAAATTAATAATAATGGATCTTTAGGACACTTAATCGTGAACTAAGAAAATAATCTTTTCCCTAACTTGAACCTACTCTAGTAATATTTCATCATAGCTGTTGCAGATTTCATGTCAAGTTTTATTTTGCAAAAACTGTAGGGGTGCAACCACGATGTAAAGTTTTTTCAAAAATAATCGTGCTTAGAAGCTGGAGCAGTAGTACAGCAGGTAAGGTGCTTGCCTTACATGCAACCAACGCGAGTTTGATCCCCCGCATCCCATATGGTCTCTCAAGCTCCTCCAGGTGTGATCCCTGAGTACAGAGCCAGGAGTAAAAGCCTGAGCACTGCCAGGTGTAACCCCAAAAGCTAAACAACAACAACAACAATTTTACTATATTACTATATTACTGAATATATTACCTATATATAATATATAATATATTACTGAATATATTACCTATATTACTGAAAAGTCATTTGCTGAATTACCTTTAGTGCAAATTTAGATGATGGATCACTTATGACTATATGTTTAAAGCATGGTGACAATTAGGCAGTGAAATATGGGTGTGAGATAAATGTAGCACTACTCAACAAAGTGCTTTTGATGCTGAATGGATGACTCAGAAATTGGAAGCCCTGAAGGAAAGTAACTGCGTAGCCTTGAAGTCATTCATTATCAATCACTAAACTGGTGGCGTTTTCTGTCCTAAGCCTTCGAAGTATTTACCGTTAATCATGTGCAAGCTTCGGGACTGAATGTTGTCCTCTGCTGGATCATAGTCAAAAACGGAACCGGGGTTAGTACGCCAGACACGCAAACCTGGAAGAGAGATTAAGGATTAGGGCAGATGTGCTTCCCTTCTCTTCATAACTTGTAAAACAGTGTGAACTTAAGCAACCACAGAATTGCTAATATAACTTAAATCCAAGTCTTGTGTTTTTCAGAGAACAAAGGTTAGAAAAGGTGTCAGCTTTGCAGACTTTGAACTATCAGGCATTTCTTTCACGTATTAAAAAAAAAAACCAGGTGTCCTTTGCCTTGATGTAGATAATGTCACTTTTGTTCTAACATCTCCCACCTGCTCTGTTAACTTAAAATAGTTTTACCCGTAACAGTCTCCTGATCCTGGTCATTCCGTTTTTGTCCCATTTCTACCACCTTTCTCTGAATGCCTCGGTAATTAATATCACTGAAGTCCTGTGTGTTCTTCTTTACTCGTTCAGTGATGGGGTCAGTCACCACTGGTGTGAAGCATCCCTTGTGTTTCTCAAAGTCTTCATGGTACTTCACCTGAAATGTCATGCACGGACTTCGTTAGGAGATCACTTAGTGATTATTTCCTCTTCTAACAAGCCCATCTTCTAACAAGCAGACCAGAACCAATCCCAAGGAATTTCTCCCTCACCGTTGAGATGTTGCGTTGGGTCTCCCTCACCCGTCTCATCTCTGGAGTGTCTAAGACATAGGCGGCTTTACCTTGTATTTGTTTCCGGAAGCTATCAGAATATAGAACCTGGTGGAGGAGGAGAGATCCTGAATGAATAAGTGGTGGGTCTTAATTCTAAAAACTCAACATTGTGTCAGTGTGTAGAATTGGAGGGAACTGGCCAGAGAAGCTTGATAAGCTGAGGGACCCAGCTGTCCTGGGAACATGTGAGAGGGAGGGGACGCTAGGTTGACATCAGGAGAGAATGGTTTCGTTTTGATCTTAAAAATGCAAATTTCATTTTCAAGAAGCAGGAGCACAGTATAATACTGAAAGGGAAGACAGGGATTTGTCTTCAATTTGTTGGGAAGTATAACATTAAGGTCACAATATTCAGTGGTATCTGATGCCAGTACTTGAAAAGCTATGCTTTAGAGTAAGAGTTTAGAATAATCAGTTTTTTAGGTTTATGTTCAGATTATATAAAACAACATGCGAAGACAGAAATCAAAGTTCTCCAGAGAGACAGAATAAAACAAGAACAAAACATCAGATTCAAAGAAAACATTCATTTCCTAGTGTTACCTGTTTCATAGAGTACTTCAAAAAACAGGGTGGGGGGAGATTGAAGATATTAAGAAGTCAACTTGTTACAGTTGGTTATTTAAGAGTACCTCAGAAGGGAGGGAATAGAATGGCCATTAACTTGTCTTAGTATGCCTTAGTATGATCATTTGGAATTGAAAAGCAGAATGATGTTAATTTGAATGTAAATTTTCAGTTGGATAAAAGAAGTGCACATCTTTATGGTGTTAAGGTGTTATTTTCCGAGGTGTTGGGTTTCTCTTTTTGTTTTAGTGTGGTTTGTTTTTCAGTTGAATGAGAAAGCACACTTTTGTTTTTATGATGTTAAATGTTATTTTTCAAGTTGTTACACGAGTCCTCTTTTTCATCCTAGAAATTACCGAGCTAATGTTTTCTTGGTTGCGCTTAGCTCTCTCCATCTCTGGAGTGACAGGTGTCGGAGTTGCTTTTCTCATATTTTCTTTGTACAACACCTAGAGGAGCCAAGATGTCAGAGAACAGGAACCCAGATCTGAAAACCATCCCCTAGCTGGGGTTATGGCTCAATTATTTCACACTCTGTAAGGAACGCCTCAGGAAGAAAAAGCCATTAACATGTTATTGAATAAAGCAAAAGATGAAGACAGAAGAGAAATCAGTTTGAGCTGGTGGGGTGGTTGTGTTGTTTTTAAGTGAGTTTAAAAGAGGCACAAAAGTTGTTTTTTTTTTTTAGGGGAGTGGACTGTGAGGTAAATTAGTGGTAAATCATGTTTGCCAGGCTTGTTAAGCACGGAACCATTGCTTTGTCCCTGTTTGAAATACCGAGCTAAAGTTTTCTTGATTGCGTTTGACTCTCTCCATCTCAGGAGTAATAGGTGTGGGGGTTGCTTTCCCTGGGCTCTCTTTGTATAATACCTGTGAGATACAAAGTTGGACCTCAAAGTCAATAGGAGGCAATATGGCAATATTCAGGCTTTTCAAGACAACACAGTTTGGCGGCGGGGGTGGGGGAGGTGGTTGTTAAGTTTCAAGTTTAATCTCTGACTATTAGACAGCTCTCAAGAAGAAAGCTTTAAACAAAAATGTTAATGGCAATGGTCAGTGTAGTATGGCATTAAGAGGGAATCCAAATAATTGGTCTTTTGTCTAATTTTTAACCTGGGATGGAGTTAGGAGCAGACCAAACTGCAGGGGTTACTTTGCACAATTAAAACCATTTTTGTTTCTTAAGACGATACCGAGCTAATGTTCTCTTGATTGCGTTTGACTCTCTGCATCTCTGGAGTGACAGGGGTTGGGGTGGCTTTCCCCACATTTTCTTTGTATAAAACCTATACAAGTCCCACGAATCCAAAACCATCCAAAAAGAAAGAAGAAAAGAATTATAGTTACCAAAAGAGTAAACGGAACACAGTATTTGTTAAGAGGTTCTGAGTGCCACACCATTGGGTCAAGGTTAGCGGAGAGATAGACATCTCTGAAGGAAGTTGCATGTAATCGCTGTAAGGCACAGAGTTCCAGGGCCCTCCTGACCTCTGTGTGGCTGCAGGACACAATTGTATGCTACAAGATATGGAGTCTTCCCCAAGGAAGACACTCCATCCTACCTTTCACCTGTGAATGTCCAGCACCCGACAGATCATCTAAAGTCCAGTGGTTTTCAACTGCTGGTCTGTAGACCAGTACAAGGTCCACCAGTATGACATATTTGAAAACCACTGGGCTTCCGCAAGGCTTAACTGTGTGTAGATGAATTGGTGCTCGAACAGGCTCCTGTCCTCAGCTGTCAAAAAGATGAAACCCGCTGATATAAACAGAACTTGGACCTGGGGCTAGGATAACACTAACAAGATTAAGGCTGCTCCCAAAGGTGCTGGGAAATACTGAATCTTTCTGCAACACATGAGTGAAGTCATCAAAGCAGGTAAAGACCTCACTCTCCTTCCGGAACTTGCTACCATCTGTGCTGTGTCTAGCTGGACCTTGTGACAACATCAAACTCCTGAGGAAAACTGTTCTCAACGATGACATCATTTCATGATAAATTCAGAAGGAAACATAAGAACACATCATATGAGAGCCTGAACCTCAGCGTCTCACCTCAGTGTTGCTGGTGGGAACACTGCAAAGTTGGCAAGAATTAGGCAAAAAATTCCATTTTCAAAGTGGGAATCTGGGGGTTTGGGGGTGTGGTTCAGGAGTATCCCTTGATACACAAGACCTGCATGTGAGCCTGGGAACCAGAAAAAAAAATAGCAGCAAAAAACAACTCCAGAAACTAAAACAACAAAGTAGGGACCCTAAATAGAAAGGTCACCTGAGAACTGACTGGAATTGCTAAGACTGGCTTCACAGGAGGCCTGCAGAAGGAGAAACTGCAGAGGCTAGAGCCAAGCCTGTCTGGTTTCACAAACTCTCCAGGTTATTCCAATGAAGCTAAGATTGGGGAGGCACTGACGACAATGGAGGCTGCAGAAGAGGAAACTTCAAGTTCTTTCTTGGGGCTCGGGAGAGAGCTGAAAGGTCGGAGCCCATACAGAGGCCTGGGTTTAATCTGCAGATTCTGCTGGGAGAAACCACCACCAAGGGGCTAGAGCAATAGTACAGCAGGTAGGGCGTTTGCCTTGCATGCAGCCAACCAGGATTCAATTCCCAGCATCCCATATGGTCCCCCGAGCACCGCCAGGAGTAATTTCTGAGTGTAGAACCAGGATTAATACCTGTGCATCACTGGGTATGATCCAAAAGGCCAAAAGAAAAAAAGAAAAAAAATACCACTGAGCAACACACTGGACCTGAAACGCCTCCAGGTGTCTCCCTGAAACCCAGAAAGAGGCCTAGCAAGTTCTTCATTCTGTAAGCTAACCTCAGTGCCACATAAATCCAAACCTCCAAGGAATTTAAAAACAGATATATTACCACAGAGCTAACAGGAAACCAAGTTAGCAAAACATGCGAAAGTCAGTGACAAACACCACGAGCCAAAATTGATAAAATGATTTTGAGGGGTACTCCTTTTTAAGTAAATCAACAGTAATTTGCCAAAATCACTACTGGTTCTTGATTAATGTCACTATCCTTAAAAGAGAGAATCATGGTTATTTTTTTCAAGGCCTCTTTGTCCAAATCTGACAAGGTAAATTAGAACCTGAAGCCGAGGGACCCCAAATGCAACAAAATCCCAGCCCCAGTGTTCCAGAAAGAACTCTGTTGCATTAATTATAGCGTACCCCACCCCCACCCCTCACAAATTTCATGAACACGTATAACAAAGAGACCTTGTGGGGAGAGTGGATAGAGAGTGAGTTTGAGGAGAGATGAACAAAGGGATTTTTTTTAAATTGGAAAATCCTTTACTTTGTGTGATTAGAACTTCAATTATGGGTAAATCAATCTTGTTACATGGGTTAAGGCAAAGACTTGCCCTCCAGCAAAGAAGGATAAATGTGATAAATCCACAAGTTTAAGTTGTCTTTAGAAAGGAAGATTAATATGTATTATTTAAATCATTATTGAAATAATTTTGCTTTTCTTGCCAAAGTACCGAGCTAATATTTTCTTGATTGTGTTTGACTCGCTCCATCTCTGGAGTGACAGGGATAGGGGTTCCCTTGCCCATGTTTTCTTTGTATAATACCTGTGTAATGAGAAAGCATCCAGAAAAAAAGAACAAATTAAAAAAAAATAACATTTACATTTCAACTGTGATTTTAAGGGTGAGTTCAACTTTCTTGTTACCAAATGGCCCAGGGATCTGAGGAGCCAGATGTTAAATGCCGACAAGGTTTCACAAATGACTTTAATGGGAGGGGACACTCTTTGGGGGAAAGCAGGTTTGTCTGCACCTCCTAAACAAGCTCATGAGCACTGGAGATTGTTAGAAGGTAGTGTGCTTTTACCCAAGCAAGCTAGATGGCAAGGGTTTTTTTTTTTTTTAAGATCTGTAAATGCCAGATAAACTAGAAATCAGAATGAACCAAAATCAAAAGAACAGAATCAAGAATAGTATCATGAAAAAGTGAAGGTATGTCCTTCGGTTAAGGGAGACGTAGGGGATGCAAAGAAAGAAAATCAGGTTAAAAATGAGAACAAAGATTAGTGTCCATTTAAATATGAAGTTAAATGGCATCTTCTTCTCCTTTTTTCTTTTTTTTTTTCATAATCCTGAGCTAAGGTTTTCTTGAGTGTGTCCGATTCTCTGCATCTCAGCAGTGAAGGAGGTGGGAATTCCTGTGCCCAGGTTTTCTTTGGAGAAGCCTGTGTAGTCAGAAATCCTCCAGAACAAAACGAAAAAAACACAGTCAACTGCCTTTGCATCTCATCTCCTGGAGCAATTGGGAGTAGAATGGCAAGGAGGAAGAAAAGGAGTTAGAGGAAGAGAAATTCCAGAAGCATGAGTCTAAGGCATCCTTGAAAGCCCAGAGCAGGTCGGAGAGAGCAGCATAATCTAAGAGAGGGAAGTGTGTTATTTTTGTTGTTTGACTTAATTGCTACAAGTGCCGAGTAGTGGAAAGCACCAGAAAAGAACACTTGGAGGCCCCAGTTAGCTGTAAGGAAGGAAATCAGGACACAAAACAAAGAACCAAAGCAGTTGCTTTTGATTTGGAAGTGTTAATAGACCAAGGATCTCTGGATTTGACAAACATATGAAGATACACAAATCCTTTATCCACTTACAAAATCAAGTATCTATATTTTTTCCCAGTTGCATGAAAACTCTTTGGGAATAACGATTTTAAAGGCAAGTGGGAAGAAATAAACGTCGAAATAATTGGGAGAATACCAGTAGGAATAAGGAAAGTTAGATTAGGAATGAGGCAGAAAGGTTCACTGATGCAGAAACAAAGTTGTAGAAGCTTTGGGTTCAAATCGGACTGGCCAAAGCAGAGTAAAGGTGGGTATTCAGACACTGAGAATGTTAGGCTTTTACGGCTGGAATATAATACTAAATACTTTCTCTTTTTAAGTCAGATTATTTTATTAATATTCAACCACAAATGGGGAAACTGAGTCACAGGAAATGGTGACATTAGCTTGCAAACAAGACATCAATGTTTTTATAGGAATAAGTGAATTAGATTTATAAACAGAGTCATTAATCTTTTAAAACCAGTTAAAAAATAATTTGAAAAACAGTTAAGGGGTATTTTTGTTCTTTCCAATACCGAACTAAAGTTTTCTTGATTCTGTTTGACTCGCTCCATCTCTGGAGTGATGGGAATCGGGATTCCTTTCCCAAGGTTTTCTTTATACAACACCTGCAGGACACAGAAGCATCCAGAAAGAACAAGAACAGTTACAAGGGCCTCCCCTTCCTCTTACCTACAAGAGTCCTACTCTGACACTACCATCATCTAAAATGTCAGACAGTGCATGACTGGGGAGGGGCATAATATAGTGGGTAGGCACAGGGGCACTCAGGGATTTCCCCCATCTGATATCTGAGCACCACTGGGTATGTCCAAAATAAAAAACAAAAACAAAACAACAGACAATGCACGGAATCAACCTGTCTTTTGAAGGATGAGAGCACCCTTCCTCTTTCCTTCATTAAAGTGCCAAAATTTGATCTCTAAGGTCCTAGTCTAATCCACAGATGAAATCGTTGCTTCCTGTCTCAGGAATTAGCGGGTAAATATAAAGTATTTCACAGGAGCATTACAATTATCATAGGAGAGAGAGAGAGAGAGAAAGTGAGAGAGAGAGAGAGAGAGAGAGATGGGGGTGGGGCGATGTGAGGGAACCTGGGGACACAGCTGCTGGGAAATGTACACTGGTAGAGGGATGGGTGTTGGAATACTCTATGACTGAAACCTAATCATGAACAGCTTTGTGTATCTCACAGAGATTCAATTAAAAAAGTGAAAAATAAATAAAATTTTAAAATTATCATAGTAGTAACTGAAAACTTCTTTTAAAATTATATTGGCAAATACTTATTTTCCCTGCACAGAACGTCTGTTTTTGGAATAACAGATATAAAAACCTGGAGCCATGTTCTATGAAACATGGCAAAACTGTAAGAGGTAGCCAGTTCTACAAGTTAATGTTTGGATATGCAGTACTGTTCATTTCCCATAGTATTGTAAAGGCTGTCTGTACTACAAGATAATTTTATCTACAAAAAACCAGTGTGAACAAATAAACACCATGAAGAAATTAATTGTCCAGGATCATTAGGCTATACACACATATAAATAACAACATGTGTCAAACAACATGCTGTTTGATGTAACCATCAAATATTGCTTGACCTAATAAAAGAGTACCTGGTAGATAAGAATCACTATCACTATTACTATATCACCATACAGTATATAAGAATACAATTAAGATAATCTTATACATTAGCACAGTCCTTTCCCCCAAAAGTACTACTCATAATAATCCCACAAGAAGAACAATGAATATTATATCCAGAATTAATTTATATTAAAAATCAAGAGAACTGAAAGGTTATTAGTGGGTAATAATTAAAACAAAGGAAAACAAAATGACAGTGGGACCAAACAAAGTTACTGAAAGAACAAAACTTTCAGAAAATATTTAAACTGATGATTAAAAAGCATGTTGGATCAAAGTTTGTGTTCCACCAGTCCCCCCTAACAACTCCCTCCCAAAATCCAGTTAAGGTTTCTTATGACATTTGATTCTCTGTCTCATGCAGAAGCAAATTTAATATGAGAAGTTTCATTAACTATTTGGGTAGTAAAGGTTTTCAGCAGTAACACTGAAAAAAAGAGGAAATAACTTCAAATAGAGTCTCATGATCTGATTTGTGCACTATTGAAAAATTGAAAGATTTCTATTCTTGAAATAACTTTTTGTTTTGTTTTGGGGGGCCATGCCTGGTGGTGCTCAGGGCTTACTCCTGGCTCTGTGCTCAGGGATCACTCCTGGCAGTGCTCATCGGGGACCATATGAGATACTGCGAATCAAACTTGGATTGGCTACATGCGAGGCAGACACTACTTGTTGCACTATGACTCCAGCCCTGAAACAGCTTCTTTAGGACAAGTACCCAAGAAGATTGTTTGGCATTTGGATACTGAACGATTATCTTTATGTTTTTGTGTTTATATTTAAAATCTGCCTGGGGTCTGACAAGTCTTTTACATTTTCTTGCAGTGCCAACCCAGAAAGGGTGAATAAAGAGTACTAGGTAGATAAAACATCAGTATTTAGATGTGTGTGTGTGTGTGTGTGTGTGTGTGTGTGTGTGTGTATGTGTGTGTGTGTTTTAGGGGGACATCAATTAGCTTCAAAAGTCCCAGCAGTGACGTAAAAATGGGAAGGAAGGAAAGGAACCAACAGTTTTAAATGATGATTACAGAAAAATTTTTAAAAGTTAGAATTAAATAGTGAGTCAAAGATCTAGAGAATTATCAAATTGGTGAGATTTTTTAAAAAAAGAATTTGTTAAATTGACTAAAGATCAATCTGTTGTTTTATAGATGTTATTATACTAGTAAGTTGTTTTATGGATGTTATGATAATTTTAATATGGAGTTAAAGGAGCTTTCTGGAAATACCGAGCTCAAGTTTTCTTGATTGCGTTTGACACGCTCCATCTCAGGAGTCACAGGCAGGGGGGTCCCCTTGCTCAAATTCTCTTTGTACAAAATCTGTGTGCACAAAACCGATAACCAAATCAGCCTGGGTCCAGCTTTTAGGTGGATGAAATCTTTTCTTCATCTGTTTCCAGAATAATTTTAACTAGATCTGAATCACTTTCAGAAGAACAACTGAGGTTGGAGAGATAGCACAGGGGTTAATAACAGCTTTGCTTGTGGCCAACCAACCCCTGGTCCATTTCCAACACTACATATAGTCCCCAGATCGCCACCAGGGGTCGCTCCTGAGCAGCAAGCCAGGACCGGCCCTTGATCACTGCCAGGTGTGCTGCTTCACCCTACCCCACCCTCAAAGCCACGAAGAAATAGAACAACTATAGATCGCCTTTGGGCATTCAGTGACACAGAATGTGATTCTGTTTCTAGGTGACATTAATACATACAGTAACTGGGTGAACTGCAGTTATCACCTATATAAGCTTATTCACAGACAGAAATATTGTCAATAATAATCAACTGCTGTTTGATGTAACCATCAAATATTGTTTGACCTAATAAAAGTTAATAACCACTAGGAGTTATTGGTTACAATTAGGAAACAGTGATAGGGATATGTTTGAAGGAATAAAATAAAAATTAAACATAAAAAGATAATAATTGTCAATAACCCTGAAAACATTTGTATCTTGTGTGCTATACAGAAAATCGCTAAGTCAACTAAATTTGTAATTCTGAATTATTGCCAACTGCTATTTTGTCTTTTGAATGAAAATGTTTAAGAATCACATTCTTTTAGGAAAAGCTGCAAATAAAAAAATCAGTATCAAATAGGGCCACGACAAAACACAAATGAAATTCTAATTAATACTGTCCTTTTGAAGGACTGTTAGATTTTATTTGGGAATGCTACACGAGTTAAGAAATCTATTGTAATTAAAACAGGATTTCAGGAGGAAAATAATGGGCTATCAGGAGTTTAAGAAAGTGATGAATAGCCATGGTTTAAGGAAAACACAGTTAGATTTTCACACCAAGGCTACACTAAATACTAAATTAGATTTGGGTGGAAAACAGAGGCAATATTCGACATCATTATTTTCATTATATGAATTTAGTGATTTTACAGGAAGAAAAATCCCATACTTATAATGTGTTAAATATTATTATTTAAATAAGAATTAAGGGATTTTATTTTGTGCCCCCTGAGAAATACCGAGCTAAAGTTTTCTTGATTGCGTTTGACTCTCTCCATCTCAGGAGTGAAAGCCGTTGGGGTTCCTTTCCCCAAATTTTCTTTGTACAAAACCTGTGAGATACAAGAAAGTACCCAGAAGACATTCAAAACCACATGAGGTTAAGGAAAAAACGTCAGGGCAAAGGTGTGTGAGAGGAGGGCATTGTTTAAAGGAAGGCGTATTTAGTAAGAATAATATTTTTACTTTTTACTTCACACTTGTAATGATGAACTCTTCAGTGCTAGTTCAGGGAATGAGAACGTCAATATTGTTTTAAGGTATGAGTATCAGAATGAGGTATTTTGTGTTAATTTTACATAGTGTTTCGGATTGAAATAGGCATACTTGTCAGTTATTGAAAAGGTTAAAGTACTATCAGAAAAATGAGTTACTTCATGTAAGTCCAGATTGTTTGGGTGAGGTGATAGCACACACTTACACACCCACACCACTCACACACACACTGAATTATTATTATGATGTTACTTTTTAAAAAAAGGATGATGGGTTATTTGGCCATTTATTAAAAGGGAGAAATAATTTCTCATTTAAGATATTTGTAAATACCGAGCTAAAGTTCTCTTGATTGCGTTTGACTCTCTCAATCTCTGGAGTGACAGGGGTTGGAATGCCTGTTCCCAAGTTTTCTTTGTACATAACCTGTGGAAAATAATTAGAATATCCAAAGATAAAAGGGCCACTAGCCTTACGATTCCAACTACCTCTGGGCTATTTGGTGAAAGTTCATAGAAACAATCAAGTTTTCAAATCTGACACTCAAGGAATATAGAGAAGACAATTCAGAAATATTTGTTATTTCTCCAAAAGTAACATTTTTCTGTTGTTCCAGGAACTGCACCCAGGAGTTCACTCATTCCTGCATGCTATGCCTCTCCCCCCAGCCGCTGATAATAGTAAATTTACTACCTTGAAAACGGGATCTTGAAATTCGCAGTTAGTATAAGTCAACATTTAGTACAAGATTCAAAACAGGGGACGAGAGAGTTCACAGGGATGGAGTAAATGCATTGCTTGCAGGAGGCCAGGTTCAATCCTGGGCATCACATGATCCCCTGAGTTCTAAGCCAGGAGTAGCCCCGGAGCAGGTTTGTGGGCCACTCAATAGTAGGCACATGGCCCGTGCGTTGCTGGGAATAGAACCCAAGGCTCTGTGCATGCTGGAAACATGCTGCAGCCCTGTGGGCCATCTTCCAGCATTTTTAGTACATAAATTCTAGTTGTATTTATCTCTTTTTTTTTTTGCCACTTCCTGCAGTGCTCAGGGTTTACCCTGGTTCACAACTGGCAAGGCTTGGGGAATCAGTTGATGTGCTTGGATTAAAGCCTGGTCAGCCACATGCAAAGCAAGTGTATCCACTATATTATGGCTCTGGTTCTTTCTTTTTTTAACTTTTCCGCAGTGATTAGATACCTCACACATGTAAGGCAAGCACTCTACCACTGAGTTGCATCTTTGCAATTTTTTTTTTAATGTAGGAGTACTGCTATTTATTTAGCCATTGATTAAGCACAAATTCTTTTAAGATGTGTAGGTTAAATCATTATAAAAGAACAAGGGGTGGGGAGGTCTGAAAAATCTAGGGGTTTGTGTCATTAATGAATTTCTGGAATCACTGACAAATGAATGGTGACATCTTTGTTATGCTAGAAAACTTTTAGGAACATTGAAAAAAAATCCTACAATCTTAGCACAAAGTTTTACTTCTCTACTCAAAAAGGTTGTGGAATGGATCATGGAAAAGAGAACCAAATAAAACCAGAGAGAGACAAGAAATAGATACGGGCTAAGTTTTAACATATCCAGTGGTATTCGTACTATAAGGGAGTAAACAAAGAAGAGTACAGTGAAAGGGAATGTGATCTAAATAAAACAAATGACTTGACTTGCAAAAAAAAGTTGTATTTTCCAGTGAAAATTGAGAGTCTGGTCTTTCTGACCAGAAAGATCTCTAAGGCCAAAACATCACCTTTTATTGGCTATGAACTATTCCCTTCATTTTCCAACATTTCTTTCTAAGGATCCTGATATTACTTTGACTCTGCCTGTAGGCCTAGAGAGGGAAGTCAGAGGTAGCAAGCTTGCCTTGCACGCATCTGACCAGGGTTTGATCCCTGGCACTCTGTATGATGCCCCGAGTCTGCCAGGAGTGATCCCTGAGTGCAGAGCCAGAAGTAAGCCATAAGCAGAGTCGGGTGTGTCCGCAAAACAAAAGCAAACAAAAAAAATTGATCTTGCCTTCAGATGGGAAAGACTGTATGTGTGTGTGCGTGTGTGTGTGTGTGTGTGTGTCTAAGCATGAAAGGATGGGTTGGGGAGGCAGAGGCAGGGTCAGCTGAACAGAACTTCAGGAGAAACATAATTCTCACTTGCTCTTTCAGTTGTGGGAGACCCCAACACACAAACATACTGTGTATTAGTGCCTAAAATTCCTGTTAGAAAACAGGTGTGGTGATCACCAATATTAAGTCTCTTGTATTCCTTGATTACATACATGAAGACAGAGGTTTCTCCTCTGGTCTTGCAAACCTAGTGTCCCGCTCAGAACAGAGGGAAATATTTGCACCTCAAAGCACAGAAAACCCTTGATAGGAAGCAGGGATGAGGCAGTTAGCATAGGGATCAAGGAAGAAGGAAGCTAGGTTGGTGGCTGAGGGATGAAGCAGAGTTAGCATTGTGACTGGGAAGTGGCTGACTGCACAAACACAGGCTGAGCTTCTGGGGCATTACCGAGCTAATGTGCTTCTGTGTCTCCTTGACACGTTTCACTTCAGGCAGGTCAGGGATTGGGGTTCCTTGTCCAATGGCCTCCTTATACTTCACCTGCAGATATAAAAATGGAAAATGCCAACTACTCATTCTTCTCAACATTACTGTGTGTATTTCAGTTTAAATAACATAATCTTTATGCTTAATGTGAAAGGGATCCCATTTAATGTGGCATCAGAAAATAACAATATCAAGGACAGACAGGGACACAGTGGCTTGGGATCTCTGTTAATTTGAGGCTTTGGGGACAAAGTCTCCATCCTTAGCTATGGCCTCACACCCAACACTTCACTTCCCTATGATAGATACAGTCTCATATATGTTTTGTAAAAGCTGAATTCTTTCATTCTTTTTTTTTCTTTCTTTTTGGAAACCCGGTGGTGCATAGGGGTTACTCCTGGCTTTGCACTCAGGAATTACTCCTGGTGGTGCTTAGGGGACCATGTGGAATACTGGGATTTGAACCCGGGTTGGCAGCATGCAAGGCAAATGCCCTACCTGCTGTGCTATTGCTCCAGCCTTTGCCCATTAAACTCTTTAAGGGAGACAGAAAACACTGAAATGAGTTCAAGGTGGGTGGTGCCTTTACCGAACTAATGTGGTCCTGGGTCTGCTTCACTCGCATCATCTCTGGTGTCTTCCCAATCGCCGTTCCTGGTGAGACATCCTCCTTGTATAAGACCTGTGCATTCAGAATTGAGACAGGTTTACTGAGAAGAAAGGGAAACCCAGTGATCCCCAAGAACCAGAACCAAGACTTCTGTGGAAAGAAAAGATTAGAGAAGTTCTGAGGCCACACAAAAGGACCTGTGGCCGTTCCTCTCATAACTCCCATCACGTCTGCCACAGGGTGGGCTTTGCACAACTTGATGTGCGAATTAGAAACCCAGAAAAATGTTGTTTGAAAAAAATAAATGAAACCCTCCCCCGTGAAACCCAAAGTTCATTAAAGAAAAGCAAAGGCAGGGGGGTACTTTGGGATGGGATAAAAGTCACTACCAGGTCAATGGAATCCACAATCCTGGAGCAAGACAACATGGGATTTAAAAACAATGAGAGAAAAGTTGCTTTGTCAGTGTGTTTAGGTTGTTATTTCAAATAGTCTCTGGAGGAATGAATTTGAGCAAAGTCTGGGGAATTTTAACAAACATCCACTAATATTCACAGGGAAGAGGTTAGATAGTAATTGTTTGAATCAGTGCAAGGCTAGTACATTATTTATTTATTTATTTATTTGCTTTTTGGGTCACACCCAGCGATGCTCAGGGGTTACTCCTGGCTCATGCACTCAGGAATCACTCCTGGCGGTGCTCAGGGGACCATATGGGATGCTGGGAATCGAACCTGTATCGGCCATCTTGGCCGCGTGCAAGGCAAATGCTATGGCAAATGCCCTACCCGCTTTGCTATCGCTCCAGCCCCCAAGGCTAGTACATTTTTTAAAGAGGAAAATGAAATGATTAGTTTAGCATCAAGTAGAATATAAATAGGAAATATACCGAGCTGAAATTCTTTTGATTTTCTTTAACACGCAGTATTTCTGGAGTGTCTTGGACAACTGTAATTTTCCCTTTACTGTTTTTAAGGTCACACTGGTATTGCAGCTACAAAGAAAAAACAAACAACTTGTTAGGTTCACAACACTATGTTTTGAATTGTGTCAAGTAAGCTAAAATCCTGTATCTTAAAAAAAATGGTTTGCGCGGTAATAATTATAATCTGATAGCCAGAGGAAATTCTTTAATAAGAATTTGCAGGGAAAATAAAAAGAAACAAAAAAAAAAGAATTTGCAGGGATGGACGAATGTATAAAAACTCTAAAACTTAAAATGTGTCATACTGATGCTTTTGTTTGTTTGGAAGGGGCACACCTGGTATTGTCCAGGGGCAAGGGGTTTATTGTGCCAGTGCTGAAATACGGGTTCTTGTGGGCAGCAAAGCATGTGCTCTTGTTCACTGAGTTCTCTCCCCAGCCCTTGTGCTGAGTTTTAAAAATTCAGTGATTGCCTAGAATTAACTTTGCTTTGAAAAAGACAAATGACAGTACTAATAATGAAAGATGGTGATAGCTCATATGCAGTGACAGGAAGCCACCAGAAGAGTGACAGATGGTGCTTTTATGCCTTGGATTGGAGCCGAAATAAAAGATGGGTCCAGAGGAGAACCACGCACATGTTTGGGGTGCCCACGGTTGGGAGCTGTACAGCCTCAACTGTGGTTGGGGAACCTGAGCATGTGCTCAAAGGTGGTTCCTGACACTCTCTCTCATCCCAGTACCATGAAGCACGGCTAAGATACACTCAACACTTACAAGGCTGAAGTTCTTTTGATTCTCCCGAACTCTCTGCATCTCTGGAGTGTCCAGAACGGTTTCATAACAGGACATGGACTTTTCTGCATCTTCCTTGTACTTTTTCTGAGAACAGATTGTGAGAAATCAGACTGGTCAACAATACCAAAGAAAATTGGGCCAATGGGACTGGAAATAGCGCTTCCAGCTCAAGAAAGTCCTTGGCATCTTCTCGACTCTTCTAGAATGTTAGGCACTTAGAAAGCAGAAGCCTCTCAGCCAATGAAGGCTTTACTTTTGCTCTCTGGGAGAACTGGGCCCAGATATTCAGTACTACTCATTGTGATGGCAACATGGCAGAGGGAGACGCTGGTTGACTGGTCCACATGAGGTGGGTGATTACCAGGGGGTGTCTCGGCAGGGTGATGTGGATAGATACTCAGGGTGAACTGGATGAGGTCAGACTATTTACTCCACAGCGGGAGAAAAGCAGAAGCCTAATACTTTCTCTTTTTTTCCTTTTATTTTTTTAATTAGTGAAACACCATGTGGTACAGTTGTTAACCTGACAACTTTTTGTATTTGGGTTTCAGTCATACAATGATTGAGTACCCATCCCTCCACCAGTGCCCATTCTCCACCACCAATGATGCCAGTAACCCTTCCACTCCTCCCATAACCCCATCCCATCCCGCATCTGTGGCAGGGCATTCCCTTTTGTTCTCACTCTCCTTTTGGTAGAAGCCTAATACTTTCTAAAAGAGCCACCTGAAAGCTGGCTTAAACCCATGAAAGGATGTTTCTGTTAACCTGCTCAGGGCCCCTAATGGTACTTTAAGAATTTAGCTCAGGCACTGCAGGAATTCAAGGGACAGGACTGGCAGCTGCACTAAACAGACCTGGGGGCACCAGTACAACCACTGGAGGGACCACAGAGCAGCCAAGGATGCTGCTGAGCCATCATCATTGTCCTTGGATGCTCCCAACCCAATCTGGCCTATGACTGAGCCACTAGCTCACATAGGGTCTGAGTTATCTTTATTCCTGTCACAGAGATCCCTCCCCTCCTTATTTCCTGCTCCTCCCTCGTCGCCATGCCCCTCTCTCCTCCCTTTCTTCTTTCCTTCCTTTCTCTTTTCCTCCTTCTTTCCTTTCCTCTCTCCCTCCTTCCCTGCCTGCTTTCCTTTCCCTTTTTCCTCCTGTCATTCCTTCCTTCCTCAGTACCTCAGATATGCAAGGAAAGTGGTCTATTGCTGAGCTACATCTCAGTCCCTAGTTTTGCTGAGAGAGAGAGAGAAAGAGAGAGAGAGAGAGAGAGAGAGAGAGAGAGAGAGAGAGAGAGAGAGAGAGAGAGAGAGAGATGTGGGTAACACCTGACTGTGGCTGGGGAGATATTCCCAACTTGGCTTGATTCTCAGAAATCATTTCTGGCAGCATTAGGTGAATCATGAACTATGAGGTACTGGGAACTGAAGCCCCACCACCCCACCCCTGCCTGAGTCCCAGCTCTCTAAACCATCTTCCTGATCTCTCTTATTCTATTTTGTAGACTTCGGAGTGTAGGGCTGAGGAAAGAGACTATTTACTTCTATAACAGTGATTAAATTATTCAACTTGTCTATTTCTATCTAAATCACACCCAGCAGTAGTGCTCAGGGCTTACTCCTGGCTCCCCACTCAGGGATCACTTCTGGAAAGGCTCAAAAGACCACCTCTGGTGTCAGAGATAGAACCCGGGTTGGCCACATGTAAGGCAAGCATCTTATGTGCTGTATTATCTCCACAGTCCCAAGATGCTAGGAATTGAAACTGGGACTCCCACATGCAAAGCGTGAGCTATAGTTCTCTTCCGACTGGGATCTGTGAGTGACGATATTTTGTCCTTACCTGACTTGAAAGGTTCTTGACTTGTTGGGCATGGATAATCTCTGGAGTATCAACTACAGAAGTGAAATTGGCTTTTTCCATTTCTGCTGACTGCTTATATTTAATCTGCAAAAGATGACCAAAGAGTTGCATAAATGTTTACAATGTGTACAACACTTATTGGTTTAGTTAGATGAACAGGTGAAAAACATTTCTTTCCAAGAGAATTTTTTCACATGACTTCAACAATGAATAAAGATGATGGAGATAATCAACATAAGGTATCCTTTGTTTCCACATAAACTGAAAAGACAAATAAACAGAAGACCTACACCAGTCCACATTAGACAATACAGGACACCTAAACATGCTGAAATTTAGGCCCATAATGGAGGGCAGGAGCACCCAAACTGCAAGCAATTCTTTGATGTCCAGTAAGGGTATGTTTGCAGGGTGGGGCATATCCAGCTGGATTCAGAGAATAATTCTGCCTCTGTGTTCAGGGATCACTCCTGCTGTGCTTGGGGGCCATATGTGGAGCCAGGAACTGAAGATGGGTTGACTGCATGCAAGGCAAGCGCCTTACCAGCTGTATCATTTCTCCAGATGTCAGAGTATGCCCCATCTCCAAGCAGCTATTCTTTTCCCCATGTTTTCTCTGAATGTATTTTGAGGCTAGACTAAGAAAGGCAGATGAAAACAGACCTGATCACTCCCTGATCCCTGGATCGTAATGGATCCCAAGAAGTGGATGCTTAAGAATGCCACTATATGGAGAATGGGCACTGGTGGAGGGATGGGTACTCACTCATTGTATAACTGAAACCCAAGCACAAAAATTTGTAAGTCTACAACTGTACCTCATGGTGTTTCACTAATAAAAATAAATAAATAAATAAATAAAAAGAATGCCACTATACACAGCAGCAAGTCCCGGAAGACGCCACATCACTGGAGATCTCCCCAGGTCCCATACTGAGCCAATTTCACCAGGGTACCCCAGATGGAGCAGATGCAGTCTCCCTTCCTACTCCAGATGGAATCCCAACAACCAAGAGCTTCCACAAGCAAGGCCCAGGTATGTGGGTTCCAGGACTAAATTTCCGGGCTGCATGGCGTCAGAGATGCCAGTCTGTCCTTCCCCGGCTCCTCGCCTGCTTGTTGGCCTGGCTGTCGTGCCCACAATCTGCCTCGGGGTGTCATCTCAGTGCACTAATAGCCCTGGTCCAGATACTCTCAATTGAATTCCCAACATGGATCAGTGCCCTACAGAGATGTCTCTGGAACCCAACCATTTATAATCTAGAATTCTAGAAGTGCTTGGCTGCTTCCCGACCGCGTGAGCTCTCATGATCCTCAAAGTGAGCAATGGAAAATAATATAGCATCTGTCCCTGGCAGATAGGCTTGAATGGTGGTGGGAAAACTTGAACAAAACATAATGCCCCAAAGTAGAGGGTACTGGGGACATTGTCTGCCATAGAGGCAGGGTGAGGATTGGGATGGGGGTGGGGTGGGGGAAATACTGGGAACACTGGTGGTGGAAATTGTGCACTGGTAGAGGTATGGGTGTTCGATTATTATATGGCTGAATCTCAAACATGAAAGCTTTGTAACTCTATCTCACGGTGATACAATAAAATTTTAAGAAAGAAAGAAAGAATGAAAGAAAGAAAGAAAGAAAGAAAGAAAGAAAGAAAGAAAGAAAGAAGGAAGGAAAGAAAGAAGGAAAGAAGAAAGAAAGAGGAAAGAAAGAGAGAGAGAGAGAGAAAGAAAGAAAGAAAGAAAGAAAGAAAGAAAGAAAGAAAGAAAGAAAGCCATTATAGACATTTGGCTCAATGATCAACAAATTAGATAAGAGGCAGCTGTGTCTCTTTGGAGCCACTACCATATATTTGAAACATTGACATGGAATAGTTATACTGACCTGACTGGCAATATCAGTAGCATTCCGGGCCCTCATAAAGTCGGGAGTTTCATTGGCCATGGCATTCAGACCTCTTCCTTTGACTTCCAGCTCTAAGTCTTTCTTATATTCTTTCTGTAGTAACATTTAAAAGAAAAGTTACACATTACAGCTAGGTAATGTGCACAGACCCTATAATCCACAGGACTTGTGTTCAAGTCCTTTACCAGTGTTCACCTTCACTAATCCAGGAAGGAGAGGGATGCATATGGAAGTTCACCTTCAGAAATAATTTTGCTCAACATGCCAACACGCACCAACATGAAGCTTCCTTTGGACATTTCAACATTCTCTACTTAGGAACTTAAACTAGAAAGCGAATTTCAAAACCAGTTTGTTTTCACCAGAATGACTCTAGGGGAATGGGTTGAGTTTCCCTTCCCATCCCAGCAGAACTCCAGCAACTGAAAACCTCCAGAATTCAATTGCAGCCATGCTCAAGGCTGCTCTCCCCAGGCTCGGACGAGCCTCAGCCACAAGGAATCTGCAGAAAAACCCAGATATTCAGGACCTGTGACTGAGATCTCCAAGCTTGCTCAGAGCAGGGTTGGGCCTCCGCCTCCCCCCGCCCCCCCATCCCCCAAGTTTGCCAGTAGCTTGGCAGTCACACCCACAAACTTCCCCTGGTGCCATGTAATCTCATCAATGGTCAAAAAGAGAGTGACACAGGCCTTACCTCCATGAGTGAGTATGCTCCATAATCATATTCTAAATTTCAGAATTCCTGGAGCTTTCATACTCTACCCCTCTGATGTACCAAAAGTAGCACACATTTTGGTTTAACATACATGTTTGTAATCTCGTATACAAGGGCTTAATGGCCCCAGGATGAAATACAACAATCTTCACACACACACTTTTCCCCTTATGGTGGTGGGAAAGTGCATGGTGGTGGAATTGGTATTTGAATATTAAATGTAATGAATTATTGTAAACAAATTTATAAAATTAAAATTAAATTTATAAAAAAGGAAGAAGTTGTTAATTATGAGCATGCCCACCTCATTGAGGATCTGCGTGGCGTTCTTTGCTCTTAGCATGTCGGGAGTATCTTCCATCTCTGTGAGCCCCTTCCCACGAATGCTTTCCTCTAGATCCTTCCTGTATTCTTTCTAGATCACAAAATCAGAGAAACAGCACCGAGAAGAAAACTTCAATTGTTCCAAAAAAATAAGACAAAGATTACCCCCCCAAAAAACATTTTCTGCTTTTAAACAGTTAAATTTTTATTAAATAAGAGTATAAAACCAGGGAATATGATTAATTTAATAATATTAAATATCAACTAAGAAATTGTAAATTAATGCAATGCTAAGGAAGTACATTTTATAAGGTATCCAATGGAAAAATGAGAAGAATTAGTAATTAGGTAGTAGTACTAAAACACTTGTGAACCCAACTTGAAATCCATCTTTAGGTGGCAATGCAAATGACAGAAGAAACACATTGATCAGAGTCATTAATGAGATTATCTGGATCACAAAAAGAAAGATAAAACCCATGGCCTCTACCTCGCTGGCTATTTTGGTGGCATATTTGACATGTAACAAAGCTGGTGTGACCTCCAGACCAGTCAGGTTCCTGCCTTTAATGGACTCTTCATAGTCCTTTCGATATTCTTTCTAATGAATAGGAAGGAAAGACAAGTTTTAAAAAAACCTCACTACAATTTGTTTCTCATTAACAAAATAATCACATTTTTCATATATGACCCTTTCACTACATTAGAGATCAATGTTGGCTTCAGAGTTAAAACATCTGCTTGCTCATGCTTGTTGAGGGCAAATGGACCCAAGGAAACTCACAGGTTGAGAAAATTCGATGAACCCCTCATTGCCTTCAGGACTGGAAGCAGGTCGTGACCACATAAGACTCTGAGTCCTTTATTTTTTCTGCTGATGCCATCTTTCTCCCTACTCCCTGTTATTGCCATTTTTGCAATGTCAGGATGTGTGTGGGGGCACATACTTGTTGTAATACCAATGTCAGTGTCAGGAAGTGCTCTTGGTTAGTGGGGAAGGACGCGGATCCACCCTGTGACCTCAGACACAAGGTTGGCCCTTTAACACTGACCCACATCCCTGGGCCCATAATGGTAGCTTATTTGGAGAGGGGAGGGGACGTGAGCCATATTCGGAGGAGCTCGAGACTATTCTTGGCTCAGTTGCTCAAGAGTGATCCTTGGCAGTGCTTCAGGGACATAAATGGTTCCAGGGATTTGAACCCGGCCTGGGGCCACCACAGCCATATGCAAAGCAAGTACCTCACTTCCTGTACTGTCTCTCTGGTCCCCACAATGGCATTTTTCTTAAGGCTATGAAATACTTTGCTTTTTAATTAGAAGTGGCTCAAGAGAAACAAACAATTCAGATGAAGTAGATTTTGAAGGTAGAAAACGCAAATTTGACTTTTATCATGTTCGTGACTTATTATTTTTAATCAACGAACAATGAGAAAACACAGAGAAATTCTAAGGCTTTGTCATTTTTGCACATTCACTTTAATCCTTGGAGTAAGCTGAGGGGCTGTAAATAGATGTAGTCAGTGGGAAATACGCCATCTGAGGGGGATGGAGGTAGGTCAGGGACGGGGCAACATCTGTGGTGGTGGGAAGACCAAGTGGGAGAAGGAAGTGGTGCTGAAAAGTGGTGATGTGTAATATGTGAAGCTCTATCAGGAACAGTACTGTAAACCACAGTGCAAAAGCTTATATATATTTTTAAAAAGTGTCTCTTTTAGAGGCAGACCGGTGGATGGGAGGTAAATGTGGGGGGCAGAGGGCTCTGGTGGAGGGGAGTTGGCTCTGATGAAGGGATTGATGTTGAAGCAAGTTATTCAAATCATGAATAACTTTGTAATTTCACATTAACCGATTAAAAAAAAATTTTTTAATGAAGAGAGTAATTTACCTTTAAGGTTTGAGATAGGTCCCAAGAAGAAGAGGTTAGAAAGTAATCTAAAACAAGCTTGTTTACCAATAAAGACTGAATTTGTAAGATTCTATTCTTCCCCATTATTGGTTAAAACAGAAAAGAAAAAAAAACAGAAAAGAATAGTTTGGATGATTCTGTTAACGTGTCTGGAATAGAAAATTAGGGCACCTTAAGTTCTGATTTCAATAAAAATCATGATGACTAATCTCTGTTTTTCTGGTATGGAGTTTCCTATTAAGAGAAGACCTGAGTGATAATACAGAAGACCTATTGAGAGAATACAGAAGACCTATTAAGAGAAGACCTGAGTGATAATATAGTGAGTAGGGCATTTGCTCTGCATGTGGTCAACCAGGGTTTTATCTCCAGCATCCCATATAATTCCCCAAACACCACCAGGAGTAATTCCTGAATGCAGATCAGGAGTAACCCCTGAGCATCGCCGGGTATGACAGCCACCCCCCAACAAAAAAAAGAGAGAAGACCAAGCCAGTGGCAATGGTGTGTATCTGTGTGGCTCAAACTTTTGTTCATCAAAGAAACAATGGAAATATTATTCAATGCTATTGTTTCAGCATTGGATTAGCTGTGGCATTCAAATTCTATGAAAGTGATAGTCAAAATAAAAGATATATAGTAAACCTTTATCATATGAAACATTTTTCACAACTGAACTGCAGAACTGCAGGTTTTCAGAGATGGACAGATTTTAATGATCTTATGTTAACAAGTTCTATCAGCTACGGCTTTTGGAAAAACAAGGATTGCAAATGGCTGCGGGAAATGCTTGTAACAGCCTGAGAAGCTTGTTTCTAGGACTTACCCCACTTTGCATCTGCTGGGACTCTTTGGCAGTGAGGTATGTTGGAGTTTCAAAGTCCAACATGGGCTTTCCTCGTTCCTTTTCATACTTCTCCTTGTACTTAACCTAGGGATGAAAAGTCTTGTTAGACATCTCGCCTCCCCTCTTAATTTGTAGATAGAGACCAACTTAGGGATAGTATTTTATTTCTTTTTCCTTTTTTTTTTGTTTTTGAGCTACACCCTGGCTCTGTGCTCAGGGAACACTCCTGGCATGGCTCAGGGAACCATAGGGGTGTTGGGGATTGGACCCAGGTGGCCTGCATGCAAAGCAAGTGCCCTTCCCTTTGCACTCTAGACTCCCCTTACCCCATAGCATCTTTTTTGGGGGGGGAGGGACTCAGCATAGCATCCTATTGGCAGTGCTCAATTTCAGCTCTCTTGCTTCTAACAGGATGCTAGGCTAGAGGCCTGGGCCATTTATAAAAGACAGAGAAAAATTTGTTCCATTGGCTAATGCCTGACAGGGGACCAAAATAATGCTGAAATATGTACAAGGGGACATAATCAGAGAACTAGCTCCTTTTCTGAGTTTTTTTCCTCTAAAAATCTTAACAATTTCACAATTTTGCCATTTCTTAAGGATTCAAACACTTCTTCAATAGCAAATAGTACCAGTTCTTTCCTTAAAATCTTTATGTTGTTGGCTCTTGTCAGTAACCTGAATAACACATATTGCGAGGATAAGCACTGATTCTCTAACAGACGTTGATCCTATTGTCTTTATTACACCATCATAAATTGTTTAGTGTTGCTAAATTCCAATATCCTTTTATCCTAGGGCATTTTCTTAAGCAATGATTGTGGAAACTCTACTACCCATGAAGGAAGCCACACAAAGTTTTGACGTGGAAGATGAATGCACATCAAGGAGGAAAAGTCCACTTGATTAACTTACTATGCTCTGTAATTCCGTGGCCTCTTTCAGATGAAGCTGCTCCAGGTTATCAGGTATTGTGTGGTAATGGCCTTTGCTCTTCTCATACTTCTTCTTGTACTGGTACTGAAGGGCAAGAAAATCACACTGATAGAAAAGCTGCTCAATGTTCCTCATTTTTCTCTTTTTCTTTTGAAGGGGTCATACCCGGCGATTCTCAGGAATTACTCCTGGCTCTGCACTCAGGAATTACTGCTGGCAGAGCTTGGGGGACCATATGGGATGCTGGGGATTGAACCTGGGTCGGTCACATGCAAGGCAAGCACTCTATCCGCTGTACTATTGCCCCTCATTTTGCTCTTTAGAAAAAACACAGCACATTCTCAAGACCACATCAAAATTGGCAAGAACTAATTACAGCATTAAGAAAAAGTGTTCAAAAGGGAGTATTCAAGACCCATAACATTAGTTAATGAGGACATCAACACTTAACACGCCTTATTTAAGACACACTGCATAAGTGAAACGTGGGGGAAAAAATCCAAACTATTATTAAAAAATATTCAAATCCTTCTGCTGAGAAGGAAAAGGGATTGGTTAATTAGACAAAAAAATGTTCAGGATAGTACAGTGGGTAAGACATTTGCCAGTACATGGCATCCCATACGCCCCCAAGCACCATCAGGAGTAATTCCTGAGTGCTGAATCAGGGACAATCCCTGAGCATCACTGGATGTGACCTCAAAACAACAATAACAAAAATTTTAGATATTCTACAAAATAGAAGCATTTTTATAGGAAATAGTATAAGTGAAAAACCTATTCACTGTTGATCAACATTGTAATTTGGAAAAATTTACTCAATCTTTCTAATAAATCTAATGTCTCAGAACAAGAGAAAGAGATGCAAATGAGCTCTAGGAAGGTATCTAGTGGGAAATAGATGAAAAGAGTTATATCAGGAGCAAATGATTGAACTTACAGAGCTGGCAAGTTGGCTCGTATTCAGGACATGATTCATGATCAGAGATTCCTTCATATCTGTCACAGGTTTGTGAAGTTTCTTTAGGTCAGCCTTATATTTAACCTGCAGGTTAAGGGGGAGGCGGGGGATGAAAATTACAGAAGCAAAGGGCCAATAGAAGCTACAGTAAGATACTTCATCGTAAAACACACAGTGATGAACAACTTCTCTCACTCGCAGTAGCTAAAAAAATGGAGACAACTCAACAGTCTTTTGTGAATGGATGAGCACAATGTGGTAAACATATGATAAAATATAATTCGGTCACAGAAAAGAAATAAAGCGCAGATACATGCACAAGAAGGATGAAACGGAAACTACTATGCTAAGTAAAAATAAGCTAGACAGAAAAGGACAAATAAATTCATAAAGACTGAAAGTAGATTCAGGTCACTAGGAGCAAGGGAAGAAGGGGGAGTGGGGAACATACATTTTCTGTCTGAGGGAATAAACATTTTGGAAACAATAATGACAGTTGGAAACCACTGCTACTATAATGAGTACCACTGAATTATACACAATTTCCACTTTATATATACTTTACCACAATTTACCACATTTAAAATAGCTTATCATGATTTAGCACAATTAAAAACAACATACCTCACTTGCGAGATTATTAGCATCTTTCATGACTTTGTAGAGTTGGCTGTCTTTTGGATTGTATTTTGTTGTCTTGCCCTTCTCTTTGTTGAAATTTTCTCGGTATTTCACCTGATAGAAAGTAAGAATAAACATTATTTCTGAATCTCAATTAATTTGAGGATTGAGGAATGATGGAAAGATAAATAAAAATATGTGTTAAACATAAAGTGACCCTGCAGTTTATTAACAAAATTGCGAGTCTTATAAGGGTAGAGGAGCCACTATTAGTAATTATGTTGGAACAGGAAATCCTCAATTAAATTCAAGTGATATACTATTTAGCTCATTTTTGGGGGGTTGGGGGGTGGAAGGAGTTGGACCACACTGGTGGTGCTCAGGGCTTACTCCTGGCTCTGCACGTAACAATCACTGCTGTCATGCCCAGGGGACCATATGGAAGCCTGGGATTGTGTCCAGGTCAGCCAAATGCAAGGCAATGCCCTATGCACTGTACTATCACTCTGGTCCCTTCATTTTTATCTTGTCCAGCTCTTTTTTTTTTGGTCACACCTGGCGATGCTCAGGGGTTACTCCTGGCTCATGCACTCAGGAATCACTCCTGGCGGTGCTCGGGGGACCATATGGGATGCTGGGAATCGAACCTGTGTTGGCCATGTTGGCTGCGTGCAAGGCAAACACCCTACCCGCTGTGCTATCGCTCCAGCCCCATTGTCCAGCTCTTTTAATGCATAACAAAATAAGTGGAAAGAAACTTCAGGTGACCTTCAGGACGTATTTGATTTGGAGCATTTTGTCTTTCCAAATCAGTAAAACCAAAAGCATTTTAGGTATACTATAAATAGTTCAAAGAGAGCTTGCAATGACTAAGATGGGTAAGAAATAAGAAATATGTTAAGTTTGGAGAATTTGTTATTATTAAAATAGTTTTAAGAAGAGTGATTTGGTAATGTTTGAATGTTTTAAAACATGGCAGAAAATGTTATTTTTCCAGATTAAAAAACCTTTGGGAGAAAATTTATTCAATGTGATTTCAGACTAGATGCAAGAAATACTTTAGAATTATGAGAAAAGTGAGACTAAATACATTTGAAGTACAAATATGCAAAGGACCCAATGCTTTCACTTTTATTAATAAGCATAGTACCTAACACTAATATTAGTTCAATACATATGATCTGACTGAATGAAAGGAAGAGACAGTCTTCTCCCTAGACAAAATGGTGAAAGAAAGACAATTTGTCGGGTGGGAGAGATAGTACAGTGGGGGGAAGGTTAGAGGAAGGGATGGAGGGGTGGTGGGAGAGGGCTTCAGCACACTTCCTGAAAAAGTTTTCAAAGCTCTTTGTGCTAGATGAGTGGTCAATACTGTCCCTCCCTCCGGGACCCACTTTCTCCTGCAAGGTTCCTTAGTGAGAGTCACTGTGTCCACTGGCATTACCTGGCTGCTCAGCTTGGCTGCTTTCTTGGCCATTTCAATGTCAGGGCGACCAAGCATGCTCAGTCCGTGGCTGCCTTCCTTGCGATGCTTGGCTCTGTATTCCACCTGAATCAAAGAAAGCAAGAAGGACGGGCCAGAGCTTGGCATGACTTGCTGGCAGCCACCACTGGAGACAGGACTATTTAAACCCCAGTCTTACCTCACTGGCCTGCTTGGCTGCCTGTGTGGCCTTCTTGATGTCTGGCCGATCAGCCACGGTGGTGTAATGCAGGTTTTCCTTGGCATCTCTCTTGTAAGCCACCTTTATTTGGAGCAAAAAAAAGTTTCTATACTTGCAAGATAGGTTCTTTCCCCCCAAAAGAATAATTGGCCCACCCCTTGTTTAGTTATTTATCTATTTATCTATTTTTTTTCTTTTTGGGTCACACCTGGCAATGCACAGGGGTTACTCCTGGCTCTGCACTCAGGAGTTACTTCTGGCAGTGCTCGGGGGTCTATAGGGGATGCTGGGAATCGAACCCGGGTCGGCTGTGTGCAAGGCAAACCCACTGTGCTATCGCTCCAGCCTCCCCTTTTTAAAACTAAACTTAAATTGATTTCACCATCATGTTTTGTAAACTGCCAGATAAAAAAAATTAGGATGGCCATTCTGGAGCCAGCTTATAAGACACCAAGTTGGAGTGATAATTCTTGGGGGGCCCTGGGGGATGTCCAGAAAAGGCACTTACATCACTCTGCTTCTTGGCCACTTCCATGGCATGCTTCACATCTGGGGGCTCCAGCATGATGGAGTAGTTGGACTTCCCTTTCTCCTTGACAAACTTCTTTTTGTAATTCGTCTAAACAAAGTGACAATGGCTTATGAGAATGGAGGACAAGCACCCTCAACTCCATCTATGACTTCCCATTCTGGCACTAGTGTGGAATTTGACTCTTTAATACAAGTTCCGATCCTTCACTCTCATTTCCACTCTGGGATCTAACTGTGGGACCACAGAGTAATCTTTGGAGAACTGGTGAATCAGCAAATAAAATGCGCTCACTATTTCTACATGTAGTCACTGTCACTGCCCTCCCATTGTTCATTGATTTGCTTGAGCGGGCCCAGTAACGTCTCCATTGGAGACTTTGTTGTTACTGTGTCTGGCATATCGAATACTCTCGGTAGCTTGCCGGGCTCTCCGAGAGGGGCGGAGGAATCGAACTCGGGTTGGCCATGTTGGCTGCGTGCAAGGCAAATGACCTACCGCTGTGCTATTGCTCCAGCCCATTTCTACATTTAAAAATAAAGAAATTTACTTATGAATTATAAAATATAATGCCATGGATAAGAACAGAGTCGGCAGAAATTACTGGGATACACTATATATTTTCTTTTTTCTAACATTGTTTAGCAATTTAATGATAGGAGAGGCCACCTTTAAAGAACAATGTCTTCTCTGTTTATTATCTTTTATTTTTTTGCTTTTTGGGTCACACCCAAAAAGCTCATGGGTTATTCCTGGCTCTGCACTCAGGAATTACTCCTGGTGGTGCTTGGGGGAACCGTATGGGATGCCAGGGGTTGAACCCAGATTAGTCTCGTGCAAGGAAAATGCCCTACCCACTGTACTGTCACTCTGGCCCAGATTTGTTTATTATCTTCTTATTTAAAAAATTTAGGAGGGTCCATGCACAGTGAAGCGTGGAGATAGGAGATAGGGGTACACAGTGGAGGGACATGGGGGAGCTGGGATCAAACTCAGGACCAGACAAGTATTGTTTGAGCAGACCCATATCTACCATCATGGCCATATTGAAAAGCCAATAGATAATGGAATCTTCTAAACCAGAGTTCAAAAATTCACATTTTGGTGTTCAGTATCAGAAGAAAGTGACATATAAATGAGATTAAGTAAGCAAAAAAGCAGCTTTTAGTGTTTCTCTGAATTCTAAAGGAAGGTTCTATTGCCACTACCAAAAGTCTGGGACTGGTTACTTACATCACTGACATGCTTGGTCACTTCCTTGACGTGGATTGTGTCCCGGGTCTCTGGCAGTGTCGTGTAGGAGCCCTGGGACAAGTGCTTCTTGGCATGGTTCTTGTACTTGTTCTGAGAGAATGTGCAGTGAGTTTGTTAGAATGTCTGCCTGGGACACGAGCCCAAGTTAGAAGCAAAATACATGGGCTGTGGAAGGGTTACCTCGGACACCAGATTGCTGACGGTTTTGGCCAGAAGGATCTGAGGGGTATCAGGCACAGCGTGGCAGGTTCCTCGCTCTTTGACATGTTTCTCTTTGTATTTCAACTGCAGTGGGGAGACACACATTTCCTGAACTCCCCTCTGGGTCTCTGCCAGGGTCTATGAAGCCCCCAAGAAACTAACCAGAGCTCAGGGAACAGCATCGTTGACCCCCTTGAGAACATTCAACTCAGCAAGAAGAGGCATGATTTCCAAACATCTTGGGACATACTCAAAAGGAATGAATTCTTTTCAATTCTTGCAAGTTGATGTTTTAATAGTAACCACAAAGAATCCTTACATGTCTAGCTTTTGTTCAAGGCACTTTCAAATATGCCATTTGACCTTGCCCATTCCTCAGAAGGTACAATAGTTCCTTCTTTCCCGATGAAGAGCCTGCCACATAGGAAGAGTAGGATCCCATATAAACGAATTTTTCCTTCTCGAATCCTTAGAGCCAGGTCTTCACAGTCACAAGACAACCCCCCACGACCCCCTCACTCTGGATTCCATTGAATTCACTGCAGCTGCCCAGTTGTACCAGGGCACAAGGGATCATGGTGTTCGGGCCACTTTCCAGGACCCACCCTGAAGTCCTCCTGCGGCAATGCCTCCTCTTGTTTTCCCAAGCCATCTTGCTGGAGAGGCTCTGTGTGAGCTTAGGCACCCTGGCAGGGCCTGAATACTTACGTCACTTTCTATCAGCGAATTCCTCAGCGCCAGCACTGTGTCTTTATCATCCGTGACAGAAAGCTTGCAACCCTTGAGGAACTCTCGGTCCAGCTTATACTCATACTGTAATGGGAGAAAAGCAGAGGACAGAATGAGTGACAGGCTCAGGAGTGAGTCAGCACCTGGTTACGTGATTGGGGGTATTATGAAATCTTCCACAAGAGTGGGGATAAAGGTTTCTTGGCCCCCTCACTGCAGACCAGGCTTCAACTTTTTATTATTTATTTATATTTTTCTTTTTGGGTCACACCTGGCAATGCACAGGGGTTACTCCTGGCTCTGCCCTCAGGAATTACCCCTGGCAGTGCTCGGGGAACCATATGGGATGCTGGGAATTGAACCTGGGTCAGGGGCGTGCAAGGCAAATGCCCAACCCGCTGTGCTATTGCTCCAGCCCAGACTTCAACTACTTAGTTCTCGAGCCCTGATCAAGTCCTCCCAGCTTCTTGCTGACTCCTAGCCTCTCCTCATCTCCCCTGCCTCTCTCAAGACTCTGAGCCATCATGGCTGAGTGTGACAGACACCAGACTCTGGGGCTGGTCTGTTTCCTGAGCTCTGCGCCCCTCATCCCCCTCCTGCCCCATCAGATCTCAGATGAAGTCACCCCCTAGGATCAGAGGTTATCATGACTCATTGGCCATTTCTCTGTCTCTGGTGAGCCCAGAGGTTCTGTCTGCCCCTCTCACATCGCTTTGCTGCAGGGAGGACTTGGCAGCCTGGATGAAGTCCGGCCGGTCAGGGATCCACTTCCAGAAGGCTTTGTTGGCTTCGTATTGCTTCTTGTAGTCCAGCTGTGGGAAAATAAACCCGCTCGCTCAGTAGGCTGAATTTTTTTATTTGTATTTTTTAATGAATCACTGTGAGATACAGTTACAGACTTACTAACTTTTATGCTTACGTTTCAGTCATACAATGACAGAGTACTCATCCCTCTACCAGTGCCTGTTCTCCACCAACAATGTTCCCAGTATCCCTCGCCCCTACTCCCTTCCCCCTCTCCCCCCCTCCCCCGCCTCTGTGGCAGGAGGATTCCCTTTTACTCTCTCACTCCTTTAGGGTGTTGTGGTCTGCAATGCAGGTATTAAGTGGCCATCATATATAACCACACATGGTGGCTCTGAGAAACTCATCTGGCTTTTTTTTTTTTTTTTTTTTTTTTGCTTTTTGGGACACACCCGGCAATGCACAGGGGTTACTCCTGACTCTGCACTCAGGAATTACTCCTGACGGTGCTCAGGGGACCATATGGGATGCTGGGAATCGAACCTGGATTGGCCACGTGCAAGGCAAACGCCCTACCCGCTGTGCTATTGCTCCACACCCCTCATCTGGCATTTTAACATAAAACAGTCTTAACATAAAACAAACAACTCAGAGATCACTCCTGTCACACACAAGGAACCGTATAGGGTTCTGGGGATCAAATCTGCGTCAGCCATGTGCAAGGCAAGTGCCTTAGGTAGAGATTCTTCCTCCCGCTAGAGGCATTTTTGAAGAGCAAACTTAACTTAGAATTAAGAATTCTATTTTTTAGCCACCTACACAAAGACTGAGTGGGATGTAGGGGTAAGCTCCTTTAATCATTCTTTTCATGTGAAAACCAAAAAGAATGTTTAGATTTTTGTTTTTACAATTCATGCTCCTGCAGCCCAACCTTTGACCGAGACTCTATAGAGCTCAATCACCTGCAGATATGGAAGATGAGTTCATAATTTTTTCAGTCTTTTTCACAAGACTGAAAAATCCTCCATTGGGTTTAGGGAATTTTCTGGAACTTACATTGGTGTTGACTTTGTAGGCATCCTTGGCAGCTTTGATATGAACAGCATCTGGCTCAATGGTGCAGTTGGACTTATTTCTTTCATAAACCTCTTTGTATTTTAGCTGTGGGAGGAAACATAATAACAGTTTATCTTTTGTTTTGCTCTGTTTTTGTTTGGGGGCCACACTTGGCAGTGGTCAGGAGTTACTCCTGGCTCTGCACTCAGAAATTACTCTGGGTGGTGCTTCTGGGACCATATGGGATACTGGGGATCAAACCTGGATCAACAACATTCAAGACAAACACCATGTGCGCTATACTATCACTCTGGTTCCTCAGAGTTCATTTTCAAAGGCATTTTAAATAATACAAAACAAAACCCATGACTAAACTATATAAACCTGCTGAAGAAATGATGCAGTTATGCTCTTCTCTATCTCAGATCTTGAAAACAACTCTCTGGAACACTGTTTCCCTCTGTCTCTAAAGTTTTGGCGTGGTCCCACTCCCTAAATAAGATAATCATGAAAACATCTAGAAAACTGCTGATGGTAGAGAGGCCTTCTGCCACCAGCTCACCCAGATGGAGTTAGTATTTCCCCCCCCCCTTCAAGGCCTCACAGTTACAGTTGTTACCGTGTCATATTGTAATTTTCTTTTTACCTATCCCTTCCATGACCATGTCCCAGGTGGATGATGATTGTTTATCATTTTTGTCTAACTCTTCATGTCAGGAACACAGAAATCCCACAATATTTACTGCAGTGACCGCTATGGACTTCCTATCCCCATCTAGGGAGTTTAGGCATGTGCGGATTTGCACTGGGAAGTGAGTGAGGTTCAGGAAATGTCTCTGCAAGCCCCTCTTCAAAGAGTTGGGTTTCTAGCATCACTTACTCTTTTAAGATGCCTGGGATTGGATCTGGCCTCCTTGCTAGCCACTGTGGAAGAATCCTAGGTTTCAATGCAATTAAATCCTAAATAAGACTTGTTTTTGGGAAGTCATATAGAAGTGTTGCTGAATTTGCTTGATCTTAAGAATCACACTTTCCTTCACATCAGCAGAGATACAGCAAATTAGAGTCTCCAGGGGAAAGACTTGGATATCCAACTATATCCATTTATTTTTAAAAAAAATCAATGTATCAGATTATTGCTACAACAAGAAAGTTTGGGCAAGTGAAGGCAGAAAGTGCTTTGTTTTTCTTCCTTGAAGAAGAATGGGTGGATCCACATGAGAGCTACCTGATAAATAAATATCACATGTTCTTGACTTAAATCCAAAATTTTAATATGAAAAAGTTGAACAAATGTCTTGGGCTGGAGCAATAGCACAGTTGGTAGGGCGTCTGCCTTGCAAGCAGCCAACATGGCCGACCCAAGTTCGATTCCTTCCGCCCCTCTCGGAGAGCCCAGCAAGCTACCGAGAGTATCTCGCCCGCACGGCAGAGCCTGGCAAGCTCCCCGTGACGTATTCGATATGCCAAACACAGTAACAATTGTCACAATGGAGACGTCACTGGGCCTGCTCTAGCAAAACGATGAACAATGGGAGGCCAGTGACAGTGACAGTGAAAAAAATGTCTTAAATGGCTCAGAAATTTCTCCTTTTCTAAACAGATGTATTTAACATTCTTGATGGCAACCCAGAGTCAACAGTATGAACACATGTTATCTATCAAAGAATTTCTGAGTGCCAGATCAAAGATATGAGTTATTTTATTCCCCAAAGGGCAACTACATTTCTGGTTTTCATGCAGCCATGGAGCTTTTTCTTTTTTTTTTTAAATGCACTTACCATCGATGATAGCATCTAGCTATAACTAAAAATTTATGAATACAATTTCTTCCCAAATTCAGAATATTAGAGTCCAAGGCCACCTCAATTCTCTTAGACAAGATAAAGTTTTGGAATATTAATAGTCTTTGGGACACATTGAATTTTTCAAAATGTCCACAATATCCCTACCCACATGCCTGTGTGCAGTGTGATGCTGTCATTTGCTCTTCCAGAGGTAGCAGATATCCCTTCACCTTTGAATATGGGTGTTCATGGTGCCCAGCCAAATATGCAAAAGTCACTGTGTCTGTTCAAGGAGGAAGCACTTAACTGTTCTGGAAACTTCCACCCCTACCTCTTAGAATCCAGTCACTTTGCTGTGAGAGGGACAAACCACATAGTAACGCCACCAAAAAGGCCCTGTGTAATAGCTGAGCTTCCAGCCCTCAGCCCCCATTAGCTGTCAGGTGTCTGATGGAGCCATCTTGAATGCATTAGCCCTTCTGATCCTTAGCTCTGCCAACCACACAATCACACCAACACTGGGTGAAGCCTCATCAACTTCCAGAAACATGACCCAGAAAATTAACTGTTGTTTAATAAGCCTTAAGTCTTCAGGTGATTGTTTCAAAGGAAGAGGTAAGCAAACCAGAACTTGTAACACCAGGCCAAGGTGAGAGAACTGCAAAGACAATCCATACTCACATCACTGACTTCATCTTTGACCTTGCGGACATGCAGCAACATGGGCGTGTCATGGATGGTGGTATAGCCTCTGGGTTTGGCCTTGTTGTACTCCAACTTGTAAAGTATCTGAAGGAGATTAAAAAAAAGGCAAAAAGAGACGGTGTTCTGTGGAGCAATTTATAGTGTGAAAACATCAATGCAAAGTATTTTTGGGTTTTTTTGTTTTAGGGGATACAAAGGAAAGAAAATTCTATGCAGCCAACAAGAACTTTCATGCATCCTGCTGAAGTGTCAATATCTCTAAAATGGGATATTCCTCAACTTGTCTGGAGTAATTCTTTCTTGGGAGTGCAAAGGGTTACTCCTGGCTCTATACGCAGGAATTACTCCTGGGTGTTCTTGGGGGGACGATATGTGATGCTGGGGGTTAAACAGGGCTCAGCTGAGTGCAAGGCAAATGCCATACTGGTGCTATCACTCTAGCCTCAAGGTTGCAGTAATTCTTTATTTGAAAGGGACACTGGAGTATACAGGACATTCTTTCACGTCCATGCTTCCCTTCCACTAAAGGGTAGTAGCATCGCCCAGACACCAGGCCCTTCTATTTGCCCCTGCACATTTGCAAATGCCCCATAAGTTTGAAACTCCTTACAGTGTTTCACTTACATCACTGATTTGCTTGTTGACTTTTGTAGTACGCAGGTGCTCTGGTGTGTCCACAATTGAGGTGAATTTGTCCTTTGTTTTTTCATAATTTTTCCTGTATATGATCTAAATTGTTGAAGAGAAGAACGAGTTAATTCTAAGAAGCAGAAGAGAAAACTCCCATAGCCAAATGTGGGATTATTGTGCAAACCACAGATGTGGGGGGCAGTGTCATGCCTTCTTTATTTTATTTTAATTTTTTATTAAATTTCTGGGTCACACCTGGTGATGTTCAGGGATTACTCCTGACTCTGCACTGAGGTGCTCGGAGGACCATATTGAAGCCGGGTCAGCTGCATGCAAGGCAAAAGCCCTTCTTGCTGTACTATCACTCCGGCCCTCCTTCTTTAATTCTAACTGGGAATCTGTTTAATCTCTAAAATTAAATACCTATATATGGATATATAACATAAATATCCTATAAGAAATGTTTGACACAAATCTGTATTTATTAGCAATACAAATGGAGCGAGCAAATTATAATAATGATGAAAATAATAATTATGCAAACAATCTCCAATATATTTTATGCTCATGGAGTCAGGCCCAGAGAGGTTAAGAGAATGAGCTTAGAGCACATATAGAGTGAATCTCAGAGCCAGGATCAGACCTTTTGAACTCTGAATACCAGAATAGAAGAATTCACTCACCATAAACCACATTAGATACATATGCTCTCTCTAAAAGGATGTTTCCATATCAAAGGTGAAACAAATGTGAAATAAAAATGAGGATATATAGCTTAAAGTATTTGCCATTTAAAATTACATTCCTTTTCTTGGGTAATTTCCAAATTATGATTTTTTTCATGCACATAAGCTGTTTCAAAGCATACAGAGACACAAAGCACAAGACTCCATGCACAGCTATTTGGTGATCATATCAGAACACAAGAAAACACTCAGACAAACAGGTATTTGAAAGGGAGACCTCTTCCCCCTCATTTCACAAGTTGAGCTTTTGTACAACTTTTTTGGGGGTCTTGGTGTCCAGAGATGCAGTTCAGTGGCAAAGTACATGTATTTGTGAAACTCAGGTTTGATTCCTGACGCCACAAAAAGAAAATGGAAACATTGCAATCTTCTGAACATTACACATGAAAGATGATCACTTGCTTTTATTTTGCTGCTTCAGTTTTCCCCTCCAGCATGTGTGTAGTATGTGCATCTGTGCACCTTGCGGATAGCCAATGCTATCAGATACAGCTGGACAAGTAGACTTGAGTGTGGATATGAAATACCCTACCAAACTCAAGAGGGAACATGGGAAAACTCAAGAGGGAACATGGGAAAAAAACCCTATCAGTAACAGTACTATAGACCACAATGCCTAAAATTTATTTTTAAAATGTCTCTCATAAAAACAGGCTGGTGGATAGTAGGCATTGGTGGAAGGAAGTAGACTCCAGTGAAGGGATTGGTGTTGGCAATTGTATGACTGAAACTCAATTGTGACTAACTGTAATTCACAGTGACTATATTTTTAAAAAAAAAAGTATGTCCATATTCAGGTTGGGGACTGGAAAGGAATCAGGGATGGAGGGACTGGGTCATGGGATGGTGGAGTTGGAGCTGGGAACATTGTCTTCCTGGACCCTATTCTAAACAACTTTGTAAATTATGATGTCTAAATAAAAAAAATGAAAAAGAGAGGCCATAAATATGTGCAATATCCCATTTTTGTTTTTATTTTTAAATTATTTTGGGGCAGAGCACATCCAGCTCTGCTTAGGAGTTACTCCTGGCTCTGCACTCAGCAATCACTCCTGGCAAAACTAAGGGGACCACATGGTATGCTGGGGATAGAACCTGGGTAGGCCATGTGCAAGGCAAGTGCCTTACCCGCTGTGCAATCTCTCTGGCCCCCAAATATGCAATATTCTATAAGCTGGATTGACATCAATACTATAAACTTTATACTCTTGTAGCAATATTGCCTAATAATAAAAGAAAAAGAAAAGAAATAATAGCTCGATTGGAATCCTTATCTCTCTTAAAGTTATAGTGATCATTGAACATGGGAAAATTAGATGAAAATTAAATAGTAACACTTAAAAAACTTAAAATTATGCAATTTTATTGTAATTTAAAGACAGAACTAGAAGACATAGTCTCATCATCCTTATTAAATATTGTACTGGATGTTCTTCTAGCAAGGGCCTTAGACTCAACAAAGAAAAAGACATCAGGGTTAGGAAATGAAATATCCTGATCTTTTTCTTTTGTTTTTCTTTTTTTTTTGCTTTTTTTGAGGGGAGGGGGTCACACGCAGTGATGCTTAGGGGTTACTGCTGGCTCTGCACTCAGTAATTACTCCTGGAAGTGTTTGGGGGACAATATGGGATGCTGGGGATAGAACCTGGGTCAGCCGCATGCAAGGCAAACGCCCAACCTGCGCTACTACTGCTCCGGCCCCAAAATATCCTGATCTTTTAGTGTTGAATCTACTTAATCTCCTCAGTCTCAAAGGAGTCTATATCTTTGGGGGACATATGTTAAAAATATCAACTGATGTTACATCAATTTGGAAATAAAATTTGCAATAGATTCAACTTGACTGGACATGCCAGATGTTCCAGGTAACAGAGATAATAGCTGTTCTCTCACCAGTCTTGGCCAAACCCAGAACTCATTTGTGAAAAGTAAGTATTGATGAAGCATTATGTGATATCAGCAGGGGCAGGGAACAGGGAGAGAAATCAAAGGAAGCAATTATGGTGAAGGCTCCTAAGGTTTCTAAACCTCTTCTTTATAGCACATCGAACATTACCTGGCTCCACATATATGAATTGTAGAGGGCAGTCAACATGTCTGGACGGAGAATTTCATTACATCCTTTTTTCAGAAGTATCTTGGCATTAGATTTATATTTTCTCTGTTCATGCAAAGAGCAGTGAAGCACAAAAGAGACTTATGAAGACAGAAAAGATCATGGCTCTATATCCCAATCACCAATGAGTGAAGAGATGTAGGCACACACGCTCTATGTACTCAGGATGTGCATTGGGGTGAAGACATCAAGTCCGTTATAATGCCAGTTTTTTTTCTGTGTGTGTGTGCAATCATTTTACTGGAAATGAACTAAATCAAATGTTCTGGTTAATCATTTATAGCCCATGTGAAGGGAATAATCTTGTTTGTATTTTTATCAGAATGCCTTGCAGAAAAAAAGGCAGCTGTGGAACAACAACAACAAAATTACAGTGAGGAGTTGTGTCTTCTTTCCTTGCACTAATTTGTTTCTTTGATTGGGCCTTTGCAATTCCATTTGTAGGTGATAATGACCGTGTTAAAATAGGCCCTCCAGGAGTAGAGAGTGGCAAGACCCTGATTTACTTCTAGTCTTCACCATAGCACACCTGAGAACACAGAGTATGGACTGGCGCACTCAAAGAACTCCTGGGCCCTTTGGGTGGCTAGACAGATATTTGAAAACAGAACATCCCAATATCATAGGAAGAACCTATGACATCCTTGCAGCAGACGGGACGACATCTTCAAAGAAACTGGAGCACAGTCCTGCCTGGGCTGACCGTCCAGCCCCATCACAGTACCTGACTGATCTGGTCGCCTGCCGTCTTAGCCAGCAGATGTCTAGGCTCATCCACTACCAGGTGGTATTTATCTTTCCGCTGTTCATAATCAGCTCTGTATTTTTTCTGCTCAAACATCATATTAAATTATAGCAATTGTGCAACTTAGAGGCTAGAGAGAAACGTCCCCTCCCCCCCATAAAGAGCGACTCCAGAGGATCAAAAACACATCAGTTTTAATGCTGGGCTCCCACCACCTTCAGGATGGAAAAATCAAGGAAACTGTAAGTTAAGCAAAAGAAGATTGTCTGGAGAAGCCTGAGGGTTGGGTTAAATCTGATTGATGATGCAAAAATTGGGGTACCTTGTGCCCCATCACTTTCCATTTTCACATATTATATACCATTAATGATGTTAGATTTTATGGCATCTTCTATTGTATTTAAAAACAAGATACTGATGTGGTTTTCTATCAAAGTCTGTAAGGATCAGAAAGCACAAGTGAAGAAGAAATATTCACCGACAAATTCTAATAGTATTATGGAGCTAATTAATTCATTTGATTATAAAAGAGGGCTAGAAATCCTTAGATAATGAGAAAAATTGAAACAAAAATAAAAGCTACTGATAGTGAGTCTTCAGGATCATTCAACTTGGAAATCTACTGAAAATGAACTAAATCAAATGTTAAATAACAAAGCAACAAAAAAGGTCCTATTTTGAAGTAGTTTACCATGGAATACATTTTTATTTGGGGGTATGTTTCACTAATTTTCTAACATTGTTTTTTAGTTGCTGTATATCTGTGGAAAACCCAAACATAGGCAATCACATATGCTCCAAGTATAAATTAATTCATGACTTCCTAGTTTCAGACATTTAAGTCCTGTTTATATAACTGTCAATACAGTTCCAAGAAAGACTTGGAGAGCTATTTTGGGTGAAAAAGGAGCTTTCTCTGCATCGACACATGAGAAGTAGTGATAAGATATTTGAATGACTCAACCCTCTCTAAGGTGGAATTCAGTCCCTTGTTAGAAGATACTAAATTAGCCTTGAACTTCAGGGTTTTCCCAACTATCACAACGAGTTGTTAACTAAGTTCTTCACTGGTCACCTGAAGGTCCTTACTGCTCAGTGCCAATGCAGAGGCAGTACCTGCATTTTGCTCTGGACAGTTTGAATGTTTCCGCAAAGTCTATTAAGATGACGATATTATAAAGTTGTCTGAAATATTTATTCTGAAGCAACAATTTAGGATGACTTTCCTGTCCTTTTATATACTGGCTTTAAATCAAATAACCCTAGGTACTTAAGGGAACTGAACGGAACTAATTCACTCAGGTGATACATACCTCATTCATCAATTGAGTCGCATACTTGAAATGCTTATTGATTGGACAATCAGCAACGTACTTGAAGTCTGACTTTGTCCTTTCAAATACCTCTTTATACTTATACTAGAGAGAAGAGAACATGGTTACTTGATGCAGACTACGGTTATCTTAAGAATGAGACTGCCATCAAATTTATCATGTAATTGTGGCAATTCATAGAGCTAAGCATTTACCGAGTCCTTACTTGACTCCCAAGACAAAAAGGCAACCAACTTGGATGCCTTCAAAATGAGCTCAGACACACAATACTAGAAAATTCTTGCATTGCATGACCTATTTTTTGGGAAAAATCCAAATCAATTTTTGGTATCTATATAATAATTGTTGCAATCATTTGTTTCATGAACTTGAATATAGTTTTCAGGGACTTAATCATATTATAATATTTTAAAGCAGAGGCACTATGAAACAACTAGCTTATTACCTATTTGTAAAGGGACCCTTGAACTAAGAATGTGGTCAGGTTTTAAAAACATAGTAAGGGATTGTAACAAAGACTATGGGACATAGCCCACAAAAACATAGCCCACATAGTCTAAAATATTTACTACTTATAATATCTCAGAAAAGTTCTCTGATTCTATTTTAGAACAAATCCAACAACTTAAATGTGCAAATAAGAAAATGAGACAATAAGGACAAAGGTTTTTTTGTGTGTCAAATCACAATCAAATTTTCAGTTTAAAAATCATCCTACTATACACTTGTATTCCATAACGTTAATAGGGCAAATCACATACTTATCTGGAGTGAATTCCAGAAGAGAATTTATGAGGAGCTGTACAGAGAGAACCTTTCAATCAAATTCAAATAATTGAATCTAGGTTACTTAAGTAGTTCTAAGAAATATTCCCAAAGATAGTGAACAATTCCCGGTGTATCCAGTCTGTTCTTGGGATATCCTAGTGGATCCCAAGTTCTGGTCTAATGCAAACTTAAGGATAGAAATATAAAAAGCTGAATCTTCAGTGCAAATTTTTTGAGTGGGCACTGGAGTAAGTCAATAGATGTGCACCGTTATCCTGAGTATATACCTTGCTATACAGTGTCTTGTTCTTTTCAGCCAGAGTGAAGTCAGGGGTATCATAAGCATAGCAACCAATGCCTTTAAGCCAGGTCAAATCTTCTTTATATTTTACCTGGAAGAAGAAAAAATTTTAGGAACCCATTTTCAAATAGCAAAAGGTTGGTATTGATACAAGTAAAACAAAATTGTCATTAGTGACTGAACTACAAGAGATAATTGAGTTTTTAAATCAATGGTTTTATTCTATTTATTTGGTGTTTGAACCATACCTGGCATTTCTTAATGATTACCCTGTGCTCAGTGCTTGGTGATGCTCAGGAAATTATATCAAATTTGACTCATCCGGCTATTTCTATGACCGACCCTAAAACAACTATTTCTAAGTTTAGAAAACTTTGAATTTTTAATTCACTTTATAATTAAAGTATATGGAATTTTCATTTTGAATATAACTAAAGCAATTATAACTTAAGGGGCGTACTTTTCCCCTAGATCATTAAGCATTAACTGGGCAGTTGTATCTTCATACAGAAAACCAAAATTTCTTTCTAAGGGAACATTATTATGTGTCTTAATGGCTACTGAGGTTGTCTTTTATTTTTTTCTTTTTTATTTTGGGCGACACCTAGCAGTGTTCAGGACTTAATTTTGGCTCTGCACTCAGGGATCACTCCTGGCAGGCTTGGGAGACCATCTAGGGTGATGGAGATTGAACTTGGGTCGGCCGTGTGCAAGGCAAATGCCCTATCCACTGTACTATTGCTCAGCCCCATGAGGTTGTCTTTTCAACAAGTCATAAATAGGCTCTTTTTTTGATGATGCAAGTCCTTTTCAGACATGTAAATTGATAGACCACATTTACAAAAAAAGTTAGATTTGTAAGTTTGAATATACATTTTTTTCTCCCAAGTGGAAGTTCACTCATTTAGTGATGTTTTATGATTTAAACATTCATAACAGGATCTAAAGACTAAGTTTTCACTCAGTTTTTATGCTTAAGTCAGACAGGACTATGAGTTTATGTGTCTTAATAGAAGAATTCTAGACTCACATCGCTGACTGCATCAGTAACTGCCCGATGATGGAAGTGCTCTGGGCGATCGGGAATGGACCTCCAGATCCCCAACTGACTCATGTAGTTCTCCTTGTATTTCACCTGGGTGTAGAAAATATTAACACATTATCCAAAGTTAATGTGAAAAAATGTATCCTCAAAAAATGTATATCTCAAAATGAGTTTTTAGAAAAAAGAGGCTACTCTTAAAAATGATGGTGGGTAAAGGGTCATAAAAAAGGACTTACTTTGCTGATGTCATCTGTGACTTTGCGATGGTAAACAATGTCCAAAGCATCCTTCACAGTGTGGTATTTCCCTTTGGTCTTTTGAAACGTTTCTTTGTAGCGTAGCTGAAAAGAGAAAAGGCACATGAATTATAAAAGGCTCTCAAATGAAATTATTTTAAGTTTGAATTCTCTTGAATTTTCTCTTTTCTCTTTAGGAGTGATTAAATATCTCAGAAAGAGATTAGAAACCTCATTTCACATCCTGAAAGAGAGGGTCAGTAGAAAAAATAAATTAAATAAAGTATGGAGATTAGTTAATAATAATAAATCAATATTGACTCTTCGTCTGTGACAGATCTATCATGTAGCAGTGTAAGGACGCTAATAGTAAGGTAAGGTAAGTATAAGGTATCTGGGAACTTTATTATCTTTGAAATTTTTCTGTACATTTAAAATTACTGCAAAGTTTGTTTAAATGAAAAATTAAATTAACAAAAATTCTCTTGGGAGGAGGAAAAGCGAACAAAAATAATCTTGTTGAGTCTAAGTTATACTATTATACATAGAAAGAGGAGAAAGATTTAGTTTCCAAGGTTTCATTTTAAAATACCTTCTCTAAGAAGCAATCCTGAAGCTTGATGTCATTGTAATCTCTTTGGTAATCTCTTTGATTTTTAATCTAAGAATACTGTGAAAGATTCATCCATCTACACAAGCTAGGTGTTTTTCTGAGCAATCTGTTTATAGTCTCCAGTTAATCTTGTCTTGTTGAGTAGGTAAGAAAGAAACAATGACTTTTCTTTGACTTTAATTTTGTTTTTCAGGTGCATAAATTCATAACATTATTTAGAGCTACTTCTGAAGATAACCAGGGATGATAAACTGAATGTAATGCCAGTTACCACCCATGCTACATTGGATTATTTTAAGGGTTAGAGTTATCAGTACTGATACCACTGAGGTCCTAGGAATGGAGCTGCTCAGTGGGACACAGTGAGCTCTTGGGACCAACTTCACTGTGTGGTCACCCCACATACACCTGCAAAATGAAAATGCAGCATATACTTGGGTCAAATTCATATTCACTGGTAACCTTGCAATGAAAAAGATGAGATGTCACAAGAAGACTAGAGCTTTCCTAGGGCAGAGGCTTTGGAAGTAATGGAACTATCATTTTCTAATGGAACTATCATTTTCTCAATTTATATTTTAAACAACTGACAGATTTATAACTAGCAAATTCCTCTCAGACCCAAATGAACATTTTGAAAAAGTTACATAATTGCAATTTTGTTTCAATTTGTTTTATCCTTTCACATTTCTGTTTAAAGATGGATATAATCATTAGGGACCTTTAAATTCTAGGACTGTCTTGCCAAACTGAAGGATTTGGGGAGGGTTCTATGCGCTTTAGGCTAAGTTTAAGTTGCAGTGTGTACTCTGGGGATGCTGGTTCTGGTAATGGGATTTGATGCATTTGCAGTTGAGAGACAAAATAGTTAAGGCCTGGTATCTACCCTAGGTAAACTGTTTCTTTCTCTCCCTCCCTCCCTCCCTCCCTCCCTCCCTCCCTCCCTCCCTTCTGTTTGTTTTTGGGCCACTTCTGGAGATGTTTGGGATTACTCCTGGCTCTGTGCTCAGGAATTACTCCTGAAAATGCTCAGATAACCATATGAAATGCCGGGGATCAAACCTAGATCGGCCATTTGCAAAACAAGTCCCCTACCCATAGTACGACCTCTTCCACCCCTAAACTGATTTCTTATCTTCATGATTAACAAATAAGTTTGTTTTTTTGGGGGGGTCACACCAGGTGATGCACAGGGGTTACTCCTGGCTCTTCACTAAGGAGTTACTCCTGGCAGTGCTCAGGGGACCATATGGGATGCTGGGAATCAAACCCGGGTCGGCCACGTGCAAGGCAAACTCCCTACCCGCTGTGCTATCTCTCCAGCCCCACAAATAAGTTTTTTAACATTAAAGGTCAGTCTTGTCCTTGGACATGTGGAGGGTAATAAAAATATGTTCCTCCTATTTATAACAAGGGTGTTATTCACATGATTCGAATGATCAAGAGAAAAAAGGGAACAACCATTTTTATGTCAGCTGACAATCCAGCTCTATTCCAGGAGTGTTAGCAACATGATCTTATTTAGTCTAATTTACCGATCAAAAACTGTACCTCATGGTGTTTCACTAATAAAAATTAAAAAATTAAAAATTAAAAAACATTTAAAAATATTCTGATTCTTCTTCCACAGGTAGAAAGACAGTCTTAGAAAAACTAGGTGAATTATGTAGATATAGAGCTGACAAGTGATAGAGTTGAAACTATATATGCCTGACTCCAACACCATGGTTTTTATGAATAATAACAATTAGATGTCAAGAAATGCTACTAAAGAAAGGGTCAAAGTACAATGAGAAGGGCTGGAGCAATAGCACAGCAGGTAGGGCATTTGCCTTGCACGCAGCCAACCTGGGTTTGATTCCCAGCATCCCATATGGTCCCCTGAGCACCGCCAGGGGTAGTTCCTGAGTGCAGAGCCAGGAGTAACCCCTGTGCATTGCCAGGTGTGACCCAAAAAGTGGAAAAAAAAAACAAAGTCCAATGAGAAAAATAATAGATTTTAGTATCTTCTCAACATTGTTACCTTGACTAACCTTTATTGTTTATGCTTGTGGACTTTCAATTTTTTTCTGTGGGGTGGGTGGGAGCTTGAAGACCACACCATGTGAGGCTCAGGGGTTATTTCTGGTTCTGTGTTAAGGAGTAACCACTGGCAGTGCTCAGGGAACCAACCTGGGGTGTCAGGGATAGAACCAGGATCAGAGCCAAAGGGGCTGCATACAAGCAAGTAAGAACTTTACCTCCTATCCCATATCTCTGGCCCATGGTTGGTTTGTTTTTATTTTTTTAATCTTCTTGTTTTTCCTGATTCATTTTGTGAGCCAGGGTTTTAAACTACAAATGTGGCAGTAGTCAGATCAGCTGTCTCTGTACAGAAGAAAGAAAGAAGGGGTACATACATCACTGGCATTCCAGTAAGCCTTCTTGGCTCGAATGAGAATTGGCGTATCTGGAACTGGTGTGTACTTGTCCTTCATCAGTTCATACTGGGTCTTGTATTTTTTCTAAAAATAAAAAGATAGAAGAGAGAGGGGATCTTAAGTTCCAGTGTTTTTATCCTTCTCGCTCTAGGGATTTAGACTATATCACAGATCTAGACTAGGGACACAATAAATGATAGTTGCTAAGAGAATAGCTTTGCATTTGGTGTCCTGATGCTCCTGAGTATAATCTTCAGTGACAAACTCTCTGCTCAGAGGCAGCAGGTAAGGTTTAATAAAGGATTTCTTTCTTGCTTTCTTTTTTTTTTTAACTCAATGCCCCAGTGCTGAATATTTCATTTACCTCGCTGACCAAGTCCTTAACATCTTTTGCATGCTTCAGAGCTGTGGTCTGGTTTCCAGCATGATGATGAGGTCTCTCTTTGGTGGCGAGTTCAACATAAAGATACTAGATAATCAGAGAGGAGGGATCAGATGTTAGAGAGATTTCACCTTTAAAATGCTATTTTAACTCAATCCTCTTCAACCTTTTCCAATTTTTAAATGGGAGGACAGTGTTCAGTCATCCCAGTTTTTAGCTTGTTTGTTACATGTGTTTCTGTTCTTCCATTTCTCACTGTGACACAGATTTTTTGTTTTTGTTTTTATTTCTTTGGGGGTCATACCTGGTGATTCTCAAGGGTCACTCCTGGCTCTGCACTCAGGAATCATTACTGGTGGTGCTCGGGGTACCATATGGCATGCTGGGAATTGAACCTGGGTCGGCCACGTGCAAGGCAAACACCCTACCCACTGTGCTATTGCTCCAGCCTCCAGACACAGATTTTCTATGCACTGAAGTCATTGAATAGTCTTACTATTGAGTGTGGCCCACTCTAAATTCAAAACTGATAAAGAATGCGGAGAGAAGAATGAAAGAATTCTCATAGAAACTTTAACATACTTTTTTTTTAAACTATGCTTTTTCCTAAATGTTTGAATTTTGGTTTTAATTGTTTGGGATTGATAGGTCAACTGAAAGAATCACGGTCATGTTCATCTATTTGCTCATTGTTCATCTATTTGCTTGAGCGGGCCCAGTAACGTCTCCGTCATGAGACTTGTTGTTACTGTGTTTGGCATATTGAATACGTCAGGGGTAGCTTGCCAGGCTTTGCTGTGCGGGCGAGATACTCTCGGTAGCTTGACGGGCTCTCCGAGAGGGGCGGAGGAATCGAACCCAGCTTGGCCAGGCCAGGTGTGCGCAAGGCAATGCCCTACCACTGTGCTATTGCTCCAGCCCAACTGAATGAATGCTTCAAGCAATTATTTTTATTATTTGGGTAACCCAGGTGGTGGGTGTGACCCCCGCCTACTGGAATTTGGAGGATCTGGGTGGAAGATCCAGAACAGTGCAGTCTTCTGCCCCCGCGCCTGGGTGTTCCTTCCCGGAGCCCCTTGGAGGGGAGCGGGTTGAGCTTTCCTCCCCTCCCCGACCAGGGCTCCGGCAGCCAAAGACCTCCAGGACCAGCCACCACCATGCTGAGACCACCCTCCGCACACATGAAGGTACTGGCAGAGGGACAAAGCCACGCGGGTTCCGGGGCCGAGACCTCCAAGCCTACTCGAATTGGAGTTAGCAATTCCAATTCGACCCAGATCCTCCAAATTCCAGTAGGCGGGGGTCACACCCACCACCTGGCCCCCTGGCGCCATGTAATCCCATCAGCGGCCAAGACTCAGAGACTATAAAATTCAGATCCCGGAACCGCGCGGCCGCATTTGCGGCCGCGCAACATCTTATCAGAACTTTTTTTTTTATGACATCTTATTGTCTCTTTCCTACTTTGGACAAACTTGCAGGCTAGCGAATGTAGCCTGCCCACAGGGCAGAGTCTGGCAAACTCCCCGTGGCGTACCCAATATGCCAAATACCAGTAACAATGATGGGTCTCATTCTCCTAAATAGCCTTGAATATAATCTCAGGGCTAGGATGAAAGAGACGTTACTGGGGCCTGCTCGAGGCAATCGACGAATAACGAATTTGGGTAACATTTTAGACTAATACAAAAGTTAGTACTTTGAAAGAAGACTTGGCATTGCCTACTTATATAAAAATATGATCATGGTTATGATGACCCCAAAGAAATTCTTTTAAAAATTGTTGTGGGAGTTACAGCTAGTATTGCTGGGGAAGGGTATCCGGAGGAAACAGAGTGTATTGGGGATTGAACCCAGGAGTTAAACATGAAAGGTTGGTGTTATACCATTTAACCCATATCCCTAGTCCAAAGAAATGTTTAACATTAGTGGTCTTGAGCCTGCATGAATAAAAAAGCAAATGTGAGTTGACTACTGACCAGTATGGCCAGCTGCCCTTGTCTACCAACTGCAATACCAATAGGGAAGGTTGAAGAATGTTTGTTTATAGACTAGTACCTGACTCTGTAGCTTCTGCCCTCGCTTGGCTCTTAGAAGATCAGGTGTATCAGGAACTGAAGTGAAGATGGACTTCAGCTTCTTGCCCGTAGCTCTGTACACCAGCTGGATGGAAAACACAGTCATCCATTAACATGTGGTATTCTCTGCAGACACCTTGAATGCTTACTGCACAGTAAAATCTTTCCCCCTCCTCCATTGCAGCAATTTCAATAAAACAATGTTCTTCACCTCCTAGCCCTCCTTTCTAATTTTACTTCTCATATCAAAAAAGATATTCTCAAACAAGGGCCAGGAGGACTGGTTCATGGTAGAAGTTTGCCACAAAGGAGAGGGGGAGTTCAGTTAGGACAGAAAAGGAACCACTATTACAATGATAGCTGGAAATGATCGCGCTGGACAAGAACTGATTGCTGAAAGGAGGTAAAGTGATATGCATGATAATCTTTCAGTAACAGTATTTCAAACCACAGTAACTAGTGAAGAAAATAAAAGAGGAAAAAGAGAGAGACAGAGAAGAAATGTGTCTGCAATAGAGGAGGTGAAGGGTGGGGGTGCGTGTTGGAGGGAAATCTGGGGACATTGGTGGCAGGAAATATGCACTAGTGAAGGGATGGATGTTGGAATATTGTAAGACTGAAACTCAATCATGAAAGGCAGAGGAGAGATCTTCTGCCTAAGGTCACTGTCCCTGTCACTGTCCCTGTCACTGTCACTGTCCTCCCGTTGTTCATCGATTTGCTCGAGCGGGCCCAGTAACATTGTGAGACTTGTTGTTACAGTGTTTGGCATATTGAATACGTCACAGGGAGCTTGCCAGGCTTTGCCATGCGGGCGAGCTACTATCAGTAGCTTGCCGGGCTCTCCGAGAGGGGCGGAGGAATCGAACTCAGCTCAGCTGTGTTGGCCACGTGCAGAGCAAATGCCCTACCCACTGTGCTATCGCTCCAGCCTAAGGTAGGTGCCTAAAATATGAAGTTTCGAGAAGCAGTCCCTTGTGGAGACAGGTTAAGGAACCTTACCTCACTCAGGTGTGTCTTCAGCTCCTGCACTTTCCTATACTCTGGTGTGTCAAGGACCACTTGATATTTGTCACGCATCTTCCTTGCATTATCAGTGTACAGGTAATTAGACTAAAAAACAGGGAATAAAAATAATGGATCATTTCAGGAAGTGGATGTCATGCCCAAACCTCACCTATCAATTTTGTTTTGCAAGTTAAGCCGGCCCTCTCTGGGCCCTGAATGGCTTCCTAGGCAAATACAAAAGCTATTGTTACTAAATGAAGTCCACCAGAACCTTTGACAGGAGACAGAGACCCCCCATTCCTCTCCCCCACCCTTCAACCCCCCACAAAAATGGTCAAAAGATACTCATGTGGGTTCATGGTACACTTCCCATTAAAAGGGCTGGAGCCACAGGTCCTCTCTGCCCAGCCCAATGGGCCAAGAGAGGGTGTGGGAGTGAAGTAGGGGAGCTGCTGGCTGGAAGCTGGGCACTTACCCAGAGCTTGCGCAGATGCCGGGAGCGGACCATGTCAGGCGTATCATACAGGAGGCACCCCAGTCCCTTCAGGATCTGCAAGTCCTCTTTGTACTTAATCTATGTGACAAAATCGGAGATGCAGTAGGTCATGAGAAAATATAAACTAGAGACAAAGATGATAGTGACCCCTCTTTATTGATGTATCTTTTATTTTGGTTCAAGATGTTTACCGGATACTTTACTTTGCTTGCCAATAAAGAAGTCAGTTTTCCTTCCTTCCTTCCTCCCTCCCTTCCTTCCTTCCTTCCTTCCTTCCTTCCTTCCTTCCTTCCTTCTCTTCTTTCTTTCTTTCTTTCTTTCTTTCTTTCTTCCTATTTACTTTTTATTTTGGGGCCACACCAAGCAATGCTCAGAAGTTATTCCTGGTTCTGCACTCAGGAATTACTGCTAGTGGTGCTCAAGGGACCATATGGGGAGCTGGGGATCAAACCTGGGTTGGCCGCATGCAAGGCAAGTGCCCAATCTACTGTATTATCTTCCTGGTTTTCTTTCTTTTTTGAGAAATAATAGTTTGTTAATTCAAATCTCTAACCCTGAGATGACGAGAGAACACTACTACTATATCATGGGAGAAAAGTATTGAAGGGAATTTATTTGCAGAGGGGTGGGGGAGCAGTGATTCCTAAGCAGTGCTCAGGGGGATCCACAGGCCACTCCCAATAACACTAGTTCAACTAGGCTAATGGTTCAGTGTGAGCACTGTAGGATGCTTTGCTGCTCTGGCTTTTTCCAGAAACCACTGTAGCACTGTAGCACTGTCCTTCTGTTGTTCATCGATTTGCTTGAGCAGGACCAGTAACATCTCCATTTTGAGACTTGTGAGACTTGTTGTTACTGTGTTTGGCATATTAAATATGTCACGGGTAGCTTGGCAGGATTTGCCTTGCGGGCAAGATACTCTTGGTAGCTTGTCAGGCTCTCTGGAGGGGCAGAGGAATTGAACCCAGCTCGGCCAGGCTGGCTGCATACAAGGCAAATGCCCTACCGCTGTGCTATCGCTCCAGCCCCCAGAAACCACTAAGAGCACCTATTTGGTGGTCAGGCACCTCCAGGGCTATCATGCTTGGGAGTTCATGTGCTACTAGGGATTGAATTCAGGTCAGGCACAAGTAAGGCATGTGTCACAATCCCTGTATATCTCCCCAGCCTTGAAAGGAGTAGTCTTTTACTCTTGGTTTTGTGGTCACACCTAGCGGTTCTCAGGGCTACTCCTCAGGGGAATCCTAATCACTGGGGTCTGAACCCAGAAATCCTTCACACAAATCATAGAGGCCATTTTTTTGGGCTACCTCCCAGGTCTGAGAATGGTCTTTTAGGAAAAGGAGGTAAAAGACAGCAGCAGAAGGTTGCTCAAAAATGAGCAGATCGAAGATGCAAAATTGTAACAGCAGAGCTTAGAGGGTCAATGTTGAAGGGAGAGCAGTGAACAGTATTATTCTTGTATCACCCAAGCAGTCCTCTTACCAATTGTTTTAAAAGTGGGAGAAATGCAGGGTCCTACTTTCATTTCCAAGTCGTACACTCAGTTTAGAAGAACTTATTAGAAAGGACTGTTCCAAGACCACAGACTGCTCAAGGGAAGCCTACCTCAGGGTGAGAGTCCCCACAAAACTCCTACAGACACTTACGTCACTGGTGATGTCTCCCACATAGCGACAATGGAGCACATGTGGTGTGTATGGCAGTGAGATCATGTGGCCTTGCATCTTGAAGAAGTCTGATTTGTAGATCAGCTGCAAAGAAGCACGTCCAAAAACACATGTGTCAGAGATCAAGTGCTTGACATATATACCCAGTTCCACACTGTGGTTTCTTCCTCAAGAAAATACCCACCTCACTGACAGCCTCTTGTGTCTTCTTGACTTGGCGGATTTCAGGAGTGTCGGGGGTGGTATGAATCTTGTCTTTCAGTTTGTGATATAATTGTCGATACAGTCTCTATTTGGAGGGAAAAATTCCAGGTGTTTAATGAAGGATGAGAAAGAGCTATGGGTGAATCAACAAATTTCACATAAAGTGCCACAAGGATTAGGATACAGAAAATGATTGCTCTTAGATGAAAATTTTAATCTTATTTAGGGAATAATTCTAAGTACGAAATCTTGGGTTGAATGACAAAATTAAAAACACAAACAGTCCCGTAGAAAACCAGGGTCTCAAATCTGAAGGAAAATGCACGGGTTATTCAAGATGTTTGAATAGAATGGCCAAAGAAGGAATCAATTTGCATGATAATGGACTTGCAGTTCACAGTGGCAATTGTAAATAGAGAAGAGCTTGATGTGGAATGCCAGCATCAAAATGGTGAGTATAAGAACCTTTTACTCCTTGCTGATGTGTACATTTTCTGATGAGAAGAATTAATTCTTAATGTTCCTCAAACGACACAATGGTCTTTGAAACCCACTTCCCCCCAGTCCCAATGGGAAAACACAGTACCTCGCTGGTCACATTGTTGACCCTTCGGACATTGACAAATGGAACATCATTGGGTCCAAGTGTATATCCATTTGCCTTGATGTGTTCATAAGCTTCTTTGTACTTGAACTGAAAAAGTAAGTAGAGAGACCACTGATTTGTAAGCAAAGAGCAGATCTCTATTTTGCAAATGAATGAGGGCGTTTGCATTTGAAATTGACTCTTTAACCAATAACTAGAGAAAAAAATAAAAAGAACAAAATTTAGATGCTAAATCAAAAACCTTTTGAGGTTGCCCTTCAGAATCTGGGAATCAAGCCTGATGGCCTTGCAGAGCCTGTGACCCAATAGTATGGCTCCCAAAGTAGAGTCACAAAGAGAAAAATCTAATATATCTTTTTTAAAGATCAGTTCCCAAAGTCACTCAAGCAGTCTTCAAATATTGTTGCTTTTTTTTTGCATTTTCTAATTTATTCCCCATGATGGAGCTAAAATTATAGGTTATCTAGTAGGTTTCAAACATCCCTATACAGACTTTCATCAAGATAACACTAAATATTAGTCCTTTCTAGATCTGGTTTTATTAACTACCAAAGTAATTCCTAAGGTTTGATTTAGCATCATATCTTTCTAAATAAGTTTCAATAAAACGATTTTATTTATTTTTAGTTTGTTTTGTTTGGGGGGTCACACCTAGTGATACTCATGGGTTACTCCTGGCTCTGTACCCAGAAATTACTCTTGGAGGTTCTGGGAGGACCATATGGGATTCTGGAGATTGGACCTGTATTGGTGGTTTGCAAGGCAAACACCCTACCCACTGTACTATTAAAAAAACTACTTTGCTACACACACACACACACACACACACACACACACACACACACACACCTCTCAAAATAACCAAAAAAAAAAAGAAGAAGAAGAAAAAGAAAAAAATTGCAATTTCAGTATATGATGGGATATTTTGGGATGCTCTTAAGCCTGATGGCTTCCCAAGCACTGCTGACTAATTCCATATTATCTCTGGAAAATGAGGTCTCTCCTCCCGTTTATTTTAATCACACTGAAACTTCAGGGTGTGACTGACGGAATGAGATTGGGCTCTTAATGTGTGCAGGTGTCCCCCAGCCCAATTCTGACCCCATCTTCATGGGGAGGAGGCTACTTACATAACTGCTCATGTATCGGGTATCCTGGATATGTTTGAAATGAGGGGTGTCAACAGGAAGTCTATATCCAGTGGGCAGGGAGCGCAGGCCAGCTCCTCGGTACAGATTCTGCCAGAACACAAAAGAGAAAGTTAAATGACATCTGCATGAATGAGCTGACCCCAGGGAAACCAATCCTGTACAGCTCACACAGCTTTCCATCAGATATTTAATGTATTAATGTTCCCTGGCTCAATCTGAAGGAAAAATTAAACCCCCAGTATCAGGGAGTGCTCAACCTATTGTTTTGGAAAAAGAGAGCAAAATGTGAAGGAACCCACAGGAATGAATCTTTCTGTGCTTCTGAGCAAGCACCTAGCTGAGTGTACATTGCACTGCAAGGATGTAGAGAAAACTGGTGATCAAGAAAAACCTTGACCATTCACCCCCTTGGATTATATTTAAGGCATCATGAGTGGCGGAGGCAGTCCTCATCACAGGATTCCCCCTCCCTCATAAAAAAAGCATGTGGCTGTAGGCTGGGCTGAGAAATAGATGCTCAGCTCCTGGCTGTGGCAGAAAGTTTCTGTCTAAGCATCTTTATCTGTCATTCAGGGAAACTAGAGACATAAGAACAGTATTTCAAATATTTTTTTTAAATAAACAAGCATTTTAAAAAATGTTCAATATAGCAGGGTAGCATTAAAGCAAAGATCAAAGTGGCAGCACCAGGTGACAATATGGATATTAAAGCATGAGTGGAATCCAGTTTTCTTCTTTTCTAAAATCTGGCAGCAGCAATTTCTAGTGTTTTTTTTTTTCTTTTTGAGTCACACTCAGAAATGCTTGGGGGTTACTCCTTGCTCATGCACTCAGGAATTACTTCTGGCGGTACTTGGGGGACCATATGGGGTGCTGGGGATTGAACCAGGGCCAGCCATGTGCAAGGTAAATGCAACTCACACAAATAAAACTGCATGAGCTCAAGCTAACAGTGTTCAAGTCAGGGTCACATCTCCAGAGGCCTTGGACTGGCCCTGAAGTTGGCTGTGTCCTGGAGCTCTCTGTGCCAGCATTCTGTCAGTTCTCACCTCACTCTGCAGCTTGTATGCGTGAAGAGCCCGGTCTAGATCCACAGTTTTCGTCGTTGGAGCCACTTTGCCTCTGACACTGTTCACATAGTCATAGTGGTAGACAGCCTGGGTGCAAAGAAAGGCAAAGGGAGTTGCTTTGAAATTGTCAGCAAAATGCCAAGTTATGTGGAGACCCATGTCTTTCTTATAGTAAAAAGACAGTCTGCGGGGGGGGGGGGGTGGAACTTGGGGATAGAGTACATTCCTCATCTGTGTAAGACCCTAGGCTTCATCCTGGCACCATAAAACAAAAGCACAAAGAAGACACCCCAGAGACTGTCACAGTGGTCCTGGTAATCCCAGCACCTCTGTGTCAGAGTGTCGAAGTATCAGGCCCACACAGTGGGGTCCAGCATCCTCCAGAGGGGCCCAGTGCCACTTGAGCCCTGCTTGGGAGACAAAAACAAAATTATTGCCTCCAAAACTATATCTGCCATGTTACTGTGTCTTGTCCAATGAGATCAGAGTCAGCGTGTGGACCTCATGCTGAAAAGGAAATGAAAGGTCTGGCTCAGGCAAGAGAACAATGGGTGGTTAAACCACTCTGAGTCTAAATAATAGGCTTCCAAGCTTTCTTCCCTAGGAGGATAGAACAGGGATTCACTAACCATTGAGGTTACTACAGATCAGTCCCTTCCTGTCTGTCCTGGTCTGAGTCTGGGCACACAGTGGCTGCTAACAGACTCCTGCCCCGTGGTACATGGGAAGGTACGGAGGCACAGAGGGATTATGTGACCCATATTCAGAGATGATGTGCAGGAGAGTCTGGTCTCTGAGGACATCTCTGAATCCCATCTCATTTGTTCTCGTTTATTAGAAGACCTAGACAGGGAGGCAGAAACCAGCACTCTGGAAACAAAAACTCAACCCTACACGCTTTAAAACACCCAGAATTCCATAGCTTTAAGAGGCTCACAACTCCGCTCAAGGGAACTCTTGGAGTGCATTCCAAGTTAGAGGCAAGAGCAGGATCCTAAGTGCTCTCAAGGACACTAGCTTGGGCTTCCAGGTGGAAAAGGAACAGGACTGCCCAACCTTGGTTTTGCTTTGCTACTCCTGCCCAAGAAGCCCCTCCCCTGGACACACTTTATTGCTGTATTGCGTATTTATTGTGAATTTAATAGCAATACACTCACATCACTGAATTGCTTTCCGCTTTTGACAGCCTGCACATACAGTGGGGTGTCGGTGACCAGGTTGTAGTCATTCCTTGTCTTCTGAACATGAGCTTTGTACTTGATCTGTGCAGAGAAAGCAAGAGTGTCAGTAACTCCTTATCAGGCAGCAGACTCTGCTTTGCACAGCTTGATTCTGAACTCCAGGCATTTACATTCATTAGCATTTACTCAACAGAATAGGATGTGTTTGAATTTTATGGCAATCAGTGTAATTAATGCTTAGGATCACAAGGAGCTTCTAGAGTCTGCTAGGAGGCTTGGCAGAGGCTCTTCTAGCCTAGTTGAACTTTCTTTCTCAAGTCTTGATTACACTATTAATTTGCTGATGATATGCCTCTTCTTACAAATAGATTCTGTCTATAACATTACAAATTCTCCGCAAATGAGATTTTCCTATACCAGAATCACATGCTCATTCATTTACCTCAAATAAACCAAACTGAACAGCCAGGGTCCCTTCGGCAGAGTATAACAGGACAGTTTGTGCACACTGATAGAGTTGCAGACAGAAAGATGGGGGGGGGGTGGCCCTGGTATAGCAAGTTGGGAAAAACATTGTCTAGAACCTGAACCAGCCCAATGGCATAAAAACCTTTGACCCCAAGAAACCATTTTAGGAGCCCAGAAAATGACTGAGATGCAGAATTCCAGGCTAGTTACAAGGATGGCTCCTGAGAGGTAGCCATATCCATTGGAGGAGAGACTCCATTGCTGGAATAAAAGTTGTGCTAAGAACATCAAAAGTCCATCAACTGCTCCAAAATCTCCCTTTTGGCAACCACCCTAGCAATGGACTGTGGTGGGGGTCGTTTAGGAAAACTCTGTATAAACTAACTTGGTAGAGAGAGAGGCGAGCACTTTCCCCATGTCCTCTTGAGATGTGGACTTTCTCGGCTTTTCCTCAAAGACCCACATCTGTCTGAGAAATGGACTTCATTGCTTTCAGGTGCATTTTTCCCACTCTGGGAGAGATGGTCCACATGTCCATGCTTGGGTGTGTACTTATTTTTGGTACTCTGAAGAAGCCTGTGCTTTTTTATCTCCCTCCCTCTAGAGGTCCCTCCCTTTAGTTCTCGATTAACTTGTTTTACTTCACTAGTCCTTTCCTCCTGAAATTCTTTTCTGTGAGGAAAGGTGCCAGACCTGAAAAGCCTGGGTAAGGTCTAGGACTCACTTTCCTTTCCCGCAAAGAACAATTCTTGCTTCAGTCTGAGTCCATGATTTCTCGAGAAATCATGCCAAATATACATCATTTCTCATGCCAACAAATGGAACAAGTGAACTCAGGTGCAGCTTGCTGGCTGTCTCATTGGGCTGGTGAGATTCGAGGTCTATATCCTACAGAGCTTCATTGCGGATTTCATCAGTCCTAGATTTCCCAGGCACTTCCCCAAGTGATCAAGATGGGTAGAGAAGGAAGCAATTAATTTGCTTCTTGAGGCTGTCTCTTTTCCCTTCCTCACTTCACTGGTGGGTATTGCATCTCTTACAAGGAAAAACAGGAATGCCTTCCTAAGAAATGGCATTTGTTTTAACATAATGCATTTGTAAGAAATGGAGTCTATAGCCACACCATCCTGAATGCACCCAACCTCTTCTAAGAAATGGAAAAAGGTGCACTTCGAAGAAATGGCTGCTCGCTGTTCCCTGACATCTTTCTCCAGCTCATCCATCCTCAAGATTGTTTAAGACACATCTGACCAGTGACTATGTCTCTACTTACCATATGTAGGGACTTAGATTCCATAGACAAAGAATGATATTAAGCAAAAACAAACAAACAAACAAAAAAGCAAAGGGACAAAAAAAAAACAAGGAAAACTCACATCATTACGCAGATCATAAGCATGCTTTGCATGGAGAATTTCAGGAGTGTCCCACACGTAGCAACCAATGCCTTTGAGCCAGTTGAGGTCGTCCTTGTACACAATCTAGAAGATTGCAACAGATGGAAAGGGTGAGAAAAGAAAAATTGGACCATCACTTTAACACCAAAGACCCTGGGCACTTCTGGGTCCAAGATGAATGAAGGTCACTTGGGGCCGGAGCAATAGTATAGCAGGTAGGGCATTTGCCTTTCATGTGGCTGTCCCAGGCTCAATCTCCAGCATTCTATATGGCCCGTAAGCACCACCAGGAGTATTCCTGAGAAAGAGCCAGGAGTAACCCCAGAGCATCGCTGGCTGTGACCCAAAAAACAAAGCAAAACAAAAAATTTGGAAGTCACTGATGCCATGAATGCAAAGGCAATAAAAGCCTTGCTTCTAAGGGACAGGTCTGGCAAGCAGTCAGACTCATGAAGAAAATGGAGATTAACCATGGAAATAGGCTGAGGAAGGAAGAAGTGAGTCAGCTTCCTGTGAGGGGTCAGCACCGGGGAGGGGGGGAGAGGGGGCTAAGGAGGGGGCATACTTTCAAGCAACAGACTTACATCACTGATCTGATCTGTGACTCTCCTGACATGATCATTGATTTGCAAGTCAGGGTGGCAAATCCACTCATGGAGGTGTAGGCGGTAATCAACCTCACTGACTTTCTTCTGAGTATCCTTAGCAGTGACCATCTCCACCATGTCAGGCACCATGTGGATTTTCATCTTGTTCTGTTCATACACTGACCTGTACAGGCGCTGGGAAGTGAAAAATAACATGGCAGTTAGATGGGAAATGGCACAGGGGATCAACTCTAAAGGTAAAGGTAAAGGCCCTCCCATTGTTCATCGATTTGCTCGAGCGGGCCCAGTAACGTCTCCATTGGAGATTTTGTTGTTACTGTGTTTGGCATATCGAATACATCACGGGTGGCTTGCCAGGCTCTGCCATGTGGGCGAGATACTCTCGGTAGCTTGCCGGGCTCTCCGAGAGGGGCGGAGGAATCGAACTCGGGTCGGCCATGTTGGCTGCGTGCAAGGCCAGCGCCCTACCGCTGTGCTATCGCTCCAGCCCTCTATACCAAGAAAATTAAGGTAGCTAATCAACTTTCATAGTCAGCCATGAGCAGAGTGTGTGTTGGGAACCAGAATCCACATTGCTGGGGTCCAGATATGGAATACTGTCCTGGAATGCTGACCCTGGGAGGGGTCTTGTCAGCTCGATCTCTGGTTCCTCTCCTGGAAGAATTTCTCCTTGTAAAAGCCCTTTACATTTATGTTTATCCTGATAAACTAAAGCTCTCAGATATGTAACAATCTAACCCACAGAGATTAAGATTGTTACGCACCTGACCAAAGAGTATTGCTCCTTTTTTTTTTTGCGGGGGGGGGGGGGGGGGTCACACCCAGCGATGCACAGGGGTTACTCCTGTCCTTTGCACTCAGGAATTACTCCTGGCGGCACTCAGGGCACTGGGATGCTGGGGATCAAATCCAGGTCTGTCCCATGCAAAGCAAACACCCTACCCACTTAACCATCACTCTGGCTCCAAATATTGTTCTTTTAATGATTATTGGTTCGAAGGAATAAATACTGTTTGTAGAGGATAGTCGGGACTTTCAGTCCACAAGACTGTGAGCCCTCTGACCTCACACTTTTTCTCTCACTTCTGTCTCTTTTCTTAATCCCTTGCAGCATCCCTGCTTCAGGACTGTTCACCTGGGGCTATTCCCTGGCAGATTTTCTGGCACTTTCTATTGATGGTGAGAAAAGCAGTATGCACTGCAACGATGATAGTTTCTTCACAGATATACCTTCTAATTTAAACCATGCTGATTCACGATTTGGGGTTACTTCACCTGGTTTCAACCCCAGTAGGCCTTTGAGATTACTTACATCAATGTTATATTTGCCGACTCGAAGGCATCGTGCTGTATTTGGGTCATCTTCAACACTTTTTGGTAAAGTATAAAGAGCTTTGAACTTCTCGTATTCTTCCCGATATTTGTTCTAAAGAGAGAAAGCAAAAAGGCAAAGACTTCATTTGGAGAGTAATGGATAAACATGGTTAAAAGAGCAGGAATCTTAATGGGAAGGACCTGATTATAGGATCCAGCTAACTGGGGTGATCACTTCTCTGAGTTTGTTTCTTATTTGTGCACAGACGTAGAGCTAAGGTCCCAGAAGCTATTGCAGAGTTACCCTGGGATTAAATCAGACCTTATCTAGAGAGGGTATGGGGGAAATTGCCATAGAGACAGGGGGAGGGTTAGGGTGATATTGGAGTCATTGGTGGTAGAAAATGTGCACTGGTGGAGGGATGGGTGTTCGATCACTGTATGACTGAAACTCAAACATGAAACCTTTGTAACTGTACCTCATGGTAATTCAATAAAAAAAAGTTAAAAAACTACACTCTATCTGAAAGTACTTTTGAAATGGTAGACAACTAGTTATGTAAATGCTTAAGAATTCAAAACCAATCTTAGCACTTCTATTGCTACTGCAAAAAATTTATTTTAAAGATTATGCCAATGATTTTTTAAGTGTAATTAGGTAACATTACTACAATAGTGTTAATGTTTATGGGTTTCATGTAAAAAGTTACTGCACCATCAGCACCACTAAAATGCCTTTTACCCTCACCACTGTTTTAATGTCACTTCTTGCTTGTCTAGTTTTCCTCCTCTTCTTCTCCCCCTACTGCCTGATATTCTGTTTTGTAATCCAAGGCCAAGGGTCTGTCATCCTTTGACATTGTATACTCTCTTTTTGTGTCTCTCTATACCACCAAGGAGTGAGATGATCTGGTGTCTGTCCTTCATCTGACTCACTTAGTTTAACATATCCTCTAGTTTTATCTATGTTGCAGTGGACTGCAAGGTCTCAAAAGATCATGTAATTTTTAAGTGGCCTCTTTGTGATTATGGCTTTATTTTTCTTTCCTTTTTTTTTTTTGCTTTTTGTGTCACACCTGGCAATGCACAGGGGTTACGCCTGGCTCATACTCTCAGAAATTACTCCTGGTGGTGCTCGGGTAACCATATGGGATGTGGGAATCGAACCCAGGTCGGCCGCGTGCAAGGCAAACACCCTATCTGCTGTGCTATCGCTTCAGTCCAGCTTTACTTTTCTTAACCATAAACAGAGACAACAAATATGTTCAAAAATGTTTTCCCACAATGAGATACCATCTCACACCTCAGAGACTGGCCCACATCCAAAAGAACAAAAGCAACCGATGCTAGCGCGGATGTGGCGAGAAAGGGACACTCCTTCACTGTTGGTGGGAATGTCCACTGGTTCAGCCCTTCTGGAAAACAGTATGGACGATTCTCAAAAAATTAGAAATTGAGCTCCCATTTGACCCAGCAATACCACTCCTGGGAATATATCCCAGAGAGGCAAAAATGTATAGTCGAAGTGACATCTGCACTTGTTTGTTCATTGCAGCACTCTTTACAATAGCCAGAAACTGGAAGAAACCTGAGTGCCCAAGAACAGGTAACTGGTTAAAGAAACTTTGGTACATCTACACAATGGAGTACTATGTAGCTGTTAGAAAAGATGAAGTCATGAAATTTATATGCAAGTGGTACAACATGGAAAGTATCATGCTAAGCGAAATGAGTCAGAAAGAGAGGGATAGACATAGAAAGATTGCATTCATCTGGGGAATATAAAGTAACAAAATATGAGATTAATACCCAAGAATAGCTGAGATCAGCACCAGGAGGATTACTCCATACCTTAGAGGCCAGCCGGACATTCTATGGGAAAGGGCAGCTCAGATAGAGAAGGAAGCACCAAATAAAGGGTGTTTGGAGGATCCTCCCAGGAGGGGGGATGCATGTTGAAAGTAGACTATGGACTGAACATGTTTGCCACTCAAAGCCTCTTTTGCAGACCACAACACCCAATAGGAGAGAGAGAACACAAGGGGAATGCCCTGCCACAGAGGCAGGGTGGGATGGGAGGGATGGGGGTGGGAGGGATATTATCCATGGTGGTGGAAAATGGGCACTGGTGGAGGGATGGGTATTTGATCATTGTATAATCGAAACCCAAGCACAAAAAATTGTAAATCTACAACTGTACTTCATGGTGTTTCACTAATAATAATAAAAAAAAGCAAAAAAAAATTTAAAAAATGTATTTGTTTTCAACTACTGACAAAACTGATGTCAGACATGGTGCTTGAATTTGTTTCAACCTTTAAAAAAATATAATATAAACTAACTTCTATGAAAAAAGTAAATTTTAAGGATTGAAGGGGAGTGCTAATACTTTTGCTTTTATTTTCCTGTGGCGTCAAGAACTGAATCCAAGTCTTATGCATTCAAGGTGTATACTCAACTGCTAAGCCATATTTCTATTTTTAAATTTTAAGTTTTAAAAGGAAAGCTCAACCCGCTCCCCTCCAAGGGGCCCCGGCGAGGAACAGCCAGGTGCAGGGGCAGAAGACTGCACTGTTCTCGTCCAGGAACTGGATTTTATAGTCTCTGAGTCTTGGCTGTTGATGGGATTACACGGCCCCAGGGGGCCAGGTGGTGGGTGTGACCCCCGCCTACTGGAATTTGGAGGATCTGGGTGGAGGATGCTCGACTCCAATCCGAGTAGGCTTGGAGATCTCGGCCCCGGAACCCGCGTGGATTTGTCCCTCTTTCCTCCCTGCCTCGACCAGGGTTCCGGCAGCCAAAGACCTCCAGGACCAGCCACCACCATGCTGAGACCACTCTCCGCACACATGAAGGTACTGGCAGAGGGACAAATCCACGCGGGTTCCGGGGCTGAGAACTCCAAGCCTACTCGGGTTGGAGTCGAGCATCCTCCACCCAGATCCTCCAAATTCCAGTAGGCGGGGGTCACACCCACCACCTGGCCCCCTGGTGCCGTGTAATCCCATCAATGGCCAAGACTCAGAGACTATAAAATCCAGCTCCCGGAACCGCGCCCGCTTTCGCGGCCACGCGACATCTTATCAGGACATCTTTTTATGACATCTTATTATCTCATTCCTACTTTGGACAAACTTGCAGGCTATGGAATGCAGCCTGCCCGCAGGGCAGAGTCTGGCAAACTCCCCGTGGCGTACCATATATGCCAAATACCAGTAACAATGATGGGTCTCATTCTCCTAAAGAGCCTTGAATATAATCTCAGGGCTAGGATGAAAGAGACATTTCTGGGGCTTGCTTGAGGCAATCGACGAATAACAGGATGATGAAATGAAATGAAATGAAAGTTTTAAAATTAAATTTAGTTTAATATTTTTGAGTCATATTTCTTATCCCTTACTTTGAGTTCATAAGCCATACTGTCTATCAATTAATGTTCCATGGTTTGATGAACCTGGAGACTGAGATCCAAACTCCTAGCACAATATAAAACAATTGCCTCACAACTTAAGAGGCCTACATCTTAGGAAAGAAGTTGATGACAATAATATTTGTGTGAAACTGTCAGTGAAGAATTTTCACTGACTGGAAACCAACCAAAATTTCCATCAGAGTGTTCTAGAATATTAGTTTACATGTTTTTTTACATATAAATTGCCCCTCAATTATAAAGAAGATAGTATTCAATTATAAAGAAGATAGTATTCAAGGGTACATTTTCTTTTTGGGTCACACCTGGTGATGCTCAGGGATTACTCCTGACCCTGCACTCAGGAATTACTCCTTGTGGTGCTCAGAAGATCAAAGAGCTGCCAGGGATCAAACCCAGGTCAGCTGTGTGCAAGGCAAAATGTTCTACCAGCTGTATTGCTCTGACACCTTAAGGATAGTTTTTTAAAAATAAATTGCACTTGGAATCCTCCTCTTACAAGATTTATTTCTCTATGTCTCACCTTGTTCCAATAACAATTTACTGTAAAATATTCTGACAACCTTCTAACTCCTATCTATAAAATAATCTCTTCCCAAAGAAAAATTTTGCTCCCTTGGGCTAGTCTGCTTGTAATCTTCTGATGAGAGTTGGGTCCAGTGAATATCATGAAAATTAGTTTTACTCTTCAGGTAGAAATGAAGTTAATTCTAATATGGACTAATAATGTCTTTAGGCCCATTAGAAGGAAATGAAATAGGTTCACTAGGTGTATTTGTTTCAATAGGTTCAATAGGTTGTATTTGTTTATCTGAAGGTGCTCAGGGCTTACTCTTGTTTTGTGCTCAGGGATCATTCCTGGTGGTGCTCAGGGACCATATTTGGTACTGGTGTTTGATGTTGGGTTGGCTGTATGCAAGGCAAACACCTTACCTGCTGTACTATTTCTCGAACCCTATTTTTTAGAAAAAATTATTTGAAGCCATCAGAGGTTAGGGGTCTGGGAGGAACTCCCAGTGATGCTAGACCAGCTGGACCAGCATTATTAGTGCTCCCCAGGGCCACAGCAGCAGTGCTCAGAGGAATGCGATACTAGGAATGACCTCTGAGCTGTCTCCCAAACTTTGGCTCTCATTTAAATAAATAGATTATAAAATATTTGAGTTCATTAACTTTATATAGCAGAAGTCGTCTTCTGTAAAACATTTATCTCAGGCAGAACACACAGAAACCTTACTTGTGAGCATGGATGTGTGTTGACAGGTTATATGAAACAAATGTATTATGGAGGATAGTGATTTTTACAAAGCTAAAGACAAAAATGGTTAAAGAAACACCTACTCTAAAATATATAAACTGTTTATAGTTAATCGGTAAAAGTTTCAATTGATTCTGAAAGAGAACTATTTTAAGTGGAACTGCGATAAAGATCACTGGGGATTTTATTTTATTCTATTCTATTTTTGCTGTTGATTTTGGTCCTCATCTGGCTATGCTCAGAGCTTAGTCCTGATTCTGATTCTATGCTCAGGGGCAACTTCTGCCAAGGCTCAGAAGACTATATGAAGATATGTGTTCCAGAGTTCAACTCAGGGTCAGCTGGACAAGACAAGCACCAGAACCCTTGTATTATCTCTTTGCCTCCCTACAATGAAAAATTCTTATTTATTTATTTATTTATTGAATCACTGCGAGATATAGTAACAAAGCTTTCATGATTGAGTTTCAATCATAAAATGATCAAACATCCATCGGGGGGGGGGGACCAGTGTACATTTTCCACCACCAGTGTTCTCAGTATCCCTCCCGCCAACCCCAACTAGGCCCAACCCCTGCCTCTCTGACAGACAGTTTCCTTCTTACTCTCTCTCTACTTTTGGGCATTATGGTTTTCAATATAGATACTGAGATACCATCATGTTTGGTCCTTTATCTACTTTCAGCACATATCTGCTATACTGACCAATCCCTCTAATCATCATTGACTTAGACAATGAAAAAAGTTTAATGCCTATACCTAATAAAATTTATTTCTTAAAATAAATTTCAAGACTCTCTTTTATGTTTTCCAGAGCATATAAACATGTTCTCTCCTGAACACATAAGCATGTAATTCTCTCTCTCTGTTATCATATTTCTCTAAATAAAACTATTTTACTTTGAAAAGGAAAATTTTAAGTAGAACTGAAAAGGTTTAAAAGGTTTTATGTTTACAACTATAGCATGATTATATACTTTTTAATCATCTATTTGAAAATGGTATAAAAACTGTCATTCTCTTGTGAATTTTTTATTCCAAATCATGGGATTTATATGGATAAGTCTATTGAAAAAGAAGCTCTGGGACTGGAGCGATAGCACAGAGGGTAGGGCATTTGCCTTGCACGCGGCCAACCCCGGGTTCAATTCCCAGTATTCCATATGTTCCTCGGAGCACCGCCAGGAGTAATTCCTGAGTGAAGAGCCGGGAAGTCCCTGTGCATCGCTAGGTGTGACCGAAAAAGCAAAAAAAAAAAAAAATTCTAAGTTCTATTTTTTCTTCTTTTCACTTCTGGCTAAAACGCAGTAGTGCTGACCCTAGAATAAGGGTTTGAATTGTGGAGGCATTTTTTTTCTTCCCGTGGCTCAGTATTTCTTGTTTCAACTGAACACATTCATGATTGGATGACCCCCACTGTCACGGACAGTGGGATCTGCCTTAGAATTCCCACTTAATATTGTAGGTTTTCAACTGTGTTGGGATACCCTATCCTGGGGCTGTTCCAGGGTATGTTTACCCAGCCCTGTGCAGATATGCATCTCAAGGGCTACATCTGGGTCTTTCCTGCAAATTTGTGATTGTAGACTTCAGGGCCCTTGGCAGGAAGAAAAAACCACACAGACTTGGTGATAAGTGAAAGTCTGAAAGTACTTATTGGTACACTCCTGCACAAACTTGGGGGAGCTTCTGGGTAATAAGCACTTAGCCAGAAGTACCTGTGGAAGCAAAGGTGGGCAGAAGTGCATGAGAAGGTTATATGACTTACAATGCTGGATAGATCCTTCTGGTTCTTGGCATGGGTCAGGGAGACCGTAGTGGGAGGCAGGACATAGCTGGTGGCTTTCACCTTATCCCACGCTTCCTTGTACAGGTTCTGCAGGGGCAAGAAATATTTTTGTGATATCAGAAAAATGCAGGCTAATTGGTTTCTGGAGAATGGATTTTTCCCTTTGCATTTTTTCCCTTCTTAAAAAACTCTCTGGTGCCACTCAGCAGGGTCTAAATACACCTAAGTAAATAAGTGGCTTAATGCCACTACCATAATTTCACAGCCCATTATTTTGTTCACTACCACAGTACTTATCACAGTTGGATAGTTATCAGACTTTCGGATGTCTATTCTATTTATTCCCCATCAGCCTAGGAATTTATGGGAAATGAAAACCACTAACATTTTAAAAAATTCTATTATTTATTCCTACCCTTTCTTTTAGTGCTAGTGGGAACTCCAGAATGCTACCACTCTTATGTATTCATGTTCCCTACATATTTGTGTTCCCACAAAAAACCTATAAGCAAACATGCTTAACAGTTTTATTTCTAATTGTCAAAATCAGAAAAACAACTCAGACATCCTTCAACTGTGAATGGAAAAGAGGCTGTGGTGTATCCATGCAGTGCAGTATCATCTGAAACAGAGAAAATTGCTGATCTATACACAAATGTGCATAATAAATAAGTTCATATTGGCTATTGTGTAATTCAACTTACATGACATTCTGGAAAGTATAAGTACGAGGGCCAAAAATACCTCGGTAGATGACAAAGGAAAGAAAGGCAGAAAGAGGGAAATTAGGGGGAATATAAAGACTTTTTCTACATTTTGATTGTGGTGGCAATACTATGCATTTTTTAAAGGTCATACTTCTAAATACAACAAAAAGTCTGATTTACATTGTATAAATGAAAACAAAGAATGAGCTAGCATTGAGGAGAGGGCCAAAATGGAAAACAACCCCTAACAAATAAGTATAATTACATTATAAATGCATTGAAGGCTATACTGAAGGAGATGGAGAAGAAAACAACTAATTTGTTTTGGAAAATGATATTTGATTGGATACTCTAAGACTAGAGACAAAAATAACCACAAATACAAAATGTACTCTAGCTAGTACATTTATTTCTTATAGAGGTATGGAGTTAGCAACTCTGAAAATGCTTTATGTACAAATGAGACTGAATAATTAAAAAAATTTATTGATAAGGAAAAATAGATGTAAAAATTGAAAACAATAGGGGAAGAAAGAACGCTCAAATGAACTCAATGGTGCTGAATCTACATTTGAGGTTATCAGTATGAATGTATGAGAGTTGAATAAATACAGAAATAAATATTGATACAGATTATACTTCCTATACGTGTGTGTATATATATATATTTAACATGTGTGTGTATATATATTACTAAGCTCTGTTTACTTTGAGGTTCATCTAGCATGTGATACCCCAGTAGCAATGAGTACATTTAGTGCTTAGGTTTTGGTTTTGAAAGAGCATTCTCCAACACACAAATCAAGGTTGCTTGGTGAAGTGGTTTGCAAGAAGGAAAATACAAGATAAGTTTAGATTAAATAAGTCCTGTAGTATCATAAAAGAAGTGCTCAAAACTATAATGATAAGGCATGCCAAAGGAACCATGTGACAAAGAAGCCCTATGACAAAAGCTAAAACAATCTGAGTTACAAAATACTAGCATTAGACTCTATCCCACAGGATATCTGAGTCATATTGACATAAACAAACAACAGAGAAAGGTCAGTCGTATTTTTACAGAAGAATCCCAGTGAATAAATTTGAAAAGAATAGGGAAAGCCACCAGTCAAGTATTCCATGGTAATGATTGTGGCCAGCAAGATCTACGAATGGATGTTTAAAAATGTGAGAGGAAAAATCACTCCTGGTGGGCTTGGGGGATCATATGGAATACCAGGGATTGAACCCAGGTCAGTCACGTGCAAGGCATGCGCCCTACCCACTGTACTATTGCTCTAGCTCATAATTTCTTAGTTTTGAGAATCACACTAACAGAGACAAGTATATGGTAATTCTCTGTACTGTTCCTGCAACCTTCCTGTAGCACTGCACTGTAGCACTGTCCTCCCATTGTTCATTGATTTGCTCGAGTGGGCACCAGTAACGTCTCCATTGTGAGACTTGTTACTGCTTTTGGCATTTCGAATATGCCACGGGGAGCTTGCCAGGCTCTGCCGTGTGGGCAGAATACTCTCCATAGCTTGCCGGGCTCTCTGAGAGTGACGGAGGAATCAAACCCTGGGTCGGCCTTGTGCTATCATTCCAGCCCACAATCTTCTTGCAAGTCTAAAGTTATCTTTAAGTTTTTAAAGTGTTTGTTAAATTAACAATTGAAGAGGAGTAAAAAATGCCATTGTTAGTCGGTAAGGCACTGACCACTGAAGAAGGCAGAGAAGGACATGTTTAGGGTCAACCGGAGAAGTGCTTCAGTGGTCCTATAAGCACTGAGAAAGAAATTGCTGAACTTATGTTGACTGTGTTAGAAATAGTGCTATATTCAACAGGGTCATACTTAGTTATAATAAGGAGGATTTATGAGATAAAGTAGGAAAGTAAAGGTCCAGGGAAAACCTTATACAACCTCTGGGTCCAATGCCTTTTCATTTTCTTGTTTTATTATCTCTGAAGGGGGAGAAAGCAGCTCAAGGATAAGAGAGAAAACAACTCACACTGCTATAAAGATCCTTCAGGCTCTTGGTTCTGTCATGATCCACTGTGTCTACAATTGTGGTGTATTTGTCCTTAATCCGATGATAGTTTTCTTTATATTTTACCTACAGACAACAACAACAAGAAGAAAGTTTATATTAAAATTATCTAAGGACAATAATGATTTGTCTCAACAGAGAAGTACAAGGAAAACGCACCTCACTGGCATTAATGCCACTCTGATGAGCAGTCACATACACTGGGGTGTCTGTTACCAGATTGTAATTAGGTAGATTTTCTTTGCTGGCTGCTGTATATTGTATCTGTGAGGAAAAGAAAAAGTCACAGTAATGGTGAAATACAGCTTCAGTAATTTTTTAAACTTAGTGAACATTTATTTATTTATTTATTTACTTCTGGCTTCCACTTTAATCCTAATACAGACTATCATTCCGTACTCCTGAAAACTGGATGGCTGTCTACAATAAGAATTTCTCTTGATCAAGAGCAGGACCTGGAACTTTGCCAGGTCCCTTCAGTTTATTGTTTTTCTACACAGGGATCATCTTTGATAGCAAGAATTCTGAAACCCCAGTCAGGCATTCCAATATTCTACCCCATCAGAGTTGAAATTCTATGGGAGATTTTCCAAATGTCTTTAAAAAAAAACACTTCAAACCTAATTAGCTATGGTTAAAGTGTATACTCAAATTGACTCTGCAAGTTAATCTGATCAACTAAGGAATAAATGCTTGGAAGTTCACTACTGAATCCCTCTCAGAGAACTTTATGTTAATGTCTAAACCTCCAGGAGAGACTCAAACTAAAAAAGGATCAGAACATGCTTTTAAAAACCAGAGGAGTTTTTATTTATTTGTTGTTGTTTTTCTGGCCACACCTGGATGTATTCAGGGATTACTCCTGGATCTTTGTTCAAGACTCACTCCTAGAGAGTCTCAGGATCATATGAGGTGCCTAGGGATTGACTCTGGGAAGGTCATGTGCAAGGCATGGACCCTGCCCACCGTACTATCTCTCCAGTCCCCCAGGAGAGTTTTTATTGGTTTCTGTTTCTGCTAAATCGTGCACTGTTTTAGTTTTTTCTCTAACCGATCATGGACATCCTTGCTATCACTTGCTAGCACCATGGAATTCCTTAACCTAGCATGATCTGGTTCTTCTCAGAAGATTGCTCACCTGACTCTGTAGGTCGTATGACTTCTTGGCATGGAGAATCTGGGGTGTATCCCAAACGTAGCATCCAATACCTTTCAACCAATTCAAGTCATCTTTATATACATTCTGCAAGAGTAAAAAGTGAAAGGTGACTGATACTAAAATGAATTTGTTCATAATTTCCTACCAGCCCTTGGTCCCAGTCAAGCGCTAACAAAGCAGTTAGCAGGTGGACCTCTCAACTGCTGGATGATATTTAGCACCCTAGTTTTAGGGAGCTCAGGAGGATGCCAAAAGCTAGGGCTAGCAGTGAACAGATGAAATGTTTAACAAAGGTGTCTCATGACTCAGAGAGGAGTCTAACACGAATCAACACAAACGTGGTTACTTGTGCTATTTTGTGTTGAAAAGCAGAAGGTTCATGAATACAAGAAAACAGAAGCATAGAGGACGGAGTAGGGCTGGTGAAGCAAGTTACAGAAATGCCATCTTACATCGCTCAAGATCTCCTGTGCATTGCGGGCCCGGATAACGTTGGGTTCTTCCGGGAGAGATGTCCACTGATGGAAGTAGTGACGGTACTCCAGGTCACTGAGGATGTACTGGCACTTTTTAGCTAGCACGTGATTCATCATGTCATTGGGGATATGAACATTTGCTTTGGTGTCCTCATAATCTTTTCTGTAGTTTAACTAAAAAGTCAGAAAAGAAAAAGAGTTTTTAAAGACACACATAAAAAAAAAAAGAAAATGTAAATTGTTTCTATTGATCATTTTCAGAATCTTATTTCTACAATCAAAAAGATCAGTGCCTTCAGAGTAAACTTAGGTTTGAAAAATCATACTTGAACAAAATCTTTTTTAAAAAAATTAATCTCCTGGGCTGGAGCAATAGCACAGCGGGTAAGGCGTTTGAACTCAGGTTCAATTCCAAGCATCTCATATGGTCCCCTGAGCACTGCCAGGAGTAATTCCTGAATGCATTACCCAGGAGTAACCCCTGTGCATCGCTGGGTGTGACCCAAAAAGCAAAAACAAACAAACAAACAGCACAGCGGGTAGGGCGTTCGCCTTACAAGCGGCCAACATGACCGACCCGAGTTCGATTCCTCTGCCCCTCTCGGAGAGCCCGGCAAGCTACCGAGAGTATTTGATATGCCAGACACAGTAACAACAAAGTCTCCAATGGAGACGTTACTGGGCCCGCTCGAGTAAACAAAAATTAATCTTCCAATATATTGGATTCCAATATATGTTTTGGTTGTTATTAGAAGTTTTGTTGGTTTGTTTTGGGGCCATGCCCGGCAATGCTCAGGGCTTACTCCTGGCTCTGTACTCAGGAATCACTCTTGGTGGAGCTCAGAGAACCATAATGAAGTGCCACGGAGCTAGTCCAGTTTGGCGGAACGCAAAGTAAATGCCCTGACCATTTTACTCTCTCTTCAGCCAGAATTCCCCAATCTTTTACTAACACAGTATAATTAGTGACCTGGTTGTTTCTCCTTCTTGCAAGGACAAAGCCCTCTGGGTTCTGGTAGTAGAGAAGGGAGGAAGGAAGGAAAAACCCCATAGCACTCAGAAGCACACGGGCTTCTGTCTCAGCTGTCTCAAGACTAACTCATTCTTCACCATCCTAACTCCATCCAACCTTGAACTCCAAAACACATCATTAATAAGCAGACACAATTATACACATGTGCAAATCTTCTGTTAAGTGTACATTTTGCTTACCGCACTCCTCATCTTTTGGAAATCCAGAGAGTGGACCACACCAGGAAACTCACTGATTTCTTTTCCAGCCAGGTAGTGACCCTTCTGCTTCTCATAGGTCTCCTTATATTTCAGCTGTGAAATGCACACAACATTGAGAATCACCAAGGTTTCCTAACCAGACTCTTATCCCCCAAGAAAGACTCTTAAATCTATGAGAGAAAATGGTCTACTCACCTCACTGTTCACATAGTCAGCATGTTTAGCTCCAACAATGGGAATATAGCGTTCATCCAAGGTGTAACCATAAGCCTTGTTTCCCTCCCATGCCCCTTTATACAGTATCTAGAACAAAGAAATATGTGTCAGTGAAACTTTACATCCAAATTTTTTTCAGACATCACTAAAAACTGTGAAAATCAAGGTAAAATATTTCTGTTTAAAGGTGAGGTTTAAACAGATATTGAGAGCTATGAGTGTTTCTAAAAGAAGGGCAGAGTCATGTGACTGGTTTCAAATTAAATTTGTACACCAAGGCATTACTTTATAGTGTTTAACTATATTGACAGCTTTTATAAAAGTGGAACCAAATTTACATACATAGATATAAAATCACTAAAGATTGCTTACCTCCCTTTGGCATACACACATGCATACTACACAAACAGAGACACACACAGACACACACACTCACAGCATCCTTTAAGTGAACTGAATTAAAATTTGGACAGAACATCTTTCGTTCTGTGGCTGGAGAAATATGAACATAATTATTAGTGAGAGACTTGTCTTTCTTCTCTTTTCTCTGTGGAGAGTTAGAGTTTTGTGTGTGCCCAGAATTGCTGTTGCACTTCCTAGGTTAACTCTCCATTGATTGGAAGTATGTCTCTCCCACGTGTATGGTCCCCTGAAGGTCCTGTACCATAGGCTTTAGCTCCTTGGTGCCTCAGATAATGCCTGGTAATCACAGGAGCTCAAAAATACCAGTTGAACAAATGCTAACTCTAAATTATGTATATCCTACTTATGATAAACGAGACTAAATATTACAAAAATAGTAGATGTCCTTCTAAGTCTATTTGTTCACAGAATCAGTCATGCATACAAATACAGTCAAGACTTAAGATTGGGAGCTGAGTTGGGGAACACATGAAATAGAACTTACGGTACTGTAGAGCTTCCCCATGTCTTTGGAGTGGGTGATATGTGGTGTATCAGGAGAAAATATATACTTTCCCTTTAATTCTTTATTGAATGTTTCTTTATATTTTACCTAAGAAGAGAAAAAACCCAAAATGTTTCATTACTAAAAATTAATAATCAGTCAAATTTAAATATTAAAACTGGTTGACTTTTAGCCACTTTCACTAAATAATAGAATTATTTGGATAAGAATACAGATATTATTTAAAAGTAGATAAAGTAGATAACCTACTAGTGTTTAAAGACACCACAACAAAGATAATTTTATAAGTCATATACATACTTTCTTATGAACAATTATCAGGCACTGAGCAAATTGATTCAAAGACAGACACCTAGTGACCCAGTTTATATGTCCCATTATACACACAGAAAACTTACATCACTCTGATTGACTGAGTTCATCTTGGCCAATACAATTTCTGGAGGATCTACCACACTTGTAAAGTTAGGATAGTTGTCAAGAGCATCTTTCTTATATTTTATCTGCAAATAAATAGAGATGATTAAATGTCTTCCCCAGTAAGATACCTCTCCTTGCATAGTAAGAAGGCCATCCCTAAAGAACAGACTTACATACCTGATTGACCATTTCCTGGTTCTTAGTAACCCTCACATAGTCCACAGAATCCAAGGGGATCCAGCCAATGCCTCGGAGCCACTCCAGGTCAGCTTTGTAGACATTCTGAGAGCAGGAAGAGAGACAAGGGCATAGGCATAAAGACATTGGATTTCAGAAGGCCAATGAGAAACAATTCTTTTGAGAACTTCACAAGAGGGCCAGAGCAATAGTACAGTGGGTAGGGCATTTGCCCATGTGGTTGAACTGGGTTTGATCCCCGGAATCCCATATGGTCCTTCAATACTGCCAGGAGTGATTCCTGAATGCAGAATCAGAGGAAACTCCTGAGCATCATCGGGTGTGACCCAAAACGAAAAAAAAAAATGTCAAGGATGGGATGTCTCTCTAGTGACTGTGGTCTCACTGATTCAATTGTCACTCGATTTATCTAAACAACATTTCTTGAGCCTATTACTCTAAATGAGGCACTGTGCTAAGTGCCAGGAGAAAGATATATATAGGAGTCTGGATGTAGAGGGAGAGGGAGTTTATTCCAAAGCGGAAACTGTACAGGAATGTGAGCGCAAGAACGCTCAAATGTTATGGAAGCTTAGGGCAGAGAATGTTGTTTTCAGCTCTGAGCAGATAAAATTGTCTTTCCAATATTTTGACCAACTAATGGGAATCAAACAAGCAGACGCTCATATGGTACAGGAGAGGGAGGTCACTCCTCCATTTAAGTGTCTCTCCCTTTTCCGAACTAACTACTGGATTCTCTTAGATTAAAGTTCCACAACAAGAGGCTGTTAAAATCTCAGGGTTGGGAAGGAATAGAGATGTTACTGGCTCCCGCTTGAGTAAATCGAAGATCAACGGGATGACAGTGATACAGTGATACTATGATGTCCTTTTACTGTAGCAATCAGTGTGGTGGGATGTTTAGATGTGGCAACTGTGCCACTGGCAGTCTTTAACTTCCTGTTTCCATCTGGTAATGATGAGCAGGGTTTGCTTAACACATCTGAGCATCATGCAGATGTTATGGGTGGCAGGTGGCAGGTTCAGATCTTGATGCAGATGTGCAGTGTTGAAGTCATACACTCTTATCCCAACTTTATCAAAGTTCAACATGAAAGACTCTGAATAACAGTATGTTCATAAGTACTTTTTTAAAAAATCTCTTTTGCTTTCATTCCTTGCAAGCAACTCCACCATAGCATTTTAGGGAATGAGCTGGTTGGCAAAGAATGGGCTACTACCACATCCTTGAATATACTGTCACCAATATCAAGGCAATTATTATTGTATATTAGCTGATAGATTTATATAAAAATGTGAGAGGGGAAGCATCAGGATGTCGGAGGGCAGTCATTTTGGTCTTGTAGTTGGCAAAGAACAGGTGGGCATTGTGAATGCTTTTTCTGGCTTCTGCCACATCTGCCAGCACTGCTGCTCTTCTCTCTTTGAGGTCTTCCTTGATCCTTCCCTGCACTGCTTTGCGAGCTCGGACGTTCACTTGCGGTTGCCTGAGGCTTGCACCAAGCCATGTTGGTGAATGAGTTCAAGAGTTTTCGAAGACAGGCGTCTTTTTGTGGCTATCTCTCTCTGGGCGTTCCTCGAACAATCATGGAAGTGCTGAACCAGTTGATCGTATTCCTCGTCAATGTTGTCAAGGACAGCATCTTCCCATATTGCCACAATAGTGCTAAAGAGCTCCCAGTTGGTGGTCATTCTGGTGTTCTCTTCTTAAACTTTATAGCCCTTTCTCCCCGCTTCGTGAAGCAGAATTTTGCAAGAAGGAGATGGTGGTCCGATCCCTTTTGGAATTTTGGAACAACAGCGACATGGTCAGGCAAAACCATCGATTGAATTTGATGTGGTCAATTTTGTTGTGGAACTGTCCACCGGGAGACTCCCATGTCTAACGTTTAGATTTGCCCTTCTGGAACTGTGAGTTACCATGGATGGTCTTGGTCAACATGATGAACTCAGATAGTCTCTCACCCTGTTCGTTCCATTTTAGGCCATGGATACCGATGTGGAGTTCTTTGGCTGATCTTCTCGGTCCTATCTTGGCATTAAAATCACCAACAATGATCTTGTAGAAGGTGTGGTCTTCTTTATAGTACTTCTCCAGCACTAATTAGAACTTCTTAATTTCTTCTTCATCATAATTGGATGTTGGTGCATAGACAACAAAGATAGAACCTGCTGGCAGTGAGCCACATCTATTCAAGTGTAATCGTCTGATTTGAGTTGTTAGGCATTCGAATGAATCAATGCTCATGGCCAAGTTTCTGTTGACAAGAAAACCGGCACCACCGACGCCTCTTTTTTCGCATGTTCCGAGGAACAGTTCTTCTCCAGTGTCAAAAATGGCATGATGCAATTGATGCCTTCTCGTCTTGGTCAGACCAATGATGTTGTACTTGATCTTTCGCACTTGCACTATCAGGTCCTCAATGGATGCATCTGATGCCAGCGTATGTGCATTGAAAGTACAGACAGTCATTTTTGTCCTTCTTCGTTTTGGCAGCCTAGTTTGGCCTTGAGATTTTATCAGCCTCTCCTTCCTCAGCCTTCTTAACGCTGCTGTATAGTTGACTCTTTCAGGGTCAGGGGAATGAGACTCATTGTATTTACTGATTTTGGCATATTGAATATGCCACGGATGGCTTGCCAGACTCTGCTGTGTGGGCAGGATATTCTCGGTAGCTTCCAGGCTCTCCCAGAGGGATACAGGCTTTTAGGGGGCCTCTTATCGCCCTTTCAGGTGTTCTCATGGTTCAAACCATATTTGAGCCCCATCAAATATGGTATGGTAATCTTGGAAGAAGGGTATTAATTGTCTTATGATGTGTCACATCTTCCAGAAGGGCAATGGAGAAGATTATCTCTGACTTCTACTCGGATCTCTTTGACAGCCACATCCACCTGCCCACATACCAAATTCCACAGGATGGATATGTCATTCCCAATGTTCTCCCTTCCGAAATCTGACATGCCATTTTGTCCATAAAGAGGCAAACAGCACCCAGCCCAGACAAGGTCAGACCCGAACACCTGAAGAACCTGCCGTCAGTACTCATCAGTACACTGGCTCGGCTCTTCACACGCTACCTGTCTGAATGCAAGGTTCTGTCCCAATGGAAAACCAGCAGAACTGTACTACTGTACAGAAGGGAGACATCCACAACATTGGCATCTATCGCTCGATCTGCCTGTTGACTCAAATCATCCTGAATAGGATTGGCAGAACACTAGATGAAGGACAACCATGCGAGCAAGCCAGGTTCAGAAAAGGATTCAGCACCATCGACCATATCCACACAATAACCAAACTCATTGAGGTTTCTTGGGAGTTCAAGATGCTGCTCTGTCTAACGTTCATTGATTTAAAGAAGGCCTTTGATTCTGTTGAGATGGAAGTGGTCATCGAAGCCCTAGCCAAAGAAGGCATTCAAACTCAATACATGAGGATCCTCCATGAGCTGTATTATGGATTCACTACTAGGATCTCACCATTCTACAAGAAAGTGATCATCCACGTCAAGAGAGGGGTTCAGCAGGGTGATACCATTTTACTGAAACTCTTTAGTGCCACACTCGAGAACGTCATGCGACAACTGAGAACGTCATTCGGAAAGGCATGGGACTGAAGATAGATGGTCAGCAACTACACCACCTCCACTTCACTGATGACATCGTTCTAATAACACCAAACATTAGCCAAGTGGCACAAATGCTGCCTGACTTCGATCATGAGTGTGGAAAGTTGGACTACAGCTGAATCTCACAAAGACAATGTTTATGAGAAACGATCTTGTTCCTGACATTCCATTCGCGTTCAATGGAATGAACATCTCTGAATGCAACAGTTATCTGTACCTAGGTTGAGACGTTACTGGTGCCTGCTCGAGCAAATCGATGAGTAATAGGATGTCAAGTGATTAAGTGATCAAGTGAGAGGGGATTGTTACTGGTAGAGATGGCAATTGGTAGAGATAAAAATTTTCTGAAACTTAGGAATGCACAGTCAGTGGGCAAAACCATTGACCAGTCTTGCCTCTCTAGCTTCTGCTGCTTCATATCCAGCTTTATTTTCCATCCTGAGGTCAAACTAAAATTTGTGTCTCAACATTTCAAAGACTGGTGCTTTTCTAATATGACCTAATTCTGAGTATCTACATTTACAGAGATTTGAGAAATAAAATCCACTTACATCACTCTGGAGGTCATAAGCCTTTCTCGCCTGAATAACATCATTTTGGTCAGGATGACATGTCCATTGATGAATGTAATTGCGGTAATCAACATCACTGACAAGAGTCTGTCCCTGCTTGGCTGCCAGTACTGATACCATATCAGCAGGGATGTTGATTTTTGTCTTTGTTTTATGGTAGTCTTCTTTGTAGAGCCTATCATTCTGAATCTGCCCTGCGTGCTCAAACCAAACCAGCTTAGGATCATCTCTCATCTTCGGAACACCGACATAGTGACCTCTTTGCTTTACGTGTTCAGCTTTGTATTTTAGCTGTTGGGAAGAAAAATACACATTTCATCAGAGTTGACAAACACATGGGACAAAAGAATCAATGAACACTAACATTTATTTTGCAGCACTCGCCTCCTAGATATTAAGTAACAGAAAGATTGAAATAAAAAAATTTCAAAAATATAAAAAAATGTTTTCTTCCACTTTTATAAAAATTTATTTTAAGGCTAGAGAACTTAAACTTGGAACTTAGGGAACTTGGGACTAGAGCACTAGTATAAAGTTTATGGTGTTTACCTAGCATGCAACTGTGGCTACAAATCTTGGCACCACCAGTCATGAGCCCTGAGCCAGATGTGGTCCCTGAGCACTTCTGGGTGTGGCTCCCAAATAAAACAAATAAAAAGGAAGCTAGGGAAAAAAATAATATATATATATTTTTATAAAACCAAGGAGAATTTTTTTTAAAGAATATCCAAATCCTGGGGAGGGAAAGAACCAAAGTTGCCAAACCATAAAGGTTCTGGAGGCCTTAGCATAACTGGGCTCCTACCCAGGCAAGGTCTATGCTTTGCAAAGTATACTCCCATAAGGACGAATTACCTCGCTCTGAACATCAGCAGAGTGATGGGCGTGAACAAATGGAACTGCATCAGGAGGCAAAATGTAACCCGTGGCTTTTTGTTTCTCCCAGCCTTCCTTGTAGCGGTACTAAAAGAAAGAGAACAACAGCAGGTTACACAGAGGAGTCAGGATGGAGGGATGCCCACGGACGTGCAGTTCTATTATAATCTTCCATTCCCTCCATCAACTCCAGATCCAGGCTGCGTGGTCAAACCCTACCTGGTCCAGAATCCGGGCTGCCTCCTGGGCAGTGTGTAGCAGTGGGGTTTCTGTGAGGGTGTACTTAGACTTGGTGTCATTCCAGTTTTTGCGGTATTTAATCTGAAACAAGAGGCAAAGGGGTAAGTAACCTGATGTTAAGAAAATATAATGTTCTTGCATCAATCATCTCAATGATTACAATCTTGTTTCAGAGATGAGTAGGTGAGAAGGCTTTAGAAGTGACATCTTCACAACTGGGAAATTTTAGAACAAGAGGCATGTACTTACATCATTTAGGATCTCGCCACTTTGTTTCGCTGTCACATAATCAACTCTGTCATCCACTGGAGTAAAGTTTAGTGTTTCTATTTTTGTGCGATATTTTTGCTAGGGGGAAGAAAACAGGTATTAGAGAGTCACTAGCCTTGGTCCTGTGACCTGAGAAACAGCTTCTAGACTAAAGAGTTCACCTCTACTTGAAGGGTTGAGAGCCATACTGGAATGGCCTTTGGATATTTGACTTTCTTTCAAATGTTTTGTTTTTTAACAAGTAAGGATTGGTTTCTTGGGGTTTCCACGGATTTTAAGGTAGAAAATTTTCTTAGTTCCTAATGCTGTGTAATTGTCATTGTGTGTATACCACACTAAATACCTCTTTTTAGCCTGAACTTCTTCCAAGTATATTGCCACGGATGTCAAAAACAAGTTTTCCATTTACACATTTTCAAACTTTTTTTTGTCTGTCTCTCTCTTTCTTTTCAATTTCAAACTTTGATGTTTGTGTTGATATCACATTATGGATATCATTCCATAATGTAACAGAGATTATTTGGGGGAAATTGATTTTTTGTCTGACTTAAATAACTAATTGAAATGGTGAAAACTGCTGATAAAGAATGACTGCACTTTGGTGTATGTTCAGTGTCCTGGGATATATACTGAATGACAGAATAAAATCCTGGAATACCTCACTGAAGATATCAGCAGCATGTTTGGCATGGTTGACGGAAACGGAATCATTTGGTATCCACCCAATCCCACGTAACCACTCCAAGTCAGCCTTGTACACAGCCTGTGGAAACAAGACCACGATAAGTCCAGCAACACTTGTTACATGGTCCAATGCATTCTTACTGTTGGTCTGACTTAGAAAGAAACATGATGATGATGTATTAAAGCAGCCTAGCAGAAGACAAGCAAATGAATTACAAGGTCAGGTTAGATAACAAAATGAGGGACATGTTTTCTATTGAAATGTTTCTGTTTTATTTTGGAGGATACTATTCCCAGCAGTGCTGGATTGGGTGGGGGATGCCAAGAATAGCACCCAGGATCTCACACATGTGGACATATGCTCTAGCATTGAGTTGCATCCTCAGTTCTTAAAACTGGCAATTTTAAGTCTCAATGTAGTTACAAGTTCCTGGGGGTGGAGGATGGCATACATGTTGAGAGCTACATCTGATTTCTCAAAAGAAACAGTAAATCCTAGATTAGTACACACAGTTCCTGAATCATAAACCTCAGCAACTTCATTGAAGAGTTTAAAACACTGTTATTTTAGGGCCAGAGTGATAGTACAGTGGGTAGGGTATTTGTCTTGCATATGACTGACTCAGGTTTGATCTTCGGAATCCCATATGGTCCCCCAAGCATCTCCAGGAGTAATTCCTAAGTGCAGAACTAGGACTAATCCCTGAGTATCACCAAGCGTGGCTCTCCCATAAAAAATAAAAATGAAAAATATCCACTTATTTTTCTTAAAAAAGAATTGCTACATATGGACTTTCACTGTTACACTTATAATATAAAACTTCATTACTACTTACATTCTATATAAAAACTTGTTCTCTATAGTTTTCCTTAACAATGAGGAAACATATTCTTACTTTCTTACTTAAGAAGCATATTCATACTATCCTTTCTTTCTTTTTATTTTTATTAGTGAGACACCATGAGGTTCAGTTGTAGACTTACAAATTTTTGTGCTTGGGTTTCAATTATACAATGATCAAATACCCATCCCTCCACCAGTGCCCATTTCCCACCACCACGGATCCCAGTATCCCTCCCACCCCCATCCCCCGCATCCCACCCTGCCTCTTTGGCAGGGCATACCCTTTTATCCTTTATTTCTTTATGCAAAGATTTTTTTCTAGTTTTTCAAAAAATTCTCAAGACTGTGGTGATTTTCTACTGTACTTACACACCACATGTATACACCAACGCACATACCCTATCTCTTATATAGGATTGATCAAAAGGCAACTCCTTGGATGCAGAAGTCATGGAATGATGATACAAGGGCTTCCTGACACAAGCTCTGGGGTTCAGAGAAAACTGAGAGAAGTGTTCATCCCAAACGGGAGCTACTCACATCACTCTGCAGTTCATAGGCCTTCTTGGCCTGGATCACATCGTTCTGGTCAGGCATGCAGGTCCACTGGTGCAGGTAATTGCGATAATCAACATCACTGACCAGGGTCTGGCATTTTTTAGAATGCAAGATGGACAGCATATCCACAGGGCTCTGGAACTTGGTCTTCCATTTGGCCCACTGCAGCCGGTACTCTCTCTCATTCTGAATCTTGTCAGCTAAGAGGGCCCACCGGATCCTGTTGTCATCTCTGGCTGTGAGGGTGCCCACATAGTGTCCCTTTTGCTTCTCGTGGTCCAGTTTGTATTTATACTAAAGATGGAAAACAGCAGGCGGGTCATAGGATATATTATCCACACACAGTGCATTTTCTGACACGCGGACAAGCTGGACAAGGGCACACTTACATCACTGGCTATCTCCCTGGAGGCCTTGGCAGCCTGGAAGGGGATGGCGTCCAGCCGGACATCACAACTCATCTTCATTTCATCCCAACCTTCTCGGTAAACTTTCTGAGGAGAAGAAGAAACACAGGCTCTCAGTTTAGATGTACCCAGAACTCCACAGGTTCAGGATCAATATCAAAAAGATACAGCTTACATGTTTATATAGTTTTTTTTTCCTCCCCTGAATCCAGAAATGATTTTATATAAGGGGAAGGGGAAAAAAAAAGACAAAGAAGCTGCTAGATGGGAGGGGTCCCCTTAAGCAGGATTCCAGAGAAAGGCAGAAAAAAAAACTATCCTTTTATATCTTTTTAACAAAGCAGGGGCATTGCGCACTTTTTATTGAGGGCCCATAAAACAGGACTTAGAGTGTTGAGATAACTCTCTCCTGGCATTGGATCATCTAGGTTACTCAGGTTCTCAGGCACAATGAAAAGTACAATGAAAAAAAAAATTTTTTTTTTCTTGTTGGATCACACCCGGCGATGCACAGTAGGGGTTATTCCTACTCGCTCATGCACTCAGGAATTACTCCTGGCAGTGCTTGGGGGACCATATTGGGATGCTGGGAATGGAACCTGGGGTCGGCCACGTGCAAGGCAAATGCCCTACCTGCTATGCTATGACTCCAGACCCAAAATGAAAATTTTTTATTTTAGAAACCATGGTTTACAGTACTGCTAATGATAGAGTTCCATGCATAGCACAATCCCTCACCACACTCTCCACCATTGTCTGCCCATGCCCCACCCCCATCCATCCCTTGTGCTAACTGTACCAGTTCCATTGTCTTTGAACAAAGGTAGAGGAAAGGTACAGTTATGAAGCCCCAGATCAAGTTAAAGACAAGAGAAGAAGGCACAAGAAATTGTGCGTGAATTGGATCTTGTCAAGAATTCCTTCTTTTTAACTTGAATGACAGGCTCAATGTAGTTGTCATGGTTTGGTGTTGGTTGGTAAAATGATTTTCCTTTTATCATTAGGCCTTAAGGAAGATTTATTTCCTGATGTTTTGAAGGAATTCTGTGAAATCAGGCCCTGACATTTGTGACTCTAGTATGTGAGAGGAGAACGGGAAATTCTACTAATCCTCTTAATTTTCTGTTGTAGTTATTTCTCTTTCTTGTGTCAGTTTTGGTGATTTATTATTTTCCAGGAAATCCCTTAGTTAAAAGCTGCACTTTAAATTCACTTGTGCAGAGTTTTGCCAAAAATTCTCATTGTTATTTTGAGTTTATTAGAAGCTGCCATTAATTCCCCTGTGTTCTTTTGCATCTTCCTAATCCTGAGCTTTATCTTTCTTCTGGTTAGCTGACACTGGTTCACTAGCATCTGGTCTCACCAGGTCACTCAATACCTGGGTTCTGCTTCCCTCCTCGGTGCTGATGAAAGATGTATGGCAAGGAACCTCCACCCAGCTGAGCTCCTTTCTCTGTCTGTGAATGTTTGTTGCTATTGCAGCACCCATGGGCTGAGTTCCCAAACAAGGAGGATCTGTTGTGATACTTACATTGCTCACATTAAGAGCATTAGCTCTAGCGAGATTAATTTCTGGAGTGTCTGGCATGATGTGGATTGAAGTTTTATCCTTGTCCCAAAGTTCTCTGTACTTTGGCTATGGAAAGAAGAAAAGAAAAACAAAATTACTTTACAATTTATAGTGCTGCTATCTCGAATGTTGTATGTTCAACTTTTCTGATCAAAATATTTTCATATTAAAGTAAAAATCAGACTGGAGAGAAAGTGCAGTAGGCAATGTGCTTGTTTTGCACGTGGCTGACCAAGGTTAGATTCTTGCTACCACATATGGTCCCGAATGCCCTGCCAGTGTTGACATCTAAGCACAGATCCAGGTGTAAGCTCCAAACACCCCCAGTACATCCCAATAAATTTCCAAAATAAAGCGAAAATCATTTCATGTAGGTTGCTCAAATTTGATATAAAAATCTTTTATATTTTGAGTTTCATAAGCAAGAATAAAATAACCCTACTTATCACTATCATCAATGTAACTGTCCTACTTTTATTAAATCATTTCTCTTTTATCATAACACTAAAGTTAAGAATATGGAGGGAAGAAAGTGACTCACAATGCTAATGTTTTCAGCATTTGATTTGGCAAGAACCACTTCCGGTGTATCCACGATGCTGGTGTACTTGAGGTTCACCACAGGGGTCCGGTAGACACTGTCTCGGAAGATTTCTTGTGCGTTTTTCACTCTCAGGACCTCGGGAGAACCCTCAGGCATCCAGCCAATGCCACGCAACCACTCCAAGTCAGCCTTGTAGATAGCCTGGAAAAGAAAAAAAAGATATATAGAAGCAGGTTTGACTTTTTAAAAAATTGTGGCAAATAAGGAAGCTGCTTTTCATTCTTACTTGTTTTCTTCTGATTTTTTTTGAGGCGGGCACACCCATTAATTAATGCTCAGGGGTTATTCCTGGCTTTGCACTCAGGAATTACTTCTGGTGGTCCTTGAGGGAACATATAGGATGCTGGGAATCGAATCTGGGTTGGCTGCGTGCCAGGAAAAAGTCCTACCCACTGTACTATCTCTCCTATCTCTGATATAGGATTGAACATATAGGAAGCTTCTTTTTAAATTTTTTATTTTCCTTCTTCACGAATAAGAACTGAACAAGCATGAACCTGACAAGCATGATCCCTCCCAGGCAGAGCAGTTTTGTTCTGCTTTGCTTTCTGTGGCAGGGGGATGGGATGTGTGTGGTGGCGGTGGTGGAGCAGATTCCAAGTAGGGGATATATCTTAAGCAGCAGATTTAGATTTAGCACATTCTAAAAGGCAATAGAAGCTCTGGGGCATACATGGATGAATTCTGAATGATAGCAGCTAATTGTTATGCTAGACAGGGTGGAATTTTAACACATTGACACTAGAATGTACCACCCAATTGCTTGAATGTAGTTTACTTAAGATAAATTGTGGAGCTGGTGTCAATGTTTTATATTTATTTATTTATTGCTTTTTTGGGTCACACTTGGTGATGCACAGGAGTTACTCCTGGTTCATGCACTCAGGAATCACTCCTGGAGGTGCTCCAGGGACCATATGGGATGCTGGGAATCGAACCTGGGTTGACCGTGTGCAAGGCAAACACCCTACCCGCTGTGCTGTCAATGTTTTTAAGCAATAATTGTGGACTCTCTAGGAAGTTCTCCACACTGCATACAATCTTTTCAAAATTCACACTTCAGATCTGATGTCACACATTTCCCCACCATTTGGCTTCCATTGGTCTTAGGATAAAGATCGAAATCCTTAACATAGACTTTAAACCAACGGATGGTTGGTCTCACACCAGTCCCTAGCAATTGTTCTCACTTGGTCTTCTGCCTGTTTCCCTTTGACCTGACTGCTTTTCAGTTTGGATTTTGCAGACAGCTCCCTTTGCATTCATTTTGCAGGAACATGAACCCCTTGGTCCTCTCTGAGCCATCAGACACCCTGGAAATCAGCACTTCCTCAGATGAGTTTTCTCCCCCTTTCTATTCATGACACCATGGTTCTCATTCCTTTTCAGACAACCATTTTGTTTGATTTTTAACTGATATTAACTAACATCTATTTCTTTGTTATCAGTGAGACACCCTAAAATCAGGAACTTTTTCTTGCTTTTCCTTCACTGTTCACCATTGTAGCTTTACCACAATGTGTATGTTTGGGCAAAGTACTTTTAAAAATATAATTAAGAATTTAATCCTTAACTGTAGAATTTTTTTTTAATCTCAATTGGGTTTTCTTTCTTTAAGATTCTCCTCTTTTTGAACTGGAGTTTACATTTTTTTTGGTTATCCAAAAATCTGCTTTACCACATCAACCAATTACATTGCTGATCTTAAACAGCAGCTCTTACTTTTATTTTTATTTTATTTTATTTGCTTTTTTGGGTCACACCCGGCGATGCACTGGGGTTACTCCTGGCTCTGCACTCAGGAATTACTCCTGGTGGTGCTTGGGGGACCATATGGAATGCTGGGAATAGAACCTGGGTCAGCTGCATGCAAGGCAAACACCTTTCCCGCTGTGCTATCGTTCTAATCCCTTGCTTTTATTTTTAATCTCGTATTTTCACTGTTGTAAGGGCCCACACCAAGGAGGTCATCAGGACTCAGTGACCAATAGAACTACAACTCAGCAGTGCTGAAGAGAGAACAGGTCGGTCTGAGGATCAAATCCTGATGTAAGCCATGTGTTTTACTACTTGAACCACATCCCCAGACAACAATCAACTCATTGTTGATTTTGTAAAAAAAGAATATTAAATACTTCAGAAATAGTACTTTAATGACTAGTTAATGTGACACAAATAGGCTTTAAAAATTATTAGGAGTAACAATGGTTAAAATGTGGTTCAGCTGTAGATTACATGCCTCACATATGTGAGGACCTGGTTTGATCTGTAGTGTGTGTGTGTTAGAGAGAGAGAGAGAGAGAGAGAGAGAGAGAGAGAGAGAGAGAGGGGAAGGAAGGAAGGAAGGAAAGAAGGAAGGAAGGAAGGAAGAAGAAAAAAGGAAGGAAGGAAGGAAGGAAGGAAGAAAGAAAGAAAGAAAGAAAGAAAGAAAGAAAGAAAGAAAGAAAGAAAGAAATTTTCTAATATTTTTTAGATGCTATAATTTAGTAGAAGGGCTATATATAGAACTCAATTTTTTTCTCTTTATTTAAAAGACTTGTTTACCATACACACTTTATGCACATATGTGGTTTGTGGTTTGGATTGATGGGAAGGCTGCATATTTTTCTTCTTTTCCGGGTCATACCCAGAAGTGCTCAGATGTTATTCCTGGCTCTCACTCAGGAATTACTCCTGATGGTGTAAGAGGGATCTTATGGGATGCCAGGGATCGAACCCAAGTTGGCTGCATGCAAGGCAAACATCCTACCCACTGTACTATGTCTCCAATTCCGGTTGTGCTTTGTTGAGAGACTAGAGTTTATCCAGGCACTCAAAGAATGACCCGGTGAAGGTGTAAAAGATTTTCTTCCTGGGACAAGCCACACCCCTCTCCTTCATGTCAGTCCATGCTCTGGCACCCGGATACTTACATCACTCTGCAGGTCATAGGCTTTCCTGGCCTGAATCACATCATTCTGGTCAGGTAAGCAGGACCACTGGTGCAGGTACTGGCGATAGTCCACATTGCTGGCCAATGCCTGGCCTTCTTTGGCAGCGTTGATGGACACCATGTCTTGTGGGATGGAGATCTTGGCCTTATTGTCATTGTAGGCCTTTTTATATAGTCTGTCATTCTGCATCTTCAATACATTTGCTGCCCAAACAAGCTTAGGGTCTTCCTTGGCACTAGGGCATCCAATATAATGTCCTTTCTGTTTCTCATAAGCAGTTTTGTACATATACTGGTAGATGTGAACAGAAGAAAGAAAAGTCACCTTTCTATACTCCATTCTTCTAGACAGCCTGCTTAAAATAATTCTATTTCAATTCGATTACTTTTATGAACACTGCTTTTCTTAAAATTCACACAAATTTTATTTACACTATCTGTATACAGTATTGGTACATTTGTTTGTTTTATATTTCTATATTCGTGAGAGCCCTGTATACTGTAAAGCACTGTTAAAGCAAGAACTGAGCTATGGGATTACTCCCAGTATTGGCTGATCAGTGTTCCCCAAATTATAGTCACCGTCACTCTCACATGTTTTTACAAAGTAATTACCATCTGTCATTTATATTTCATTTCTTTTTACTTGATTCTGTGTGCAAATGGATTTTTTTCTAAAATATAAATCTATCCTAAAATAAATTAATTGCACTCAAAGGTAGCAACTTTTCTACTATACTACCTTAGACTTATGTCTATTTTTTTTTGCTTTTTTGGGTCACACCTGGCGATGCACAGGGGTTACTCCTGGCTCTGCACTCAGGAGTTAGTCCTGGCGGTGCTCAGGGGACCATATGGGATGCTGGGAATCGAACCTGGGTCAGCCGCGTGCAAGGCAAGCGCCCTATCCGCTGTGCTATCTCTCCAGCCCCACTTATGACTATTTTAAAAATACTTGTCCAAGTACTGCATAAAATTATCCCAGGAAACCACCATATAAAGCAGCAACAGAATTCTTTGTATCCAGAGAATTTCTGTACCTGCTTGTAAAAAATAAACTGATATTGGGAAGATATTGAACATTAGTCCAGTAAACTAAAACATAATAAGAACCAAACCAAGCAGTGATGCAAGAAGATCCTCTAATTGTTTGACATGTTGTTCTTCCACTTGGAATTTTAGAGAAATGCGCCTGAGAGTGACTGTCATTCTTTTCCTTTTGTGGCTTTATTTTGGGGGTGGGGGATCACCCCAGTGAAACCCAAGGGTTACTCCTGGCTCTGCACTCTGGAATTACTCCTGACAGTGCTCAGGGGATCATGTGGGATGGCGGGGATTGAACCCAGTTCAGCCATGTGCAAGGCAAACACCCAAACCACTGTACTACCCCTCCAGCCTGAGTGATTGTCATTTTACTGAAATGTAATCCCTAGGAAATTAAGTTTAAGGCTAGTAAAGAATTTACTGCCTGGATATCTACTAGTTAGTATTTTCTAGGGCTGGGCAAGGACAAGTTCTTACATCGCTGGCGATATCTCTAGACGCCTTGGCATGCTGGAACCCAATGGCATCTGCTCGCAGGTCATAACCGGTCATCTTCATGTCTTCCCAGGCTTGCTGGTAGTGTTTCTGAAAATCGAGATTATAAAAACCATAGTCATGCTGAAGAAGGAGTGGCTGAGTCAGCAATACTGACAGGTTCAAGGAAAGATGGGAAGAGTTACAGGACAAATAAATATTTTCTAAGACTTCTAAAATGGGCTGCTTTCATATTGAACTTATATTACAGCATATTTTTGTTTATTTTGTTGGTTTTGGGGACTATATCTAGCAGTGCTCGGGGCTTACTACTCTTACTACTCTTTGCTCTCAGATCACTCCTAGAAGTGCTCTGGAGATCATATGGGGTGCTGGAGAATGAACCCAGGTCAGCCACATGCAAGGCAAATGCCTTAACTGCTATACTATCTCTCCAGCTCCTTGTTCCAGTGGATATTTAATGTGATTTAGTAAGGTTTCCTTACAATACATATTTTTAAAAATTCATTATATAAATACATCACACAAAAATAAAATATATGCGTTATTCGACCTTTTCTCTTTTTTTTTCAAAAAGGCAAGAGTGGGCTGCTCAAAAGGTATCTAAATATTATTATATACAAAACCACATGTTTTCAAGTTGTGCTTTTGGAGATGCCACCACTTCTTAACAAAGTTAACAGGTCATACGTTTCTCCTTTTTGGGTTTCTCCCAAACATTCTCGGCCTACTGGACTGGTGATTCGTTGCAATGAATGGGTATGCAGTGCCAAACCCTGCAATGCTAGGTGTTCAGGGGGTTCTAGGGCCACACCCAATGATGCTGGGGACATGCTTGGAAGATCACATGGACCTGGAGGTCAAATTGCATGCAAAGCAAGTGTCTTAACCCATGTACTCTCCCTCTATTCCACACACATATTGTAATTACAAACACACATATACCTGGCTACTTATCATTTGCTTAAACCCTATAAATAGAAAGAATGGTAGGGAAATTTCTTTTTTTCAAACTCCTTTTGGAGCACCTCACCAAAAGTTCCCATTAGGCAGAGGGTATCATGAAAAGCAGAAAGAGGCAGTGCCTTACATTGCTGATCTGTAGGGCATTGAGCTTGGACTGCAGCATCACTGGGGTGTCGGCTGGTACATTCACATTTGCCTTCTCCTTGTCCCAGGCATCACGATACAAAGGCTGGTCAAAAGAAAAAAAGGGGATGGTCCATTAATAGATGAGTAAATTAACACAGGACAAAAGTTAAAGTTTCAATCGAAGGTGTCAGACATGAATGTGGGTCACATTTTGCTTTCGTGTGTGTGTGTGTGTGTGTGTATCTGTCTGTCTGTCTGTCTATGTGTATGTCACCAATGGCGAGTAGAAGCCTGTCTGTCTGTTTGTCTGTCTGTCTATGTGTATGTCACCAATAGTGAGTACAATAAGATAGATGCATATGTGGTGAATAAATTTCTGAATAAAATGATGATAGTAAAAGTATCCTTTTCCATTCATGCAGATCTAGTTATCTAGCTGATGTTATTACAGGCAAGAACACAAACTGTGTTCAAAGTCTTTATATTTCTGTGTAACATGAAGATACTCTCACACTTCTATTGACTTATATTGTAGAGACTTGATAGATTGACTGTATAGAATTCTGTCTGGTTATTCAAATTTCTAATGGAGGTTTTGGCAACTTTAAAGTTTACAGTATGAATTCCTCAATTTGTGTGACTATATCAACTCAACTGACCTCACTGATTTGTAGAGCATTGGTCTTTGCTAAGACAACTTCAGGCGTATCGACAATGCTGGTGAATTTGTAGGCCTCGGGTCCAATACGATACAGCCTTTCATTCAGGAGATTCTGAGCATTCTTCACTCTCATCACTTCCACAGAACCTTCTGTCAACCATCCAATACCCTTCATCCATTCCAGATCTGATTTGTACACATTCTGCATAAAAAGAGAAATACAATGGAATGATATACACCTACTCAAAGCACCAAATCTAAACATTCCATACTATGTCTATATAATTCAATGATGGCCAACCCTGTGAAATTCTAGAATATGAACATTTAGTACCAATAAATGGGTGTTCTAAATCTGGCTCACATTTCTAGAAGTTCTCACCATCTTCCAGGACTTAGAGCTGAACCACAAGTGGGATTTGTGGAGAAACAGGCAGACAAATGACATATGCTTTTGTTTTTGTACTTGGTTAAGCTCTTTGCATTTACCACTAAAATTCTGCCTTTTATATACCATTGGAACTATCACCTAAAGTAATTTGGGAGAAAAAGTTTCCTAGATGAATATATTATGGCTAAAAAAGTGGCTAGTAACTATGTTATATACTCTCTATTTGTTGATAAATATCATATAAATTTTAAATCCAACATTTTCTTATACCTACCTGTTTCTGAAATTTAAATATCTGATTATGTAAATGGAATATATCAGAATAGCTGGACTAAAATTTTCTACTTAAATACACAGAATAAGAGACTAATCATCATCTTGATGAATAAAGTTTGGTCACAATAAGAAATCCTCTATAATGTAGAAAATGTCTGGAATGAGTCTTTAATATGAAATTCATCGAGTTATGTTAAGACTGCTATTTAAAGTATGTCTCTAGGGAAAGACCAATTAAAAATATAGACACAGATCTCCCCAAACTGTTGATAAGGTACTCACATCACTCTGCAGCTCATAGGCTTTCTTGGCCTGGATCACGTCATTCTGATCTGGCAGACATGTCCACTGGTGCAGATAATTACGATAATCAGCGTCACTAACCAAGATCTGGCATTTCTTGGCCTGAACTATTGACATCATGTCCAGTGGTGTATTGTAAATTCCTTTGGACTTCTCGTAAGCTTTCTTGTATTCCCGGTCACTCTGGATCTTGGCAGCATGTATAGACCACACCAGTTTGGGGTCATCCTGTAGGCTGCGGAAACCCACATGGTGGCCCAGTTGCTTACGGTAACCTTCTTTGTATTTGTACTAGAGTTGGGGAAATCAGATAAAAAGGTAGATGTAAACCATGCATTAAGAGCATTTTCTTTCCTTTGTTTTGCAAGCAGAAGTAGGTCAAGGGGTTAATAAAAATAATCAGCAAAATCTCAGTTGTGATAAAAGAAAAAAGTTCTTGCTCAAATTGTAGCAGCTTAAGTACTGTATTTTAGATTTATAAACAAAGACTGGTCATTAATCATTAATTTAAAAAAACAGATTTTGTGGGCTTATAGAAAACCAGTGAGAAGCTCAGTTGCTTGAGGGCTATTTCTTTTAACAGTTTAATCCTAATGGAACATGGTATCATCACCTGCCTTATTTATTCCCATGCAGAGGTAGAGTGGTTAAGTGGTCTCAAAACTGACTGTCACTATCGAATACAGTGAACTCCTTAAACCTGAAAAGGCGTGTGGCCTAAATGGTGGAGCTCAGAAATTTATTGTGTTGTTCAGATTTCTCCTGTGATGGCTCAGAAGACTTTTCAAGATATATATTCAGAATATTTTCTTAGTTTTAATGTACATGGAATCAACATTGGCGGTCATATATTTGGGATCACTTTATGGAAATTATGGTTCTTACAGGTCACTCTATTGTAGGCATGGAAATAGTAAAAAGTATGGTGTAATAGTAAGGTATAATAACATGGTGTAAATGATCTGGTGTCTATGGTCTGGGGTAAGTAGTAGGTGTATGAATCAATAAATTACTTGGTGAACAAGAACAATAAAAACAATAACTAACATGCATGAACAATCATCACATGCTAGACTAATCTGAATACTTCAGATAGATTATTAAATTGCTGAATTTTATAGTGAGAAACAGTGATTTAAAAATCTTATTTAATTCTCACAATATTTCTAAGATGGAAAGACTATTGTATGTTTCAGATAGGGGAAAATAAGGCACATAAAAGATAGCCAACTACTCATGTTTGCCTGGCAACTGGATCATTAGATCAAATATTCACCCAAGGCTATTGGAGGCAACCCCGGAAAAAAATGATCTTACACGTGGAATTGGAGATAGACAAGAAAGGTCTGAAAAGAAAAATAATGCTGCTGACTTGAGTGAAAAGATGAATCAGAATATGACAATGAAAGATTCATAAACAAGAGTTTCCATTCTGTCCACATCTAACTAGCTTAGTCTAGTGTAAGATATTTCTTTTTCTTTTCTGTATTTAAATAAGAACAGAACTAGAAATAAGGCAGATAATATGAATTGGCTACAGCTTTTGCTTGTTTGTTTTGGACTACACCCAGCAGTACTTAAGAGTTTACTCCTAGCTCTGTACTCAATCAGAGGTCATTTTTGGTTGGGTACAGGGAACCCTAAATGGTGTCAAAGATGAAACTTGAGTCCTTTGTATGTATAGGGAGTGTACCTGTTGTTCTGGCCCCTGGCTGTGATTAAAGATAAAACAGAGGATTATGGAAGATAGAGCTGAATACATAAGATGAGAAGAAAGAAGAACCAGAGAAAGATTACAATAGTGGTGTAAGGATTTAGAACGAGGGTATTTGATAGGATAATTATTTTGACAGTTAATAAGCTACACAAACTTCAGGGTTACTGAATGTCATATAAAACCTCCAATATTAAAAAATTTAGCCTTAAGTCTTTTATGAAACTTAAAAACATTCCTGTCAAGGAAGCAGACTTGGATTGGGAGGAAACCTGGGGACGCTGGTGGAGTGAAGTTGATGCTGGCAGTGGGATTTGTGTCGGAACATTGTATGCCTGAAACAGCTATGAATAACTTTTCAATCATGATGTCTTAATAAAAATTTTAAAAACATTTATAAAACTACCATCTATTTTTTATATTTATGAGCATATTTGGGATAAAAATACTAATTCCTGAATTTTTCCAAGAATTTGATATAGACTCCACAATATTTCACTTCTTTTTCAAAAAATTAGAAATTATTTGTCACATATACCTTATGTATGCTAACCTTTATACTTTTTATTAATTAATTAATTTTTTTTTTGCGTTTTGGGTCACACCTGGTGATGCTCAGGTGTTACTCCTGGCTTTGCACTCAGGAATCACTTCTGGCGGTGCTCGGGGGATCATATGTGATGCTGGGAATCGAACCTGGGTCGGCTGCATGCAAGGCAAACACCCTACCCGCTGTGCTATTGCTCCAGCCCCCTAAACTTTATACTTTTAAAATTATTATTATTGAATCCGATGGAGACGCTACTGGGCCCGCTCGAGCAAATTGATGAACAACGGGAGGACTGTGACCGTGACTGGGCATTATTGAATCACCGTGAGATATACAGTTACGAAGTTATTCGTGATTGAGTTTCTGTCATACAATGTTCCAACACCCATCTCTTCATCATTGTATCTTTCCCACCACCAATGTCTCCAGTTTTCCCAGTTTCCCTCCCGCTAACCACAACCCCCAACCTGCCTCTATAGCAGACACTTTTCTTCTCTATCTCTGTCTGTGTCTCTGTCTGTCTGTCTGTCTGTCTGTCTGTCTGTCTCTCCCTTCCTCTCTCCCTCCTTCTCTCTTTCCTTTTAGGCACCGTGGTTTGCAACACTGTTACTGAAAGGTTATCATGTATATCACTTTACCTCTTTTCAGCACTCAGTTCTTGTTCAGGGTGATCATTTTCAATTATTATTGTCATAGTGGTTCCTTCTCTGTCCTAACTGCCACCTCCCCTCCCCTTTGGTAGAAAGTTTCCAACCTGGTTCTTGTTTCTACCATCTTCTCATACTATTTTTTTAATACCCTGTAAATGAGTTATCCATAATGTGTTTTGTTCTTCTCATACTTTGTTTTTTTTAATATCCTGTAAATGAATTAACCATAATGCTTTTTGTTCTCCTCTAATATTTTCATTTAGGAAGAGGGAATTGGGTCATACTCAGCTTGACTTGGGGCTTTAATCCTGTCTCTACTCAGGGATCACTCCTGGCAGTGCTTGGGCAACCATATGGTACAGGGAATTGAACTAGAGTCAGCCACATGCAAGACAATTGCCCTCTTGGCTGTGCAGTTCTCTGCTTTAACACTTTAACTCTTCGGTGTAAGATAATGTGTAAGAGTTTGTGAGGATTTTCAAAAGCAAATATGCTCCTTATTTGTTGTTCAGAGGAGAAAAACTAGAAGGAAATTGGAGGAGCTGTACCTCACTGGCGATTTCTCTGGAGGCTTTGGCATGCTTGATTTCAATGGCATCTGCTCTTATGTCGTAGCCTTTCTGTTTGGCCTCATTCCAGTCTTTCTGGTAGAGTTTCTGTGCAAAGAAAACCAGGTATGTTTACAAGTATTGAAAATAAGGATAATCTTTGGTCAGGGAATAGGAATAAATATTTGCAATGTAATCATAATATGAATCATAAAGCATAATGTAAATGAAGATCGCCTAAGGAAAAGATGGTCATTTTTCATTGTTTTGGTTTATTGGCTTTTTTATTTGGTGTAATTCAGAAAAAGTCTGATAAAATTTTAAAGCTAAAAATCTAAATTTATTCATGTATGAATATTTGTTTTTGAGGTTTATAAAAACCAGAATTTACTGTGAAGCTAGAGAAACTTCATTCAAGTTCCAGGTAAGATCTGATAATATTTCTTTCCTATTGGTGCTTTTCAACTTTTCAGATGTCTCAATTAAGGGGTGTTATATGGATAGCATACATATTCTGCTCTATGGGCATAATGAAAAAATTATCTTTTCACTTTTCTTATGGCCTTGAGTGATCTTGTAGACCAACTAAAACCCAAAAAAGACAGCAAAAATGGTCATCTCTTATATTTCTTGTATAAGAGGCATTTAACAAGCAATTTAATTATTTGCCATTAAAATTCAATAAAACTGAGCTATAAACATTGGAGATAGGATAGTTTCAAGGTTGAAAAAAGGACACAAGTATCTCTCAAATCTTATGGTCCCAGGACTCAACCAAATATCTAAACTAATGAATGTTGAAAAGATAAAAATGTCTATTCATATTGCTTTGGAAATGGCAGCTAATGGGGAAATGTCTGGCAACAAAAGTTACAAACATTTTAAATAGCAGTACTGCTACATTTAAAATAATTTTCCTTTTCAGAAAAAAAAAGTTACAAACATTTCTTAGAAATGTCATTTGTTTGTTAAAACACTCTGTAACTGGACAAACCAAAGAGTTATTTATACTTATTTATGTTTATGCTTATTTATATTTTGCTTCTTACATCACTGATTTGCATGGCATTGATCTGGGCCTGCAACATGACTGGTGTGTCGGAAGGAATGTTGATATTGGTTTTATCTTTGTTCCAGGCTTCTTGATACAGTTTCTGTGGAGAGAAGGAAAATATCTTTAGTGCAGTCACAGAGGATGTGTATCTAAAATATCATGCCTTCCTTAGCAAGTATTCAACCAGGAAAACGATGTTATACATTTGCAAAGATTAATTTTGAGCCTTATCTTGGCTAGGTTTCCAAACCCAGATAATTGGTCAAAATCAATTTTATGTTTCTATGCAGGTAATATTATTTATATGGGATTAGTGTGCATCAGTAGACAGGCTAAAGATGACTCTCTGACATGTGGGTGGACCTTATTTAATCAAAATTTATGTTTAATAAAAAAACATAGCCACATGCTCCTAAGAAAATTATTATAATTTAGTGGGTGTGGGAGAACTTTGAGCTTGACGTTAAATGCTTTCCTTGGTCTCTAGCCTCTAGTCTATGCTACATTTAATTTCATAAAACAAATATATTTCTCATTTACATTCCATTTATTCTTTTCTTCTGGAGAACTCTGTCTAAAAAAATTAATTTGTTTGGACTGGAGTGGTCGTACAGTAAGTAGGATGGTTGCCTTTCATGCAGCTGACACAGGTTTAATTATTTGCATCCTAGGAATCCTCCTCACCAGTAGTAATTCCTCAGCACAGAGCCAGGAGTAACCCCAAGCACTGCCCAGTGTTCTCCCACCCCACTGAAAAAATTTTTTTAAAAAATATGTAGCATTATGCTATAGATTTTAGTATTTAATAGGACTTAAATATCCATTTCACTGAACTGCAATGGAATATTTATTCACTTTAGTTCATTAAAGTGAGTGTATGGAGATGAGGATGAAAGGTTGACATTTATAAGAGTTGAACTTGATATGTGCTTTCACCGAATTATTCCAGAGATCTGAGTTGCTCTTAAGGCTCACAATAAGTCTTCAAAATCAAGAGGGACAGTCCACTAGCTCAGTTTGGGTGGTGTCATCTGAAAAGAAATATGCAAAAGGGTGGTTCTTACCTCACTTATTTGCAGAGAATTGGCTTTTGCCAGGACAACTTCTGGAGTGTCAACAATGCAAGTAAATTTCAAGGCCTGTGGTTTTGTTCTGTAGAGTTTTTCATTCACTAGGTCTTGCGCACCCTTTACCCGAACCATTTCCACAGAGCCTTCTGGCATCCAGCCAATGCCTCGCAGCCATTCCAGATCTGCTTTATACACACTCTACAGAGAAATTAGACAGAAATGTTAATATGCCATGCCTTAATTGAAAAATAAAGTCCATGGGGTTGAAGGGTTAACAAGAGAAAGCGATGGTGGTTCCAAAGGGCCCCAAATTTTACATGATTCTGGAGTTTTTGGATCAATGTTAAAGTAGTTTGTGAATGTATAATTATCCCTTCTAGTCATCTACGGGAGTAAAATTGTAATAGTGCTAAAGTTCATAATTTTATATATTTATTAAATTATATAATGAAAAACAAAATTTAGGAAATTTGGTGGAAACTCATTCTATCTTTATAGCATAATAACTAACCCAAGGAAAATGTACTGTGCTTTAGACAATGTGGCAGCTATTTTAGTAATATTAATGACATGTTTGTTTTAAATATATGTTCATTGAAAAAAATAATGAAGATCATGAAAAATAATATGGATTCTATAGCAGGGAATAAAGGACATGACTTAAGTAGGGCAAGACCTTCACCCATGTCTTGGTATCCTAAGTGGGGGGTTGTATTAATCAACATGATGGTGCTCCCAAGGAGTTGTGCAGTGTGCAACCCAGGGTTGGGTCTACAGGGATCAATTATAAAAACTGGACAATTAAAAAAAACTATGTCTTCCCATACAGCTTTTCCAAAATTAATGTTTTCTTACATCACTCTGAAGATCGTAGGCCTTCCTTGCTTGGATAACATCATTTTGATCAGGTAAGCATGTCCACTGATGCAGGATATTTCGATAATCCACATCACTGACCAGAGTCTGACATTTCTTTGCCAGCAGGATGCCCAGCATATCCACTGGGCTGGTGTACTTGGTCTTCCACTTCTGAAAATCTTTTTTGTATTCCCGTTCACTTTGAATTTTCCCTGCGTGTATGGCACACATAATCCTGGGGTCATCTTCAATGCTCTGGGCCCCAATGTGGTGGCCTTTCTGTTTCTCATATGCTTCTTTATATTTGTACTAAAATGCAAGAAATACAGTTTTAGAAACCAAATAAAAGATGACAGGTATGATGAAAACAATAGGTGTGAAATCCAAAACCAAATGGGCAAAAAATTCACATTGCAACCTTCAGGTACCATAACCACACACACATATAACATTATATATATTAGTAAAGCAAGATAGTATTATTGAATGAAACTTACTAGATGTGGTGTGGAGGGGTGAGAAGGAAAAGAATAATGTTCAAGAAATAACAAGAACTTGAAAGAGCAAGCAAGCAAAGGGATATTGAGACAAGCAAATAAGATACTTGTTCAGGGAGAACAAGGGCCAGAAGAGGAGGCCTCCACTAATTTTTTTTTTATAATTTATTTATTTATTGAATCACTGTGGGAAAAGTTACAGAGCTTTCGGGTTTAGGTCTCAGTCATGTAAATATCAAACACATTTCCCTTTACCAATACTTATTTTTAACCCCGAACCCCAATAGACCCCCACCTTCCCCCACCCCTCCCAATTCTTGTGAGGCAGATGAGTTCTAGTTAATACTCTATCTACTTTGACTAGATAGATTGTTTCGATAGAAGATGCACAATTATTGTTTAGAGTTTACGACCCACCCCCCACAATCAGATATGCTGAAACAGCGTTGTGAAATGATTTGCTTTCTACAACTTGGTTTAAGAATAAAATGATGTCGCGCGGACGCGGTTTTGAATTTCTGCTATTTTACTTATTGACCCTGGAAGAATTTCTATTAAAAGTTAGATAGTTAAGAGATTGGTTTCTGTGCCCGTGCGGCCGCCATCTTTCTTTCCAGAGAGGAGCGGGCGGGCTGGTCAACACCCTTTCCCCTCCGGGCAGGCTTGGTGGCGCTGTTTAACACATAGTCCATTTGCTTTTCTGCTCCAAGCGGCTGGTTCTCTGTGCTAAGTCCTTGTGCCTCCGGGGCCGTGGCCGTGCCAGAGAGCCGCTCGTGGGGGGCAGCTGGAGACCTCGGTGGGGCGTGGGGGACGGCCCACAAAGCCCCCCTTCCCATGAGGTCCCCGCCGCTCCCGCCGAGCCCGGCTCAAACCGGCTGTCCACAAGGCTCCCGTGCGGCCGCCATCTTTCTTTCCAGAGGCCTCCACTAATTTTTAATCAGTTTTTGATACCAACAAAATTATAACTCTATGGGATGCATCCTGATTGACCCTTTTCTGAAGCAATTCTAGCAACAACTCAAAGTGACCTGTCTGCTGAGACCTCAGGGGAAAGGCCACAGAAGGCAACAAACAGGAAGCGGGTTGGGGAAGAATACATATAGAATTACTAAGTGTGGCCAGACTGCAGCACTCTGGGCTGTTAGTAACATGAGAGAGAGGCAGGTGAGGTGGAAGACACTAACATCACTGGCGATGTCTCTAGAGGCCTTGGCACTCTTGATGGAAATAGCATCAGCTCTCAGGTCATATTCCTTCATCTTTGCTTCATCCCATCCCTTGGTGTACAGTTTCTAGATGGAGGATTACGCATAACAGAAAAATAAAATTGTTTTAGAAAGTGAACAGGTAAATTCCAGAAAGAAAGGTCGGAAACGTATTGTAATTATTATTGGAAAGTTTCAACAGCAATCAGAAAAAGTCTTACTTGGCTGATATTAGCAGAATTGCTCTTGGCCAGCAGGATTTCTGGGGTGTCGGGCATAACATGGATGGAAGTCTTGTCAGCATCCCAAGCTTCTGTGTATAAATGCTATGGAGTGGAGGGAATGGTAAAACTTTTGTTAAAGTCAGAACATTACAGTCTGACTATAATTACTGTAACATTACAGTCATTGTTACTAAATCCATTTAACCATAAAGGAGCCTTATTAAAGCTATTGGGAGATGAGGGAATCAAAGATCTAGTTTGTTGAAATAGTGTCATAGTGCATATGAACCAATATAATGGTCTCAGTTATTAATTCTTTCATCCAGTGAATCTCAGTTGCCTCAGAGGCTGTCCAAGAATGGAGCTTCGCTATAGGACAATATAATGTACATTCTTAAACAGAGTCAGAAACAATCCCAAATTTAGACCTATCTCTTTACGTCCAACCTGTATGATCTGGAGTAAGATATAGCTCCTCATTTCTCAGAGGGGTCATGCTATCTTTCTAATCTAATATTTCAGGAAGATTAACTACAACATAAGCAAAATGCCTGAGTCAGTAGCAAGCACTCCATAACATTTGTGGTGTTTCTTACTGCTATCATCACTATGATTACTGCTGATTGACAGGTTTCTGGGGGGAGAGTTAGGGAAGCACTTCTGTAGTTTGAATCTTGCAAACCCTGTAGTTTGATATTTGACAGCTAATTGCAAATTATGCACTGAGCACCCACTCTTCCTAGCCAAATGTTTGGACAATGTCTAAGTGTGAGAAAATTCATGTAAGTTCAATTCAATATAAATGTCCATATTATAGATTTATCCAATGGACAGATAATTAGTCCAGTATCAATAAAAGATTGCTAGAACTCTGGGGAAAAGAAATGAGGATGTATCTTGTAAAATGAAACTTCACTTTCCAAAGTACATTTCCACAACCTAAGGGTTGTGAGCTGGCAACTCCTTGAAAGACAATGTGTTCTTCGGATTGCAGAATGAATCCTAAATGACAGTCTATTCCTTACAGAATGACTTAAAGCTGCCAATGGCTTGAACCTACTCTGCCCAGGAAAACAGGAAAAGAATGTCCTTGTCTATATGTTCAGGTCAATGCACAGAGAAATCAACCCAGACTACGCTATCTCTCACACACACAAAGAACTAGGGAACATGGCCGTGAGAAAACCACGCAGGTCCAACTAGAAGTCAAGCAGAAGATTTGTAGAGGGTCTGCATGAGAATTATGCAAAATTATACATTTCCCTTCTCTTGAAATCCTTCAGTGCACTTCCCACTTGATGAATTATATTTAAGGAAAGTATGACTCAGGGACTCAGGCATATGAAAAATCTAGAAACTCACCTTGCTCATTGTCAGGGCATTACTCTTTGCCAAAACAATCTCCGGAGTGTCTGTAATGCACGTGAACTTGAGCTGGTTTGCAGGCTGGCGGTACTTCCTGTCACTCAGGATTTCTCCCGCTCTCTTTGCCTTCTCAACCTCTACAGAGCCGATGGGAACCCATCCAATGCCTTTTAACCACTCAAGATCAGACTTGTAAATTGCCTGAAAACAAATGGTGAATTTTTATAGAAATGCCTTAGACAGCCCAGTGCCTGAAAGGCACATATAGACAATGTACACTTCTGAACCATATTTGTGCAAATTTCTGAAAATCCCACAATATTGTCTACTTGCATGTAGAGTGATTAGCCAAACCCTTAGTCTTCTGAATTCAGCCTAAGTTTTCAGTTTAATTTTAAAAGTTTATTATTATTTTTGTTTTGAGGCCATGCCCAGGGATGCTTAGGGCTTAATTCTTGCTCTGCACTCAGGAATCACTACTGGTGGGCTTGGGGGACCAGATGTGGTGCCAGGGATCAAACCCAGGTCAGTGGCATTCAAGACAAGAGCCTAACCCACTGTATAATCTCCAGCCAAAATTGTATTTATTTTTGTTATTTTTTTGATGTTTGCTATTTTAAAGATCTATGAAAAAAATCTCCCTAGTATTATGCAATTTTATTGCTAGGAAGCAATTTTTAAAATTTAAGCATTAAGAAAAAATAAATGCCTCTATTTGTGTTAATTATCTGATTTAATCGCCATGTGTCTTTGTGAGGACACAATCCTCTAGAACAGTTTGCTCCTTTATCATTGGACGATGGTCTTCACAGTCAACCATGCAAGATAGTGAAGCAATGATCAAAACTGAATGACCATATATAGAATTATGATGTTCTCTGGGAAACGCAAAATGTGCAATTTTTTCATATGTTTTCATATACATGTTTCTAAGTCAAAGAGAACTTGTCTTTTTACTTTTATTTATCTTCTCTTTTATGGTTAGCTCCTGTCTTGTTTAATTAAAATCAAAACAGTTTATCCTTCTTTCATCATCTCCAGTGAACTTAAACAACTGGCATATGGAGAATTTTCTCACAGAAAAATAGCTAATTAATTTTTATGACTTTTGAAAAACTTTTTAAAAACAATGCAACCACTTTCATCATTCTTACAAAAATGATGACTTGTCAGCACTTTATCTGTAAAACAAGCATTTGAGTCTCGAGGATGATTTACTGGGCAGACAACAAATGTGCCTAATACAATAGTAGGAAGCTAATTTTTTCAGTGTCTTAGGAAAAAATGGTCTCAGTGTATGTCAATCATTCTTAAACTTCTAGTAACAAGCTATATAGTCACTTCCTATTCATAGTCAGAGGAAAAGAGAATGCAATTAATGCATTTGGAAAATTGGGTTGCATTAAACTGGAAATTCTTAATTTGACTTGAATTGATGGGAATAGAAAAAAAACCCGGAGCTGGAGCAATTGTACAGTGGATAGGGCATTTGCCTTGCATGTGGCCGATCTGGGTTTGTTCCCCGGCATCCCATACAGTCCCTTGAGCACTGCCAGGGGTAACTTCTGAATGCAGAGCCAGGAAGTAACCCCTGAGCATCGCTGGATGTGATCCAAAAACCAATAAATAATTAAATAAAATAATAAATAATAAAAATAAAGATAAAAATAATAAATAATAATAAAAAATAAAGATAAAGATAAAAATGATAAAAATAAAGATAAAAAAGAAGTTGTTTAACAGTCTTATTAAAAAACCTTAATTTCTATCAACTTCTATCTGAAATATATCATTTCATCCAATTAAAAGTAAAAGCTGCATACTGGAGTAGTCTTAAGTATTACATGCTGACTGTAGCAATAGAGATCACAAATGTTTTTGCATCCTTTTTTAGTTCATACAAACATCTTGAAATATTTATGTTCAAATTTCTTTTGTGCTTGTTTTTGTTTTGGGGGTCACACTCAACTGTGCTCAGGGCTAACACCTGGCCCTGCACTCAGAGATCACTCTTGACAGGGCCTGGGGGACCATATGAGGTGTCAGGGATTGAACCTGGTTCAATTGCATGATTGAACATGCAAGAAAAGCTCCTTAATGGTGTACTATCTCTCCAGCCCCTTATGCTCTTTATTTCTTGGATAAGCACAAAACTAGAAAAATGCAGAGTTCATCGATTTTTTGAAAATAATCGCTAAGTTTCAATGATTCAAAAAAAGCATATACATTACTACTGTGTGGGCTTAATTTAATACACAAAAAGTTAGAAGCCCCTTTTAAAACCTTTAAGTACACACTGAAGAAAATTTGACCCACTCACATCACTCTGAAGGTCATAGGCCTTCCTAGCCTGGATGACATCATTCTGATCGGGCAGACAGGTCCATTCATGGAGGGGATGCTTGTAGTCTATGTCGCTTACAAGGATCTGGCACTTCTTGGCCAGCACCACGCCCAGCATGTCCACGGGGCTGGTGTACTTGGTCTTCCACTTCTCAAAGTCCTTCTTGTACTCCCTATCACTCTGGATCTTGGCAGCATGCAAGGACCACATTATCTTGGGGTCATCCTTAATGTCCCGGGCACCGATGTGATGGCCAACCTGCTTGCGGTAGCCTTCCTTGTACTTGTACTGGTAAAAAAAGAGTAGGGATGTGCATTAATGATAAGGGTGTCTTATTTATATCCCATTGCAAAGTTTCATATAGTAATTGACTTTATTTTCACCATCAGGAATTTGAGGAAAAGAACTCTTTCCACAAAATAGAAGCCTGATGCCTACAGACCTCAGGTTATTTGTCTAAGGTCATCTCACAGTAGGTGGCAGGAATGAGACTAGATTGGAAAACTTCTGGTTCCATATAGTTTCCCCTTCAACTAACCTATACTGCGTAGTTTACATTTCATTGCCTATGTACTGCAGTCAAACATCTGTGTCATCTAACAGAGACCTCCATAATTTAAATTTTAAAACACAGTGATTTTTTTTTACCTAAAAGATATTTGATATTAATAATATTTCAGAATATATTACCATTAGAATTTATAGTGAATTCCCTGGTTGAGAAATGCTTTGATTTTCACCAGGAATTATCACCTTGATTAGCATACCAAATGTCCCTGAACTTTTTTTTTTTATTAGTAAAACACCATGAGGTAGAGTTATAGACTTAAAAATTTTTGTGCTTGGGTTTCAGTCACACAATGATCAAGTACCCATCCCTCCACCAGTGCCCATCCTCTACCACCACGGGTCCCAGCATCCCTCCCACCCCCACCCCCCCCTTCCCACCCTGAACTTTTTAAAATTAAATTAAATTTAATTTATTTATTTTTTGCTTTTTGGGTCACACCCGGCGATGCACAGGGGTTCTCCTGGCTCTTCACTCAGGAATTACTCCTGGCAGTGTTCGGGGGACCATATGGGATGCTGGGAATTGAACCTGGGTCAGCTTCGTGCAAGGCAAACACCCTACCCGCTGTGCTATCTCTCCAGCCTGTCCCTGAACTTTTACCTTGAGAGAATCATGCCTTTCTTTCAAAATCTATAATGACAGACTGCTGGGGTTTGAAAGATAATATAGGGCATTCAATGCTTGCCTTGAATCCAGACAACCCAGGTTTGATCCTTGGCATCCTACTTAGTTCCCCAAGTACTACCAGGAGTGATTCCTGAATCCAGATTGAGGAGCTACCCAGGAGTATCGCTGGGTGCAGCCCCAACAAAAATAAATAAGAAATCTATAATAACATAGACTGTCCTATTTTACCATAAGACCATGGGGTGGGTCTTGCAGTTTAAAAGCCAGAAAAAGGCTTTAAAAATAAAAGGAATAAATCACGAGTGTAAGTCGTGGAACCCTTCACAATAGGATGGGGAGAATTCGAGTCCTAAGAAGCCCTAGTATAGAAGAGAGGCACTGTGCACCTCAGGTGATGTTTCTCATGAGAAAGGAAGTCTGCTTTGAAGTGGAGGTGGTATGAGTAGGAAGTCCAGGTTTGGAGCCATGAGAGACCCTCAAGCACTAAGCCTGGAGAAGCCAGTGAATACCGGTGGGGGTGGGGGTGGGGGTGGGTAGAGAGAGACAGAGACAGAGACATGAGGGGAGAGAGAGAGAGAGAGAAGGAAAGAAAGAGAAGGAAATAAAGAGATGGAGAGGGAGGGAAAAAGAGACAGAGATACAGAGAGAGGGAGGGAGAGGAATCAAAAGAGAGCTAGGGGGAGAGGGGGAGGGAGGAAGGGAAGAAGGAAGAGAGGGAGGGAGAGTGAGAGGGAGGGAGGAGGCAAGTGAGCACTGGTAAAGATTTGCTAAGTTTTCTTGATTTATTCTGTGTCCAGTTAGGGAGCTTCTGGTAGGAGAACCTCACTAACAGTCACAAAGGATGAAACAAATCTCCCAGACACATCCAACATCTAGTTTTCCTTTAAATCCAAAATGAAAGATTAGAAGTAGTAGTAAAGTGTTCACATTTATATTGACTGACTTATATGAGTTTCAGTATCTTTTATAAATATCAGAGGTGTAAAGCTATGAACAGTTCTTTTTTTCTTTTTGGGTCACACCCAGCTCTGCACTCAGGAATTACTCCTGGTGGTGCTCAGGGTACTATATGGGATGCTGGGAATCGAACCTGGGTCAGCTGTGTACAAGGCAAATGCCCTACCCCTCTGCTATTGCTCCATCCCCTGAAGAATTCTTAGTATCTTTAAACATCTTTTTATTTTTGTTTGGGGTCCACACCTGAATGTGCTCAGCACTCAGGGATCATACCTAGCACTGCTTGTGGGACCATATATGGTGCCAGGGTTCTATCCCAATAGAGCTACATGCAAGGCAAGTACCCTTCCCACTGTACTATTTCTCTGGCCTCTAATACTTATTTTAAAAATATACTTGCCTCATCTTTGTATAATAAACTCATAAGCACTCAAAAGCACAAAAATATGTGCTTTTCTCCAACTTTGTTATCATTTACATCTTTATACACAGGGGAATCACTAAGAGAAATTAAAATTTGTAGGAATACAACTGAAGTTCTGGCCAGAAATGCTTTAAAATTTTCCATCTTTTCACATCTTTAAGCGAGAAATACCTCTTTCAAGAGCAATAACTTACATCACTAGCAATATCTCTTGAAGCTTTGGCTGCCTGGATTGGAATGGCATCCAGACGCAAATCATAGCCTTCTTTCTTGGACTCCTCCAAAGCAAGTTTATAGAGTTTCTGTGGAAATAGAATCATTAATCATTACTCCTTCCATTTAAAAATAATGAAGCTGTTTATTATTAAATCGTCTCTGTCCTCATTTAAACTACAGAAAGAAATCTACAAAGTCAAGTATTAGGGTAGAGTTATAGATAAAAAATTTTATAAGTGCTCTGGGATTCTAAAGCAGATGTTCTAAACTTTGGGATTTTATTGAAAGGTTTAAAAAAATCAGGGCATATAATTAGAACAACTAGTTACTATTTCCATGATATTATAAATAAAGCCCCCCCACCCGCAAACACAATGCAAAAAAGACATCTGCACACCTATGTTCATTTCAGCACTCTCCACAAAAGACCAAATCTGGAAACAACCAAGCTGCCCAAGAGAGATGATTCAATAAAGAAGCTATGATACAGATGCACTGTGAACATTACTTGGCTCTAAGAAAAGATGAAGTCCTGCAATGTCGATGGTTCTGGAGAGTATCATGCTGAGTGAAATGAGTCAAAGGGAGAGGGACAGACACAGAATCATCTCACCCATATGTGGGTTTTTATAAAGAAACATAGGTGGGGAATATCTAATGCCTGAAGACAATAGAAACCAAAATCCAGAGAGCTGGTCCTTAGCAGGAAAGTCGCCACCTGGTGAGGGAAGAGGAGATAGGGAAGGGACCTCTATGACAATGATAAAGGGAAGTGGTGACTCTATTTTGTTTTTTTTTTTGTTTGTTTGATTTTTTTCCTTGCTTTTTGAGCCATACCCAGCCGTGCTTAGGGGTTACTCCTGGCTTTTCTTGGGGTATCATATAGGATGTCAGGGATTGAACCCAGGTTTGCAAGGCAAATGCCCTATCCACTGTACTATGGCTCCCCCAGGAAGTGGTGACTCTGGATGAGGACTGGGTGCTAAAAGGAGGTATAGTAACATGCATGATAGCTTGTCAGTTAACAGTAATATAAAGCACAGTGCCTTAAAGGAAAAAAGAATAAAGTGTATAGAGGCTGACTGGGGGGTGGAGGGGGTGGGGAGGAACAGGTGGGAGTGTGGGTAGGAATTTCTAGTCACTGTGGAGGGAAGTGGGCTCTGGTAAAGAAAGTGGTGTTGGAACGTTGTACGCCTGATCAATCTTAATAACTTTGTAATTCATGGTGGTTCAATTAAAAAAATTTTAAAAATATACTTTTAAAAGGCCATGTAATACTAAAAGAGGAGAAAGAATACAAAAACCCCTCCAGTTTAAAATAAAAGAATGTTTTTGGATTTATGAAAAACTCGGTGATCATCATTATTTTTCTCAGTTTCTGAGGACTGTGATCACAGACCACAATCAATCTGTAGACTTGAAGTTTGGAGTAATTCCCTCAATGGTAATGTTGGTGCTGGCAAATATGCCTGGAAAAATGTTGGTAAATAATACTAAATAATTATCAGAACATATTGAAGTAATAAAATAATAGAAAATGATGTGAAAACTCAATTTTTCAACCCAATGCCTGCCTACAAAATAATTGTCGCATCAAATAATGACTTGATAAACATACTGACCTGTAGAGTTATTTCTACATTAGCAGTCCATCCCCTGAAATCCTATTGTCAAAGGCTAGTCTATTTTGTGGATCTACTTCTAGCCCAATCTATCCGAGAAGATCTATGTATTTTATTGAATATAAGTTTGGAATAAGCATATTAGAGATTTCTCTAAGGAACAATTAGAATTTTTCAGTTTTGCCCTTCTACTCTTTTAAAGATTAACAGCTTACTCACATCACTGTAGTTGATTCTGTTGAGTTTGGCCAGCATGATTTCTGGTGTATCAGGCATGACATGGATAGTTTTCTTATCATTATCCCAGGCTTCAGTATATAAGCGCTAGAGGTAGAAAAGATGAAAAATTACTTTGAAGTTGAAAGAATTTTCTTTTTGTTTTGTGCCAATCAACTTTTCCTCTGTCCAAATAGAAATAAAGTTAGTAGAATTATATGAATTCCTATCAAAGAACCACTCTTTGCAAGAACTCTTAGCTTACTATTTCATTAAGTTGAAGATTTTACTCTTTCGTTTTTTGGAGGGGGTGGTATTCAGGACTTCCTCTTGACTCTGCACACAGGGGTCACTCCTAGTGAGGCACAGAGTGTCATTTAGGTATTGGGGATGGAACCTGGGTTGGGCACAGGCAAGGCAAGTACCCTATCCACTGTACTATCTCTTCAGCCCCCGTGTTGACTATTTTTTATTAATTTTTTTTACAGTTATGACAAGTAATTGGATTGTAATCCTTAACATTTGTCCGGCATAGAATTATAAAATAATTGCAGTATTTGTTATTTTAACAGGAGCCTCGTAATTTCAAGTATCACTAAACAACTCTGGTGCTAAAATGAAATTTTTTTCAAAGGAATCGTATATCTTATTGGCATCTTTAAAATTGTACTCTGTCAGAATTTTCAATTTGTTCTGTGGTAAAGTCTGATGTTTACTCTAAAGACTCACTTTATTCATGGTAATCGCATTGTTCTTTGCCAGAACCTGCTCCAGAGAGTCTGTTATGCTGGTAAACTTCAGTGTGTCTGGACGTTGACGGTAGATGTTGTCACTCAGTATCTCTGTGGCCCTCTTGGCTTTAACAACTTCCAAGGAGCCAATCGGAACCCAGCCAATACCCTTCATCCATTCCAAGTCTGCCTTATATACATTCTATAAGTCAATGGATAGGAATCACATTTAGCAAATAATACACAAGATTTACTCTCATAATATGAAACATAATAAAGAAATACAAAACTATTGAATGAAATAAAGTTCCCAGCATAACTGGTCACTCATTTATACACATTACTGAATCTTGATCATATTTTTCCCCTGAGCTTTTTTAGGTACAGAGGATTGTACCAAGAATGATGATTTTTTTAAAAAATAAAAAGTAAAAAATCACAGTCCATTGTGAAGGATATGTATTATAAGATTTTTACACATATGCAGAGCTTCTGAAGTCTTGAAAAAAGTTCTCTAAAAGCACTAAGACCCATGCTCAAATCAATGTTTTGAGAGTGTTATAGTCATGACTCCTACTTTAATTTCCATCTTCAAAATCACAACTTATCAATAGCGTAGGATTAATATATGAGATATTTCTCTAATTATTCATTTTATTTTACTCTCATCCGAACATGATAGATGAGTCTACATGAGATGATTGACTTTGAAAAATCAGAGAATGTCTTAATACTTTGCTGTCAATAAAGAAAACATGAATGTTTGTTTAAATTACTAAAATAATTTGACTTAATATTTGGGTTCCTACTTTTTCCACATCAAATATATATTTCCAACTCTTTCACTTCAAAATTTGTAACTACATATTTTTGAGGAATTTAAAAAATTTTTAAAAAATCTAATTCAAAGAAAGTTTCAGTCACTAATGAGAAATGCACCTGTCTGTTACTGATAATATCTTACATTATTTTGTATTTTACAAATAATTTCAGGAGAATAAAAAAATGTGAACAAATATTAGTGCTCCCAATGAGAAACTCCTTTCAAACATTCTGACACAAATTGCAGTCTATTGGCACTAGTCAGAGCCATTAGATGTGTTTCAGAAGTATCTGGGGTGGGTGGGCTACATTCATTTGTGCTCAGGGCACACTCCTGGCTCCACACTCCTGTTGGGATTCAGAGGATCATGTGGAATGGTAAGGATCGAACCTGAGTTAGCTACATACAAGACAAGCATCTTACCCACTGCTCTAGCTCCCATCTCTGTGGTGCTGGGAATGGAACCCAAGGCTGCCTTATGCAAGGCAAAAGGCATACCCCTTGTACTATCTCTCTGGCCCAGATGTATTTTTAACATACAAAACTAGCATCAGGGACACTTACATCACTCTGGAGTTCATAAGCTTTCCGAGCTTGGATGATGTCATTCTGGTCAGGCAGGCAGGTCCACTCATGAAGAGGATGTTTATAGTCCACATCACTAACCAAGGTCTGACATTTCTTGGCCAAAACAATACCAAGCATGTCCACTGGACTGCTGTATCTGGTCTTGTATTTCTCAAATTCTTTCTTATACTCACGATCACTCTGCACTTTAGCAATATGAAGGGACCACATCATCTTTGGGTCATCATGGATTGCCCGGGCACCAATATGGTGCCCCAACTGCTTCCGATAAGCTTCTTTGTATTTGTACTAAAAGAGAAAACTCAGTTAATGAAAGGAAGCATGAAAACCCATTCCCTATTGTTCTTCCTGTGATGATACTTCGTTATGAACTAAGAAATGAGAGTTTGCTGCTGAAATGCTTCCTCTTGGGGCAGGCTAACTTTCAGAGGATATTGTACCCAACCACATGCTTCCAAAGAGTAATTCCCCAGTGATTCCTTCATATGATGCTAATAAACTTTAAGTTGACCCAAGGTGGTTGAAAAGAGAGTTCAATGACTCCAGTACATGGCGGTGTTTTGGGTGAACCTCTCTGAAAATATATCTCATATATTTACATGGTTTTGTATTTTATATACAAGATATGCTAATATGGTCCCTTACAGTTTCTCTCCTAGAGCACTCTGATCAAAAGTTTTCTTTGCAAAAATAATCTGGGAGGATTTAGATGGATAATGACTAATAAGACTTCCAACTGCGTTCTAAATGTGGATTTCCTATGCAGGTGGCTGGCTTATTGGCAACAAGCACAAAAACTCAATCAGCTCTTACATCACTGGCAATATCCCGGGAGGCCTTGGCAGCTACAATGGGAATGGCGTCACTCCTCAGGTCATAGCCTTCTTTCTTGGCTTCTTCCATGGCCTGCCGATAGAGGCTCTAGAGAAAGAAGTAGTAGCTGTTAGATAAAATAACCACTTTCTTTTGTCAGAGGGAGAACACTTTTGTGTGAAGAATTGCACTAGTATGTTCTGCTTTCTTTTCATTTGTTTGTTTGGGGTTCACATCTGGCAGTGCTTAGGGATTTCTTCTGGCTCTATGCTCAGAGATAACTTGTGGAGGGCTCAGAGGGCCATCTATGGTGCCAGGGTTGGAACCCAGGGCTGCCATGTGCAAGGCAAGAGTCCTACCTGCTGTACTATCTCTCTGACCCAACACCTCTGCTTTTTAAATTTTTAACCATGTATATCCAAGCTTTTAAAGTAAAGTTCTACATTCTTTTATTATTTTATTTTATACTTTTATTTTTTTATTTTTTATTTTTTATTTTTTTTTGCTTTTTGGGTCATACCCAGTGATGCTCAGGGGTTACTCCTGGCTCTGTGCTCAGGAATTACCCCTGGCAATTCTCAGGGGACCATATGGAATGCTGGGAATCAACCCAGGTTGGCCACATGCAAGGCAAACACCCTACCAGCTGTGCTATTGCTCCAGCCCCCTGCATATACTTTTAAATTCACATTGTAATTACTCAGCTATTACAAAAGATAAAATTCTGCCTTTGGCTACAACTTGGATGGAACTGGAGGTTGTCAAGCTAAGAGAAGTGAGTCAGAAGGACAAATACCAGATTATCTCATTCAGATGCTGAATATAAAGAAACAAAGGAAGACAGTGGCTAATGGCCAAAGAAAATAAACCCTAATAAACCCTGAGACCCTGCCAACAGAACTGAGCTTGCTAACCAGTGACAGGCAGAACCTGAAAAGGGACCTACAGAAAGGTTGGAAGGATACTGGAATTTTGGTATTGGGTGCACATCTAAAGCACAGGTAATATCTTGCAAATCATGATGCAGCTATGCAAAAGTGAAATAATAAATATTTTAATATGAAAACTATCTTTGACCAAATTTTTATAGACCTTAACTCCTTAATTTTTATAGACATTAACTCCATGGCTCTAAAATATATTTGGACTGTTCAGTACTTGCTCTTTTCCATGAAATAAGCAGGAACTTTACATAAGTCCAAACAATTCTATTAGCAGAGAATGATTATATAATAATAAGTAATAATACCATTATGTGCATGCTAATCTAAGGATAATTTACTGTTTCTTAAAACTGATTTCCTCCATATCTATTCATTTTTGTCAACTGCTGGAAATTGCAACCAGACAAGGGAATGGCAAATATCAAAGATTTATGGGTCTAAAGACAAAATGAATAAAATTATATTTAAACTTTTTTTTGGTTTGTTTTCAGTTTTTTGGCTACACCTAGAGCAGGGGCTACTCCTGGCTTTATGCTCTAAGTGACTCCCAGCAGTGCTGATGGGACCATAAGTGGTACCAGGAATAGAACTAGGTTGTCTGCATGCAAGGCAAGTGCTTTAATCTCTGTATTAACTCTTTGGTCCCAATATTTACTAAGATTTTTCTGAGTTGGCAAGATGCCTACTGTTCAGGTTTGACAGTAGAAGAAAGGCCAGAGAAGGCAGAGGGAGGAGTATTCAAAGTTTGAGAATACTTACTCACTCACAGTAATTTTTTATTACTGTAATTGATTGTGAATGACTTACAAGATTTCTGACAACTCTACATACTGATAAAATAAAATTTAGATCATTTTAATATTGATATTTAATCAAAATTTCACAGTCACGGTCCTCCCATTGTTCATCAATTTGCTCGAGCGGGCCCAGTAACGTCTCCATCGTGAGACTTGTTACTGTGTTTGGCATATCGAATACATCACAGGTAGCTTGCCAGGCTTTGCCATGCGGGCGAGATACTCTTGGTAGCTTGCTGGGCTCTCCAAGAGGGGCGAAGGAATCGAACCCAGCTCGGCCGGGCCAGCTGTGCGCAAGGCAACACCCTACCGCTGTGCTATCGCTCCAGCCCAATTGAATGAATGCTTCAAGCAATTATTTTTATTATCTGGATAACATTTTAGACTAATACAAAAGTTAGTACTTTGAAAGAAGACTTGGTATTCCCTACTCATATAAAAATATGATCATGGTTATGATGACCCCAAGGAAATTCTTTTAAAAATTGTTGTGGGAGTTACAGCTAGTATTATTATAGGTTAAAAAAAATTCATGTAAGTGAAAAAATATAAATTACTGAAAATGTGGGCTGGAGCAATAGCACAGTGAGTAGGGCGTTTGCCTTGCATGCAGCTGACCCAGGTGACCTGGGTTTGATTCCTCCGCCTCTCTTGGAGAGCCCAGCAAGCTACCGAGAGTATTTCACCCACATAGCAAATCCTGGCAAGCTACTCGCGACGCATTTGATATGCCAAACACAGTAACAAGTCTCACAATGGAGATGTTACTCAGCCCACTCAAGCAAATCGATGAACAACGGGAGGATAGTCCTACTGTGCTACTGAAAATGTATGCATATATTTTCCAGTGGTCTCAAACTAAGGCCTCCCTATTTTGGGGGTGGGGGGCTGGTCATTCCCGGCAGTGCTCAGGGATTACTCCTGGATCTACACTCAGGGATCACTACTAGTGGGATTGCAGAACTATACGGAAAGCTGGGGATCAAACTTGGATTAGCCACATACAAAGCAAGCACTCTACCTACTGCATTATTACTCTAGCCCCAGATATTTTTGTGTTTAACTATCTATCCTATATTTTATTTTTGAATATAATGATACCTCAATTCAGGGTAGGTAAGGAAAATTAAAGAAAACAAAACTGAGCTTATTGATCTACATGAGGATTTAGTCCATAATTATGACATTTCTATTTATTTGCTAATATAAATATAGTCAAAACAAAAGAAATAAGACAAATGATCTTACCTCACTATAATTTATTTTATTTTGTCTTGCCAACATAATTTCAGGTGTATCAGGCATGATATGGATTTGGGTCTTGTCTTTGTTCCATGCTTCAGTATATAAGCGCTGAGAGGGATTAAAAAGGTCAAGAAATTAGATAAATAAAGTCATATATAGAAATTTTCATTTAAGAGCTTAAGATACTTGGAAGTGGATCTTCTTGCTGTGTGTTAGCTTTATGTTTCTATATTTTGGTTTTACACAATATTTACTATCACTAAATAAAAAGTGATTCTGGAATATAAAAAGAACACGTGTATTTGCATATTTGTGTGTGTTCTATTATTGGATTCCTCTACCCCAATTAAACTAACAGCAAATATTTTCTAAGCATTTACACTTCCAACTATATGTGCATACCTATATGTATCGTAGCCGCATTAACAAATTCTTGCCCATGATGTTGTTCATCTGATTAGTAATTGTGAATGTACCTGGATATGTCATCCTTAGATTTCTTTCTGAAAAATCCTATGGAAATGTGTATCTAACTTATTTGATCTATAATTTCCTACTTAAATATCTAACAAGAAAGAAATCTTGCCATGGATGACTCTCATAAACGTCAAACACCTTGAGCACCAAAGAAAAGAACTATTCTTTTTTAAATAAACACATTTATTTAGGAGCTTCCCAAGCAGTGCTGAGGAGGCTCTGAGCCCCTCATGAGTAGTTCAATACAGAGAGGTCTTGAGGCGGTTGCTGCTCAGGCCCTGCTGTGCTGGGCATTACCAGGTCTGCAGTACTCAGGGGTCTCTAAATCAGTACCAAGTGATGCTAAGGGAATCAAGTGTTGAGGATGGAACTGCGTATGCTCAGCTGCATAGAAAGCACGTACCCTAACAAAGTACTACGTTTGCGGACCAACTGTCCTATTCGTAACTTTGGGCAATTACCCAATGGATGGCAAAGCAGATATATGTGCATATATATGTGAATATACTTCTATTTCTATATAAATATTTTATATAACATTAAAAATACATGGAAAATACTAACATAACTGAGTAGAGAGTTCAACAAAATCACTTTGCAGAGAATGGTAATTAGATAAAAGAGAAAGATAATCAGATATCTTCAATGATATGTAGCCATGTTTTATTTCCCAATGGTTTGGTGCTTACCTTGTTCATTGTGATGGCATTGTTCTTAGCCAACACTTGTTCCAGAGAATCTGTCACACTGGTAAATTTCAGCTTGTCTGGAGGCTGGCGGTAGATGTTGTCACTCAGTATCTCTGTAGCTCTCTTGCATTTTTCTACCTCGAGAGAACCAATGGGGACCCAGCCAATGCCTCTCATCCACTGGAGATCTGCTTTATAAACATTCTGGTGAAATAAAATACAAAAGCATTAACTGAAGCTGTTATGACATGATTTTAAAAAGCAAATAAAGACTAGAACCCTTAAACTTTTGATATGTCTTTTATTTTTTATTTTACTTTTATTTATTTATTCTTTTGCTTTTTGGGTCACACACAGCGATGTTCAGGGGTTACTCCTAGCTCTGAACTCAGGAATCACTCCTGGCAGTTCTCAGGAGACCATATGGGACACTGAGAATCAAACCTGGGTTGATCGCATGCAAGGCAAATGCTCTACCTGCTGTGCTATTGCTCCAGCCCCTGATGATGTCTTAAAATATGAAGGCTTGGGACAGAGAAATGGTATAGTGAAAAGGATGTTTGTCTTGCATGCATCCAACCTTGGTTTAATCCATACCACCCCATATGGGCTCCTGAGTCTGCCAGGAGTGATCTCTAAGCACAGAGTCAGGAGTAAGTCCTGAACTGGGTACTGGGTATGGCTCTAAAACCAAAAAAAATTTAAAAATATACTAAAATATGCATGGCAGAGCCTAGCAAGCTACCTGTGGCGTATTCGATATGGCAAAAACAGTAACCATAACAGATCTCATTTCCCTGACCCTGAAAGAGCCTCCAATATGGCAGCGTTGGGAAAGATAAGGAGAGGCTGCAAAAATCTCAGGGCTGGGACAAATGCAGATGCTACTGGTGCCTGCTCAAGTAAATTGATGAACAACGGATGACAGTGACACAGTGATTAAAATATGAAGGCCAAATTAGATCCATCTTCAGGATGCTATATTCTCTCTAAAAGGAAATGAAGGCACAGTGAACAAGCTGTAGAGAGAAGAAACAGTATTCCTTGGAAGGGCTCTACCTAACCCTAGACTATCAGCTACAGATTATAATACATCACTGTCACAAACAGGTCTCAGTACTCACATCGCTCTGGAGGTCATAGGCCTGTCGAGCATGGATGACATCATTCTGGTCAGGCAGGCACGTCCACTGGTGTATGTAGTTCCTGTAGTCTGTATCACTGACCAAGGTCTGGCACTTCTTGGCCAGCACCACCCCCAGCATGTCCACGGGGCTGGTGTACTTGGTCTTCCACTTCTCAAAGTCCTTCTTGTACTCCCTGTCACTCTGGATCTTGGCCACATGCAAGGACCACATCATCTTGGGGTCATCCTTAATGTCGCGGGCACCGATGTGATGGCCAAGTTGCTTGCGGTAACCATCTTTGTATTTGTACTAAAATAAAAGTGGTTGTTAAAAAGAAAAATAAATAGGAAGAACTAAGAGTCATTTACTTAGAACTTCTTCCTTCTGAAATGCTAATTCTTGTTGAGAAATGGAATGGTCTGAATATAAGCTTATTTCCTCAACCACTAAATTTGGTTAAATTGCATGACAATACTCTAACAGGAAGACAGGTCAAACCTCCAAGTTCTGCGATTTACAGATATTAAGTTCCTAGAAACAAAGGTCCTAACATTTCAGAAAACCTGTCAAAATTATATACAGCCTTGTCTTTTGCTTTTGTATAAAGCCTAGTCATGTAATGTTACTCCTGAGTCTTCAGTATCATTTCACATCCTTTTCTCCCCTCGTCTCCCAAATCTAGCCTTGCTAACTTTCATTGGGTCACATGACTGCCTGAAGTCACACTGATCTGTTCTCCTAAGGACCTGCTCTCTCATTTGGCTCAGATTTGCTGGGATAGCTCATGTGAGAAAACAGATTGTGTCTCTGTGAGAAAGCATTTCAGGGCACACCATGATAAGTGCTGACTCTGGGTAATTTCTCTCTACTTTAAGGCAACATCTGATATGCAAAAAATTCAGTCATATGTTTACAGAAGTTTGAGTGGTTTACCCAAACACCTATTTTTTTTTTTTAGAGTCAGTAGAACATGAGATCAAACGTAGCAGTTTGCTATTTTGGGTTGACTGTGTTTTTCTGTATTCCTTTTTTAAAAAAAAATCCAAAAGGAAACACTTTGGAAATTTTCTTTTAAGAGAAAAGAGCTTGCAAAACTGTATTCAGAACAGGTTTAGAGAAAAGAGAATTTTCCTAGAGTTGGTCAGACCACTTTTTTTTTTAATGTTGAACAATTCATGTAAGGATAAAAAAAAAAACCTCTGGCATTTTCTTATTCTGCGAAGTCTCTGTGCTAAAAATATAGATATGAATTGCTCATAATTGCAGCCAGAAGCAACTGTGGATTAAAATTCAATTTTATGCTGAAACATAGGCTACCTCTAGGCTATGCATGCACCTGGATAAAAGAGTCTTTGGAAGTCATAATTAAGACAGTTCTTCCATGAAAAGCATCTTTAATTTAGAGAAGTCAATAAATCTGCTTTGACCAACACCTAGAAGCACTTTTCTGTGGCAGTGACAGAAATGACACTGTGCTGCCTCCCCTCCCTCCCCAAAAATACCACAGAGCACTCACGTCACTGGCGATGTCCCGGGATGCCTTGGCAGCCACGATGGGAATGGCATCGACTCGCAGATCGTAGCCTTTCTTCTTTGCTTCTTCGTTAGCAAGTTTATACAGACTCTGCGACCGAATTAAAGGATGAGCATCAGCAGTAAAATTTCAGAGGTTATCAAATGACAGACTACATTAAAAAAGAGTAGATGCCAGCTTTCTAACAATACTGGAAAGTAAATAAATTATATACTCTTAACTATGCCATTGGGCATTAGAAAGAAATGAAATATATAATGTAGATATATACTAATATTTTTATTATACATATTTCATAACATATATGTATGTTAATATAGTATGCCTAGTTACAGATTATAAAATATAGTAAATAGATTGATGGACATATTTCTGAGTGAAAATATTTAATATTATGTATAAGATTTTCATATTTTATATCTATTTTTATCTTTCTTACTTAAAAGTGGGCTGGAGCGATAGCACAGCGGTAGGGCATTCGCCTTACAAGCGGCCAACATGGCCGACCCGAGTTCGATTCCTCCGCCCCTCTCAGAGTGCCCGGCAAGCTACCGAGAGTATTCGATATGCCAAACACAGTAACAACAAAGTCTCCAATGGAGACGTTACTGGGCCCGCTCGAGCAAATCGACGATCAACGGGAGGGCCTTTACCTTTACCTTTACCTTACTTAAAAGTGTAATGACTATAATGCAATCTTTCATCATGTTTAAAAAGTAAATGAGAATGATTAGCATTCAATTTTAAACACAGTTAACTTGTCTGTCATCACAAGTACAAGATTTTAAGGTCTGATAGAAACCGATAAAACTGCACTTTATTTATTAATTTATTGAATCACCATGAAATACACAGTCACAAAGTTATTCTTTTTTTTTTTTTTGGCTTTTTGGGTCACACCCAGTGATGCTCAGTGGTTACTCCTGGCTCTGGACTCTGCATTCTGGCGGTGCTCAGGGAACCATATGAGATGCTGGGAATCGAACCGGGGTTGGCTGCATGCAAGGCAAACACCCCGACTTCCACAACATTATTCTTTTTTTTATGTAGAAGTACTGCTATTTATTCAGCCACTGATTAGCTGATTGAATTGTGCATGAACTCCACCTTACTTTTTCATTTTTTATAATTTTATTTATTGAATCACCATGAGAGCAGTTACAGAGCTTTCAGGTCTAAGTCTCGGTCATACAATGAAATACCCATACCTTCACCAGTGCCCATTCTCCACCCCCAACAACCCCAGTACACCCCCATCCCACACTCTCCCCCTAGCTGTGGCACAGATGATTTCCACATTACTCTCTCTACTTTGATCACATTCAATATTTTGACACCAGACCCACCATTATTATTTGAGATTTTACCCCAACACTCAGATCTGCTGAAGAGGCAACAGTAGACAATTTGTTTTCTATTGCTGATTATGAATAACATATGATGCTGCATGGCTGCAGTAGTGGCCTCGCGATTTTGAAATTCTGAAATTTTAACACTTAAATCTGGAGGGATTTCTCCCAAAACCTGCTGGGTTCCGAGATTTGTTCCTGAGTCTCTGGGATCATGGCTGTTAAGCAGCTTGACCAGGAGCCAGAGAAGCCATTCGTGGGCGATGACTTGGGGTCTCGTTGGAGTGGGGAGGACAGGCCCGGCTCCGCCCCCATCCCGTGAGGACCTGCGTGTCTCATCACTGCGGGCCCAAACCTGACTGTCATCACTGCGGGCCCAAACCTCCCTGTTCAATGGCCTCTGGAAGATGGCAGCCAACCAGCCACCTAGGGGGAGCTGGACGCATTTCTAGTGGTCCGGACGCATTTCTGCCAAAAGCCACTGTGTTTTTTTTTTTTTTTATATCAGTGAAACACCACTGGGTTTTGAGATTTGTTTCTGAGTCTCTGGAATCATGGCCATTAAGCAGCTTGATCAGAAGCCAGAGGGACAACACCCTTTCCCCCCTGGGGCAGCCCAGCAATAGTAACCTACTGCGTGGCCCACACGCATTTCTGCCAAAAGCTGCTGGGTTTTGAGATTTGTTTCTCAGTCTCTGGGATCATGGCCGTTAAGCAGCTTGATCAGAGCCAGAGAGGCTGATAGTGGGCGATGACTTGGGGTCTCGTTGGGGTGGGGAGGACAGGACCGGTTCCACCCCCATCCCGTGAGGTCCTGCATGTCTCATCACTGTGGACCCAAACCTGACTGTCCAATGGCCTCTGGAGGATGATGGCCACCGAGCCGCCAGGGGTAAGCAGGCGGAGGGCTAACACCCTTTGCCCCCTGGGGTGGCCCGGCAACAGTAACCGACTGCGTGGTCCGGACGCATTTCTGCCAAAAGCCACTGTTTTTTTTTTTATATCAGTGAAACACCACTGGGTTTTGAGATTTGTTTCTGAGTCTCTGGAATCATGGCCATTAAGCAGCTTGATCAGAAGCCAGAGAGGCTGTTCGTGGGCAATGACTTGGGGTCTCGTTGGGGTGGGGAGGACAGGACCGGCTCCACCCCCATCCCATGAGGCCCTGCATGTCTCATCACTGGGGCCCATACCTGACTGTCCAATGGCCTCTGGAGGATGGTGGCCATTGGACTGCCAGGAGGAACAGGCCAAGGCACGAAACCTATTCCCACCTGGGTTGGCCTAGCACCGGTAACCTACTGCAGGGACAAGATGCATTTCTGCCAAAAGCCACTGGGTTTCAAGATTTGTTTCTGAGTCTCTGGGATCATGGCCATTAAGCAGTTCAATCAGGAACCAGAGAGGCCATGCCTCAATTATATAGCTGAGTCAGAGGTGGTTTGTGGGTGTGTTTTGGCCGTTTACTTTCTTGGTAAACTTTGCCCCTAGTTTTTGGGGTCTGGCCAAAGGCACAGCAGCAATTTGGGGGTATCTGGAAGTCTGAAGCCGCCATCAGGCTGCTGATGCACTCGCCTCACAAGTACAGACTGACCTGCTGGCGGCACCATACCCCCCTTCCCCACAACATTATTCTTGATTGGGTTTCAGACATACAATGTTCCATCACCCATCATTTCCCCCATTCCATCCATCAAATGTATCCTTTCCAAATAATGTTCTTTGTGTCCTATAAAAGGGGCTAAATTATTTTGCCTCTGGCCTTTTTGTTTTATCTTTATTTTTAAAATAACATTTCAATTATTTAAAATAAACGACCAGCATCTTGTCTGTCAATCCTAGCTCTTGGAATTGTCAACTATTTCCCACACGTTCTCATTGATCTACAGTGGCAATTACCATAAAATGAAAAGATAATATGATTCCAGTTTCACGTGGAATCCTCTAGAATATAAGATTCAACCCAGAGATAGGACAGGTCCACTGTTTATGTCCTGAAGCAATTTACAGCATGATTGTCAAGGCTCAGGAATCACCATGGAAACAAATGTGAAAAAAAAACAGTAATAGGGTGTACCACAAAATTCTCCCTTACCTCACTGTAGTTGAGTTTGTTCTGTCGTGCCAACATGATCTCTGGAGTATCAGGCATGATGTGAATTTGAGTCTTGTCTTTGTCCCATGCTTCTGTATATAAACGCTATCAAAGAAGATAGTGATATAGAACCATTTAAAATAAAATTACAAAGTGTCAAATTAAGACAACATTGTTTTTGTTATTAGGAAAAATAGAATTAATTATTTCATATTCAGTTGCAAATTTGACTCTTCATTAAGGTTATCAAAACTGAAATTTACAATAATAGAAATTATTTAGGGGGTTTCCCTTCCTTCCTTCCTTCCTTCTTTCCTTCCTTCCTTCCTTCCTTCCTTCCTTCCTTCCTTCCTCCCTCCCTCTTTGCCTCCCTCCCTCCCTCCCTCCCTCCCTCTCTTCCTCCCTCCCTCCCTCCCTCCCTCCCTCCTTTCCTCCCTCTCTCCTTGCTCCCTCCCTCCCTCCTTCCCTCCCTCCCTCCTTGCTCCCTCCCTCCCTCCCTCCCTTCCTCTCTTACTCTCTTCTTTCCTGGTGTTTTGGCCCATACCTGGTGGTTCTCAGGTGTAACTCCTTGCTTTGCACTCTGGGATCACTCCTGACAGTGCAAGAGGGACCTTATGGGATGCAGGGTATCAAGTCTAGGTCAGCAGCATGCAAGGCAAGTGCCTTACTCACTATACTATCCCTCTGGTACTATTTAGGAAATTTCAAGTATGTGATTTAAGAGGTAAGTGTGATTCTGTGCCTTCATGGATCACCTTGAGTCTTCTTGTCATGGAAGTATAATCATATCAACAGTTGGTACTCACCTTGTTCATGGTGATGGCATTGTTCTTGGCCAACACCTGTTCCAGGGAATCTGTCACACTGGTAAACTTCAGCTTGTCTGGAGGCTGGCGGTAGATGTTGTCACTCAGAATCTCTGTAGCTCTCTTGCATTTTTCCACATCCAGAGACCCAATGGGAACCCATCCAATGCCTCTCATCCACTGGAGATCTGCTTTATAAACATTCTGTGAAGAGGAGAATGTCAGAAACTCTTTAGCCAGACCAAAAGATTGAGGGTAAAAATGCAAGTGAAATAAATAATAAAGTATGTTCCTGGTGGCTGTGGGATAGTTTTGTTCTTGTTGCTTTTCTCAGAGAAAAGAATCACACTGGAGTTGACTGACTGAAAGAGGGATTACATCCAGAAATGACAAAGAAATATCTCAACACTAACAAAAAGTGACCAAGTGGAGAAGAAGTGATCCAAACTGATGTCAGCTCAGTGAATTTATTTTAATCTCTCTGCACACTGGATATGAATGCCAACCCAGAGTGAGAGAAATGACATATTTGCCCAATTACAGGAAAATTAATGCTGGACTTCCTCAGATGAAAGGCTCTGCAGCTATTAAAAGCCAGATTTTTAATACATTGATCATGAACAGAAATGTCACTAACATGATACTGAATAAAGACAGCACATTAAAGACTATGTATAGACAAAGAACAGGAGTGTTCTTTTTGTAGCAGTTGGATTTTGGCCCTTTGTGTATTTTTCTCACATTTCAAAAATACATGTGGTGCTCAATTTCTTTAAAAATAACTTGGGGTGTCAAAAGAAGGGTTGAAATACTAACATCTATTAGCTACCCTTAAGAATGCCATTTACTGCGGTACTCTGTCCTGTGCTTGGATACTTTTAATAAGAGTTGTCAATGTTAGAAATTCTTGAATAAAACTGATTTAAAAAATTAAAACGAGCTAAAATGCAAAGATGATGTGGAACCCTGAAGCCCTACCTGCCACAGACCTTTAGTGGCTTTAACACTGGTCAAGATTGGGACAATTAATGAGCATTTCAGTTGTCCAGGGCCTCAGTCTCTTCCCATGCAGTTCTTAGGACAGGAAGCATGGACCTCTTTCTTTAATTCTTTCTTTCTTTATTCATTTAATTAGTTTTTTGGGCCATGCTTGGCAGTGCTTAATGTTTTCTCCTGGCTCTCTGCTCAGGGGTCACTCCTTGGGCTTGGGAGTCTATATGGGGTGCTGGGGATCAAATCCAGGTCAGTCACGTGGAAGGCAAGAACCCTACCCACTATACTATACTCTGGATCCCTTATTTTTAAATCACTACTGTTCCATGTTTTTGCATACCCATTCAATATACATAACTGTTGCACAGCAATGAAACCGAGCCTTGTACAGCTTTTTGATGATTTTCACTGTAACTGCAATTAAGTAGAAGATATAAACTTATTCTACAACTGGGACAAAAATCCTATTGGAATTACTTTATGCTGATTAGTTACTCCTCTGTAAATAACAACAGTAACAATTTTTCACTCTGGACCAAATTTTAATTTCTAATACTTCTCAAATTACTTAGGCCATACAGCAGGCTGATGGAGAAAAGGCAGGAGCTGCTTGTCAACATGTCACTCTAAGCGGGACATTAGTCATTTTTACTATCTTTCATATGAAGGCAAAGCCTTTCTTTTAAAAATAAATTACAAAACAATGAGCTCTGTATATGGAATGCAATGGAATAGATGTGGGGGGTTGCATGTTATCTGGAAACTAGCAATTATTGCATAATGAATTTTTGGCTTTATCATCAGAAATCATCTAATGCTTAATGATTTATTCAAATGCTTATGAATGCACATTGCAGGAAATGCACTCTTCTACCTAAATTTGGGAGGGTGTCTCTGCTTCTGATAAAACTGGAGTCTGTCTTTACATTGTGACCATCTCTCACCCACCCACAGAGCCATGATAAGGAGGGAGAGTGTGGAATGAGTTTTCAGACAAAATAACCACTTGGTTTTCATGAAAACATCATTTAGTGGCATAGCAACCATTGTAATCTACTTGTTATAATCTCATTTGCTTGCAAGGAAAGGGGGCCTCCCTAGAAATGCTCAGGAGGCCTAAGAATGCTCAGAATCCTACCCCCAGGTATTCTTGGCCAACCCGACCTTTGGTTCGATGCAAGGGCCTAAAGATGCAGAAATGCCTGGGTCCTGAGGTTCCAGGGTTTACCTGGTCCACTCCAATGATGATGGCCTTGAGGGTCACAGTCAGCAGTGCTTGAGAGAACATATAGTACTGAGGATTCAACTGAAGTTGCTACATGCAAGCATAATCCTAAACCTCTGTGCTACCTCTTCATTACACAGAGAAAAAAAATTTGATTTAATTTCCCTCTTCGGAGAAAAAAAGATGCCTTCCACTGGTGGACTCTGAATTTTAACAATCTAATTCCAGCTATGTTTTTGGTAAGATCTAGCTCGTTTCCTTGTAAAGATGATTAAGGCATCCTCAATAAAGCAATGCAACTGTTCTTTGTCTCAAATCTCATCCACTAACCAATAAACCTGACCTTGAATAGACCTAAGGATTGTACCTAAAAGATAATTTTTATAAAGTTTAAATATTTTCTGCATGCAGCTCTATTATGAAAGTACTCACATCGCTCTGGAGGTCATAGGCCTGTCGAGCATGGATGACATCATTCTGGTCAGGCAGGCACGTCCACTGGTGTATGTAGTTCCTGTAGTCTGTATCACTGACCAAGGTCTGGCACTTCTTGGCCAGCACCACCCCCAGCATGTCCACGGGGCTGGTGTACTTGGTCTTCCACTTCTCAAAGTCCTTCTTGTACTCCCTGTCACTCTGGATCTTGGCCACATGCAAGGACCACATCATCTTGGGGTCATCCTTAATGTCGCGGGCACCGATGTGATGGCCAAGTTGCTTGCGGTAACCATCTTTGTATTTGTACTGAGATTTAAAAATACACAAATCAAATTTTCATGATAAGTCTTTAGCAGCCACAAATCTGTAGAAAGTAATTTTCTTACATCACAATTGCTAAATAACCTCTGGTACTTATCTCAACTATTCTTGGGTGTTCGTCTCCCATTCTGTTACTTTACATTCCCCAGATGAGTACAGTCTTTCTATGTCTGTCCCTCTCTTTCTGGGTCATTTCACTTAGCATGATACTTTCCATGTAGAAACACTTGTATGTAAATTTCATGATTTCATCTTTTCTAACAGAGCATCAGCCAATTTACTATAAAGTTCTAGGGAGCAGAAGTGTACACAGTAGAGGGAAAACACCTATGGAAGTGGGGAACAGGCAATCTGAACCAAAGTTTTTGTAGTGGAGGGATGGACTTCATTTTGGTTTGGTTTGTTTGGAAGCCACGTCCAGTGATGCTCAGGAGTTATTCCTGGCTGTGCACTCAGGAATTATTCCTGGTGTTCTCAGAGAACCATGTGGGATGCTGGGTATTGAACCCAGGTTGATTGCATGCAAGACAATTGCCTTACCTGCTGTACTACTGCCCTGGCCCATAGAAATGGATTTTTTATGCTGAATGCATATCAAAAATAAAGTAATAATAAGCAATTGGTGTGTTTAATAACTAAAGCAAGTGTATTCAAGAAGCACTCTAGGTCAAGGACTATGTTCAGTATCCACCGAAGGAGAATTTATTGTTTTATAATGAAGTCACACTTTCAGTGGCAGAAGCAATTTTTTGTTCATTTCGAGAACCAGTGACACTAACGAAGCTGTTATAGCAGCCCAGCCTAACTGGTTACAGCAGAATCCTAAAAAAATCATACATTCTAGTCCCACAGAGGCCAACCATATTTTTATTACTCCATAAACATTGACTCTTGTCTTAAAATAGGAGCCAATGATTTAAAAGTACAGGTTCGAGTCTCAAGCCAGCTGAAAAAGTGTCGAGGAGTGAGCAGGAAGCAGTTAGGTGTAGTGGGAAGAACATGGAGTGACCTAAATTTCAACTCTAGGACTCAGCAAGAATTTGGCTTTAGGATTTGCTTAAGCAAATACACACAATGTAATAATAATACCCTAAAACATCTTGTTCCTGGTTTCATTATTTATTATTATTGACAAAAATCCATTTGTGGGGAAGGTCTAAGATACAGTGTTCTGAGATACACAGTGTTCCAATATAAAAGGCAGTGTTTGCCATGTTCTTCAGAGCAGACCCTGGTTGCTAGAGCAATCCCCAGGGGGAGCAGAGCTGGGAATTTTCGGTGGCACAGAGTGCTACCTTGCAGGGATGGGGCCATGAGTCCGATCCCCATCAACACCCATACATGCCAATCCTGGTCCTTGGCAGCTCTGCTGTCTGTGCCCTCTTGTACCAAAATGTCTAATTTCCAGTGCACAGCACTGCTACTAAGGTGTGAGGCCCCCCGTGAGCATCTTTGAGGTGTGTAAGCAGTGTGGTCTGAAGTACAGTCTGCCCCTAATCACATATTCAGAGTGAAGTTGACAACTCACATCACTGGCAATGTCCCGGGAAGCCTTCGCAGCCACAATGGGAATGGCATCGCTTCTCAGGTCATAACCTTTCTTCTTTGCCTCTTCATTGGCGAGTTTATACAGGCTCTGTGGGGAGAGAATCAGAATTAAAGCAAAAGTCTGAGCAGCAAAAATTTGGAAGTTATCGAATTACATTGCCCACATTCAAAATGATAGAAACTGAAAAAACATTCAGATGTTTAGCAACAGTGATAAGTAAATAAGTCATGTTATATCCTAAAATATGCCATAAAGCATCAGAAAGAATTGTGTGGATCTGGATAGAGCAGGAAGGAAGATGCTTGCCTTACATGCAATGAACCCCAATTAGAATGCCTGGTACCACGTCTGGTACCTGAAGCACTGCCAAGGCTCACTCCTCAGCATAGAACCATAAATAGTCAGTGAACACTGCTGGGTGTGATCTAACCCTGCCCATCCACCAACAATTTTTTAAAAAAAGCCATGGGAAACATATTGGAAACTTGATAGGGATTAAAATAATAAGCTAAGTTCTACAGGTACAATAATCTTAAAAAAAAATAAGTGCCTCATCTAGCAGTGTTGGTGGGGACGTGCGGTACCAGGGAAAGTACTACCACTTGAGGTATCCTTTTAGCCCCTAAAAAATCTAACTTTTAGGATTCTAAGTCTTTTACATTTTTGGTTGAAATAAAACCTTGAAAAACATGCCTATGTAGGATATTGTACCTTTCTTTAAAGAAAAAAAAGTCAAATTAACTATATTTCAATGGTATGTGTCACTGTCACTGTCACTATCCTCCCATTGTTCATTGATTTTCTTGAGCAGGCCCAGTAACGTCTCCATTGTGAGAATTTGATGTTACTGTGTTTGGCATATCGAATACGTCACGGGGAGCTTGCCAGGCTTTGCCCTGAAGATGAGATACTCTTGGTAGCTTGCCGGGCTCTCCGAGAGGGGTGGAGGAATCGAACTCAGGTCGGTCTTGTTGGCTACGTGCAAGGCAAATGCCCCATCCACTGTGCTATCACTCCAGCCCCCAATAGTATATATTAGTTTAATATTTTTCAATTAAGGCAGCAAGTAGGTTTTGAGACAATCAGGAAAGTTTGAGTTGACACACATGAGTTTAAGGTGACAAAATGGGAAAAGGAGGAAATGCTTTAGTCATTCATCGTGGAAATAAATTCAGTCAATGTTTACTTTGCAACACTAATGGTGTTGGGTACTTGGCTGTCAAAGGTGAGTGTGAGTCCTCTCCTATCTTTTGGATTTCTGAGTAAAGTAATGGTAAGTCTGGGGTTGGAGCGATAGTACAGCAGGTAGGGCATTTGCCTTGCATGCAGTCGACCCGGTTTTGATTCCCAGCATCCCATGTGGCCCACCAAGTAGCTCCAGGAGTAATTCCTGAGTGCGAAGCCAGGAGTAGCCTCTGTGCATAGTTGGGTGTGACCCAAAAGCCAAAAAAAAAAAAAAAAGATAAGACTGATAGCCAATGGAGCAGCTTGCTAAGAGCATGAGAGATGATTGAACCCCATTATTATAAAGACTTCCAGGAAGGAATAATTTATTCTGAAGTGAAAATTAGGAAAGTTCCCACAGATAAAGCATTTGCATTGGGTTTTGCCTGAACAGTTGGATTCTGAAAGACTGAGGTGACAGTCACAACACAGGGAGTTGTGTGAATGCAGACTTGGGAGAGGAGAGCACAGGGGTACCACAGGAAGGGGTTGCTGTCCCCCCCCCCCCCCCGCCCCCAGAAGTGGCAGGAAGAGGCTGAAATGAGCCTGGCGCGAGTCTGTGAAGCAGTGTCTTCCCTTACCTCGCTGTAGTTGATTTTGTTCATTCTTGCCAACATGATTTCCGGGGTATCCGGCATGATGTGGATCTGGGTCTTGTCTTTGTCCCAGGCTTCTGTGTATAAGCGCTACCAGAGCAAAAATAGTGTTATCGCGGGGAAAATGCAAAGTCTAGTTAACAGGAATTTCAAAGACACAAGAACTTTATAATCAAAGGTTTTAAAAAATTATGATTTTATACATATTATGTATTTGATATGTTTCTTTCTCTAATCAATTAATAATAAAACAGATGCTTATAAGTGTTTTCTATTTTTAAAAACAGTTACAAAGTTTTTCATGACTGGGTTTCAGTCAGACAATGTTCCAAAGCACCCCATAAATACTTTCTAAAAGACTGAAATGTATGTTAATAATTCAAAGAAATTGAGGCGAATGGGGGTGTAACTCAGGGTCACAAGCATTGTATGTAAAAGGATTCTATCCCCAAATCCCCAAACAAACCAAAAACCAAAAAAAAAAGTAAATTAAGAGTATTTTTCACAAAAATTTTTAATATAAAATAGGACATAAAGGAATTGCTAAAGTATAAATTTAAAATAGAAATGATTTATAGATAGGCGAGATAAATAAATATGCCCTTTTTATTTTGTCAATTGTGATTTTTTTCTCTGATTCAGCTTTATTTATCTTAATTTGGTGCCCTAATTTTTGTAGCCTCACCTTATTCATGGTAATGGCATTATTCTTGGCCAACACTTGTTCCAGGGAATCAGTCACACTAGTAAATTTGAACTTGTCTGGAGGCTGGCGATAAATTTTATCACTCAAAATTTCAGTTGCCCGTTTGCATTTTTCCACATCCAGAGAGCCAATAGGAACCCAGCCGATGCCTCTCATCCACTGGAGATCTGCCTTGTACATGTTCTGTGGACATAAAATAGTCAATAAATATTTCCCTTGCTCTGGAAAAACATTTGCATATAAAGGAAGTGCAAAAGTAAAAGCACTCTTTAAAAAATACAGACCGTTCATAGTTTTTCACTAATAAAATTTTTAAAAAATAAAATAAAGTTATTTGGGAACTAAGCAAGTATTACACAGGGTAAAGTACTTACCTTAAACACCCGAGTTGAATCAAAAAAAAAAAAAAAAACCAGACCACTCCGCTTTTCAAAAGTTCCCACTAGGTCAGTACTTCTTTTGCAAAAGATGTACTTAAGTATTTATTTTAGTTAAATAAAAAAAAATCCAAAGAAAACACTCCCTTTTAATAATGAAAGCCCCAAAAATGAAGCCAGTGTTCAGCATCTGTTTGCAACAGCCTTTAATAGAGGCTGTGCCTAGACCAGAACTGAAACTGGCATTGCCAACATTCTGCTGTGACTGTTTACGGCTGACATTATAGATAGCCTGTCAGTTCAACTTGATTTGTAGCTCAGTTATCTTAGGCTTTATGTGCTATCAAGTATTAACTAGTATGTTATTTGGGGAGTCAGGGAATGCTTTAATATTTTTCTTATAAAATAGTGGTAATTGCTTCTTTGTACCATCTCAACTGATAAGAGTTTTCATAGTAATTCTCTATTTTGGATAGTGGGGAAAACTGTTTAGTTGGGTAGACAGACAGGATCCCAGAAAAAGAAAATTATGTTTTGGTCTGGAGGATTAAAGGATTAACACTCACAAGAAAGACAAGCAATTTCCCCACAGCAAGGACGAGTGAATTTTGTATCCACTACAGTACACTATCCAAATGGTGTTAATTCACTAGTTTCCCACCTTGGCCCAAAATTGTGATTTTTGGCTACTTACATCACTCTGGAGGTCATAGGCCTGTCGAGCATGGATGACATCATTCTGGTCAGGCAGGCACGTCCACTGGTGCAGGTAGTTCCTGTAGTCTGCGTCACTGACCAAGGTCTGGCACTTCTTGGCCAGCACCACCCCCAGCATGTCCACGGGGCTGGTGTACTTGGTCTTCCACTTCTCAAAGTCCTTCTTGTACTCCCTGTCACTCTGGATCTTGGCCACATGCATGGACCACATCATCTTGGGATCATCATGTATCGCTCGGGCTCCAATATGGTGGCCGAGCTGCTTACGATAGCCTTCTTTGTACTTGAACTACAAGGAAAAATGATTGTGGTTATTACCTATTTTAACTTCTTTCAGTAAAAAGAAACCACTAATCTCAAATTTTCTTATTTATTAAAAATAGAATGATTTCTGTGAATATGAAAAAATACATGCTTCTTACAAACCATTTAAAACTAAACCATAAGTATATATAAAAATGCATTCACTCTGGTCCCCAAAATTTAAATGCATGGACCAGAAAAATAGTACAGCAGATAAGGTGCTTGCATTGCATGTGTTCAACCCAGGTTTGATCCTTGGAATCCCATATATTCCCAGATGGAATCACCCCACCAGAAGTGAGTTCCTAAGTGCAAAGCCAGAAATAACCCCTGAGCACTGTTGGGTGTATCCCCAAAACCAAACCAACAAACAAACAAAAACAAAAAGGAAAATTAAAATTAAAATTTTCTGCTGTTTAGTGATAACCACTATTTAAATTTCTGTGTGGTGTGTATTTTGATGTGTATTCATGCATGCTTACATGAGAGAGAGAGAGAGAGAGACCAATAGGACTCATATTATATACTTATATCTAATTGCTTCTTTCCTATTATCATTCAAATATTTCTCTGTATCACTATTTCTTATGCTACATTATTTAATGGAAGCATATTTTAATATGCATTAATGCTTTTAACCCTCCTAGGATTGTCAATCATTTATTTTAAAAGGATGGTAGTCAATTCCCACATATGAAAAATAGAATAAAAAGAAAGGCCCTCCCGTTGATCATCGATTTGCTCGAGCGGGCCCAGTAACATCTCCATTGGAGACTTTGTTGTTATTGTGTTTGGCATATCGAATACGTCACGGGGAGCTTGCCAGGCTCTGCCGTGTGGGCGAGATACTCTCGGTAGCTTGCTGGGCTCTCCGAGAGGGGCGGAGGAATCGAACTCGGGTCGGCCATGTTGGCTGCGTGCAAGGCAAACGCCCTACCGCTGTATTTTTCACTTCACAAATAAAAAAACGGGGAAAAGTTTCTAAAATTTTGGGCAAATACATTTTGGAAATTAAACTAATATCTGGCCGACCCCGGCAAGCTACCAAGAGTATTCGATATGCCAGACACAGTAACAACAAAGTCTCCAATGGAGGCGTTACTGGGCCCGCTCGAGCAAATCGACGATCAACGGGAGGGCCTTTACCTTTACCTTTACCAAACTAATATCTGCAGCCACTACTGACTTCAGAATCAAGCACACAACCCAGATGGTGGTCAAAAATCTAAATATAATTATATTTCCCATTCATTCAGCCTTCCTAGGATCACTGGTTCCTAGAAGAGAAGTTGAGTTTTAAAGGAATCCTACAAAAAGTTCATTTGCACATAATTATATTATATGGGAAAGTCAAAATATATCTGAACTAAGTCGAGTTTTTTTTTGTCTGGCAGGAAATGTCTGCCACTTTGAAATGCATATTGCTATTGACTCAGCCAGAAGCTAGAATTTAGCCTCTGTATTGAGAACAATTTTTTTACCATTGTTTTAAAATAATGGGAAAAAGAACTGTGAGCAAGAGCTTGAACCTCACCAATTATTTGTTTTACTCTATATCCAAAAGGAGAAAAATGATAATTCTGAGCATGCTGAAGAGAAAGAATCTTGAAATTGAACTTACTTCACTCGCTATGTCCCTCGAGGCTTTGGCAGCTCTGATGGGAATGGCATCTAACCGCATGTCATAACCTTTCTTCCTGGCTTCTTCTAACCCAAGTTTGTAGAGTTTCTGAATTAGATAAAAACCATCATAAGTTTGATGCGTAAAGGGTAGGGAAAGGGAACTGTTCTGTGTACGGCCTCTATTGCTTACCTCACTGTAATTTATCTTGTTTTGTTTAGCGAGTAAAACTTCAGGGGTGTCTGGCATGATGTGAATAGAGGTTTTATCTTTATCCCAAGCTTCTGTATAGAGGCGCTAAAATCAACAGAAAAGGACATGATTGCACCAGCCAGGAAGGAATATGCACATAAAATATTTACATAAAATGTATCTGGTTCTTAGAGTAAAAGAGATTGCTCTGGCTTGATATGTGTGACACTTTTGACTCTAAGGGAAGGCAGAAGAAGCACAACACCTACTTGAAAACCCTTAAATGGAAAGCAAAAGAATGAATTAAGGAGTTCAGGGAGATAGTGCAGGGGTCGGCAGCACATGCTCAGGAACACAGTTCAACCCCTAGCACTGCATACCCCTGTCCCAGCACTGCCAACTACAGCCCCTGAGGTGCCCAGTCCCAAAATTAAATACATATTTTTTATAAAACTGATGTCAGTGTTTGTAACACACATAGTCACCTTTAACATACTCATTAAGTAAAGAAAAGACAGACAAGAGAAAGAGAGGAAAAGGAAAGACTTACATGGTTCATGGTAATAGCATTGCTTTTTGCCAAAACCATTGGGATGGAGTTCATAAGGCTGGAAAACTTGAATTTATTGGGGTGCTGACGGTAAACATGGTCACTCAAAATCTCTGTGGCCCTCTTATTCTTCTCAGCCTCAAGAGAACCAGTGGGTAACCAACCAATGCCTTTTAGCCACTGAAGGTCAGCCTTGTACACATTCTGAAGTGGAAAACGACAAATGGCAGAAGTGTAAGCACTAGTGCTATATTTCCACAGAAAGAAAAATGGCATATTACACTGTATGTTAACATTTGAATCTTAGGAGACAAAAATTTTTTGGTATGTCTTGCAAACCAGCAAAATATTCAGATTAAAAGCTTACTCAAAAAACATTCTAATTGTTCAGTACATAGAGAATAACCCAACACAACTATATCAACCATCTAAAGTTTTCAAAGAACAATGGGGTTTTTGCTGTTTCTTTCTTGGTGGAATAGTGGTGCTCCCAGATATCTAATTTAGGTTATTTCATAGAGTGGGGACAGTTGTCCAAGATAGTGAACTCAGCTGTATAAGTTTAGTCCTCTCACTGGGGGGAGGTTTGATACTTAGGAAAAGTGATGTGTTTTGTTGAACAAAGGAAAACCATACTCACATCGCTCTGGAGGTCATAGGCCTGTCGAGCATGGATGACATCATTCTGGTCAGGCAGGCACGTCCACTGGTGCAGGTAGTTCCTGTAGTCTGCGTCACTGACCAAGGTCTGGCACTTCTTGGCCAGCACCACCCCCAGCATGTCCACGGGGCTGGTGTACTTGGTCTTCCACTTCTCAAAGTCCTTCTTGTACTCCCTGTCACTCTGGATCTTGGCCACATGCATGGACCACATCATCTTGGGGTCATCCTTAATGTCTCGGGCCCCAATGTGATGACCAAGTTGTTTGCGAAAGCCTTCCTTGTATTTGTACTAAAGAAGGGAAAAATATATCTTATTGCTCTCAAGATTCACTTATGACATCATCTTTGTAGCAAATGACAAAGCATATTAACTTGAAGTATTTCACTAGTCCTAGTGTAAGGTTTTACTTTGATTGGAAAGATTAAAGGCTAAATCCTGTTACAAATTCCATACATAAGTAATTTATCCTTGAGCTTCTCCTTATCCCACAGCTTCTCTGGAATCATTTTGCTCTTTTAATTTTTGGCTCCTTGGAAGGTTTTGTTCAAGTTAAGGCTAGGTTGACACTGCTTTGAAGTATTAGGTTTCATTTCAATCAATATAAACAGGGGATAAACTCTTACTTCACTGGCAATTTCTCGGGATGCTTTTGCTGCTTTGATGGATAAAGCATCAAGGGGAAGATCATAACCTTTTTTCTTCAGTTCCTCGTAGCCCAATTTGTAGAGTTTCTGTTAAGAAATGAAAATCACTATAAGTAAAACTATTTCCCCAAAATAATTACAGCATAGTAAATCTAATGTGATAAATATTTTAAGAACCCGTGAGAATAGTATCTATGCTCTAGAAAATACAAATGCAATTGAAGATAATGCCCACTGATTGTTGATCAGCCTGTTTTAAATTTTCAAGCTCTTCAATTACCTTGGGCAACAGAATTAAATGTCAGCTCTCCCAAAATAATCACATGAATGAGGCTGGAAGTAAGTTGATAGAAAATTGAAATGAAACACTGTTTGGATGCTGTTTTCCAATCAACTGGGGTTTTTATTAGAAGTTTTTGTTAAAAAAGATAAAGACTTTCTACATAATACCCAAAGTAGGGAAAATTGCGTCTAATGGGTTGTCACTTCTACATAATTAATACATTGTATAATAGTCTTTTTCAGAGTAATACAGAGTCTGTCTAAAGTAGAATCTAGAAACAAAGTAGAATCTAGAAACAAAGTCCTTTTAGTTTGGAAAATGTAAGTTTTTTTCAGAAAATTTTAAATGATAATGTTTCAAATCTTAAATAAAATCATTTGTTTCTTCAGACTTGCTATATAATTAAATCATTGGGAATAAAATTTAATTCACTGTATTCAGAAGTCAGCTTAAAATGCCTCTCTATCTCAAATTTGTACTTTATACATTAATCCTTTGAGGCACCATTCTAATGCATTATTTAATGCCAAAGTCTTTCACTAAAAGTTTCAGTGAGTTCTCTCTCTGTACAGTTCACTTTTTTAAATCTCTAAACTTTGGGAAATTATGTTATGATGAAAAAATTAAGAATGAAATATCTCTTCATGGGTTTTGTATGCTCATTCATTCAAAATTTCATCCATATTAGGAGGCATATTAAGCAGGCAATGCAGACTTTGTCTTAACTGTCTCCCAAGGACTTCCTAGTCACACAGAAAGCGGTATAAACCATTATACAGCTATAAATTCTGTCACACTCTTTGGCACTATTGCGACATGGGAAGATGCCATTGTTGAGAACATTGACGAGGAATACGATCGACTGGTTCAGCACCTCCATGAATGTGCGAGGAACGCCAAGAGAGAGATAGCCACAAAAAAACGCTTGTCTTCAAAAACTCTTGAGCTAATTCGCCAGCGTGGTTTGGCGCATGCCTCAGGCAACCGCAAGCTAATGTCCAAGCTCGCAAAGCAGTGCAGAGATGTGATCAAGGAAGACCTCAAAGAGAGAAGAGCAGAAGTACTGGTAGATGCGGCAGAAGCTGGGAAAAGTATTCGTTATGCCCGCCTGTCCTTCGCCAACTACAAGACCAAGATGACTGCCCTCCGACATCCTGATGAATCCATCACATCCTCCAGAACGGCAATGGAGAAGATTATCCATGACTTCTACTCAAATCTCTTCGATAGCCATGTCCACTTGCCAACATACCAAATTCCACAGGATGGATATATCGTTCCCAATGTTCTCCCTTCCGAAATCCGACACGCCATTTCGTCGGTAAAGAAGCAAACAGCACCCGGCCCAGACAAGGTCAGACCTGAACACCTGAAGAACCTGCTGTCAGTACTCGTCAATACACTGGCTCGGCTCTTCACTCGCTACCTGTCTGAATGCAAGGTTCCGTCCCAATGGAAAACCAGCAGGACCGTACTACTGTTCAAGAAGGGACACATCCATGACATTGGCAACTATCGCCCGATCTGCCTATTGTCTGTCATCTACAAGTTGTTCACTCAAGTCATCCTAAATAGGATTGGCAGAACACTAGATGAAGGACAACCATGCGAGCAAGCAGGGTTCTGCAAAGGATTCAGCACCATCGACCATATCCACACAATAACCAAACTCATTGAGGTTTCTCGGGAGTTCAATATGTATCTCTGTTTAACGTTCATTGATTTAAAGAAGGCCTTTGATTCTGTTGAGACGGAAGCGGTCATTGAAGCCCTAGCCAATCAGGGCATTCAAGCCCAATACATCAAGATCCTCCGTGAGCTGTATTGTGGATTCACTACCAGGATCTCACCATTCTACAAAGAAGTGATCGTTGATGTCAAGAGAGGGGTGCGGCAGGGTGATACCATTTCACCAAAACTCTTCAGTGCCACCCTCGAGAACATCATGGGATGACTAGAATGGGAAGGAATGGGAGTGAAGATAGATGGTCGGCAACTACACCACCTCCGCTTTGCTGATGACATTGTTTTAATAACACCAAACATCAGCCAAGCGGCACAAATGCTGGCCGACTTTGACCGTGAGTGTGGAAAGGTAGGACTACAGCTGAATCTTACGAAGACAATGTTTATGAAAAACAGCCTCGTTCCTGATGCCCCATTCGCTCTCAATGGAACGACCATCTCCGAATGCAACAGCTATGTGTACCTAGGTCAAGAAATCAACATGACAAATGACCTGGCACCCGAGCTGCGCAGGAGGAAGAGAGTGGCTTGGAACGCCTTCAAGAACATTGAAGAAATAATTAAGAGGACGAAGAACCTCTGGCTCCGGGCACATCTCTTTGATTCCACTGTTCTTCCTGCATTAACATATGCCTCAGAGACCTGGGCCCTACACAAACAGGATGAGAACGCTATTCAGGTCTCCCAAAGAAGAATAAAAAGAGCTATGCTTGGAATATCACGTTTCACTCAAATGAGAGAAAAAATCCGGAGTTCCGACATCTGTTGACGATCAGGGACGCTGTCTCATTTGCCAAGGTGTCAAAAATCAGATGGGCTGGTCACGTAATGAGATTTAAAGACGACCGCTGGACTAGAGCTGTTACTGACTGGATTCCACGGGAATCTCAAAAGACCGCATGGCCGCCCACCTACCAGATGGTCAGACTTCTTCGTGAAGATCATGAACGATCGGTTTGAGGCTCTTCATGTTCCCATAGTGAACAGATGCCATTGGGCTACACTAGCACGTGACAGGGACAAATGGAGATGTTACTGGTGCCCGCTCGAGCAAATCGACGACTAACGGGAAGTTAAGTGATTAAGTGATTAAGTGATTAAATTCTGTCACAGTATTGACATTAGTAAAACTCCATAAAAGATGGTGATCCCAAGAGCATAGCTTGGGCATTAAGCAGGCTGTATCACTTAGGTTTATATAATTACACTTGGTGACAGTCACAAAATGATGAAATCCCCTAACAGAACATTTTTCAGAATGCATGCTCATCAATAATAATGGAATACAAGCAGCAAATGGCATAAACCTCCAACTTTCCCCGAGATAAAGAGTATCAATATTTTGATGTTTCAGTTCAAAGTTCCATTAATCAAACTAATTAAAGAACTCAATATAAATTCCAAAATAAATTCATTAATTTGGAAGTTATTAAAGTGATTTTTTTCTTCTTTTTTGGGGGGGTTTTTGGGCCACACCCAGCAGTATTTAGGGTTGCACTCAGAGATCACTCCTGGTGGTGCTCAGGGGATCATATGGGGTACCAGGGATCAAACCAAGGTTGGCTGCATCTGAGGCAAGCACCTTACTTCCTGTCACCTCTCTGGCCCCTAAAGTGATCTTTTTGAAAACGTTTTGAATCTGGAAACTTACGTCACTTGTATTGACTAAGTTTGCTTTAGCCAGAACGATATCGGGTGTATCAGGCATGATGTGGATCTGAGTCTTGTCCTTGTCCCAAGCTTCTCTATAAAGTCTCTGAAATAAAAAGAGAGAGTAATTTAGTGATGGTTTTAGATCAGTGAATGTATAGTTAACTTCAAACAGAATTACTAAAGGACTCCAGCAACACTTTAAGCAGATGACACAAGCAGAAAATATTGACTTATCTAGCACATAACTTTCATATTAACTTTAAAATATCAGGTCATCATGGGAAGGGGGGCGTTCCGGTCCATCCTTCACGCCCTACCGAGGTCACCAGTTGCCCCCAACGAGCGGCTCTCCGGCACGGCCACGACCCCAGAAGCACAAGGACTTAGCGCAGAAAACCAGCCGTTTGGAGCAGAAAAGCGATTGGACTATGTGTTAAACCGCGCCATCATGCCTGCCCGGAGGGGAAAGGGTGTTGCTCCAATCACCCTCTCCTCTCTGGAAAGAAAGATGGCGGCCGCCAGGGAGCCTCGTGGACAGCAGGTTTGAGCCAGGGGTCGGGGGCGGCAGGGGCCTCATGGGAAGGAGGGTGTTTCGGTCCGTCCTTCACGCCCTACCGAGGTCACCAGTTGCCCCCCATGAGCGGCTCTCCGGCATGGCCACGACTCCAGAGCACAGAAACCAATCTCTTAACTATCTAACTTTTAATAGAAATACTTCCAGGGTTAATAAGTAAAATAGCAGAAATCCAAAACCGTGCGGCCGCTATTGCGGCCATGCGACATCATTTAATTCTTAAAACCCAGCTGTAGAAAGCAAATCATTTCACAACGCTTTTTCAGCATGTCTGATTTGGGGGGGGGGTTGTAAACTCTAAATAATAATGGTGCATCTTTTATCGAAACAATGAATCTAGTCAAAGTAGATAGAGTGTTAACTAGAACTCATCTGCCTCACAGGAATTGGGAGGGGTGGGAGGTGGGGTTCTATTGGGGTTCGCGGTTAAAAATAAGTATTGGTAAAGGGAAATGTGTTTGATATTTACATGACTGAGACCTAAACCTGAAAGCTCTGTAACTTTTCCCATAGTGATTCAATAAATAAATAAATTATTAAAAATAAATAAATAAATAAATAAATAAAATATCAGGTCAATTAAAGATGACATTTTCAGAGTTAAAATAATTGAAACACATAAAAAAATCAATCCAAGGGGCCAGAGAGATAGTACAGTGGGTAAGGCACTCGCCTTACACACAGCCAAGATAATACATCTGACCTGTTGGATTCCTGGCACCCTGTAAGGTCTCCTGAGTACCATTAGAAGTAATGCCTGAGTGCAGAGACAGAAATAAGCCCTGAGCACTCAAGAAAGCCAAAAAAGAAAAGACAGCATGAGTAGTTAGAACATTTACCAATATTATCAAAAGGGACTGCGGTAATTTTAAAGTTCTCTTTGTATGTTCAACTGAATGACAGTCCTCACCTTTTTGAAACATGGCATTTAAAATCCATTTCAAAATTATGAATTTCATTTTCTTATGTGGCTTATCATTAGTTATATCTCATAAATAATTAAGGTGGAGATTAGGATTCCAAAAAATTATATGGAATATATGAGTGATTAAAAATTAATGATTTCTTGGCATATTATTCATCATATATAACTTCATGTGTACACATGGGATACTAGTATTTGGCTATAGTAAATGATTAAAACCTGCATTTTGCTGCAAGTTGTATGGAACTAGAAATTAAAGTGATTCAGACAGAGAAGGACAAATAGTGAATGATCTCACTCATATGTGTAGTACATAAAGGAGCACAGTTAGGAAATAGACAATGTTCAATGAGACCCTGAGTTCCTGCCTGTTATTAGGGGTTGGGCAGAGGGAAAGGAAAGAACTTAAGGATAGTGGTAGAGGGATGTTGGCGCTCTGGTCTCAGGTGTTGTGAAGTGATACTGTATGTCTAAAACATTAATATTAACAGTGTTGTAAATCGTGGTACCTCAATAGAACAATTTAAAATAAACAATTTTGTCTCGTAAAAAAGAAAATTAAAAAAATTCTATGAGAATATATCAACACTTTTTGTTTTTCTTCAATAGAGGACCAAAAAACATACAAAAATCTCTCCGATGTATGGAAATCAGAGGGCTAAAATTTTAATGAAAAACAAAATATTGTCAGAAATTCTCACAAAATAGATGTGAATTACAGAGGAAAAAAATAACAAGTTGACAGTGAAGAAACAGGGAGACACCATTATAAGCAAATGATCAAAGTTAAAATTGCTAGTAAGAGAATAAATGTATACCATGTGCCTTCTGACATGGCATATAGAGGAGGGAACCAGCCCTGAATCTTATTATGGGGAAACATCAGACAAACCCATAGTGAGGGATTTTCTGTAAAATAATTGACCTGTGATCTTCACAAATGTCAAGGACTTGCATGACGGACATTCCAGATTAAAAATGACTAGAGACATGACAAATCAATTTAATATGAGATCTTGATTTAGGTCCTGGATCAGAGAAATTATTTTGCTATAAAGGGCATGATGATAAAGCTGACTAAATTCTATAGACTATTATTGTTCCAAGAATTATTTTCTAATTTTAAATCTTGCACTATGGTTATGCAAGAGAATGATTTTCAGGAAATACATGCTGAACTATGTAAGAACAGAGTGGCATAGTGAAACCACAAAATATATGTAGCACTGCACTGCAGCACTGTCCTCCCATTGTTCATCAATTTGCTTCAGCCGGCATCAGTAACATTTTCATTGTGAGACTTGTTACTATTTTTGGCATATTGAATACATCATGGATAGCTTGCCAGGCTCTGCCATGCGGGCAGGATTCTGTCGGTAGCTTGCCGGATTCTCCGAGAGGGACGGAGGAATTGAACCCTGATTGGTGGTTTGCAAGGCAAAAGCCCTACCCACTGTGCTATCGCTCCAGCCCTACAATATATATATATATATATATGTTATATATATTGTATACATATATATTATGGGGCTGGAGCGATAGCACAGCAGGTAGGGCGTTTGCCTTGCACGCCGACCCAAGTTCAATTCCTCCGTCCCTCTGGGAGAGCCCGACAAACTACCAAGAATATCCTGCCCGCATGGTAGACCCTGGCAAGCTACCCATGACATATTCAATATGCCAAAAACAGTAGACATAGAAAGATTGCATTCATCTGGGGAACATAAAGTAACAAAATAGGAGACTAACACCCAAGAATGGCCAAGATTAGTACCAGGAATTTTGCTCCATGGCTTGGAGGCCAGCCACACATGCTAAGGGAAAAGCTCAGATAGAGAAGGGAGCACCAAATAAAGGGTGTTAGGAGGATCCTCCCAGGATGGGAGAAGCATGCTGAAAGTACACTATAGACCAAACATGATTGCCACTCAATGCCTCTCTTGCAAGCCACAGGACCCAAAAGGAGAGAGAAAGAACAAAAGGGAATGCCCTGCCACAGAGGCAGGGTGGGATGGGGGGAATGGGGGGTGGGAGGGATACTGGGATCCGTGGTGGTGGGAAATGGGCACTGGTGGAGGGATGGGTATTTGATCTTTGTATAATTGAAACCTAAGCACAAAAATGTGTAAGTCTACAACTGTACTTCATGGTGTCTCACTAATAAACAAACAAACAAACAAACAAACACAGTAACAACAAGTCTCACAATGGAGACATTATTGGTGCCGGCTTGAGCAAATCGATGAACAACAGGACGACAGTGTTACAGTGCTATATCTATCTATCTATCTATCTATCTATCTAGATATAATGAAAAAGAGGGATGGAAGGAAGGGGAGAGGGAAAGAAAATGATATATATGTACATGTACACTAATATGTATATATACATATTAGTATATTTGTACTAATTTTGTGACTTTTCTGTGAACCTTAAATTATTTTAATATAGCAAAATTCAGATTCATTGGCTCTTTGGGCTTGTCAGTTTCCTATTGAGTTGTGACTGTGAGTTGTGTAGGATTGGCACCTTTCTCATTTGTCAACATGCTCTTTACAGTCCATTAGGCTAGAGATGCTGATGAGATTTAAGGACCAAAGCAAAACTTGCTGATGTCCATATTCATACATTATGATTCTGCATTAGTATTTCTGATAAAGTAAAACCAGTGCTTCGCAAACTCAACACTAGCAGTGTTATATACTGGGGTTATTCTTTGTTGGGGTCTCTCATATATTCTAGAAAGACTGGCAGAACCCCGATTTCTAGGCACTAGGTGCCAATAGGATTCTACCTTCAAGTTGTGACAACCAAAAAAGGTTTAAGATGTTGCCAAATGTCTTCTGTGGGACACAGAAAACCAGACTCTCCTGATTGGGAATCACTAAACTGGACCTTTTCTTCAATGGAACAAGTCACAATTATCCCATGGAAAACAGAGAAAATACTTATAGCTAATATCTGTTCAGAGATAGCTGAATTAGTCTTTTCAAAACAACATATAACAGACCTCTCTGGTTATGGTCTTTATATATTATATCAAAGCTAATGCAGAATATACGTGTAAAACAAACAGCATACTATGCATATGTAATAAAGCATTCTAAAACACATAATTATTAATATTTAGATTTTTAAACAAATTTCTAATTTATTTAATAAATTTTTATTAAGCACCCAATGTATGCCAGACATTACTACTGGTGCTGGAGAAGTAAGTATATACTGAAGATGGGTTACATAGAGAGGATTATCCATATATCTAAACTCAGCCAAACAAAATACGTCATTACTTGTAAAAAACCCACAGCTTTACAACATTTTAATTGTGCCAGGCACTCAGAATACATCCCACTTCATCCACACTGCCCCAACAGCAAAAACGTGTGGTCTTTCAAAGAAAGACATTTCAAAGAAAAATATATTTAATAACTTTATCATTATATTTTAAATACACAAATACAAAAATAAATTAAATAAACAAAAGTAAACTTTAGATGATAGAAGCTGACAAAAACCCATCTTCAGATGATCCAGTATAGGACTGTTGATAAATGAAGCAACCAAATACAAAACATTATGCATACCATTAAACTATGCTAGTCTACTAACTTATTAAGCAAGTTGTACTGTGAACCTACTGGATATCAGACACTATAAATTATTTTGTTACTCACATCACTTATATTTTTGGCATTTGTCTTTGCAAGAACAATATCCATTGCATCAGGAATGCTGGTGAACTTGTTTTTGTCTGCAGGCTGACGGTATTTCTTGTCGCTGATTATTTCTGAGGCCCTCTTGTTCTTTTCTGCCTCCAGAGAACCCAAGGGGCTCCATCCTATGCCTTTCAGCCACTCAAGATCAGCCTTATATATATTCTGTTAAAAACACAAAGCAAAGTATTGAAGTCCCATCCTCATCCAGACTTGATCTGGACTCAAGTGCATTCCAAACAGATACATGTTAGAGAACAATCCCTCTTTCTAGTTTATCTCCGTAACTAAGTCACTAATCATAATAAATGTAAAATCATATATAACATAGCATACTTAATAGAATCTGACCTCACTCTGCAGTTCATAAACTTTCTTAGCTTGAATAACATCATTCTGATCCGGCAGGCACGTCCACTGGTGCAGGTAGTTCCTATAATCAGCATCACTGACCAGGGCTTGACACTTCTTGGCCAGCACCACTCCCAACATGTCCACTGGACTGGTGTACTTGGTTTTCCATTTCTCAAAGTCCTTTTTGTATTCTCTGTCGCTCTGCATTTTGGCTACATTCATGGACAACACAAGCTTTGGGTCATCTTGCAGACTTCGGAATCCAATATGGTGGCCAAGCTGCTTGCGGTAGCCTTGCTTGTATTTAAACTAAAATCAAAGCAAACATCTCTTATTAATATGAGCAGAGATCAAGGTAAGTTTGCTTTTCTTTGCGTATTAGTTTTCTAAAACTGACAAAAGGAATGTCTTTAAGAACTTAGCAAAAAATGTCAAAAGTTAAGTGGAATATTTTAAAGAAATACTTTAAGTGAGTATTAAAAGGAATAATGGTAAGGTAAAGGTAAGGTAAAGGCCCTCCCGTTGATCGTCGATTTGCTCGAGCGGGCCCAGTAACGTCTCCATTGGAGACTTTGTTGTTACTGTGTCTGGCATATCGAATACTCTCGGTAGCTTGCCGGGCTCTCCGAGAGGGGCGGAGGAATCGAACTCGGGTCGGCCATGTTGGCCGCTTGTAAGGCGAACACCCTACCGCTTTGATGACAAGTTAACTCCAACCAGAGGCAGAACTATATTCTGTACTAGACGTCATAGTGCTCACTTTAAAGTATGAGATGTGTGATAGAAAATTTAAAGTGGAATCCATAATTAAGTTAAATTGCAGAAAACTGCATTAGTATTAAGTAATAAAAATAATACAACAATATTAGTAACAATATAAATAACATACTATTTTATTTATTGATGTTACATACTGAGTACATATTACTTTCTTGAAACCAAACTTCATATCTTTGTGTATTCAGAATGCCCAGAGGTTTAGGCTGCAATAAACTCAGTATAGGGAATCTGACTAATTTGATTATGAAATTATAGTGTCATTGATGCTGTAAAGGTCAGAGATAAAGCAGTTAGGAGCTCAGTTACTCTATTTTCCTGTTACAAGGGATGTCTTCATTCATTGTAAGACTATTTTTTGAAGTACTATATTTTGAGGGAAATTTAAAAAAATAGAATAAATTACAAAACTAATAAGAAGACTGAAGAACTTCTAAAAAAGTTCTAAAAACTACTACAAAAAAAGAAACAAGTAATAAATATGAAACCTGGGAAAAGATATTGGTATAAAAAGAAACAAGTTACTTTGTGGTGTCCTTTAACAACCTAGAATTGATCAGTAATAAGGAAATATATGACAATTAGAGGTGATCTAAGAATATGACCTGTCTTAAAGGACACCAAAAAGTTTGTATTTGTACAAATACAAATGCAAAATGTTGAAGAAAAAGAGAAGGTAGAACATTTACTGGAAGATTTGATTCAATAAACTTGAAGTTATTTTCAAATTCTAAATTACGCTATTCTAGTTTATTGTTAAGTGCTCTAATAGCCTGGAACTCTAATTGCTTGAAATTTTAGTGTCATAGATGCAAGAACCACTTGAAATTGAGAGGAGAGACATTCTTTACAATGGTGGGAAAGTTCACATGGAGTTAATTTGATTTTAGGGCAAGCTTTCGAAAGGTTCTAAGAGAACCATATGAAAGAGATTAGCACTGATTCATTAGCAAATTACCCTATTTCCAAGCTATCTTTAGTTTATGAGGAATACAAAACATAAAATGAAAATAAGTTTAATTTGGGGAAAATATTCAAGCATCATTATTGTTTTAGGTTCATCATCACATTGATCACTTTAATGAGGTAATAACCTAGAGGCTAGAAAATAAGTAATAATAGGTCATCTAATTAATTTAAGTATTTGCATAGCACCATATATTAATTTGAATGAGACTCTTCCCTTCCCTTTTATTCTTAAAACTGCTTGTGAGTCAGATTTTGTCTTTAGATACTCTTTTTTTCTACTTGTTATTTCAACCAACCTTCATGTCCAATCAAGTCCTTGTTTTTTTTTTTTAAGATTTTGATTAAGAGGTTAATGCTTCTTTTGAAATTTTGGTAATTCGTTTTTTATAACCAAGGTTTTCCAAATCTTTTGTGGTTACTTATTAGGATTAAGAATGAAATGTTTAATAAAAAAGTTTTTTAAAAATGAAATGTTTGTATATAGACTATTAAAGTCAAATATTTGTAAAAATTTAATCAGTTTATAGGAACTGTATTTTATTTACTTATCCAGTTTACTGTGCTTTCAATCATAACTAAAAGCTGTCCTGGAGAATAAGAACCCTTGTTTCATGAGATTTGAGCTAAATAAGCAGTAAATAATGGAGTTAAGTTATCTGAATCTTAAACCTAATTTCTGATGTTTTCTGGATTTCTTAAGCCACAGGCTAAAAGGTAAAGGTAAAGGCCCTCCCGTTGATCGTCGATTTGCTCGAGCGGGCCCAGTAACGTCTCCATTGGAGACTTTGTTGTTACTGTGTCTGGCATATCGAATACTCTCGGTAGCTTGCCGGGCTCTCCGGGCCACAGGCTAATTTATTTTAATTATGCAAATATGACAGCTGAGTAAATAGATGACAGCTGATATGAGCATAAAAAATCTAAGAAAAAAGTTCCAAGGTTGATTTTGTTCATTGTCAGTTTTTTGCGTTTGTTTAATGAAAATAGGAAATTGATTTTTAGGCTAGGAGTGGCAACCACTGGTTTCTAGGTATTGTGTCAAAACGATAACATTTAGTGTAATGAATTCTAGAGGTCTTCTGGTACAACCTCTCTGAAGGTTACCCCAACTTCTACTCTACAAGCAAGGAAAAAGAGTGAATTTTGGGTAAGCAAAGAAGGCAGGAGATGATGAAGGAAGATCATTCCATTTTGTAAAGCAAGTACTATCTGATTGTAAGCTATCTCATTCCAATTTAATTATTAAATTGAAGTAGAAATCAAACTAGTACTTACATCACTAGCAATGTCTCTCGAAGCTTTGGCCAATTGTACAGAAATCGCATCCAGTGGGAGATCGTAGCCCTTCTTCAAAGCTTCTTCCCATCCAAGTTTATAGAGTTTCTGAAATGTAAAGAAACTCCTTATTATTCTCTATATTATTCTCTATAATATTAAAAGTTCAAACTATATCATTAAACAAAATGCAAATAGACATCAGATTCTATCATCATCTACCTTATCTCTAAAGACATAAATAGAAATGAAATGGGCTGATTCAGTTGTTCCAGTTTTAGGGATGAGAAAACTGAGGTTAAAATGCCTTTTAGAAGTTTCAATGAGTTAACCTTTCTGAGTAAAATCCACTGAAATTTTTTCTATCAACAATTATTTACCTATTTCCTGCTTTGTACTAAGCACAGTGGGCAATGAAACAAACCAGGCTGCATTTTGCTCCATGGAGCATAGCTTTACCACCATGGTTTACAATACCCCCAGGCTGGACTGTCTTAAATCATTTATTGGCATACTTTTAGGATTCACATCAGTTATTGACCATTACACCATTTTGTAAGTTTAATTCATTTCAAGTCCAATTTTTTAAATGTAATATTACCTGACTATACAGGGTTTGATTCTGCTTGGCTTGTAAAATATCTGGCGTATCTGGTGTCACGTGTATTTTGGTTTTATCTTTGTTCCAGTCAACAGTGTATAAGTGCTAGAAAGTTAAAAAAAAAAGACATTTGAAATTTAAACATATTTTAGGACAAGAATTAAAGATAAAAGAATGCTTTAATATATTTAGCATGAATTAGATTGATTTATTAACTAAAGTAGTATACTATCAGAAAAGAGACTAAAATAAGAGATTTGAAATAATTTTGTGGGGTCAGAGAAATATTACAATGTGTACATTTGCCTTGCATGCAGCTGACCCAAATTTGATCCCCAGCACACTATATGGTCCTCTGAGCCCAGCCCCACCAAGATTGATCCCTGAGCACTGCCAGATATGGCCTCAAAACCAAATAGTGATTTAAAAAAATATTTTCTATCTTCTAGAGTAGATGAAAAATACTTAAGAGTCTGTAGCGATAACACAAAGTCAAGAGTTGAATCCCTGACCTGAGTTTGATCTCCAGCACCAATGGGCTCAAATAGCATCACACTGCAGGCCCTGGCCTGGCTAGTCCAGTATTTCTGGGAGGGCTCCCAGGCTCCCTGAGCACTGTTTGTCAGGGGCACAGCAGGTGGTCTGCCCTTGCTTCATCTCTGCAATCCCCGTCAGCAGTGCCTCAGCACTGTGCTTACACCTCATGGTCACTCCACATCAAATGCTTTTAGGTGAGAAGCGCGTGGGGCAGGCCAAGGAGGTAGCCCATGGCCGAGCCCAGGCTTTGCATACTGGTGGCCTGGTGGCCCCTGGCGTCAGGCAGTTCTCCTAAGCACTGCCAGGTGTGGCTCAGAACTTTGTGGTAAGTTTTTAAAAGAAAAGCAATAATAAAAACAAAAGCAAAGGCATAAGCACCACTATAAACTGAAACAGGGCGGTCATCTGAAAGTACTTAAGATATTATGATATTTGGGCTGGAGAGATATAATACAGTGTGTAGAACATTTTCCTTGCACACGGCTGACCCAGCTTCAATTCCCAGAATCCCATATGGTTTTCCAAGCCCTGCCAAGAGTGATCTCTGAGCACAGACCAAGAGTAAGCTCTCAGCACTGCCAGGTGTGAAAAAACAAAACCAAACCAAAGATACAATATTTTTACAAAAAAGTATTTACAGAGCTGGAGCAACATCACAATGGGTAGGGAGAATGCCGTAGACATGGCCAACCTGGGTTCAATCCCCAGCATTCCCATATTGTTCAATAAATTTTTTATCAGGTATGCTCTCTGAGGACAAAATCAGGATTAAGTCCTGCGCACAGTTGGGTGTGACCCCAAAATCAAATAAATAAATCTTTTCTAACTCCATTAGAAGAACAAGAAAATGTTAATGAGTGAGTTGCAGAAGAAAATCATACAAAAGCACCCGCTGGAAATTTTTGCCTAGAAATGATAGACACAAGGGCAGGGACTGCCAGTTTTGCATTTCAGAAACTGGGTGGAGGGACGGTGGAACTGGCTACCTTATTCATGGTATGTGCATTCTGCTTGGCAAGAACCATGTCCATGGAGTCAGTCAGCTTCTTAAACTGGAAGGTGCTAGGGTGCTGGCGGTACTTCTGATCACTGGCATATTCTGTAGCTTTCTTGGCTTTCTCCACTTCTAGTGAGCCTGCGGGACTCCATCCAAGTCCTTTGTACCATTCGTTGTAGTCCTGTCTGTATTGGTTCTATAAAGGAAAGAGGTAAGCGGGGCTTTACTTTAAACATTGAGACATGAAAGTGCAGCCAAGAAGACGATGGCCTTCCCGTTCATACTAAGAACCCCCACCGACACCAAGAAACAAGGGACCCTTACATCACTCTGTATCTGGTTCATGTTCCTGGTCAGTTCAATGTTCATAGCATCGGGAAGCAGGATGTACTTATGAATGAGGCGCTTGTAGTTAGTGTTGGTGATGTTGGCTTGGGCGTCCTTGGCAGCTGTCACACTGAGCATGTCTGGAGAGGTGTGGTAACTGGTCTTTGTCTTCTCGTAGTTTTTCTTGTACTCTCGATCTGATTGCATCTTGGCCACTTGCATGGAATGGACTAGTTTAGGGTCATCTTCAAGACTCCGGAAGCCCACCATTTTCCCCCTCTGCTTTTCATAGTTGTGTTTGTATTTATACTGTGAAGAAAATGGAAAAGCTTGTTTAGAGAAATTTCTTTGACTGAAGATCATATTTGTGGCAGCGTTCTTCCATGGTTCATATAAAAAATAGTGATGAGTTACAAAAATACATTTCCTCTTCTCTGTCTACCTAACTGAACACACATCTCTATACCTGTGAGATCCATAGTAAAATTATTATTACTACTCCATTTTTTGCAGAGAAGCAAACTGGAAAGTGACCACGAAACGTGAGTGGCTTGCTAAGATCACCAAGGATAAGATCCTAGTCCTTGCATCATTGCAATATGCCGGCTTCCACATATCCTCTATTGTTAGAGTGATCGTTAGTAGGATACACAAGCATGACAAACAAGGGGGGAAAAGGCATAATGTTCCAAGCATTTTTTTCCAAAATATTTTCCAAGCAAAATGTTAAGGCTGCTTTGAGAAAATCTCCAGACAGTCTTTAACTAAGAAGTGGCTCTCTTTTTAAGTAGATTGTATAATTTTAGAGCATCTCTATATTTGTGGGACTTAATGTCAAACTCTCTAAACTGCTGTTTTGTTATGTTTTGTTTTGTTTTTATTTTTTTTAAAAAAACTATTGATCACTTGATTTCTTTCTATTGAAAATCCTGGTATATGAAACATATCTGTTGGGGTAGGGGTGGGGAAACAGGGAAATTTGAGCATACATGATGGTATTCAGGGGACATTCTTCACTCTGTGCTCAGGAGTCATTCATGGCATTGTTCAGGGGACCATATGTGGTGCCAGTGATTGGGATGGGTCAGCAGTATGCAAGGCAAGTGGGCTTATCACCAGAATTATTTCTTTGCTCCTCTGGAAAACTATTTTCTTTTGTGGGTTTGACAGTGCAAGTGAACAGGTAGGACCTATAAGAGCTATATTACTGTAGCATGAAAGAGGGAAGGGGCTGGAAAGATAGTACAGTGGGTAGGATGCTTGCCTTGCACATAGTCAACCCAGATTTGACTCCAAGCACCATCAGAAGTAGTTTCTGAGTCCAGAGCTAGGTATAACCCTAAGCATCACCAGGTGTGGTCCAGAAACAAACCAACAACAACAACAACAAAAATGAATTCCGAGTCCTCAAAATAATGTAGAAGCAAGATAGGAATGGATAGGTAAGCAAGAAGATGCATTAAAGAGGTGAAAATATAACAGGGGGTAGAGAGGGCCAGGAAACAATGCTCTGAAATGTATTTTGCCAATTACTACAAAATGATTAAATGAATCCTGGGAGCAGATTTCTTATGAAAACAAATGAAAGCACTGAATTCCATATAATGATGTGTGATAATGGAAGTATGTTGATATAACAAATTTTTAAGGGCCCCCTAATTTGTAGTGTTGATTTCTTTTTTTTTTTTTTTTTTTTTTTTTTTTTTTTTGCTTTTGGGTCACACTCGGCGATGCACAGGGGTTACTCCTGGCTCTGCACTCAGAAATCACCCCTGTGATGAAATGAACAGAAACTTTGTCAAAGAAGAAATCTGAATGGCTAAGAGACACATGAGGAAATGCACCACATCACTAATCATCAGGGAGATGTAGATCAAAACAACAATGAGATATCATTTCACACCACAGAGACTGGCCCATATCCAAAAGAACAAAAGCAACTGGTGTTGGCATGGGTTAAAGGAGAAAAGGACCCTCCTTCACTGCTGGTGGGAATGCCGACTGGTTCAGCCCTTTTGGAAAACAGTATGAACAATTCTCAAAAAAATTAGAAATTGAGCTCCCATTTGACCCAGCAATACCACTCCTGGGAATATATCCCGGAGAGGCAAAAAAGTATAGTAGAAATGACACCTGCACTTGTATGTTCATTTCTGCACTGTTTACAATAGCCAAAATCTGGAAAAAAAACTGAGTGCCCAAGAACAGACAACTGGTTAAAGAAACTTTGGTACATCTACACAATGGAATACTATGCATCTTTTCTGCTAGAAAAGATGAAGTCATGAAATTTGCATATAAGTGGATCAACATGGAAAGTATCATGTTTAAGTGAAATGAGTCAGAAAGAGAGGGACAGGCATAGAAAGATTGCACTCATCTGTGGAATATAAAGTAATAGAATGGGAGGTTAACTCCCAGGGGTATTAGAGGTAAGGACCAGGAGGTCTACTCCACGGCTTGAAAACTGGCCTCACATGCTGGGGGGAAAGGCAGCTCAGATAGAGAAGGGAACATCAAATAAAGGATGTTGGGAGGACCCATTCGGGTTGAAAGACGTGTGCCGAAAGTAGACTATAGACTGAACAGGATAGCCATTCAATACCTCTATTGCAAACTACAACACCCAAAAGGAAAGATAACAAAAGGGAATGTCCTGCCACAGAGACTGGGAGGGTCGGTCTGGGTTGGGGGTGGTGGGAAGGATATTGGGAGCATCGGTGGAGGAGAATGGGCACTGGTGGAGGGATAGGTAAACGATTATTGTATGACTGAAATACGAAAGTTTGTAAGTTTGTAACTGTGCCTCATGGTGATTCACTAATAAAAAAAAATTTTTTAAAAAGAAATCACCCCTGGTGGTGCTTGAGGGGACGATATGGGATGCTGGGAATCGAACCCGGGTAGGCCGCATGCAAGGCAAACGCCCTATCTGCTGTGCTATCTCTCCAGCCTCTAGTGTTGATTTCTATGGTGCAAATATTTCCATCATGGCTAATGTCAAGTTGTCAACAATTTAAAAAGTGACAGGAAAAGTTCCCAACTATTTAACAGCTAGTTGTCCTGGATGCCAAAGGCTGACACTGCCATATGGGGCACCCCATTAGGAGAACAGATCTTACAAGGCGAGATCAACCCAAGTCTTACATCAAGAAAACTCACTTCAGGATTATTAAATTCAATAGGTAACAGCCATGGTGGTGGAGTTCTAATACACACAGATCTTATGAGTTGACTGTGCCGATATCTAAATGGTCTTTATGTGGTTATTATTCAGTACCAGAGAGAACACATGAGGAAGACTAAGCAGCTATCGCAAAACATCTGAGGCTAGAGTTAGTAGGCAATGCTTTTTCCTGTGTTAACCACCCAGTTTTCATATCTCAGCCCATGTTATATGGGTCAGCAGATTTCCTTCCCGAGAACTTACATCACTTGCAATATCTCTTGAAGCCTTGGCAGCCTGGATAGGAATTGCATCAGTTCTGAGATCGTAACCTTTCTTTTTAGCCTCTTCCAAAGACAGTTTGTAGAGTTTCTGTGTGAAGAGATAAAGAAATTGTTTTACTTTCAGTAGGAGACCTGGATTTAGTTTACAAGAGAAAAATAACACCATGGTGGATAATTTTCATCTTTGGGCAAAATGTGTTACTTATTGATGGCTCTATGACTGGACAGTGCTATTAGGAACATAAATATTTTTGAAAAGAGATATGTCTATGGGGGCCGGAGAAATAGTTCAGCAGGTAAGGCACTTGCCTTGCATGTGGCCCACCCGGGTGTAATCCCTGGCACCCCAATACTCAGTATTGTATATATCTGCAATAGCTTCAAATATATAAAAACCAAAAAAAAAACTACAGGAAGAAGTAAAAGTTACTATTTTGGGTTGCAAGTAAGCTTTTAGGAAACATAAAATCCTAGTGGATTAAATTAAGAATTTATTTTAATCAAATGAGTTAAAGAAAGACCAAAATGTCATCTTGCATCAAAAGAAAACATCACCCGCCTTCCCCAAATGGAACCCCGGTGACCAGAAGCCTCTACAAGCACAGCTCGAGTATGCGGGAACTAGGACTTTTCCTCAAAACCACGCGGCTGCTTACGCGGCCGCGCGACGTCTCTCTATATACAAAGTGATCCATGGGAAGTAAACCACCCAACGTTTCTCTCTGAAAATCATAGTTAAGTTTGGAGCACGGCCACAGCCCCAGAAACACAAGGACTTAATGCATAACCCAGCAGCTTGGAGCAGAAAAGTGAACGGGCTATGCGTTAATCCAGGCCATCATGTCTGTCCGGAGGGGAAAGGGTGTTGCCCCATTCGCTCTCTCTTTTCTGGAAAGAAGGATGGCGGCCGCATGGGGGCCTTGTGGACAGCAGGTATGAGCTGGGGGTGTGGGGGCGACTAAAACCTCATGGGAAGGGGGGAATTCCAGTCCGTCCTTCACGCCCTACCGAGGCCACCAGTTGCCCCCCACGAGCGGCTCTCCAGCACGGCCACAGCCCCAGAAACACAAGGATTTAATGCAGAACCCAGCAGCTTGGAGCAGAAAAGTGAACGGACTATGCGTTAATCCAGGCCATCAAGTCTGCTGGAGGGGAAAGGGTGTTGCCCCAGTCGGCTTCTCCTCTCTGGAAAGAAAGATGGCGGCCGCATAGAAGCCTTGTGGACAGCAGGTATGAGCCGGGGGAGTGGGGGTGACTAAAACCTCATGGGAAGGGGGGTGTTTCGGTCCGCCCTTCACGCCCTACCGAGGCCACCAGTTGCCCCCCACTAGCGGCTCTCCAGCACGGCCACGACTCCAGAGCACAGAAACCAATTTCTTAACTATCTGACTTTCAGTAGAAATACTTCCAGGGTCAATAAGTAAAATAGCAGAAATCCAAAACCAACATTTAATTCTTGAACCCAGCTGTAGAAAGCAAATCACTTCACAATGCTTTTTCAGCATGTCTGATTTGGGGGGGGGGGGTAAACTCTAAATAATAGTGGTGAATCTTTTAATGAAACAATGAATCTAATCAAAGCAGATAGAGTGTTAACTAGAATTCATCTGCCCCACAGGGACTGGGAGGGGTGGGGGGTGGGGTTTTATTGGGGTTCTTCATGGTAAAAAATAAGTATTGGTAAAGGGAAATGTGTTTGATATTTGCATGACTGAGACCTAAACCTGAAAGCTTTGTAACCTTTCCCATGATGATTCAATAAATAAATAAATAAATAAATAAAAAAGAAAACATCACTCATAGTGATTCAATTTTTAAAAAAATCACTGTTCGCAATTACATTTAAATTTTTTATATTAATGTGACTACTACAACCTCCAAAGAAAGAAATCATTAATGCCAAATCCCTGAAGAATTTTTAAAAGAAAAGAAAAACTGATATGACTGAAGAATTTTCTAGGAATAATGACTAGGACGGGCTGGAGCGATAGCACAGTGGTAGGGCGTTCGCCTTATAAGCGGCCAACATGGCCGTCCCGAATTCGATTCCTCCGCCCCTCTTGGAGAGCCCGGCAAGCTACCGAGAGTATTCGATATGCCAGACACAGTAACAACAAAGTCTCCAATGGAGACGTTACTGGGCCCGCTCGAGCAAATCGACGATCAACGGGAGGGCCTTTACCTTTTACCTTTACCTAATGACTAGGATAAGGAAGGAAGTGATATAAAACTGTATTTCCTAACATTAAATGTGCATTTCTTTTTATGATGCCTGGAAATGTTTATCTTCTCTTTACATTTAACTTCTTCTGTGACCCCTTTCTTTAATGCCATATGAACAGACTGAAAAATTGTCTAAAAATTAAATCTAATAATTCTTATTTTGTTTCTCTCTTCTCCTGGCCGTAAGCTTTTCTCTTCCAACAAAATCCATTAAGAAGTACCTTTCTCTAAAAAGAAAAAAAGAACCATGCTTGAAATCCCAGCTACTTGTGCCAATGCCTAGTGACTGACAGGACTATTTCAATGAATCTAATCTAGTAAAGTAAGATTGGAACTAGAAAAATTATGGCTTGTGAATATTTGCTATTTACTTTCAAAACTTTCACTTTTGTGGTAGAAGACATTATTAAATGTATTCTTTACTGACTCAAATAGTCTAGATTACAACAGGGAATCACACTTACATCACTCATATTAATTGCATTTGCCTTTGCCAAAATAATCTGGGGGAGATCAGTTGTGATGTGAATTTTCGTCTTATCAGCCTCCCATGCTTGTTTGTAGAGGTGCTAAGAAAGAAAAAAAAAGAAAACAGTGGAAGAATTTCAATATTAAGAAAAGTTCATTTTGTATGTATGTATTATTATATACAAACAAAATATGTGCTTTCCTCTACTTTATAGATTGAAAAGAATATGTCTGTGCCCAAATTTTCTATGAATATTAAACTCCCCATAGAATCCTTTTTCAGAGAAATGAAGTAATATAATACATAATGTTTTACATATTTTTAACTTAGTAATATAGATTAGACATATTGAAATATATTTAAAATAATTGACTTAAGTTCCTGAGCAGTAGCAGTGTTCAGCAAGATTAGACATTTTGAAACATACAAAACATCCTTTATTTCATTCACTGAGCAGACACATTCCAGGAGTCATAAATTTCTCTTGTAAAGAGTTCAGTGGATAATATTTTACATATATGGGCCACAGAATGTATGTCAATGACTACTCAATTCTGTTGCTGTAGTAAAAACACCCGCTGTATTATCTCTTTTTTGTTTGTTTTGGGGCCAGGGCTGTCAGTGCTCAGGGGACCATAGGTGGTACTGGGGATCAAACCTGGGCTGGCGGCATGCAAGGCAAGGACCTTATCCACTGTTCTATCACTCCCACCCCTAGCACAGAATCTTTTAGTGGTAGCACTTGCTACTTCTATTTAAGTGCTCATCTAAAATCTAAATTATAAAGGGAGCACTTTTTAATTTGTGCCTTGTCTTTGAGGATAAATCCTTTTGAAGTCTTCTAAGAAAAATTCTCCAGAGATTTCAGGAAATTTTTATAGAAAGTCAGATATAGCTTTGTCTTTCTAGTGAAGCTTGGAAGAATTCTTTTCTGCAAGTGTTTAGTGGCACAGTCAAATTATTATGCCCCTTCTTGCTAATTAATGCCATTTCTAATTGTGATCCACACAATAAAACCACTGCAGCAGCAATTATTTTGTTATTTGTAACTTAAAAATAGATGTCCAAGATTGATGTGCTTGTTGATTCTAACATCAAGTTATGGTTAATGAATGTAAAAATATAGTAAGTTTTTTCCAGAGGATGGAATATTAAAGATAGAAAGAACTACATGAAGAAACTATCACTCCTTATGATTGTCCACAGAGGACCCTAACTCTGAATGCTTTCACATACGTGCAACTAAGGAATCTTCTTTATCCCATCAAAGCAGCTAGGAAGTAAGGATGTGCTTCAATGCCCAATTATTATCTGGCAAACAAAATGCTCATCTGGAGTTATGAATTCCTGCTCAACCTCACCTTAGACACACAGGAATCATTTTATAATATTTTTATAAGAAATCGAGCTCACAATTATTTTGTTATGTTTATTGGAACAAATGGTTCACCGAACATTTGGAGAGTCACTAATTAAAACTAATTTCTAACTTTAGCTAACTGTATGTTTCTCTTTCAAAATAAGCATGTGATTCTGATGTCTTAAAATAAAAAATTCCACAGTAAAACCTGTAGATGGAATGTAGAATATGTCTGGATTCCTCTCAATAAATTTGAAACTCTACATTATTGACAGACTTACTTCATTCATGATTTTTGCATTATTCTGGGCCAAAACCATGTTCATTGAGTCCATCAGTGTGGAATACTTCAAAGTGTCTGGGTGTTGACGGTACTTCTTTTCACTAATGATCTCCATGGCTTTCTTATTTTTCTCAGCCTCCAGAGACCCTAAGGGAAGCCATCCAATGCCCTTCATGAAGTCAGCATAATCAGCCTTGTATTGATTCTGGAAAACAGGAAAAGGCCAAGGATGAGAAGAAAATTCTAAGACCCATGAGTGAAAATTTAATATTCCAAAAGACTCATTTCAATTTTTGACAGAATTGAAACAACTTTTTATTACTAAACTTTATCTTGTTAACATTTCCTTGCATGAAAATTAAAAAGTAAACAGTAATAGTTTTGTTGTTTGTTTGCCTTCCTCAATGACACGGCAAAGAAAAAAGTAATGCCAAATAATCCAGGTTAAAGAGATAGTACAGCAGGTAGGGCACTTGCCTTGCCTGGGTTCAAGCCCTGGCATCCTATATGGTTCCCTCAGCACTGCCAGGAGGTATTCCTGAGTGCAGTGCCAGGAGGAACTCTTGAGCATTGCCAGGTGTAACCACCCTCCCCACCTAAAAAAAGAAAAAAAAAGAAAAAAGAAATACCAAATAATTTGATGCATGTCTATTATCTCAAGAAAGTTGACTATGCTGCCATATCTTTCAAATAAGTTATTTGAATGAGGTTATCTTCTTAAAAAATGTTTTTCTCTCTTCGAAGGCTCCAGAGGATTTATTTACACAGAGATTTATATACAGCTCTATCCAGAGTAATCTTTTTATGTAAAAGGTAAGGTTTAGTGTTAAATGTCTCACAAAAAAATCCCCCAAATTCCCCTGGTTAATAATTTATGGGCACCACATGCCCCTTCTTCACTGTATGTGTTTGATCACTCATCACCATGATAATAAGCAAGGATATGCCAGGTATCCCACAGGCACTTTGAAGAAGTTTCATTTTTCTTCTTCGACTCTGACATTTTTCTCTACAATTGTACCATAAATGCTTTCATGTGGCACTTCTGCATCACCATAAGAATACATAATCACTCATATATTCCCAGAGGTTTGTAGATTTGGTGTGTCATGCATTTGGGTCATAGAGTAAATTTAATTCTAGCCAAAAAATAATTTTTGTGGTTGAAGACTTGGCTCTCCTTTCTCTGTGCCTCTCTCATGTCTGCACTAATAAACTCCTCAATATTTCACCAATTAAACATGACTATAAAGAATGGAAGTAGAACAAAAGCTGGTGGGAGTAGGGGATTACTAGCTGCTCTGACTTTCTTGTTTTCTCTGTTACTCCTTTACAAACAATATTTATGCTACAGATTCTCTTTGCTAAGCACATTTCCCTTAGGATCTTATTATTGCTTACGTTCCTTCCCATTTTGATTTTTATTTAAAGTTAAATTCTCTGCGAGATTGTGGCTGGCACTTACGTCGCTTTGAATCTGCATCATATTTTTGGCCAATTCAAAGCTCATGGAATCAGGAAGCATGTTGTAGGTATGAATAATGTTCCTGTAGTTGGCATTGGTAGCTACTTCCTGAGATTTCTTGGCTGCCACCACACTGAACATGTCCACAGGAGTGTGGAAGGATGTCTTGGATTTCTCATAGCCCTTCTTGTATTCCCTGTCAGACTGCATCTTGGCCACTTGCATGAAGTGTACCAACTTGGGGTCGTCCTCTAGGCTTCGGAAGCCGATGTGCTTCCCTTTGGCTTGTTCATAAGCTTGCTTGTATTTGTACTGGAGGACGAAACAAGAAAGAGAGCATGGTGATGAAAATAATGAAGGAACAAGAACAAAATGCAGCTCACTAGTAGTATTAGCTTTGTCAGTATGTTTAGAGCTACTCTAAACTTAGGAAGTAAGTATAGTAAAATTCTTACATCAAATTTATTGCTAAACTTGAGTCAATGAAAAGAAAATCATCTCAACATTAAGCAAAGAGATTTGTAAATAAGATATTTTCGAGTAATTTAAAGGCAATGTTTCCCTCTCGGCTGTCTAACTAGCAGACAGAGTGCCAGGCATGATTTTTATGATGAATATTGAAATTCATATAAGTCTGGTCATGAGTCTTTTGCATAAAGTAGCATCGCTGCATTGCTTGTAGTTGACTGAAAATTATCTGAATACTCCAAAAACAACTTATTTTTATCAAAACCAAGTCCCTCTGTACATTAGTAATGAGCAAATGATTAGCAGCCATTGGGTTGGAGACAGAAGGCAGCTTGTATGTTACATGGGATGATGGTCCCACCAACACTGGTGAGAACTGACTACAGCAATTACATACGCACAAGCAAACTCATTGGTTCCTATTTTCTTAGCCTCGGGAAGGTCCGTGGAACTACTCACATCACTGGCAATGTCCCTAGAGGCTTTTGCAGCCATTATTGGGATGGCATCTGGCCGCAGGTCATAACCTTTTTTCTTTTCTTCTTCCCAGCCAGCTTTGTACAGTTTCTAGAGATGACAGAGGAAAAACACCAGCACCCTGTTATTTGGGTTCAAATGGGCACTCTGATTCCAAAATGGTTAGCATGTCAAACTCAGGCATTCTCAAAAGATGACTTCCTTTCAATTAATTCACTCTCCCACTCTAGTTGTTAATCTACTTACATCACTCATGGTGATTTGGTTTACTCTGGACAGCAGAATGTCTGGAGTATCAGGCATGACATGAATGGAGGTCTTGTCTTTGTTCCATTTCTCAGTGTAGAGCCTCTGCAACAAGAAGAAAAGGTAATGATGCAATAGTGCTATTAATAGGAAAAGACTCCCATCTTCAGGAGGGAAGAGGCTAAATCTGATATCAGAAAATAGATCAGATAAGTAAGAACAGGGGCTGACAACTTGGGCTTTCAATGAGAAAAAATGATCATCAAACCAGGGAGCAACTTTCACGGAATCAAATGATCCCAAACTCATTCCATGTGAATGAAGTTCTGTCCGTCTATAGCATCAGCAGCAGGGTGTTGAGAGACAGCTTAAGGAAGCACAAGGACAACTGGTGGATGGCAACCTCCCACCAGTACTGTGACCCTCATAAAGTTTAGAACACTGGCCACCATCATAGTGTCAATGCTAGGCTGACTAGCACAAGCACCCTCTGGGCCCTGAGGCCAGGAACAGCAGACCGAGTCCTACCTTGTCCATAGTCAGCTTGTTACTTTTGTTAAGTGCTTGTTCCATTGTATCCATAGAGTATGTATACTTCAGCTTCTCAGGGTGCTGGCGATACTTCTTCTCACTGAGAATCTCTCCTGCTTTTTTGGCCTTCTCCACCTCCAAGGATTCTATGGGGACCCAGCCGATCCCTCTCATCCAATTGGTGAAGTCTGCTTTGTACAGATTCTTTACAGAGAAAAACAAATATTCATATCCGTGAATAATAGGATTTCTTCAGCTAGATGATTTCGTTCATGACAACCCTCCTGGGGCAGGTGCTTATTTATGACCTTTTTTTCCCCTTTTTTTTGCTTTTTGGGTCACACCCAGTGATACACAGGGATTACTCCTGGCTCATGCACTCAGAAAGTACTCCTGGCAGTGCTCGGGGAACCATATGGGATGCTGGGAATCGAACCTGGGTTGGCTGCATGCAAGGCAAACGCCCTACTTGCTGTGCTATTGCTCCACAGCGGTAGGGCGTTTGCCTTGCACGCAGCCAACATGGCCGACCCAAGTTCGATTCCTCTGCCCCTCTCGAAGTACCTGGCAAGCTACCGAGAGTATCTCCCCCGCACGGCAGAGCCTGGCAAGCTCCCCGTGATGTATTCGATATGCCAAACACAGTAACAACAAAGTCTCCAATGGAGACGTTACTGGGCCCGCTCGAGCAAATGGATGAACAACGGGAGGACAGTGACAGTGACAGATGATTTTGTTATGATCAAAAAGTGGGAGGGGATGAGGGGAAAGAATAGGGCCAGGAGCAACAAGTCATCTATCTGTCTATCTATCTATCTATCTATCTATCTATCTATCTATCTATCTCTCTGTCTATCTATCTATCTATTTATGCTTTTTGGGTCACACCCAGCAATGCACAGGAGTTACTCCTGGCTCTGCACTCAGGAATTACTCCTGGCGGCGCTCAAGGGACCATATGGGGTGCTGGGAATCTAACCCGGTTGGCTGCGTGCAAGGCAAACACCCTACCCGCTGTGCTATCACTCCAGCCCACAAGTTATTTTTATATAGTTTTCTATCATTTTTGGGGGTACCATATTTGTAAAACCAGTTGCCTTGTTGATGGTTTAAAATTTTTTTTAAATTTTTTTTCTTCTTTTTTCTTCAGAAAAAGTAACAGGATTTTATACTGGAGGGCATAATACACAGCATCCTTCTCAACTTCTTAATTTTTCATAGGATACATCATATATTTGGTCTAGCAATAGCATAACCAAACCAAGAAAAAAAGAGATAATATATGTATATATTTCAAATAAATAAAATCCAAAACACTCTTAAGTTCTGGAGGGGATCCTAATTGATGGGGTCTGGCCAGTTTTCTAATGATTACTTAGTTCTTGAGCTTCCCTCCCACCAACTAGAAGCAGATAACTAATTTTAGGTCACCCAGCTGTGCACCACACGTACATCACTTTGAATCTGCATCACATTCCTGTTGTGTTCCACGCTCAAGGCATCAGGCAGGAGAGTGTAGTTGTGGAAGGGTTGTTTGTAGTTGGCATTAGTAGCCACTTCCTGAGATTTCTTTGCAGCTGTCACACTGAACATATCCAATGGTGAGTGGTACCTGGTCTTGCTGGCTTCGTAACCCTTTTTGTACTCACGATCTGACTGTATTTTGGCAACATTCATGTAATGAACCAGTTTGGGGTCATCCTGAAGACTGAGAAATCCAATTTGCTTGCCTTTAGCTTTTTCATGGGCTTCCTTGTATTTGAACTATATGAAAAAGGGGCAGACAGAAGTATTAGAGTAGATTGTAGGAAGTATTCCATGTGTATATGTACATAATAATGAAGTAAGCAAAGTCACATAAGTCAGAATCTAGATAATATCTAAGTTTTTTAGTATTTTAAAATAAATGACACCACGTGTTTCCAATGAATGTTCTTGAGATCTGCTTTAGGAAAAATTAGGAATGGAGTAAACTGTAATCTATGTTTCAGCTACCCATATGTATACATTTAATATGCAAAAAGATTCTTGAAAAATTTATTAAGCATTTGATGCATATTTTTCTATCTTGTTTTCATTATTAATTTGCATTTATATAAATAATTTTCACAATTATGGGTAAATTTCATGAAATACCTTATAAATACAAAAGGGCTTTGAACTCCAAATGAACAACCTTTTATTATATCTAGTTATTCTACAAATTCATACAAAAATATAACTATTTAAAAAAAAGAGTTAATTAAAACCTTTCCATTTAGTCTATACTTCTTTCTGGCTTTCCGTATTTTATAAGATTTTTTTTCTTGTTTTAAAATTACATTATTAAAACTGTATTCATGGGGGCAGAAAGATAGTACAGCAGGAAAGGCACTTGCCTTGCATACAACCCACCTGGGTTTGATCATTGGCACCTCTTGTGGTTCACCAAATCCCATTAGGAGTAAACTCCAAGCCAGGAGTAAGGAGCCAGGAGTAAGACCTTAGAACACAGTCGGCTGTGACCTCCAAACCAAAAAGTATTTAAATAAAAAATAAAATACAATGTTTATTCATTTTTTAAATTTTGTTTGTTTTCGTTGTTTTTGAGCCACACCTGGCTGTACTCTGATCTTTTGGCTCTATGTTCAAAAATCACTCCTGGCAGGGCTTAGGAGACCAGACAGGGTGCTGGGGACCAAACCCATGCCTGATGGGTGCAAGGTAGTGTTCTACCTGCTGTACTATCTCCCCAGACCCCACAAATTCCTTAAAATACATTGAAACTTATTTGATTTAATTAAAATCTTGTTATGCCAAGACTTTTGGATTTTGATAAAATCCAAACAAAAAACAGCTTTCGGATTCAGGAATGCACTCATTGGTAAAATGTATCATTTATGTGTATAAAACTCTGGGTTCTGATTCGAGTACCAAGAAAAACAAAACAAAAAGCAGTCTTCAAGTTCAAAGCAATATTACTGAAAAAACTACAAATAATTCACAGCTATGAAAATGAGTTTTCTTTTGCTTCAAGTGGCAACCATAGTCTTATTTACTTTCCTTTAAAAATTAAAATAAAAAATTACTCTCTATTGATTTATAATTACTTTCTTCTATAATAATTAAGTTTTAAAATAATAAAAATACAAAAAAACAGTGGCTAGGATATTAGAAAGCATTCTTATCATTTCTCAATTTGCTTCCTATTATAGTTCATATAGTCTCATATATCAAGTAAAGACCTTTAAAATATGCTAAAAGAAAGTTTTCTCTTTTCAAAAGTGACTTACATCACTAGCAATATTCCTTGAGCTCTTCGCAGCAACAATTGGAATTGCATCTGTCCTCAAATCATAACCCTTAGCAAGGGTTTTCTTCCAATCTGCTTTATAATGAGCCTATGGGAAAATGGGAAAATTATTTTATTATTTGACACAATTAAAAAGGGAATAAAACACAAGTCTAAAAATTTTCATATTGGGGCTAAAGAGATAGCACAATGGGTAGTGCATTTGCCTTGCACGTGGTCAATCTGGGTTTGATCCCCAGCATCTCATATGGTCCCCCAAGCACTGTCAGGAGTAATTCCTGAGCGCATGAGGCAGAAGTAATCCCTGTGCATCACCAGATATGACCCAAAAGCAAAGACAATAAATAAATAAATAAATAAATAAATAGAATCCTTCATATAAACTGGTGTAATAAATCTCTTACCACTAAGACAATTCAAGGAATTATACGTTATCTATTAATTCATTCTTTCTGTATCTATCAGATTCCTTTTTAAAATATCATATGCTACATATCTGGTATGATGCCAGCCACCTTAAGAATGTATATGCATGTTTGTATAACAAAGTAATGGAAAGACAACGTTTTACATGTGGATAACAAAAGATTTCATTTTTCCCTAATTTTTTTTATATTTGTAGCTTTTCTCTAAGTATATGATATTCTTAGTTTTATGGGATGATGATGTGTTTCAAAGTTACAGAAATGTATGGAATTTAAATTTAAAAAATAAAAAATATATAGCACATCTTTATGATCCACTTATCTGTTGTTAGACATCTAGATTGATTGCAGATCTTAGCTATTGTAATGAGTTTACATGTGTTCTTTTGTCACTGTCACTGTCACTGTCCTCCCGTTGTTCATCGATTTGCTCGAGAGGGCCCAGTAACGTCTCCACTGTGACAATTGCTACTGTGTTTGGCATATCGAATATGTCACGGGGAGCTTGCCAAGCTTTGCCCTGTGGGCGAGATACTCTCAGTAGCTTGCCAGGCTCTCTGAGGGGCGGAGGAATCGAACTCAGGTCAGCCATGTTGGCTGCTTGCAAGGCAAATACCCTACCCGTTATGCTATTCCTCCAGCCTGTGTTCTTTTGAATGAATGTTTTTCTGTCCTGGAGATAGATACCCAAAAGTGGAATTGTTGGGTCATATGGCAGCTAATTCTGAGATGTGGTATATATATACACAATGTAAATACTACACAACTGTAAGAACAATGAAATTATGGTAGCATGGATGGAACTGGGAAACACCATGTTAAATGAAATAAGCCAGTAGAAGAAGAGGATGATGTCACTATATGTGGTATTTAGAATAACTGGATGAGGGAGTGCAATGTTTTAAAGAAAGTATGTTCTGATCAACTTTAGCTCCAGAGTATAGGAAGGAGAAAGAAAGAAAGTGGAGGGGAGAGGTGGAAGACATAGATGAGAAGCAAAAAGGGCTAGGAGAGGGTTGCCAGGTACAAAGATGTTAAGGAATGAGAGAGTCAAATATCCAAACCACAGAATCAACACGCTGAAATCAAGATATCCAAACTTAGAAAAGGTACCTGACAAGAGGCTTACTGAGGGGGATGGTTATGGGAGGGTATCTGGGAACAGTGGTGGAGGGAAGTTGACACTGGTGGTCGGATTGGTGCTGCAAGATTCTGTTTAAATATGAATAACTTTGCAAATCACTGTGCTTTAATTAAAAATTGTGGGAAAGTAGTAGCATCATTCATATTTAATTAATTTTTTGTGGGGGGGGGCATTCCTGGAGGTGCTGGGAAGTGGAGGAAGGCCACTTGATGTTCAGAATTGAGTCCAGGAGTTCACATGAGCCAGGCATGTGCTTTGCCACTTGAGTTACATCTCCACATTTCCAGCTTGAATTAACGGTTAAAATATTACTCAAAAAAAAAAGCAGAGAAAAGAGTTTTTAAAATAAACCAAGGACATAGAAATGAGTTTCTAAAATGCTTAGATAGAGATAAAAAGAAAATCTGAAGTGTGAGAGGGATGACTAAGGCTAAGAATGACTAAACTGTTCATTTAAGAAATTAGCAACTTTTTAAATTTGTATCTGGTTATGTAAAAAAGGTAAAGGCCCTCCCGTTGATCATCGATTTGCTCGAGCGGGCCCAGTAACGTCTCCATTGGAGACTTTTGTTGTTACTGTGTCTGGCATATCGAATACTCTCGGTAGCTTGCCGGGCTCTCCGAGAGGGGCGGAGGAATCGAACTCGGGTCGGCCATGTTGGCCGCTTGTAAGGCGAACGCCCTACCCGCTGTGCTATCGCTCCAGCCCACGGTTATGTATTAAAATGAGAATATTTTCACTTTTTCAAAAGCAAAATAAAACAATAATAGTGAATTTAAGCACCATGCGCATTAAGTATCTGTAGCACTAAAGCACTGTCCTCCCGTTGTTCATCAATTTGCTCGAGGGGGCACCAGTAATGTCTCACAAAAAATTGTGAGAACTCGTTGTTACTGTTTTTGGCATATTGGATACGTCATGGGTAGCTTGTCAGGCTTTGCTGTACAGGCGAGATACTCTCGGTAGCTTGCCTGGCTCTCCGAGAGGGGTGGAGGAGTCGAACCTGGATCAGCTGTGTGCAAGGCAAATGCCCTACCTGCTGTACTATCGCTCCAGCCCATTCAAGAGTGATTCCTGAATTAAGTATCTACCAACAGGAAAATAGTAGTCAACTTCTAAACCAATAGCTGAACCAAAGTTGCACAAACCAGTACTTATCCTTACTACAGATTAGGCAACGACTGTATTCTCCAATCTTATTTGTGCCATAAAAAACATTAAACACATCTACTAGATTAATTTTTTGACCCACTAATAAAATCAAGTTCCAAGTCCAGGAAAATCTGCATTATGTAAGCTTCCAAGTGCCTTCTAGTCTCATGCTCTGAAATAAGGATCCAATCTAGAGAATCAGAGTTCACACCCAGTTTGCTCCCTTTAAAATTTTCAGGGCAAGGGCCAGAGAGATCTCACAGCTTGTGGGTCTCTTGCCTAGCACATAGTGGGCCTAGGTTCAATGTCTGGCATAGAGTATCTTTCCCCCAACCTCATCAGGTGTGATCCTTGAGTGCAGAGCTAGGAGTAAGCCCTGAGTACCACTGGGTGCGGCTCTGCAAAAAGGCAAAATAAAATACAATTCACAGGGTAAGAGTTCCATAGAGCTGGAAGGGAGAGAGAGTCCCATTAAACACCAGGAGACTGCCTGGCAGGGGTCAGATACTCACATCACTCATGTTCAGAGCGTTGACTTTGGCTTGAATAAACTGCGGCAAGTCAGGGTCCACCGTGTACCTGTGCTTCAACTTCTCTCCCTCCACCTTATAGTTCAACTGAAAACAAAGGGCACAGCATACAATGGTCATCAGTGGACACAAAGTTTCTCTGTTTCATCAAACACATGCCTTAGGCTAATTGTGTGGTTTTCCACCTCAAGGCAAGAGCCTGCCCTCTTCTTCAGAGGGGGTGCTAGGGATTACATTCAGTTGTTCATTCTGTCATATTTATTGAGGAAACCAGTGGCCAGCAGGGCAGTAAGGGCTGCATTAAAAGGGGGTGAAAAGGTCAGACTTGTATTCTTGGACCTTATACAAGGAGACAGACCATAACCCTGGAAGCTGAGAGAGCTGAAAGTTGGGATGTCAACAGAATAACCTCAGGAAAGAAATAGGATGCTCAGCAGAGGCTCCCCAAGGGGGCAAGATTTATGCCAAGATTTGAAGAAAGGGGCAAGATGGGGGAACTCTAGGCAGAACAACAGCATCCAGGACCCTTGTCTGCCACAGACGTTCCAGGTTGTAGGACTGCAGGTGCAAGTCTCTGAGGGAAAAGAGCCCTTGACCTTTTCAGTCCAGTTATCAAGTTTAGGTTTTGATTTAAGCTTCGAGACACTTATTAAGGAGTTTTCCGCACAATTTACGTTCTTCAGGTGTCCTCTCTGGGGGTTGTGGACCCAAGCAAGAGAGCAAACAATAGCCTATTCTAGGAGTCCACAGGATGCCCGAGATGAGAGGGCAGCCATCCACAAAGGTGGCTGGGAAGGACTGAGGAGGCTGGCTCAGCACTAAGTGTTGGCTGGGAGAGATATTCTGGAACATTCTGTAGGAACTGCCAGGTCTCTGGCTTCAGGTGCCAAGTAGATATCAATGACAGTTATGGAATAGGGAAGATTTAGTTATAGAATGTAAGAGTTTGCTGGTTACCTGTAAAAAGTCAGAAGGGACACCTCAGTCAACATAAAAAAATCAGAATCAACATCATTTATCTTCACTAAAGTAGCACTTAATTTGAAAACATCTGAGGTCAAGATAGAATTGGCTTGAGATGTAAAATCCACATATAATTCTCAAACCTGAATCAAGCAAAGCATTTCCTCAGCTGCCAGTACTTGGAGCCCTATACACAAAGATTTCTTTCTTCTTCCCTTTGACTCTCTCTCTCTCTCTCTCTCTCTCTCTCTCTCTCTCTCTCTCTCTCTCACACACACACACACACACACACACACACACATCCCACATGGAGTATTTTCCTAGAACTCAGAAATCACCAAATGAGGTAAAACCCTGAGAATTACAGCTGGCCAGTGAATTTCACTCAGAAATGAGACTCCATGTGACAATAAAGTAAATTGCTCCCTCAATAGGTCAGTAGGTAGAGTGCTAGTTTTCCTTGCATATGACTCAGGTTTGTTCCCCAGCACCTTGTATGGTCCACTGAGCTACATCAGGAATAATTCCTGAGTGCAGAGCCAAAGATAGTCCATGAACACTTCCAGGTTTGGTCCTGGAAGCAAATAATAGAAATAATCTAAATGGCTGTCAGAAGGTGCCAAGTAGATATCAATGACAACAGAAGCAAATAATAGAAATAATCTAAATGGCTGTCTCCTTCTTAGCTGCCTCTCTCTATATTGCCTCTATAAATACGGAGCTATTATGCAAGAGAATAGGACATTGCACCTTTCTTCTACATAACTAGATAAAATGGTTGCAATTCAGAGCATAAATAGCTTGGTTTGCCATTCTGAAAAAATTAAAATAATAATTTTGATAGTTTCATAACATTCATGGATCTGCTTATGAAAAAAATGTTTGAGAGTTTAGCCAAATTTGTAGCTCCTCTTTCTCCCTCCCCTGTTCTTATGTTTGAGGTCTGAGTTGCTTTAGAAATAAAACTTTTCTATTCCATCTTTAAAAGCAATTGATTTGCTCATATAGATGCCCCCTGACATAAGGTACTGAGATGAATGTGTGTCAGGGTGCTCTGTGACAGAAGTTCTTCATAAGCAAACGCTTTTTAAGGGAAACTACTTACATCACTTAACTGCTTTGTATTCTGCTGAGCCAAAACCATGCCCATGGAATCAGGCACACTTGTGAATTTGATGGTATCTGGGTGCTGTCGATACTTCCTCTCATTTAATGCTTCGCCTGCTTTCTTGACCTTCTCAACCTCCAGAGAACCAATAGGAATCCATCCAATGCCCTTGAAGAAGCTGTTATACTCGTCTTTATATGCATTCTGTCAAAGTAATCACAAATATGAAGATATCATGGAGAATACATAAGGGATGTTTCTAAAAGCTGCAGGTCCATTCAGGGGAAATGAAGATCTATAGCCACTGTCAGCACAGTTGTGTCTGTAGCAAAGCTTTTAACTGCATCTGCCCATAGAGATACCCAGAAGGTAGGAGAAGAAAAAGCACTTCTGTGCCCAGAGAGGTAGTATGAGGGTTAACTGAGCCCAGTTCCACACCTGGAGCCACATGGTATCTACTGAGGAGTGCCATGAGTGAACCCTGAACACGGCCTGGTGTGACCCCAAACAAAGACAATAGTAAGAGGGCATCATTATTCACACAGAGGGAATCTGGGCCACATCCTTCCATGAGGGCTGCTTTAAAAAGAATTGCATCTTTTTGACAGAAAATTTGCCTTCCTTTTGATTTAAATAAAAAATTCTCAACTTTGAACTTCATCAACACTTTCCAGTAGGATTTTCTGATCTTAGTTTGGAAGGAGACATTTTCCTTGAACAACAATACATTTCTTCCCTTCACAGAGGATGCTTCTTACAGAAATCCTGCAGAAGGAAATGTCTTGAATATTGAACACCCTCCCCATGCTGCTCTCCATGAATCATGCTGCAATCACCTTCCTGGCTCATTCTGGATGACTCATTACATAGATTTACATGGATGAGAACATGACCTTGAGTTAAAAAAAGAACTCAGAGAGTAGGGAGGATGCTTCCCTTTCAAATTAGAGTTAGCACCATTGAAGCAGGGCTCCAGGAGCAAGCATTTCCTCTTGCTGAGGATCAAAGTGGGCTATATAATTAGTGGAACATGATTGACCTTTGATCTATAAATCAAGAAAGAAAATGGCAAAGATTACAGTAGGAGCACAGAAAACCAGCAAAAACTTAGTGTGTCTACCATGTATTTGCTAGGTATGTGATCGACCCAGGTTCAATTCCAAGTATCTCATATGAACCCCCAACAAGTCTGCCAGGAGTGATTCCTGAGTACAGAGCCAGGAGTAACCCTAGCATCCCATTGTGGTCTGCCCAGCCTCCACCCCACCTCCCCCAGCAAAATGTATTTTCCAAATATACTATACTCTGAGAGCTATTAAAATAGGAAGATATGATTATCCCTTATGTGCCAACTTCTCTGGGTCTGTATGTTATACATACTTACATCACTCTGAATTTGGTTCACATTCCGAGTATGCTCAAGACTCAGGGCGTCAGGTAAGTATGTGTAATGATGTATCGGTTGTTTGTAGTTGACATTGGTGGCAACATCCTGGGCCATCTTTGCAGCTGTAATGCTAACCATGTCTCCAGGTGTATGGTAGCTGGTTTTGGTGTTCTCATAGTTCTTCTTATATTCACGGTCAGACTGCAACTTAGCCACGTTCATATAGTGGACCAATTTAGGATCATCCTGGAGGCTTCTAAAACCCACATGCTTTCCTTTAGACTTCTCATAAGCTTCCTTGTATTTATACTACAGACGGAGAATTTGATTAGCGATATCTTCAGGACTAATAACATTAGGTGTAGCAATTATATTCACACATGAAAGCATTCAGAGCATTGTAAGTTTCCGGAAGATGGAACAAGAAATGCAAAACACACCATATCTCCCAATACAGCAAGTTCAGAGTGAAAGCATTTATTTACAAAACAACTGGCTTAAAATTGAGCATCCTAACAGATTCAGAATCACTTTCTTTTCTTTTCTATAAATTCTACAGATGATTGGCATGTCAAACTGTATCTAAAGGCAGCTGAATTTTCACACAATACAGATACAACACATTCCAGATATAAAATCAGTATCTCCTGCCTTTCAAAGGTTGTAAAATTTTCTAATCTCATGGAACTTCACATTCATGGCACATTATAAATGACAGAAACCTTCCATTTTTTGTTCCCATTGTCAATTTAGAGGCTTCATAGGCAGAAAGCTGAACTTTAACCTACTCTATTTTCAGAAACTACCCTTCAAGCTCCCCAGTGAACAGCTGCAAATGAATTAAGGAACTATAGGAAAAATCAGAAACCCCTGTGGGCTTTCCCTATGGGGAAAAAATCTAACTGCAAAGTTTTACAGTAAAAGTTGGTTGGGCTGCTATACTAGGTCAAAACCTCCACTGTTGTACAAGAGAATTCTTCATGTCTATCTAATTCTCTGCTCTCATTTTTTAAAATTTTTATTAGTGAAACACCATGAGGTACAGTTGTAGACTTACAAATTTTTGTGCTTGGATTTCAGTTATACAATGATCGAGTACCCATCCCTCCACCAGTGCCGATTCTCCACCACCACTGATCCCAGTATCCCTCCCAACCCTGCTCACATTTTTTAAAGTCTAAACTAAAGATTTAATAATGAAAGGATTACCAAATTATTTCTAATCGTGTTAGGAAAAGCTCGATGCCAGTGCTAACATACTGAAAATGTAATACTTGACATTTTTACATTCTTATGTCCCTATCTCCCATATGGTCTGTATGCTTGGTTGGTTCCTTCTCATTTCTCAAACTAAGATCATAACCCCTGAAATAGTGTGACTGTGCAATCTATAGGACATGGGTATTTTGGGAAATGATGCTCTGTGAAAACATGGGAAGATAGTTGTTTATACTTTTTGCCATAAGAAATGTAATGAGCAATAATTTATATAAATTAGTATTGCCTTCTAGGGGGAAAAGGGCTCTTTCTCATTTGGTTTATACAATCTGTACATCTTATATAACATCTTTTCAATCTTCTTAATGCAACTAGAAGGCAGGCAGTCATCTGAATTTAATGTGTTGCTGTCAGGGTGTTCCCACCGAAAATAAATGGGAACTGTCAGGGAAATGTGCCAGGGAAGGTAATTTGGGTTATGAATCAGGGGAGATGGCTGCTGTCAGATTTATGACAGCTCTACTACATGGGGGTCAAGTAAAAAGAATCACAGAAATGTTAAAGTGACAGGTTTTCAAAACAACAGTTTGTGCAGAATTTGAATGTCACTAATTAAACATACTGTTTTTAACATGGTATCATGTAAGCGAGTACATGTTTCATTACTTTTCAAAAATGGAATCACAAAGGTTTTCCCCTAAATTTTTTACTTACATCACTGGCGATGTTTCTGGATGCTTTTGCTGCAGCAATGGGAATAGCATCTCCCAGAACTTTGTTGCCCTTGGCTATTAAGTCATGCCAGTCCCGTTTATAACAGACCTGATACAGAAGAGGGAAAAGCAGGTCAGCAGACTGCATTAATCCGTTGAAATGAATTCTTCATTACTGGGGTTGTCTTATCCCTTTCCAGATAGAAGCTAAAGGAATCTCTTAAAGCCCATGATGTTCGAGAAAGTGACCTTAGCACAATGTCACACTTTGTATAGCATAAAATGATTGTATCAGTACCAACTATCCATCCAAGTAATATTATAACACATATTGGAGAGGAGCCATTTTTTCTTATTTTTCCGGAGGATAATAACCTCCTACAAAGGCACAGCTAAGTAAATTGAGCAGAGTGTTAAAGGCATAGAAGTTGGGCTTTATGTAAAGAAGAATGCTGCATCTTTGAAAGTTGTCAGCCCTTGGTAGGTCAACTCAAGAGATTGAGAAGAATTATCATGGAATACAGTTCAATAGGATCCATTTGGAAAATCAACCAAAATAATTGTATAGGCTCCATTCCATTCTAAATTTCTGCAGTTTTATGATCAGACTATGTTTCTCACCAATCGAGATCTGACTTACATCGCTTATATTGTAAGCATTGCACTTGGCCTGGACAAATTCAGGAAGATCGGGACTCATTGTGTATTTATGTTTTACATCTTCTGCTTTAGCTTTGTATAAGATCTGCAAGACACAATGACACAAACAAAGTTCAATACAGACAGTACAAAAAGGGAAATTCATTAATTGAATTGTAATGAATTAATGTTCCTTTAACTCTTCTGTACATTTTGTACATCAAACTTTCCTGCAGATCTGATTTTAGCCAGCACACATATATTGATCATGGACAGGGAAAGAATATGGCAATTTTTAACAAGACCTAAGTGGGAAAAAGTCTCTATAGTTGTAATTTTTAATTAAAAGAAGCAAAACCACATACTCATTTGTATTATGCCTTGTACTGATGTTTTTTACATATTAAAAGTAAATATGAGCTGCTAAATATGGCATTGATCATGACAAACCGATTAAGACACAGAAAGTGTCTAGGGTTCAAGCTTAAATTTTACTTCATGTCTATACTACTAGAATAGAATTTTGAGCACAACACCAAAATGATCCAAAACAGAATATCTCAAAGACAGCGGAAAAGGAAGACATGCTTAAAAGGAAGGTAGAAAGCAAAGGAGGAGAAAGAAAATACTGGTGTCTAAAATAAAAATAAATTAAAAATTTTATTCAAAATGAAATAATTATTGTTAGCTAAATAAATACCTAAAAATCCTTTTAAAGACAATATATTGACTCAGAGGAGCAAATCTTTGAGTGTCTCATTTCTTAAACCTCCTCCCTCCCCCACCCCCCATCCTGTGTGACTTCTCTTCAGCTGGACTTACATCACTGACTTGCTGCGTGTTTTGCTTTGCTTGGACCATAACTGGGGAGTCCACAACGCTGGTAAATTTGAGTGTGTCTGGATGTTGCCTATACTTCTTTTCATTTAGGGCTTCGCCTGCTTTTTTGACTTTTTCCACGTCAAGACTGCCAATAGGTATCCAGCCAATGCCTTTCATCCAGGTGTTGTAATCTTCCTTATAGGCATTCTGCAGTAAAGAAAACCAGTGGGGTGAGCATTGCAGGCCCTACCATGGGCTCTGTCTCAACAGACTCTGATCTGTGGGGAGTGGGGCAGTCTAGTAGAGTCAATGTCACTTACATCACTCTGTATGTGCATCATGTTTTTAGACAACTCCAGGTCCATGGCATCAGGCAGGTAGGTGTAATGGTGGAGCTGATGCTTATAGTTGGCATTGCTGACCATATCCTGAGCTTTCCTAGCTGCCACCACGTTGAACATATCATGGGGTGTGTTGTATTTCGTCTTTGTTTTCTCATAGTCTTTCTTATATTCTCGGTCTGACTGTAACTTGGCCACATTCATGTAATGAACCAGTTTAGGATCATCTTGGAGACTTTGGAAGCCAACCATTTTCCCTTTGGCTTTTTCAAAATCCTTTTTGTACTGAACCTATTGGGGAACAAAGACGGACATATTTTTTAAGATGTCTTAAATACTTAATATTTTATTAATGAGACCGTGGTTAGATCCATTGAGTGTCCCCAAAATTAATTTCAATAATCAAGTTATATATTCACTTATACCTAATTTAAGATGTAACCTGATAAAATAAAAATGTGATTTTGATCCTATTTAATTGCCTGTGGCTTCTACCACTTAAGAGAGATTTGAATGAGGATGTCAGTAGCTGACAGAAGGCTATTAAATTAGTGGTAAAATTTTAGTAGGGCTAGATGTGATGGTGGTAGTAGAAATACTCGCTATTCAGAGGGCAACCCAGAGCTGGTAGTGGGTTAATAATACAAATTCATTCTGAATAATTTAGTGAGGAAGGGCCCATCCTTAGGGAGACCTGGAGAGAAACCCAGAAGACTCAGAATTGTGTCCTTATTGAGACAGCAGGGTCCAATGGGGGAAAGGGTGGTTTGGTTAGAACAACCCACAGATAAAGGGGTTCAGAAGAGTTCTCTTAAGACACATCCATGTATTACTTGATCATAGCATGTTTTCATTCATATAATACAGACTTTGTTCTTAGATCATCAGTGAAGTCATGCCTATGTTCTGGGGGGAGGCATAGCTAGGATTCTGATCTATCTCAGGATCATGCAAAACAAAAAGAGACATAAACCCATGAGAGGTTACAGTAAGTCCAGGTAAGCCCAAGAAAAGCCACTCTGTGCTGATTACTGGGAGCTCGAAGTAATCAGAAAAATATGAAGCACCAAGGATCTGCAGAAATCACAAGTAATAGCACATAGGGGCTTGCTTCTGTCTTATTTAAATCTTATTTTAGCTCATATCTGGGTTAGAGTAAGACAGGAAAAAAACACAATTCCTCTCCATAATGGACCCTAAAGACCAACACTTAGGGTCTGTCTGCAGAAGCAATGAAATATAAGCAGCAGAGAGCGAAATGAGAGAAAGAGAAATTCACCTACATTAAGCAAGTTTTGAGACAAAATTACCACCAGGAGATCATTATGACTTATCTGGTAATTCACTCCTTTATTTCCATGAGAAAAAAATGATGTGAATTCATGCAGACATGCAAAAAGAATTTTAAACTAGAGGACTCAATTATAACTAATCAGGAAAGGTTCTACCAACCTTTCGAGCAAGAAAATTCACATCTGTTTAGGGAAGTTTCCTGCCCAGTTTTGGAGCAAAATTTCTTTCAGTTGAGGACAATAACCATTGAGGCTTCAGAGCAGCCTGGTAAGATGCCCCAGATCCCCCATTCTTGTTTATTGTGGTCACATTGCCAACCCTGTCCTCCCCCCCTCCCCCCCCCCCCACACCAAACCCCAGTGGCACTCACGTCACTTGCTGCCTGTCTGGCAGCTTTGGCAGCTTTGATGGGAATGGCATCTGTTCTCAGATCATATCCCTTCTTGCTCATGTCTTTCAAGTCAGCTTTGTACATATTCTGCAAGAAAGTGTCATTGAAATATCACTCAGAGGCGGCCCTTGGCAAAGGCAACCCCAGGTCATCGCTCTTTGCGTTCACACACGCACCTCACTGATGTTGTAGGCATTCACTTTAGCCTGAATGAACTGGGGCAGGTCGGCAGGCAGGCTGTATTTGTGGAGCATTTCCTCTCCTTTGGCTTTGTAGACAATCTGGAAGAGAAGGAGCGTGTAGACATAAACACACACTATCAGGGTATCAGGATATGCCAGGGCTGACGGTGGGGCATAGATGTGATTTTTATGATAAAACAATCTGTGCTCTCCTCCTTCTCATTTGCAAATATTTATGTCTCATATGCTAATGCAGCAGGTCCCATATGAGTGCTCATACAGGTTGACAAAGGTAGGTTCTTGGAACCTCTGGATAGGTATGTGTCCCTTATAAAAGTCAGTTCAGTTTACTGAGTCAATGGGAATGAATGTGATATCTTGCCTGTCATGCAGGATAAAAGCTCATAGTGGAGGACACATCCACCACCTGTGTTGTACTTGGCAAAAGACTAAGGGTAGATTATACTATATGATCTTTAATTTGGCTCTAACTTAAAATATAACTCTCCAATATGGTTTAGTGCCTTTCCTAGAAGTAGGGTCGAAGTGATTGCCATCAAGTGCATCTCTCTTAGGTTTTTCCTGAAAACAAGGTCAAATGGCTAAAAGGCCAGTCAGCATAATATATCCAATACTTTAAAGTATATCCAATACTTTAAAGTTAATATATTTATCCAATATATCCAAAAAGGTCAAATGGCTAAAAGGCCAGTCAGCATAATATATACAGTACTTTAAAATATATCCAATACTTTAAAGCCAATACCTAGGCAAACTTTTAAGTGAAAATCTGGTCCATTACTCATGTAATTATTTTATATAAAAATTGCTACAGTATATAATAACTATGTGTGGCACAAAATCTATTTATATTAGTTAGCATTAAAATACAGACAGGAATAGACTTACATCACTCCTCTGAGCCTGGTTAATCTTAGACTGTACTGTAATAGGAGCGTCTTCAATGGATGTAAACTTGAGAGTATCTGGATGCTGGCGATATTTTTTCTGTTTGGTGAATTACAAAGAGAAAATAAATACAGTAGCATTACTTTCATTGAATTAATTTTTTCAAAATCTTGAAATTTATATCAGATGGATAAGAATATTTCCTAATTAAAAAATGTAAAAACATTAAATGCTTGGTTTGTTTTGGGGGAAATAAATACAATAACAAAAAAACAGTATTTAAATATTTAACTTAATTCATTCAATAGGATATATGATCGGGGCTGGAGTGATAGCATGGCGGGTAGGGCATCTGCCTTGCACGTGGCTGACCCAGGTTTGATTCCCAGCATCCCATATGCTTCCCCAAGCACTGCCAAGAGTAATTCCTGAGTGCATGAGCCAGGAGTAACCCCTGTGCATCGTCGGATGTAACCAAAAAAGTTAAAAAGAATTTTTTAATTTTTAAGAAAGGATATATCACCTTCATGTTTATTGCAACATAATTTACAATACCTAAGATCTGGAAACAACACATGTCCCTAACAACCAATGAGTGGATAAAAAGATGTGGTCCATGTACACAATGGAATGCTCTTCTGTTATTAGAATAGATAAAATCTTTTTTTGTGACAACAGGGATGGAACTGGAGGGCGTGAAGTTAGAAAATGTAGGTCAGAAGAAAGATAAATATGTATGACTTCACAAAATATAGGATATAAAACAACAAAGCAGATGCAGGGACCAAACCAATCCTTGGATTTGGATCACAGAACTGAAGTTTTGGAGTATTGGGGAGGCTTGAAGAATAAAATGGTAGAGGGGTGCCGACTTACTTATAAAGAGGTATGAAAAAAGCACTCTGAAACATTCAATAATGTGAACCAGTGTCACCTGAATTAAAAATGTTCTAATAAATAAATCATTGATTTAATTTTTCATTATTTGGGGACCAAGACAACCTATAGGAAGATTTTGTTCTCTTTGTCCCTTGCCATAGCATGAACCAGGGCATGTTCTACAAGGTCTAGAAATATCATAAAATTTTCTAAAGGATAAATGTAAAGCAAGCAAAGATATTTGGAGTGTCTTTGCATGACATTAAAAAATTCTCAGGAAAGTCATTTCCCCTGTCACTTCATCGGTGACAGAAGTAAATAAGTAACTAAGAGGAGGAAAAATTATAGAGACAGAAAATAAGATCACTGGTTGCCTGAGGTTGAATTAGAGTGGCAACTTTTAAAGGGAAATTCTGAAAGTCCCTTTTTCAATTGTGAGAGCTGTATAACTATGTGATTGATTTTCAATTTGTCAAGTGACATACTTGATAAATAGATGAACTTTACAGCATACAAATGGATCTCATAAAGCTGATAAAAATAGTTCTACAATGAATGGTACACATAAACTATTTTGGTGATACAAATAAGTATGCTTTGCAGGCTGCAGAGATAGTACAAGGGGTAAGGTTTGATCCCTGTCATCTCTTACAGCACCCCAAGTACTTCCAGAAGTAATTTCTGAGTGCAGAGTCAGGAATAATTCCTGAGCATTGTCAGGGTAATACACACCTACACACCCCCAAAAGAAGTATTCTTTGGTCCAGAGAATTAGTGCAAGGGTTATAGCACATGCCTTGCATGCAGCAAAGCCCAGTTCAATCCCCAGAACTACATGGTTTTAAACTGGAGAAATTCTGAGCACTGCTGGGGTGGCAGAGGTAATCCCCAGCATTGCAGGGTCCAAGGAGCACTACATCTTCATCCCAAGCATTGAATCTTCTGGAAAGGACTTCCAGTATTCCTGAGAACTGCTTAGGTGCAGATCTGAAATGAAGTATTCTCTCCCTGGATACTATATTCATGTGGTAGGATTTTTTTCACCCAGCAATCACTGGAATAGAGAAGTTCCCATGGACACCTCTCTTAGAATGAATCTGTGACATATTCACGAATGTCTCTGTGCCACACACTGGCCTTACCTCATTAAGGATCTCTGAAGCTCGTTTTGCCTTTTCCATTTCTAAGGACCCAAAAGGCACCCAGCCACAGCCTTTCATCCAACTGTTGTAGTCAGCTTTGTATTCAACCTAAAAACCAAGAAGACAGTTATATTTCCTTGTTCAGCACCACCTTTATTCATAAAATTATTAACCTTTTACCCAAAACTATTGTCTTTAAATTTTCTGACTAATTTCATCACTCCATAAATTCAAGTTATTTTTAATGTTTCCTTGGTGAGAGATTTTAGGATCACTTTTTGTCATTCTTATGTTATGTTTCACCCTTATTTCCATCTAAATGAAAGAATATGGAACTCTAAAGCCCTTCTGGACAAATGCCACATTCAAAGCTGTATCTCAAGGAATAAATAAAATTGCTACATGCAGACAAATATGAAATATTTTTGTCACTTGAATGCTAAGTAGTGTGCTAGAAATTTGGACTGAAAACCACATTGAAGGCAAACAATTCTGTTTGTTTTCAGATTAAATAAAAATCCACATTACATGTACTGTTTGCTTCCCATCCCCTCCTGTGTAATGATTAGCTTAGGCATGTTTCTACATTAGCTTATTATATATCAGGGATCAAATGCAAGAATTCATATGTGCAACACAAGCACTCTATCACTGATCCACTTTCATGACCTTTGAAAGTGCAATGATGCATTTTAAAAGAGTTGCATTCATTGACTGATTTACAGGAAGCAGTTATCATTTAAAATCAGTCCTGTCTGGGGGACAGTTACATGATGCTACTAAAATGATGAGTTATACTTGCTGTCTGACAATAAGTGGTTCCAAATGTTTATAGGCTCTATACAAAACTTACATTTTTATTCTTTAGTGTGTGGGCCTTTTAATTAGAATAAAAAATTAAGAAGCCATTTGAGAGGCTTATGTTTCATTTAGAGGAAAGTAAATAATAAACAAATAAATAAGATAAAAATGTATTGAATGATAAAATTGTACAGCTACTATAAAAATAGTGTGACGATTCCTCAAAAAAATTAAAAATAGGTAGAATATTGAATGCCTAAAATTCTGGCATCTTAAATATTAAATTATTTTATAAATTTTAATGAATAAATAAAAGAAAAAATTAAAATATTATTTGCTATCTGATCAAGCTATAAGATCAACTATTATAAGATCAAGCAATTTCACTCAAATGAATTAAAAACAAAATCTCCAAGATATATTTATATACCCATGTTCAAAGGAACATTTTTTTTTGTTTTTTGGGCCATACACAGCACTGCTCAGGGGTTACTCCTGGCTCTGCTCAAAAATTATGCCTGGTGGTGCTTTGGGTACCATTTGGGATGCCAGGGATCGAACCCAGGCTGGGCACATGCAAGGTAAGTGCCCTACCAGCAGCAATATCCCTCTAGCCCTAAGGCAACATTTTTAATACTAGACAAAAAGAAATAGTTCAAATATCCACTAACAGATGGATGGAAAACAAAACAACTTATACTCACAAAGAAATGACATTTGATATAAAAGAGGGAAAAAAGTCTCATTCATGCTAAAACAGCAATAAACCCTGAAGACAATTTGCTAAGTGAAATAATACCACATATGTCCACTTATATGTGGTCTCTTGGGTTGTTCACTTATAGACACAGAAAGCAGAAAGTTCCCAAGGGCAGAGGGGAGGAGAAACTGAAAAACTATTTTTAATGTTTTAGAAGTTTCACTTTTGTAAGATGAAATGTTGCAAAAAGTTACAATTTCAATGGGAATGTAATTGACTATGACTGATCGGTACACTTAAACTAGTAAAAAATGATGAGTGTAATGTTATACACATTTTACCACATTAAAAAATAGTAATCCAGGAAAAAAAACAGTAATCCAGAGGCTGGAGTGGTAGCACAGCGGGTAGGGCATTTGCCTTGTACGCAGCCAAACTGGGTTCAATTCCCAGCATCCCATTATGGTCCCCCGAGCACTGCCAGGAGTAATTCCTGAGTGCATGAGCCAGGAGTAACCCCTGTGCAAGGCCGGGTATGACCCCAAAATAAAAAAAATGGTAATTGGAATAAAGTACTCAATTGTATACCTCAAACAAATTAACTTTCTTCAAAATGTTTTGATTTGCAAAAAATTGTCTACAGTAAAAGATGAAATTTTCTCTTCACTCAACATAGAAATCCACATAAAATTGGTTGACAATAATGTGATAATTATGAGAATAATAAAATTATGGCTAAAATGGAAGTGAATATTCATTGATAACCCACCAGGGAGAAGCACTGGGACTAAGTATTTTGGATGTATTGAAATCCTCAAAGCAATTCTTTGTCTCATTCAAGTTTTACAAAGGGGGTTCTAGACTCAGCAAGACTGACAACTTTCCCAGTGGGGATCAGATCCAAGAGTCTCTGACTGTGAAGGATAAGTGCTTCCACAAGCACCTGGGTGAAATGTAACTTCCTACGTTTAAATAACACTGCAAATACAACAGAGAACTGCCAAAACATCATTGATCATTTTTTCACTTCCTACTTTCAAGAGAGAACATCAAGAAAATCTAGTTACTCACATCGCTCTGCAATGCATAAGCCTTCTTGGCGAGGTCCACGTTGATGCTATCGGGAGGGAAGCTGTAATTGTGTAAGACGTGCTTGTAGTCCACGTCACTGACCATTGCCTGACACTTCTTAGCCTGAGTGACCTGCAGCATATCTAGAGGTGCTGTGTAGATGGTTTTTGACTTTTCATAGTCTTTACGATATTCACGCTGTAAACAAGAAATTGCTAATATTACCACAGACCCTCACTTAGCTTCCAGAAAAGTACAGAGATCTCTAACCAGTCATAAATAAAAGTTAAAGAAACATCCAAAAATATAAGTAATTACTGTTTCCTAAAATTCAATGTTACATATCAAACCTATCCAAAATCAAACAAGGAAAGATTTTTTCAGACCTCTACAGTCAAAGAGTAACTGTCAGATCGTGAAAATGAGTCACAGCTTCTGCTTCAATCAGGGATAGGTTCTTAAACAAAGTAGTTTAAGACCACTAGCAAAGGCTTCTCTTCTTTCTTTTTTAAAAAATTTTATTGAATCACCGTGAGCAAGGCTTATTTTCACTAACCTAGTCTTCCAACAAAAATGGTGGGTTTTAGCACCCAAAAGGAGAGATAGAACAAAAGGGAGTGCCGGCACCTGCCACAGAGGCAGGGTCGGGGGGTGGGAGGGATACTGGAATTGGTGCGGGTGGGGAATGGGCACTGGTGGTGGGATGTGTACCCGATCATTGTATAAATGAAACCCAAACACAACAACTTGTAAGTCTACAACTGTGCCTCATGGTGTTTCACTAATAAAACAAAAACAAACAAACAAAAAAATGGTGGTTTTTTTGATGGTTTGGGTTTTTTTTTTGTTTGTTTGTTTGCTTTTGTTTTTGTTTTTGGGCTCAGGGGTTACTCCTGGCTCTGCACTCAAGAATCACTCCTGGCAGTGCACAAGGGACTGTATGGGATGCCAGGGATCAAACCTGGGTCAGCTGTGAGCAAGGCAAGTGCTCACCTACTGCATTATCTCTCCAACCCCAAGAAGTATTTTTAATCAACAATAATCATATGAGAACCATTCTATATGCCTGATCCTATAAAATGACTTCTACATAAATTCACCTGACTTCTTCACTTTTCCAAAGTATCTTTAAATGGATAGTCACTGATTTTTTTTCAGCCTCACTATTCTACTTTTGACTGTGGACAAGTCCCACTGAGAATGAAGAGTTTTTCATTCGAGTTTAATTTTGGCACCAATTTAAAAGACGCTTCTGACTGCAGTAGTTATAAGATCTCAAAGGAGAAAAGTTTGTGAAACTGAACCATTAAAATAACCTTGGCTCTAACTTACAGTGTTCTCTTAAACCAAATGTCCTGACTGGGCCTCAGAAGGCTCATTCACTGGCTGGATTTCTGGAATGGTTAGGCGGGGGCTAATTGGGTCAAAGTTTCAGCTTCATCATGTCCACTCACCAATTACCTTAATGAAGGCAAGAGTTCGACCCAGAGGCCTTAGGAAAATTCTAAGCCCATTTTGTCTTCCCACAATCACATTAAGTGTTAAAGATAGTGACTGAGGCTGCATGCATAAATGTGAGTCATAAATCTATGATAGACAGCCCTTTGTTAAATAGTTCCACCTTTTAACTTTCTTAGGCAGTATGATCTGTCTTCTAGAATTTTGTGGGTAGTCACTTTTACTAAATAAGTCTATTACTTAATTTTAAACTATATATCCTAGTTTATGAAGATAAAATATGACAACATTCTAATAGCATGCAAGAATACCAAATAAATTAATATAATTTGTCTTTATTTAAAAATAAACTGATTAGACAATATTGCAAAAGCAGGTAGTGCATGTGTTTTGACTAAATTTTTAAATCTTTTTTTTTCATGTTCATATCGCTCATATAAAATGTTTTTGAAGACCCAAAGGACTTTCAATTTTCATTTTTAAGAGAAGTATTTTCTATATTTGCTGATTACCATTTGGAAATATTATGCAAGAATGATTCATCTATTTTAGCAGCAATATCAATAAATGAACAGGGTTTTGTTGAACAATAATATGTCTAATATTCCAAGGTATCCTTTGATAGAATGAAAAGCACAGATAAAGATACAAGTGCTATCAGCTGGCAGCTATACTCTTCTTAAACTGAGCATAGAAAAAGAAATAGTAAACAAGATAGTGCTTTATATATATGAGCACTCTATATCCTATATTGACATAAATCAGTAGGAAGATAGTAGGAAAAAGTATTGAACTGATATTCAATTGCTACGGATTGTGTAATACATACAAATGAGTTTTAAAGGTCATGTATTAATTATTATATGAAGACAGTTAAATTCTAAGTAAATGATACAAATACTATTTCATTGTGAAAAGTTAATAATTTCTTTTTACAAGGGAGTCCCTGAAAATGCAGTGCATATTGTAATCTGCAGTGATAGATGGTTCCATATGCCTAAAACAGTAACAAGAAGTCTCACAATGGAGACATTGCTGGTGCCCCCGCTCGAGCAAATTGATAAATAACAGGAGGTCATGGAACTACAGTGCTCCATGGAGCCTACAAGATGTAGAATATTTTACTAGAACAAGGGCCAATGCTAATTAATCTGGTGAGTAAAAAGTGAAAACTGTACCAAGATTTTTATATAGGAATCAGGATTCTTTCAAAATAAAAAGTTTCATAACCATTATTTTAAGAGCTACTTTTTCAATTACAAGAAAATGTGGAAACTTCCAGTGATACTTTCCAAAAGGTAACAAGAATTACAATCCTACTCTAATAAGTGTTAGTATCCACAGTTGAAAAACTGAAATGACATGAATTATAGATCATAATCTCTCTCCAGTGTGAGAGTTTTAGAATCCGAGGAACCCTACTTGTCAAATGTTCCCTAGCAATTTGCTGTTGTAAATATGAAAAAGCCATGGATTTGAAATCCTTTGATATGTCACTGTCATGGGTCCTACAAGCAGGATGCCATCTCGGAAACAAGACAGATTGAGCAAACACTCACGTCGCTCTGGTTTTTAGCCGTCTTCAAAGAGTGCAGCATCTTGGGATCATCGTTAATACTGAGCGCACCGATCATTTTCCCTTTGTTTTTCTCATAGTCTCTCTTGTACATCACCTGAAAAAACAACACCCCTGTGAGATACCACCTACCAGAACACATGGCTGAGGGTCCCCTGAACCCTGGTCTCACTCACATCACTAGTGTTCTTGCTGTTGGCTTTGGCTGCCAGCAGAGGTATGGCATCCATTTTAATGTCGAACTTCTTAGCCTTGCTCTTCTCCCAGTCTTGTTTATAAATATTCTGGACAGAAAAAAATATTCAACAAGAGATTAATAAGCACAAGGTATAATAAAAATTCATCTGGGGAAAAAAGTAAAAAGTTAATTATATCTATATAATACACTCACAGTCATGTAGCATAAAAGGAGGTTTTGGTCAAGGAAGAACCCACATACAACTGGAATCCCTATATAAAGCTCTTAGCTGTAGATAAGATTTTTAGATGATATTATCTAGATTCTTATTATCTTATTATCTCATTCTTATTATCTTATTATCCCATATCTTATTATCATATCTTATTATCTCATAGACATCTTATTATCTCATTCTTACTTTGGACAAACTGGCAGGCAACCGAATGTAAACTGCTCACACTGCAGAGTCTGGCAAACTCCCTGTGGCGTACTCAATGTGCCAAATACCAGTCACAATGATGAGTCTCATTCTTCTAACCCTGAAAGCGCCTTGAATATGGAACTTTTTAAAAAATCTCAGGGCTAGGATGAAGGAGACGTTACTGGGGCCTGCTCGAGGCAATTGACGAACAACAGGATGGTCGTGATCGTGATTGTGATCATCTAGATTCATGCCATTGCACTCTATGAAGTTCACACAGTGAACACAATTCAGTTGTGCTAAATGATACTGTGACTATTTGATTTATCCACTTCTTCCCCTCCTACCCTAACCATATTATTTATTGTTCTTTGAATACATACACGAATATAGAATACAGCATAGAATTTACTATGAACTTTCTGACAAAACTGCTATTCCTCATATGTAAAAGCTAATATTAAACGACTACTTGGAAAAAGTAAAACAGACATTTACACAGTAGAAATCCTGCAAAACTCTAGGAATCTATGGAATTGAGGGGCTGTTTGTGATACTAACAGAGAACACAGTAAATGAAATCTGATAACAGGTTAAAATTAAAAGTTGAAAACATCTAAGCCTTAAAAGCCACACTAGTAATTTGATAACAACCTGATAACCAGGTTGTTATAAAATCTGTTACCCAGGTTAAAATTGAAAGTTGAAAACATCTAGGCCTTAAAAGCTACACTTGTAATTTGATAATAACCTCAATAATTATATATTTGCACATCTCCTACTCTTGTCTTCTGTTTTGTTTGAGGACCATACCTGGTGATGCTCAGGGAAACTCCTCCCTCCGTGCTGAAGTAATTACACAATTCTAGAGTTTGAACCCAGTATTCCCATATGCAAAGCAGACAATTGACCAATTGTGCTATCTCAACTGAGCCCTTTATCTGATCTCTTTAAGCACTGGTGTTGCCTCTTTGCAAGTACAGACAGAAGTGAGTTTCTGTGGGTTTTGTACTTACATCACTCAGGTTATAGGCATTGACTTTGTGTTGGATAAACTCTGGAGCATCTGCTGGTACATTACACTTGAACTTCTCGCCTTCGTGTTTTGCTTTATAATTCAGCTGAAAAAAGAGCACAGGATCACCAAACTGATTCTGGCAGGAACTTCCTTAAAAATGTGTAGGAAAACATGCGTATCTAATTCATTATCACCCTTTTTAGAAAATGTCTGCCAAAAAGTAAACACTTGAGTCCAAATCTAGTACAAGAATTGTGGTACAGGGGGCTGGAGCAATAGCACAGCGGGTAGGGTGTTTGCCTTGCACATGGCCGACCTGGGTTCGAGTCCCAGCATCCCATATGGTCCCCCGAGCACTGCCAGGAGTGATTCCTGAGTGCAAAGCCAGAAGTAACCCCTGAGCATCACCGGGTATGACCCAAATGGAAAAAAAAAGAACTGTGGTAAACAAAACTTTGGGTTGTTATTTTGTAAATGTTGTTATATATATGATTTATATGTGACTATTGATTTACTCATTTCTTCCCCTTCTGCCCTAACCATAGTATATAACAAATAAGTTATAAATATATATATGAAAATATAATTTGTTTTAAATTTCTAGATTATACCTTGAGATCATGACATCTATAAAGTTACAAAGTTTTATAACCAAAGCACTAGTAAATGTAGTAAAATAGCAAAAACAAAAGTAACTCTCAGTAAAATACTAGAACAGTATAAAATATATGCAAATTATTAACTCATAGAATTATAAACACAAAATATGACATTGAATATTAGAAAGATGATATTAGGCAAAAGGAAAAGATGGTGGCTGTTAAATTTTAGAGTTAAAGGCAAATTCACAAGATTGAACAGAGCTGATTATGCAATAAGCAACTCCAAAGGGAAATCTAACCAGGGCAACGAGAGGAGTACACAGGCCCTAGAAATAGCACTGCGTTTCTCTGCAACTTGCCACATTCAATTGTGTTAGTGAAGTTGATATTTGACTGATCTTTCTTGGTGCTACAAATATGTCTGTGTGCAGTTTGCACATTGTCCCCATGTTTGGGTACATAGCAGGTGCTCTAGGTTCCTCTACATCCCAAATTGTGCACATTAAATTAACAGCAGATGTAGATTGTCCCAGTCTGTCCGAGTATAACTATGTGTTAGTGTGCCCTGAGATGCAAAGACATCCTATCCAGAATTGGTTCTTTCCTTGTTCTGTGAGGTGGTTTTGTTCACCAACAGCCCTGATGTGGAATAAGAGCAATGGAAAGTGAATGAATGAATGCAAATTGTTGTTTAATATTAGAAACATATGGAAGTCATTCAAGTTTGGTGGTGTTTTCTGTAATCAGAAATATGATGAAGGAACTTAACTCTATTATTTATATTGATTAGCTCATGGTAAAATTGGTCCCATTAGATATATTTTGATTTAAAGCCATAGTACAACTACTTATTGAGAAAAGTGAGGATCCATTAGACTATGTTTTTCTTTCCTAGGATGCACGTGTTCACACCTTAACACTGATATATAGTCCTACCCACCCCAACTTGGTACTTTGTTGACATCACCTAGGAGCTTACTAGAGAGTCAAAATAGTGACTCCCTCCACTATTCTGACTCAAAATCCACATTCTTTTTTTTAAAACATGGGAGCTATTTATTGGAAATTCAAATCAGATAACTTACATTTTACACAGAACAACAATAGTGATCTCCCAGGTTCAGAGAGAGGTAAAAAAAAAAATTTTAACTTTTATTAGTGAAACACCATGAGGTACAGTTGTAGACTAACAAATTTTTGTGCTTGGGTTTCAGTTATACAATGATTGAGTACCTATCCCTCCCCCAGTGCCCATTCTCCACCACCAATGATCCCAGTATCCCTCTCTCCAATCCCCCCCTCATCCCACCCCGCCTCTGTGGCTGGGCATTTACTTTTGTTCTCTCTCTCTCCTTTTGGGTGTTGTGGTTTGCAGAAGAGGCATTGAGTGGCAATCATGTTCGGTCTATAGTCTACTTTCAGCATGCATCTCCCATCCTGGGAGGATCCTCCCAGCACCCTTTACTTGGTGCTCCCTTCTCTATCTGAGCTGCCTTTTCCCCTAGCATGTGCGGCTGGCCTCCAAATCCACATTCTAACAGGACCACTGGTGACCCACAAAGCCATGAGTATTTGAGAAGCACTGTTGCTCTTCCTCAAATCTAGCATGGCAGTCTGGTCTGTTCCCCGCCTTCTTTAACCACCCAAGCAGTCACTCTCTCATATGAACCTATTTCAGTTCTTCACAATCATCTTATGATCATTTTCTGATTATTGATGCCCATATTGTTTCTGTGCTCTTTTAATTTTGTAAAATCTTTGTGAGCAAACCGAAGAAAGGGAAGTGTTTGCCCTGTTAACTACCCAATTTGATGTATTTGTTGTGTTTGACAATTGTGAAGATGCCAGGAAGTTTTAATCTGAATTCTCTTTAGTATGTGACAGATACTAATGAGCAAATTCACGTTAAGGTCCCTAAGTAATTGAATAATTACTATTAGTATGAGTGTTGGGCACTCTTTTGCTTGAAGTGACAATTCAATCTAATAACTTCATTTGCATTTTATTTTATAAATCTTTTTTAAAATGATGTGATAATAGCTGAGGCTGTAAAGTTTAAGCTTGCAATCCTTGTCTTTCAATCAAGCACTCTGGGTTACCCATGCATGCATAAATAATGACACTTACGTCACTAAGCTGTTTTGTGTTGAGTTGGGCTTGCAGTAATACAGGAGAATCAGTAACAACCGTGAATTTTGTTTTATCTGGATGGACTTTGTAGGTGTGCTAAAAAAAAGATGTTTTTTAATTAAATTTTATAATTCAACTTTATATTGTTCATATGTACCTACTATATAAGAAAATCCTTCTAGTCAAAAATAAAGCTTATTTTGTTCCTAAAAACTTGATTACTCTGTTCTCACCACCATTCTGTCTCTCTCACTTTCTCTTTCTCTCTTCATCCCCTCTCTGCATCTCTCCTCATCTATCTTTCTGAACTTGTTTCTAAACTGTTTTTCTTACTACAATTCGCCGATCAAATTAACCTTCTCCCTTGTTTGTGCAGTGGCTCTCCACTGAACTTGTCATTTGATCAAATTGTATTTTGGCTTTTGAGGCTCACACTAGAGAATATACCCCCTTATTTATCTCCTATCAATTCACTTTTGACCACTGGCCCATTTCTACTATCTGCCTCATCTTTCCAAGGCTAGACCAGGGAAGACAGTCCCAAGGGCTGGAGCACATGCTTTGCTGAGTTTGGTCCTTTACTTCATTGCCACCCAGCCATGGCAGGATTCTGAGCAGCACACTATGAGGAATGCTCCAAACCAAATCCTTAAATGCCAAGCTTTTTCTCTCCTTAGGCTGTTCTTCCTGCTTCTTTCTCTGACCTGGGCATACCCACTTATTTCTTCCTTAGATGGTCCTTGATCACTTGTCCTATAGTCCTATGCCATCTCTCTCCCATGTCATCCTATGTTAATCCAGGAGCAACATTCCAAGTTTGTTGACTGTTATCTTTTTGCTTACATGGATGCTACTAGCTAACTCTCTCCTTCAAATGCAGACTGAACATGAGGCAACCCACTTTATTCCTTGTCTTTCCCAGCACCAAGGACAGCGTCAGACACAGTTTGTCCCCATACGCCAATTTGCATACCTTACGATATCCAAAGTTCCCCCCTTTCTTAAAGTTCTGTGTAAATAAACTAATGGAAACAATGACTTATAAAACTGTAAATTATTCTGTAACAAATAATGCTTCTGCAACAGTAATTTTTGGGGCCCTCAATTCTACCCCCAAGTTCAATTTTTTTATTTACATTTCCTAACCACTAGATGTTAGCATTTAAACACCCGCTAAATTTACCACTAGGTGGCACAAGAATTCCAAGCCCCATCTCCAGAATCCAGGGCAGCTCACTTACATCTTTGCACTGGTCTAGCTTCTTGATTGCTTCATATTCTTGCGTTATTGTCTGAGGGAAATAGCATTTCCCTCTATCTTCTTCATATTCTGCTTTGTAATTTTTCTATAATAAGAAAGAACAAAATTAGTTTCTGATTGTTACTGCTCAGAGTGCCCCTGTGAGGCTCAAACAATTATCTTCAAACTTACATCACTGTTTTGAGCTGAGACTTTCATGCAATGCATTTCATATGGGTCCTCAAAGCTGCCTATGTAATGCCCCAAGACATTCTGGACATAAGAATCTTTATATTTAGCCTGGAAAAGAAAACACATGTGACTCAAACAGACAATGATTTTTCTAGCAGTAGGAAAGCCCTCCATCTCCAGGATAATCAAGGTATTTCAAACCTCACTGAAGGCCTTCAGCAGAGTGTCCAGCTGATATTTGGGGGTCTCACAGTAATTCATGCTCTTTGCCTTGGTTTTCTCATAATTTTCTTTGTATAATCTCTGCAAAAACAAACATAGAAAAAAGATCGAAAGGTACATCTCTTGGTGAAAAAAAAAGTGATTTGTGCCATTGCTATAATTTAACCCAAAGAATAATTTTAAGTGTTTATTTTCCACAAAGCAACAGTATAAAGGATCATGTTTTGCATAGCCTCGTTAATTAATAACCATACAGATGTTTGTTACTTATTCTAGTATTCTATATCTGAATATATCAGGACACATGGTTACTGCTGTCCAAAGCAGCTATTTTTCATTTGGCTTTGGGGGTTCAGGGGAGTGGGGCTACTCCAGGTTTGTTGCTTGGAGTTCTGCTCCTGGGCATGTTCAAGGGATCATGTAGTGTCAAGGCCAGAACCCTGGCCTAGCAAGAAACTTTTTTGTGTGTGTTTAAAGCAAGATAATTTTTTGTTTCCAACTATTGCATGAAACTTATTTAGAAAGATGTGAGGGGGAAAAAAGAGGAAGAACATAATCAAGAGAGAAAAAAGGCTTCCCCAGAATAGAAAAAGCAGGCAAAGAGACATAGATACAAGTGACGAGATATCTGTTCGAGAACACGAACTTGAAGAGCAGGCACCAAATAATTTATTGTCGATGCTGTTTGGGGCCAGACCCAGTGATGCTCAGGACTTACTCCTGGCTCTGTACCCAGGAATCATTCCTGGAGGACTTGAGGGGCCTTATGGGATGCCAGGGATGACATCAGGGTTGGTCACATGCAGGGCTAACACATTACCCACTGTACTAACTCTCTGGCCCCAACCAGCATCTTTTTGGCATAAAAATAATCCTTTCCACTTGGTGCATTTGAAAGAAAGTGAACTTCAAAGAACTGACACAACATGAGATAAAAGTATAAGATGAACTTTTGATACTCAGGCACAGTTCTATATAAAAGTATTTAGCATTTGATGAAAACACATATTATAGCCACTCTGGAAGCTGGATTTTATTATTAAAACTAAAAATTTACTTTACAGAAAAAATACTGGAAAATATTTATTATATAAATATATTAAATTGTTTTCTTTTTTCTACATTTTTAATTATTATAGGAGTACTCTCAGTGGTTCTGGTGTAGTGGTTCTTTTATAATTGTTGTAGGGGCCAAACCAGTGGGGCTTGGGGAGGCTGATCTGGATGCTTGGGATTGAACACTGGGAAGGTGCTATAACCATGAGAGCCACACCCTGGACCAGCTCTAGTTTTTAATCCTTCCATATAAAAAATGCCATAGCATACCCATTAAAAAATAGGGATATTTGCAAATGATACAGAGTGGAGAACATTTCTTAGTTGCTATGAACTGGAAAATCAATTTATTTTATTTTTATAAGCATTTTACAGTCTTTATATTTATAGTGAAAGCAATATTTTTATAAAATCAAATGCTCTGTTTTTGAGGTTATACTTTCCTACAAGTTCTTCCTACTTAATGTATCTTTCGCCTGGTTTTCTCACTTCTTTTCAAATTTTTCTGTATGCATTCTTGCAGCACTTCTTGATTCAGGTCATGGCATGGAATGAATATATGTTTATATATAATGAGATACTGTGCCTAAGAAAAACTCTTGAAAACAACACTACTAATATGTTTGCCTCTGATTAGAACAAAGGTTATTAAGGTCACTAAGGGAAATTTTAGCCTATTCACTGGTATCTCAAAGTGCAAAGACATTTTAAGAATTATAATGAGATGAGTCATCCTTGACCCCATGGGCTTTCATGTTTGAGATATAATCCTGAATCTAAGATTTCATAAGAGCTAACTTCCCATTAAGGGTTCTATTAAACAGTAAATATGGTCCCATCTAAAAAGAAGTATGATTTAGCAAAGCACTCACGTCACTCTGGTTTTTGGCTGTCTTCAAAGAGTGCAGCATTTTGGGATCATCATTAATGCTGAGTGCTCCAATCATCTTCCCTTTGTTTTTCTCATAGTCTTTCTTGTACATCACCTGCAAAGACAGTACACGTGTCAGATTCTGCCTACCAAGAAACAGGGCTGAGGGTCCTCTGCCCAGACACCGTGGCCTCACTCACCTCACTGGTGTTTCTGCTGTTGGCTTTGGCTGCCAGCAAAGGAATGGCATCCACTTTAATGTCAAACTTTTTAGCTTTGGTTTTCTCCCAGTCTTGCTTATAGATATTCTGCACAGGAAAATTTTCACAAAGCCATCAGTTTAAAATGATGTGCATGGGGCTGGAGCGATAGCACAGCGGGTAGGGCATTTCCCTTGCACGCGGCCGACCCGGGTTCGATTCCCAGTGTCCCATATGGTCCCCTGAGCACCACCAGGAGTAATTCCTGAGTGCATGAGCCAGGAGTGACCCCTGTGCATTGCCGGGTGTGATCCAAAAAGCAAAAAAAAAAATGATGTGCATGCGGACATACATTAAAAATTAAAGGGTAACATGATACCTTGTCTTAATATCAAGGAAATGAGCCATTTCCATTGTTCAAGAAATCTAGGATAGTTTAGATCATTCTTCTCAAGCTGAGGCTTGATTATGAAGGATTTAAAGTTTTCTATTAAGATCTTATGAAGAATTAACTGAATTCTAATTATCGTACTAACATTTGATTCCTAACACTGTATATCTTATAGAGTGGGGAACGTATCTTATAGTTAATTTACTTTTTATGCTATGAAGCTTTCATTTGCTCTCAAAGTTCACTGCAAAGTTTATTTCATAAATCATTGCAATAATTATTGCCGCTAAGTACTTTTAGCACTTATCCATAAACTTTTTGAAGAAACTGGGACCTAGTCCCACATCCCTGCCCCCCTCACTAGGAACAATTTGACTTTCCTATAAATTCAATTTGGAAAGTGAAAGACTGAATAAATATTTGACTTTAGGCCTCTTGATTACCCTATTTATCAGTGCAACATTTTGTACATGTACTAATGAGCACTGGTTCTATGAAATAAAGAGCAATACAGATAGATCTACTGAATGGATAAAATGAACTTATATCTTTTGTTCTAAAACTTCAGATTCTGAAAGAAAAATAGTAATAGTATAATAAGGTTTAACTTAACATTTCCAATTAAACACACATTAGTGGTGGTATTTTGAAGGTCATTTTTGTTTGAATGGGCCACACACACTGATTTTCAGAGCTTACTCTTGGCTCAGCACTCACTCAGAAAAATTACTCCTGGTGGTAATTACTCAGTGTACCATATGGGATGCCAGGGATCTAGCCCAGGTTGGCCATGTACAAGGCAAGCAAGTGCCCTTCTGACTGTACAATCTTTCAGGCCCCAAAAGGAAGCATTGCTTTTTAGGTTTTGGAGTTTGTATTTTTTGAGCAACTCCCAGCAGTTCTCAAGGCTTACTCCTGGCTTTTTGCTCAGGGATCACTCTTGGTGGGCATGGCGTGGTTCAAACCCAGATCAAAGATATGCAAGGCAAATGCCTACCTGATGTACTATAGCTCTGCCTTTGAAGACTTATAAAATACATTTCAATGATCTGAATGTGTGAAGCAACTTAGAAAGAGGATTGCATACAATTTATACAGCAGATCCAAAGTTATATTGGCAGAGGTATAGGAACATGATCTTAACTGATCTTCCCAGCTCTAACAGGGAAATTATTATTTCATATTGCAATTCAAAAATGAAGGGCAGTCTGTGAGTATATCATATAGCAAAGCACATGTGCACTTACGTCACTCAGGTTGTAGGCGTTGACCTTGTGTTGTATGAGGGCAGGAGTGTCCGGGGGTATGTGGCACTTGAACTTTTCGCTTTCATGCTTTGCTTTGTAATTTAGCTAAGAGAGCCAGGGAGAGAGAAAGTTAGAGAGGCTACATGCCAGTTATCTCTGGAATACTGCGATATTCCTTCATACATTATGATTTGTTGATAATCTAATTAAATTTTCATGTGTGGCCATAATGGTCTTGTTTTTTATTGTTTTCACTTAATTTTCATTCAATACAAGGCTGAAAGTTCATTATTAAAACATATATGGTTCTAGACTATAGACCAAACATGATTGCCACCCATTGCCTCTTTTGCAAACCACAACACCCAATAGGAGAGAGAGAACAAAAGGGAATGCCCTGCCACAGAGGCAGGGTGGGATGGGGGGGATGGGGGGTGGGAGGGATACTGGGATCCGTGGTGGTAGGAAATGAGCACTGGTGAAGGGATGGGTATTTGATCATTGTATAATTGAAACCCAAGCACAAAAATTTGTAAGTCTACAACTGTACCTCATGGTGTCTCGCTAATAAAAATTAAAAAAAAAAACTTCTAGTGAAACAATACCTGAACTAGCTCACATAAATCCTTTATAAATATGAAAATAATATGGGAAGTAAAATAAAATCACATCAGCAAGAAAAAAACATATGGTTCAACTCATCTCAAAGGCCACATTTTTCTAAGAAATAATGGAAAAAATAATAGTAAGAGCAAGGAATCCTACATATTGGATGCCTGCTCATCAAGAGTTACATGCAGTGTATGGGAAGGTATTCAGTAGTGTACTGTGCATGTATGTCTTACTTTCCAAAACAACCGCACATTGTAAAAGGGAAAACTGAGACATGAAGCGGTCCGGTAATTTTTCTATTCTACCGTGTCACAAATGACAGAAGTGGAATTTGAATCCAACCTTGTTGGATCAGACAACTCATGTTCTTTCCACAGCATTAGGTTACATTTGTTTCCCTTGTGGAACCATGTTACTGTAATTGTTATCTACCTAAGAAGATGCAAGGCAGCTAAACAGGAAAACATTGCAACATTTCAAGTGTGTACGTGTGCATTAAATTTGGAAAAAACTTACATAGCCTTTTTTCATAACTGTAACAAGTCACTGGATTTTATGTTCAGAAGTATGTTATGTGCTTTATCAAAGTTCCTGGATATCTGTTTGCTTGCCTTTCTAAAGTCTGTGTTTTCTTTGGAACACATCTTCTTGTCTTTCTCCTAAACATCTTTCTAAGTAAATTTCATTCAGCAAGAACTATTTTGCTAAAACAACAACAAAAAAACTATATTGCTTCACTGGAAATACAAAAAAACAAAAAAGTTCCTGGCTATTTAGAGAAACTTACGTCACTCAGTTGTTTGGAGTTGACTTGGGCTTGCACCATAACAGGAGAGTCAGTAACTTGAGTGAATTTTGTTTTATCTGGATGGACTTTGTACGCATGCTGTTGGGGAAAAAGGGAATCAGGTTTAGCAGTATCACCTGATGATCCATGAGTCAATCAAGCAGAACCTCAGAACTAAAAGAAACTTCGAGTAAATAATTTTTTTACATATTACATTGCACTTTCTTAAATCAGGACAAAAAAACTTGTCCATATCTTCAGATTTCCAATAACAGAAAATCTTTTGGAAGCTGATCAAGAATTAACTCATGAAATACAGGGGTAAATAGCACATCTACAGCAGAACACACTTTTTGTTTATGGTTTCTTCATTTGCATCTATTTGTAAAGGGGTCAAAATTTTCAACATATCTTGAGTATGATGAGATGCTCTAGTGTAATAGTGTTCAAACTTCAGACTTACATCTTTACACTGATCCAGTTTCTTAATTGCTTCATATTCTTGAGTTATCGTCTGGGGGAAGAAGCATTTGCCTCTGTCCTCTTCATATTCTGCTTTGTAGTTTTTCTATGAATAAGGAAAAGATACAAAGAAGTAACAGTTGTTTTTATGCACCCCAAATATGTTGTTTAGCAAGTGAAGTAATTCTTTGAGCTTACATCGCTGTTTTGAGCTGTGACTTTCATGCAGTGAGTTTGATATGGATCCTCAAAGGTTCCGACGTAATGTCCCAAAACATTCTTTAAGTAGGAATCTCTATATTTTGCCTGAAAGACAAAACATATTTTATTAATTTTCTGACAAAATGATGGCTCTTTTCTTTCACAGAGGGGGTGACCCAGGGATGTCTTACATCACTACTGAAGTTCTGCAGAATTGTATCAAGCTGGAATTTGGGAGTCTCACAGTAATTTATGCTCTTTGCCTTGGTCTTCTCATAGTTTTCCTTGTAAAGTTTCTGTCAAAGAGAAAAAAACAATCCATTCAGTTTGATTCCTGTCACAACCACACTAGCTGTGACACTTGTACTTTCCAGCACTAAGTCAAGGGACAAGAAACAGGAGAGCAGTCAGCAACTGTCTGAAAAACTAACAAGCAATTACAATGCAGCAATTACTGTAAAACCAAAGTTGCTCACGTTGTGCAAAATAATAATAATAAGTAAAAATTGCTGCATCCAGCCAAGTGCTAGTGGTTGATGCTCTAGATTTCTCAATTGCTATCTTCTCCCTCTCCCAACCTACACAGCTCCTTTCACCTGAGATGCCACAAAACACAAGAATCTTCTTCTCTCAGAATTTTTTCATTTTTTAAAGCAAGCTTCCATTAAAACGTTTAGTACACAATGAGAAATACGCCAATGTCCCCCCTTCTGTTGTGGAAAATCCCTCATAATACAAACAGTAAATCTTAAAAATAAGGCTTGTGCATGTCGAAAGTAGACTATGGACTGAACATGTTTGCCACTCAATGCCTCTTTTGCAGACCACAACACCCAAAAGGAGAGAGAGAACACAGGGGATTGCCCTGCCACAGAGACAGGGGGGATGGGGGGGATGGGGGTGGGAGGGATATTATCCATGGTGGTGGAAAATGGGCACTGGTGGAGGGATGGGTATCTGATCATTGTATAATTGAAACCAAAGCACAAAAAATTGTAAATCTACAACTTAAAAAAAAATAAAATAAAATAAAGGGGAAAAAAAATAAGGCTTGTGCATGTGTGCACGCGCGCACACACACACACACACACAAGAACTCACATGTACTAAGTCTTAATTCTCTGGTAGGATTGATTTGGGCCCCAACAATATCAATCAATAAGCAACAATTATGTGTACAACCTATCAAACAGATAATTGCCATCTTTTATGCTGGGTTTGAAAGCTATAAATGGTGCTATTGGTTTTTAATATTTTCCTTTTCCTGTCTCTATCAACAAAGTGGATTTGAGTGCATGGGTTTTTTCTATGTGTGACAAGTGTGACTTTCATCAGAAAAGAGGAAATATGCTCCACATTGGTTTCCAGCAGAATCGTAGCTACATCCACTTACACTGTCTCACCTGTCACATGTCTCACCCACCCCTCAATCACATGTGTACAATTCTCTGATGCTGACTTACTTGGAGTCAAGAAAAGATAAGCAGTCCACCCAGAGAGCAAGAGATAGTCCTAACAGTAAGGGTAAAACCAATCACACCGGCAGCCTTATTACATATCTAGTTGAAATGGTCTTGGGTTGTCAGTCTTTCCGGGTGAGGTTCCTTTATGTTTTGATATTAGGCTCACTTAGCCAATTTGATTGAAATCTAGTAGATTAGTAGTATCTTAACAATTTCCAAGTATTGGGACTGAAGATATAGTACAGTGGGTAAGGCATTGGCCTTGTGGGCAGCCAACCCAGATTTGATTGATGATATCCTGCAGGGTCTCCCGAACACTGCTAGGAATGATCCCTGAGTGCAGAGTCAAGATTAAGTCCTGACCACTGCCAGGCATGACCCCAAAACAAAAACAAACAAAAAAAAAACCCACACCAAAAAAAAAATCCTTAAAGTTACTCCTTAGCCCAGAGAAAACAGGGGTTAGGACTGGTCAATAGTTGGAACTAACCACAAGTGTGGGGGGGGGGGGCTGAGGGTAGGTAGGATAGAAAAGAGACCACTATGACAATAATAGCTGGGAATGAGCACGCTGGATCTGATCTGAGGGTTAAAAGCAGATAAGGGATAATCTTAGTATCAATATTGCAAACCACAATACCCAAAAGGGGGGGGGAGAGGATAAGGGATAATCTTAGTATCAATATTGCAAACCACAATACCCAAAAGGGGGTGGGGAGAGAGAGAGAGAGAGAGAGAGAGAGAGAGAGAGAGAGAGAGAGAGCGAAAGCACCTGTCATAGAGGCAGGCAGGGGATGGGGGGGTGGGGGTTGATGGGATGGGAGGGAACCTGGGGACACTGGTGGACGGATAGGTGTTGGAATACTGTATGATTGAAATCTAATCGTGAACAGGTTTGTAATGGTCTATCCCACAGAGATTCAGTTCAAAAACGTTAAAAAAAAAGGAGAAAAAAAGTTACTCCTTAGGGAGCAACTTCAAAGTCTGCAAATGAGGGTTCCTTAGGCCCAGATCTGGGAAGAAAAGGGCATGTCGTGGAGGGAAGCTGCGGAGCACAGAGCATCTCCCTCCTCCAGTGTCAGGTCTGAGAAACACAGGGGCAGGGCACTGATACAGGGTCACTTCTCCCTAGTCTTCCTTCCTTTCTCTTTTTTTCTTTTTCTTTAATGATATTTAGGTCACACCCAGTGGTGCTCGGGGGTTTACTCCTGGCTCTGCACTCAGAAATTACTGCTGGTGACACTCAGGAGACCCTATAGGATAGCCAGGGATCGAACCCAGGTTGGCCACATGCAAGGCAAATGCCCTACCAGCTGTACGGTAGCTCCAGCCCCTTCCTCTCCTTTCAAAGGCTCCTTCTACCACTACCCTAACTCCATTCTTCCTACAAGATTCTTTTTCTGCACAGAGACTAGGATCCCGGCAGCTCCTGAGCAAGTGAGGATACTGCTGCCCATTGCCGTGGTCACCAAGGGTTCCTCCAGGGGCACAGGCCCGGCTCGGGCCTTTCTGCAGGGAGGTCACGTGGGGAAGCAGCACTCCACTGACTTCAGGTTATCTGGAAGCTGCATTTGCATCCTCTCATCACAGAAGGAAGGAAAGAGGGTTTATCTCTTGCAACTGAAGTTTGGAAACACACCCACATTCTGTCCAAAAGATACTTACATCACTCAGGACATTTCCTGCTGCTTTCAGCTGCCGGAGCAATGGGTTCTCCGTGGCAGGAAGCACATTATAATCTGCTTTTCCTTTATTCTTTTCATAGTCTTCTTTGTATTTTACCTGTAGGAATTTTTTAAAAAATGAAGTAACTCTCTGGGTTATTTTTGTTCTCCTTTCTATTGATGTTTTTATGACATACTTCCATACATCAATTTTCTCTCTAGAAAAAAATGGCAGCTTGCCATTTTATAAACAAAATATTCAGAGTAACTCATAATAGCAGCAGAGAATGTGCAGACATTTGCAGGGTATCTTTTCTTCTCATTTATTTATTCATTCAGAATGGGAAAAGGAGACAATCATAAAGATGGGTATGGAGCCTTATATACTCTTTTTTTTGTGGGGGGGTCATACCTGGTGATACATAGGGGTTACTCCTGGCTCACGTACTCAGGAATTACTGCTGGCAGTGCTCAGAGGACCAGCTGGGATGCTGGGAATCGAAACCGGGTTGGCAGCGTGCAAGACAAATGCCCTACCTGCTGTGCTATCCAGCCCCGTCTTATATATTCTTATATAGGTCTGCCAACTTCTTGGGAAGGAGGATCGTTCTATCTGAGGCAATTCTCTACTGTATCAAAAGGCCCTTTACTCTATGAAATGCTTTAAGCAGTAATTGGGTGTCATTAATGCTTAATCATGGCATTCATTAGTTTTAAATTTCATAACCCTTTCCTAGTCCCCAAACACTTTCGGAGTTATTGCTATTTCAAATAGATGAGATCAAGTAGTCTCAACTCTGATAGATTTAAAAAAAAATCCCTCTTTTTTTCCCCCTCACTGGATAAAATAGCAAGAGTTATAAGAAGTTTTCCCACCCCAAGAGTAACCAAATGAAATGAATGTTTCCTTGTACCTTGCTAGCTGCCACACCAGCTTGCTTATTCACTTTGTATTCTGGGGTTTCCGTCTGCATGAAGTAGATCTGGTCCTTCAGATTCTCAAAGTCTTCCTGGTATTTCCTCTGTAAGACATTAAACATGTTGGAGGGTTTCTGTGAGAATAGACTGCACAAGAAGGATCAGAGAGGCTTCTGGAGAAGTTACATGAAGCCATGTTTTTCTGGGCTTAGAAAGGTGAGATTATAATGACAGAATCTCATGTCACCACAAAAGCAATTAGCAACATAACATATGGAGATTTGGAGCAATTATAATAGATGTGATAAGTCACCTAAAGGAGCTGCCAAAGACCAGGGGCAGTAAACACGTATAGGGGAAAAAAATAGGATTTTGGCTCCCCATGAGGAAACTCTGAGACTAACCACAATTATCCAGTTTCAGAAATGTACTATTTTTTCTTGCCAGCTCAAGGATACACATTACAGGCCCCATTTGCCTGTACTGACTTTGAAACCGTGCTGTTTCTATGAAAATGGAAATAAGAATCTCTGAATATCCCCCAAACACTATTTCTCAAAGGAAGGGAGGATTGTGGGATTTCCTTCATCAGAATTATACACAAGGTCTTGCTGCCGAGAAGGGGCCCTACACTCAAATTTGCAGCTGCTGCTCTGGGTGAAGTGGACATCACAAAAGAGAAGCCCTCTCAAGCCAAGGACTTCTGGTCACACCTCCCTGGCCCCCCTTCTTACTGAGTTGAGGTTATCAGCATTCATTCTGGCAGTTGCAATTTCAAAGCAGGGCGTCTCACTCCATTTGCCTTTGACTTTATTTTCATAGTCTTCCTTATATTTTTGCTAAGGGAAAAGGGGGGGAAAAGATTAGCAAAACACTGAAATCAAATTGAAAAGCAGATTAGGGGTAATGGTCAGCTTTTAAAATATCTGGAATAGGCAGCATGCTATTCTGCTGCCCACATCACAACCTGTGATCTCTCTCTCTCTTTCTCTCTCTCATTCTCTCTTTCCCTTCAAATACCTGTCCTGTGAGTGTTTGGGCATGAGCTCAACTGCCCAGTGTTGCCTGCCACAACCACCAAACATATAAGCCTGATCTTCTATCTGTAATTCACTGTGTCACAAGCAATTTCCAGCAATACCACAGCCAAGATTGTGTAGATACCACAGAGGAGTTCTGCCAAGGATGAGGCTGGCACTGCCACTAAAAAGATGAGCAGCATCACACCAGGAAGCGCGGTCCAGACAAATCTTTGTGTGAGCATCACAACACTATAACCATAACTGGTAGTCTTTACTAAGAGCTTGACCTTTGGTGAACACATGTGCAAGCACAGCAACTAAAGAAATGTAAATCTCAGTAAGCACAGCAGTGTGAGGAGTGCAATGTGTGGCATGTGTGTGACCCCTGGTCACTGCAACATCAGCAAAGAGTAGGGTGAGTGGGGAGGAAATAAGTAAATTAAATTAAAATACATTGACTTGGTTTTCCTTGGGCAAATGTCTTCAGATTTACTTCCTAGATGGTATATCTACCCAACAAGAAACCTGGGTATTGGGAATGGAGTGATAACACAGCAGCAGCGCACTTGCATTGCACACAACTGACCAGGATTCCATCACTGGCATGATATATTGTACCCAGAGTCTGCCAAAAGTGATCCCTGAGCACCATTGGGTGTGGTGACCCCTGGCCCCCGCCCCCCCCCCAGAAAGAAAGAAAGGAAGGAAAGAAGGAAAGAAAAGAGAGAACAAAAGGGAATGCCTCGCCTCTGAGGCAGGGTAGAGGGGATGGGGTGGGGGTGGTGGGAGGGATACTGGGATCATTGGTGGCGGACAATGGGCACTGGTAGAGGGATGGGTACTCGATCATTGTATGGCTGAAACGTAAGCACAAAAGCTTTTAAGTCTGTAACTGTACCCCATGGTGATTCACTAATAAAAATTTTTTAAAAAAAAGAACTAGTTGTTGGGGCTGGAGCGATAGAACAGCAGGTAGGGCGTTTGCCTTTCACACAGCTGACCTGGGTTCGATTCCCAGCATCCCATATGATCCCCCGAGCACCACCAGGAGTAATTCCTGAGTGAAGAGCCACCCCTGAGCATCGCTGGGTGTGACCCCCCCCAAAAAAAGAACTCCTGGTTGTTCCCTGATATCTGAAGGAGAGAATCAGAAACACTTGTAATTCCAATTTGTAATCAGAGATCCATGCCAGATGAACTTAGCCAATCATCTCTGAACTTTACCAAAGGCTATTTCCTAGCTTAGAGTGAAATTTTAATAACAAAAGACAAGTAATCAAATTTAAACTGATACCCCAAATACTCCCAAACACCAGTCCCAAATCCCAGACCTTGAGCACCTGGAAGGGAATAATGACATCTTCATTATTTTTATGTCTTCCAAGGCTAATATACAGATCAGTGGCAGATGTTGCCTCATAAATGTTTGTTCAGCTGTGCACAATTGAACGGAGTCAATTGAAAGGTTTTAAACAAACTTTAACTGAGTGTTCTTGGAGAAGAACTAACACAGCCAACCTCAAGCCTGGGCTGCAACAAAGCTGGTCGAGTGCAATTCCCCCGCTCCTCCCCCCCGCCCCCCGCCACCCCCCATGGCTTAGACAATGTTAACAGACAGAACCAATGGGATAGTGGTGATAGCTATGCCTACACCTCACCTCCTTATCCAAAGGAAAAAAGGTAAAGGTAAAGGCCCTCCCATTGTTCATCGATTTGCTTGAGCGGGCCCACTAACGTCTCCGTTGGAGATTTTGTTGTTACTGTGTTTGGCATATCCAGTCGAATACATCACGGGTGGCTTGCCAGGCTCTGCCGTGTGGGCGAGATACTCTTGGTAGCTTGCCAGGCTCTCCGAGAGGGGCGGAGGAATCAAACTCGGGTCGGCCATGTTGGCTGCGTGCAAGGCAAACGCCCTACCACTGTGCTATCGCTCCAGCCCATCCAAAGGAAAAGACAGTGATTTTCTAATAGATCTTTAATAAGACAAATGCCAAGGGTGAATGATGTGCAGAGTCATTCAGTTTGGGTGAAAGGATGCTCAGCCCTTCCCCAAATATCTGACAACCTTTTTTTCTCAAAATTTTAATATGCCAATCAATACCCAACTTATTTTTGTAACTATAAATTTTGTAGAGCTGGTACCTGATTTCAAAGCTCTAGGTCCAATGGGGCCAGATTGATAGTACAATGGGTAGAGCATTTGCCTTGCACGTGGCAGACCTGAGTTTAATGCCCAGCATCCCATAAGATCTAAGCACTGCCTACAAACAAAACCCAGTCAAAGCTTTAGGCCCAAGACTTTATGTCATCTTTAGCAAAGGTATTAAGAAACCTCTCTAAACTTTCATTTCTTGGCAATGACAACAATAGTTACATAGAGGACTGTTGGGAAAACTCAATAAGATTATCAGCTGAAGAGTACTTTGTAAACTCTCATGCTAAAGAAATTCATGATAACTGTAATATAATGACTTTTATCATCATTATCATAGCCACTATACTATAACAAAATTTAAAAAATGGAGAAAAATATTGTACCTGTGTGTGTGTATATATACATGAGAGAGTCTATTCTTCATTAGAAATCTTTGTTAAAAGAAGGTCCACGTGCATACACAAGCTGTCCGCATTTCTCTTCTTGAGATGCTGACTTTCATACTTCGGGGCCCATTTCTACATTTGGGGAATTTCCCCATTAAGGAGAAGCCCAAGTTCCCTTTTGAGCATTTATTTTTAGCCATCTTTTTTCTTCCCTCCCTTTATTCTCCCATAAACTTTTAAAGAAAACAGACATAAGATTCGCATTATGCTGCTGATTAATTTGCCTGCCCTCTTCTTTTGAAGTTTATAGCAATTAAGGTCAATAAAACTGGTTTTTCAATTTGCTAAGGATGCCTTATAGAATTGTTCTTAATATTTTTGGAGAATAGGCCTCTTTAGAAATCTGAGAAAATTACAAAATGCATATAAACACTAACAATTTCAGATATTCTTGATTATGCAATCCTGGGTGATGATATCCTGATCTCCAGTGTTTTGTTGATCTATTGCCCCTCCTGTGTTTGCTGTCAAGGGAAGAAATCTCAAGTAGCAATGGCCGGGGGCAGTTGGACCTGAAACATACCTCCCAAAAATGAGATACAGAGAGAATCTGATGATATAATTTAAAGTTGAAATGACAATAGCTATTCCTAATGAAGTATGAAATTGAGCTATTATAGAGAAATAAGAATTGCATATGTAGATATGTTAAAGAAAACTGAGTAGGAGATGAATTCTCACAATGAGAGATAGATATCTGGGTTGGTCTTGATTGGTTTTTGGGGTTTTTTTGTCAGTTTATTTGTTTTTTTTTTCTTTTTGGGTCACATCCAGCGATACTCAGGGGTTACTCCTGGTTCTGCGCTCAGGAATTACTCCTGGCAGTGCTCGGGGGACCATATGGGATGCCGGGGATTTAACCCAGGTCAACCATGCAAGGCAAACACCCTACACACTGTACCATTGCTCCAGCCCTGATGTCCGTTATTTTTAAAGAGACTAAAACAAGATGCAAAATCAGAATATAAGTCACAGTCACTTCATTGAAAGTGTTTCTTCCCCATTACAAGCCAAAGCTTGTTCTTTCCTTTCACCACAGAGTCAGAATGAATCAAGATGGAGGTGACTACCTCAAAATCCACTCTTGAGGAATCCCAAGTCTGGGGAGATTTTCTTAAAGGGAGGAGGCTAGAGCTCAAGTGTTGAGCAAGTTACGGCCTTCCTCTTCACTGGAGGGTAGCAGAGAACCTGAAAGGGGAAAGTTGCACAGCTAGAGGAATGAGAGAGGCATGTGATCTTGTGGAACTCCTGCTGCTCATCATGGGGTTTTATTCTATATGTTTGATAGCAATGCTTGAGGAAACAGTGCACAGATGTACACAATGGGAATTAGCCACCTTCAGGGGTCCACATTTAACATTCACCAACCTACGCCCTAAGTTCTCTCCACCTCTAGAGATCTGGAACCAAAAATTTATTTCTAGAGTTGGAGACATCTCTAAGGATTTCATGCCCATTAATTTAACACAGGAAAAGCACACCAGCTCAGTTGTAAGACCTAGCCATCTTCTCGCCAGTAACTGTGCTGATAGATACAGTCAGGTGTTCCCCCAAACAAAATCCCCTCTTCCTTAGGAGTCATCTGAGGTGCTTTTACTGGGTCACAGATAGGCATCCTAACATCCTGCTTTGTCCGTGGCTTCATTTCTACTCTCCACAGTGTATTTGTGATTCCCGTGGGGTTGTCCAATGAGAAGGACAACTAGGTCAGTGAGTTCATTACTTTTCTCTTCTGTGAGGAACTAAATGCCAGAACTTTACTGGCTTCAGTGACGAAAAATCTGTCCTCTTTGAAAGGGGAGAAAAGGTTCCGACCATATTTTCATTGCCCAGAGTAGGCCCAAGGTATAATTCTCACTCAAACAAATCTTTTTCCTTTTCTTTTCCTTCTGTTTTTTTGTTTGTTTGTTTGTTTGTTTTGGGACAACACCCAGCAGTGCTCAGGGGTTATTCCTGGCTTTGCACTGAGACTTCACTCCTGTGGACCTTTGGGGACCATATGGAATGTGGGAGATCAAACCTAGGTTGGCCATGTGCAAAGCAAGCGCCTACAAGCACCCTGTATTATCTCTCTGGCAAATATCTTTTGGAGAAATCTATGGGAATCTTCCTACTTTCGATGTGATAGAAGAGTTTCCATGGTTAAAGAAGATCACAGCCTAGATTGTTCATGTGTTCCTGCTGTGTAGCAATGTATCCTTGGAGAGTGTTTTAAAAAAAAAGAAAACTCCTGTGAAATATTAAGAATGTGTATCTGCCCCCAGTTTCTGACAGAGTTCCAAGCTCTTGTAACCTCCATGAGTGATGAAAGTGCTAGAAGCATCTTTTGTTCTAATATTTAGTTTTTGATGTTAGTTCCTAAAAGTCTGTAACCTCCACGCCGCCCCCTTGGAATTTCCTGGGTCAGAAAAGTGTCTTTTGTCCTCATGAAGAAATTCCTAGATAGCCTTAGAATGGGGACTGAAAAATAAAGTCAGAATTAGAAGTTCGGAATTTTTAGTCCCATCCCTCATCATCTGGGGAAGAAAGGGCAACTGGAAACTAAGTTTAAAATATGCTGAAGGCTGGGAAGACAGTACGGGAGTGAAGGCGCATGCTTTACCTGATTTTGGGGTCCAACACCATATAGTTACTGAAGCATCATGAGGTTCAATTCTGGAGACCTCTAAGCATCATTGGTGTGACCCAGTTAATCCTCAGGACCACAGGGCTCAAACAGGACTGCATCCTCAGACCCTCACTTGGCCTACTTGGCCAAGAGTCATTGACAGGGTTACCCAGGCCTCCTGATCACTGCTTGGAAAACACCCTCCAAAAAACTCAATTCAAATTTCTCCATAAAATCCCTAACACAACTGGTTCAGATAGCTTCCAGTTGACTGGTATATTCCAACTTGACAGGGACAGACACTGGGAGCCATCCAGACCTTATACAATATAACTCCCCATCTGTACCATTTATCATATTCTTTACCATGTAGTCAATTTTTATTATTTGGGGGAGAGTGCTTGGGGTCACACCTGGATGTGTTCAGGGCTTAGTCTTAGACCTTCACTCAGGGATCACTCCTGGGTAGTTCAAGGACCATATGGGGTGCCAGGAATCAAATTCGGGCTGGCTGTGTGCAGGGCAAGAGCTTCACCCACAGTACTAACTCTCTTGCCTCCACGCAATAAATGTTAAAGTAAATATTCTTTGCTCCATTCTAGAAAATTTCAAATGTAAGGAAGGTTAATTATGAATTTAGTGCAGCTTGGTTACAAGTATAGTCCTAGACTGGCGATGGTTTCTAAAGCAGGGCCAGTCTCATTGGACTGATCTCTGAACTGGTAGGAACCAGGCAGATCATGTTAGAAGTGAATGCATTGCAGGACACCCAGAAGTAACAGAGAATTGGTCGGTGTGAAAAAACATTCATATAATGGGTGTCAGATGTATAAAGAGGTAGAGTACAGGAAAGAGACTAATTCCTTTCCAGATTCCAGGTGGTGTCATCAGAAAGTCCAACCTGATATCGCACATTTTGCCTCTTGTAAACTTGGAAAGAAATGGAGAAGCTGGCATAGAGAAATTAAAAGGACATTTCGATGCTGCACTCACAAACCCACTTGCTGCTGGGGGTCTCGTATGTAGTTTTCTCACATGTAGAGTCTGTATGAGCAATCCCGCCTATCAACCAACTTAAAGATGCATCTGAGCCACAAGGAGGTGCTAAACTTTGACTTTAACAAAGTCCAGGTGAGAGAATTTATTCTGAGACATAGTAAGGTATTCCCTTAAACTGAATCGAATAGCAAAATAATTACTATAGATACATGATTCTTCGAGTAACAAGTAAAGAGAACTATAAACCAAAGATGGATCTGGGAGACATGTGCAATAAGAAAATGCTGAAAGACTGCATGTATGAAAAAGAAGTAGATGAAAGAGACTTTATCCAATTTGGAAGAAAGGAAAAGATGCTACTGAAACATGAATCAACACAGTCTGAGAGCAGGGAAGACATCAGAAGGAAATAAAGTCCTACAGCTAAGTTATCAGTATAACCTTCTTCTCTGGGTTGGTTTATTGTTGGAAGGGTTACCACCAATCACAACTGTTTCTTCCCAATGTGACTATTTTTTTGGATGCACTATGGTCAGTAAGGCCTTGAAAAATATAGGCAGACTCTATGAATTTCTTCATTCTGATGAGCTCCACTCACAGCCATTCTCCTCTTGGTTCATTTTGTTGTGAGGGCAAACCAAACCTGGCAAAGTTTCCAAGTGCCCAATGATGCCTTGTATTGCACAGAAGTGGTGCAGTCCAAAGAGCATTGAATGCAAACCCAACTCTAATTGAAATTTTTCTATTAGCTGTTTGTTTTGTTTTATTTTTTGAGCCACATCCAGCAGTGCTCAGGGCTTGCTCCTGGCTCAACACTCAGAGATCACTCCTGGTGGACTTTGAAGGACCACAGGGTGCTGAGGAGCAAACCCCATCAGCTGCATGCAAGTCATGCACCCTACCTACCATACGATTTCCCCAACCCCTCTATTAGCTGTATTTTAAAATGTAAAAATTCCCATAAATGGGAAACTAACTTTAGCAATATATTTTATTTAATCAAGTTTTCTCATTATAGTACCATTTGAATATGTAATAATATGACTAGTTAGTAATTTCACATTCTTTTGGTCATACTCAACGTTAAAGATCCATTGTATGTGTCACATATATGAAACTATCACATTTCAAGTGTTCAATTTTCACATGTGGCTGGTGGCTTCTATATTGCCAAGTGCAGCTCTAAACTCATGGGCAGGCCAGAATTAGTGGAGAGACTGATTATAGAGGAGTTTGGAAGTGAATTTTTTAAAATCACATTTAAGCGCCCACGCTGCACACTCAAATAAAGTGAAACAATACTGCCTTAGGAAGATATATTTTAAAACAAAATTTAAAATACTCATTTTCTTTCTAAAAGTCCACTTTTTCCTTTCTTGACAAAAAATAAATCGTCTTTGGTCTCATCTATTTTCAATATCTGCACTTCCAGTAGGCCATCTCTCTATGGACAGTTTAATTTAATTTTATGCTTGTTTGGGGGGTCACATTCTGTGTTCCTCAGGGCTTGCTACTGGCTCTGTGCTCAGGGATCACACCTGGAGGCGCTCAGGACCCCATGTACAGTGCCAGGGATGAAACCTAAGTTTGCTATGTGCAGGGCAAGTGCCTTACCTGCTGTACCAGCTCTCTGGCCCCTATTTCCAGCCAATTTGTTTGTTTGTTTGTTTTGGGACCACACCTGAAAGCATTCAGGTGTTATTCCTGGCTCTGCACTCAGGAATTTCTTCTGGTGTGCTCAGGGGAACAATATATGGGATGCTGAGGACTAAACTTGGGTTGGCTCCAGGTATGGCAAGCACCTACCCACTATATTATTTCTGTAGGAATTTTCTTGGCCTTGGGTAAAATTTCACATTCATGATATACTTTTGAGTGAAATTTTACTGCACCTACTAGATCTTTTATCCATATACCCTAGATTTATAGTTATGAAATGGCATTATCAGATACTAAAAATTATTACCAAATAGACTTCATCCTCCACAACTTTTCTTCCTCCTCTTTAACTGGAAACAACACACTGAAAAATTATTTGAAATTTTGAGGTTACATCAAAATCCATATAGAAAACCAAACTGAGATTCAGCTCTTCAGAGGGCAAAGTGAAGCATTTATAAGCAGCAGTATCCAGGAGAAAGTGGCTGGTTTGGACCAGTTTAAAAGGACTTTAGCATGGGGCTACTCATTATTTGAACATCTATCTTTCTGCATCCCCTGTCAGGCTGCATTCTTTAGAGCTAGTTTACCAGCCTAAATATAGACCTACAAGCGCCTTGCCGTGAGCTTAAAAATTAGGAGGTGCAGTGTCCATGGATGTCAAATTGTTATGTCTAAGAGGCCACTCAGCATTCTTGTTTCCCTCAAATAGGACCTAGAGTACAAACTATGAGATGTGTGTGCTGGATTAAAGCAATCAGATCATTCATGGAAACGCGAAGGTCCTTGGCTCCTCTGTGAACACCATTTCCTCACATCAAAATAGCAAAAGACATTCAAATACAGATTCTGTTTTCCAAATGCAGTTTTCACAGGTACTGAGTCAACGGGCCAGCTGAACATTTTTCCACGGTGTTAATGGCTGCAGTGGTTTAGGGTCAAATGAGTGCTTACATTACAATTCCAAGTTCACCTGAGCTGTTTTCTCTGATAATTAAGATGTTCAAAACAAAATATGAGACTAACACCCAAGAATGGCCGAGATTAGTACCAGGAATTTTACTCCATGGCTTAGAGGCTAACCACACGTGCTAGGGGAAAAAGGAGCTCAGATAGAGAAGGGAACACCAACACCAAATAAAGGTGTTGGGAGGATCCTCCCAGGATGGGAGAAGCATGCTGAAAGTAGACTATAGACCAAACATGATTATCACCCATTGCCTCTTTTGCAAACCACAACACCCAATAAGAGAGAGAGAACAAAAGGGAATGCCCTGCCACAGAGGCAGGGTGGGACCGGGGGTATGGGTGGTGGGAGGGATACTGGGATCCGTGGTGGTGGGAAATGGGCACTGGTGGAGGGAGGGTGTTTGATCATTGTATAATTGAAACCCAAGCACAAAAACTTGTAAGTCTACAACTGTACCTCATGATGTCTCACTAAAAAAATAAAAAAAGAAGAAAAAAAAAGATGTTCAAGCAGAGTTATAAGGGAGACCATGTCCCAACCTTATTTACTTACCTTGCTCACTTGATTGGTCACTTTCTTGGCAAATTCTATATCTGGAGGATCTGCCAGAGATGTGAATTGAGTTTGTTGTTCAACGAGTCCTTTTTTGTAGACGATCTGATAAAATAGAAGACAGGAACTCTCATTAGTCATAGAAAATGATTATACTCCTCATATTCCATTTTCTGGCTTGGAAAAAAAACACCTATCTCTTCAACCTTATTTTGAAGTCTTGAATTTTTGTTGACCACATGGTCATAATTTGTCCTTTCAGATGGCACATGTCCTTGTTCTTAGTATTGCCAGTGATTTCCATTTCTTTAATCTTCTCTTGTCTCCTATTCATTTCCTTCCTTTCATCTCCATGCCATGATTTACAAATGAAATTATCATCTTAAGTACCATCCTTAACCCCCAGCCCTTTATCTCTATAAATCCTACTGATGAATCCACTAACCTTGGACCAATGTAACCACTTTCTTCTCACTCACTTTTTTTTTCTTTTTGGGTCACACCTGGTGATGCACAGGGGTTACTCCTGGCTCATGAACTCAGGAATTACTCCAGGTGGTGCTTGGAGGACCACAGGGGATGCTGTGAATCGAACCCAGGTCAGCCGCGTGCAAGGCGCTGTGCTATTGTGCCAGCCCCACTTTCTCACTTCTTATATCAGGATGCCTGCAATTCCTGACTCAAGTGGAGTTCAGCGACTAACTTGTGAATGTGTGCTTCATACACCAGAATCATGGGGAAAACCCACTTTGTTTTGTTTCTTTTGGTTTTTCTAGTGTATGTGGGGCGGGGGGGGTGAAGGCAGGTGCTGAGCATCAAACCCAGAACCACATTTCTGGCCACTATCAGCAGAAGTCTGAAGAGAGGAATAATCTTCCTCATCCTTCCACTACACAATTATGAGACATCTAATAGTTATTTCTTCATTCTCATTTTAGTGTTCTTAATTATGAAGAGATTGGCAAATTCCAAGTGTTGGTCCTTAAAATTAACTTAATCTTATTCTAAAAGAAAAGCACTAAATGAGAGCTTTTGTAAACACTAAACCAGTTGTGATAAAAAGGCAATATTTAGAAAGCATTGCTTTTAATTCCACTACCTAATTTCGGCAAAGCCTGGCAAGCTACCCGTGACATATTCAATATGCCAAAAACAGTAACAACAAGTCTCACAATAGAGATGTTGGGCCCGCTCAAGCAAATCAATGAACGATGGGAGGACAGTGACAATGACAGTGAATTTCTTTTAAATAAGTGGCATTAATTTGGTACATGGTAACCAGTATTTTTTTCTGCACCAAACTTAGTCCTTAGAGAGAATGCACCATTCTACAGGAACATTTATTAAGTCAGAAATTCTATCAAGAACTTTCAGAGGGGCCTGAGAAATAGTACAGTGGGCAGGGTGTTGCCTTACACACAGCCAACCAGGGTTCAACTCCTGGTATCTCAAATAGTCCCCTGCATCTGCCAGAAGTAAGTCTCGAGCATATCAGGATGTGGCACACCTCCCTGTAACCCCAACCCTCACACAAAAAGGAAGAAAAACATTCAGAAAAGGTACATATAGAAATCCTGATCTCTTAAGAACCTTTGTTCATAATTTTGACTAGTTGGAATTCTGTACTCTAGATCAACCAATGGTTCTTAGTGTTTGCAAAGTATTTTGTAAACTTAGATAACAAGAAAAACATAGGAAGTAAATAAGGGCTCCCTTTGTTTTTATTTACTAATTTACTAACTAAATGAGTAAATAGAAAGTAGGTACAGGACAGGGATGGGGGTCTCTAAACCCAAATTCTAAGCTCAAAACCTCCATATGTGTCCAATGGAATGTCCTGTGAATAAAAGCTGGTTTAAGGTCCTGTTCTCAGAAATTGCAGTTTATAACACTGACAATAGTATTAATAGGAATTCAGTAATCTGACACTCACTACATACTTGGCTTGCATTGAAAATTAAAACCATGTCTTAACTGTTGAGATTTCCTGAGGAAGGATGAGAAGATTTTACCTCATTGTTACATGTTCTCCTATGTTATGTTCACTCTTAAGATGCAGGTACCCCCTGCCTTTTGAAAGGTTGTTTTACATCACTTAATTTTGGAAGACTAAAGTTAGTGGAATATAAAAGTGGAATATAAAGGAACAGAATGGGAGACGAACACCCAAGAATAGTTGAGATAAGTACCAGAGGTCTGCTCCACGGCTTGGAAGCCGGAAGCACATGCTGGGGGAAAAGGCAGCTCAGATAGAGAAGGGAACGCCATGTAAAGGATGTTTGGAGGATTCGCTCGGGATGCGAGATGCGTGCTGAAAGTAGACTATAGACTGAACATGGTGGGCACTCATACCTCTATTGCAAACCACAACACCCTAAAGGAAAGAGAGAACAAAAGGGAATGCCCGACCACAAAGGCAGGTCGGGGTGGAAGGCAATGGGGGCGGTGGGAGGACTACTGGGATCATTGGTGGTGGAGAATGGGCACTGGTGGAGGGATGGGTACTCAATCATTGTATAACTGAAACCCAAGCATGAAAGTTTGTAAGTCTACAACTGTACCTCATGGTGTTTTACTAATAATAAATAAATAAATAAATAAAAATAGACAAGGAACTTTGGAAATAAAAGACACACTTCAACCAAAAAAAAAAAAAAGACTGGTTAAAATTTATTTTCACTGGCTGAAAAAAATCCAAAGAAGATGATTATCTTTCTGTTTGCTTTTCTTTCATTTTGGGGCCACATTCAGCAGTTCTCAGGGATTATTACTGGCTCTGCATTAATAAATTACTCCTGCTGGCAATTTCGGGGGTGACCAGATGGGTTGCTGGAGATCAAACCCTGGTCGACCACATGCAAGGCAAGTGCCGTATCCACTGTAATATCGCTCCAGTGAAAAAAGATGATCACTTTAATAATTAAAGTTGAAAATTTCCAAAAGGGGAGAGAGAGGGCAGTTAGGACAGAGAAGGGACCACTATGAAAATGATAGTTGGAAATGATCACTCTGGACAAAAACTGAGTGCTGAAAGGAGGTAAGGTGATATACATGATACCCTTTCCATAGCAATATTGCAAACCACAGTGACTAAAAGGAAAATGAGAGAGAGAGAGAAGAAAAGTGTCTGCCACTGAGGCAGGCTGTGTGTGTTTGGGGGGGGGGGAGACAGCATGTTGCTGGGTAGGGAGTCAGACAGGAGGAAAACTGGGGATATTAGTGGTAGAAAATTGGCACTGGTGAAGGAATGGGTGTTGGAGCATTGTATGGCTGAAACACAATCATAAACAACTTTGTAACTAAGTATCCCGTGGTGATTTCATTAAAATATATTTTAAAAAACCTGTATAAGTTAAAAAAAAAAAAAAGTAGAAAATGCAAACACATGCAGTGACCATTAGGAGGCAGTGTTTACCCCAAACTCTCCTTAGCTCTCCTCAGGTGCCACTTCTGCCGGCATGTATACATCAGAGCATTTCTGCTTTTGCTCAAGGTCAGCGTCATTATGTTAATTATTGATGTTTTGTTATTTTTATATATTTTGGGTATTTATTTTGGGGTCCTGGAAAGCTCAAACGTTTTTCCCAGAGAAAGTCATGGCAGTCGCTTCTTTTAAAATGCCATTTAGCTTATAAAAGGCTAAGTAGGAACTATACTTTCAGCTAGCAAGGGAAAACTGTATTACAAAAATTGGGGTCAACTTTAATGGCATAAAGCCCAGAGCCCTAGAATGACCTGGAAATAGTCCCTCATTTCTCCATACTAAGGTAAAGGAACGAATTTGGACATTAGTTTCTTCTGGGAAATCTGTCTCTTGACTTGCATGACCTGGCATCCCCTGGTACCCCCTCATTTTCTCCTTCTGTTCCTTCATTCTTTGGTGGTCCGTTTCCAGAAATCCTAAGTGTGGGTGTCTTAAAAGTACTCTTTCCTAAGCCATACATGGTGCTGCCTACTTCACACATTTTCACATGTCTACCTATCATTTTGGAGATGACTTTCCACTATGAATCTCTTGTCTTGGTTTTGCCCCTATTTGAGAGGACTCGATTTCTAATTGATCCACAGGATGCCTTGATCTGAATATCCTTCTGCTATCTCAATTCTATTTATCTCACTGATACCTCTTTACCAGTTGTGCCTTTATTCATCCAGATGACCAGCATGTGGTTACACTTCATCTGCGGTTTCTTTCTCTCCTTCATCTTTAAGATCTGATGTCTTGACAATTTTAAAATATTGTCTTCCAATTTCTTTCTTCCTCACCATTGTGCCCATCATCCCTCCGAACCATCAATACTTTAAAAATAGCTTTCTAAAGAAATGCTAGGCCACCCCACTCATCTGTGGCATATAAAGAAATGGAGCAAGAGAAGAGATGATAGCTAACAGAAGTAAGCCCTCAGGGTGACCGCAGAACTGAGGTTACCAGTGAGAGGAAGAAAGAGTGGGCTACACGAGTGATCTAATGGACTGGATGGGAAGACACTGGCACACCAGTGGTGGAAGTAGAGTAGTAACATTGTCCCCCTAAAATACATAAATATTTGTTCTCTTATAAGCCAATGATAACACAGTACAAAATAAATGAACAAGAGGTTACCTATAATAAATTGCGACAATTTCCCTATCCCTAATTCACCATTATTACCTGGTGAAAATGTCTTCAGATTCTTTATATTTGTTTTTCTCTCCAACTCTTAGGATGTCTCTTACTGCCCACTATATATCACATCAAAACTGTTTATCTGACTTTCAAGATCCAACTGCTATTTTTCTGACAAATGCCCTTCTAACTAAGCGTGCACAAATTCATTTTCTTTGACCCATAAAACTCCAGACTCATTCTGCCTGAAGTGTTCTCTTGTTTGAGTGCACTTGAAACGCCTTTCCTTTCACCACTTCCACACGCCTGCTTGGATTATTCACATGCATGTGTCCTGTTGTTTTTCTTAACAAGTATTTAGGAATAGAGTCCAGATGGTTGTTTTTCTAAATTTTTTTATTAGTTAATAGATAAGATTTTTCTTTTCCCAGCCTATGTATAGGTTCTCAAGGAAAAGACTGGCAATTTCTTGTCCTACTTTTATAACCTGCCAGGTATGCAAGATTAATGAAGCTTCAATAAATAACTATTGATCACTTGATAAAGGTCACACGGCAATATTATCTATTCATGAGATAGAGAGCCAAAAATCTACTCTGAAAGAGAAGCATAAAAAAAAGTCTCTGCATATTAAAATTGGAGCCATGTACTGGGCAACCTTGGAATTTTCTTTAGTTCCTAGCTTACTCCAGAGAAAAATCAGAGTACACCTTGCCTGTATTTTAATGAATAATCTGAAAACTAGGATAAAAATAAGTTGACAGAACTTGCAAGTTATGTAAAGCAAGAAGGAACAAAAATTAGACCTTATACCTTGGAAATGCCATCAAGTAAAGTATTCACAATTCCAATTGAGGACAAGATGGGATCCTAAGAGTCATTGCAAGTAAATCTTAGTAAGTTTTGAGATGCCAGCTGGCTTGTTGGGTCTCCATACAGAATTTAAGAGCTTTCAGGAGTCTAGCTAATAATTAAATGGTAAATAATTCATTTCATAACTAAAAATATATTATGATAGTAGTAGTAGTAGTAGTAGTAGTAGTAGTAGTAGTAGTAGTAGTAGTAGTATTGTGATACAGTGTTCTTCTGGAGATTAAAATAGTAGTCCTTGGATTTTTAATAAAGCTTCTTGCAAATCCAGGGGTCAAGAAGGAAAGTGCCTCAAAATAACAGAATTTATAATTTTGTGACCAAGGACATACTGCTGATACCACTTCAATCCAAGTATTCTTTTAAGCCCTTAATTTTCTCTAAGGTACAGTTTGCAAGGTCTAAGGCAGATAGGCCCAAACATATTGGCACTACTGCTCCCTGTTTAGGAAAAAAATTACTTAGTGTCTCTCTGGGGAATCTGCCTTCTTTAAACAAAGAGAAAGTGCCCTCCAATTGCACCAGAGGCTCCAACTTCCCCACCCCAGATTTTTTTCTTGTGCTCCATGTGGGAGATGGTATTTGGGAAACATAGCTCATTTTTGCCAACTTTGAAATATCCTATGTGTTCCTCCAATGTCAGGAACTCTATCATATCAAAACTGTCTGATTAAAAAGAGCTTTCTATAGAAACACTAGACAACTCTACTCACCTGTGGCATATAATGAAATGGAGCAAAAGAAGAGATGATAGCTAATAGAAGCAAGTCTTTAGAATGTCCACAGAACTGAGGTTACCAGTGAGATGACTGTTTTGATAACTGAAGTTATCAAAACAGCAGAGGTAACTGAGGTTATCAAAACAGCAGAGGGAGAACTACAGACAATAACACATTTGGACACATATACGGCATGGTCACCCCGGGCAGAGAAAGGAGTATACACTACATTTCAGATTCCATAATCACAATAAGAACCCAAAGTCCTGCAATGTTGTGGCTAGATTCCAGTAGCCTTATCAAGTATCACTTTCCTGCCACAGAAAGATATCCTCAGCAGGAGAGAAGGCAAATCCTCTAATGGAAAGAACATCAACCTTGGGATCATAGACCAGATTTGGAGTCTGGGTCCTGCCACCAACTTTCTGTCACTTTAGACTCGGGGTCCTCAATGTAGCAAGAGAAGACTGGAATATATAGTTTCTTTTTTAAATGATAAAATCTATTATACTGTTGGTGGTGGTTTGAATTTGGACCACATCCAGTGGTGCTCAATGTTTGCCCGAGTCTGTGCTAAGGGCTTACTCCTGAATCTGCATTCAGGGATCACTCAGAAGAGATCCCCTGGTGGGACTCAGGAGACCACATGTAGTGCCAGAGATTGAACCCAGGTTGGCCACATGCAAAGTGGCCTACCCACTGTACTCTCTGGTTCAATGAAATCTATTTTAAATCATAATGTCATCAATTGTGATTGTTCTAGATGCCTTCCTCTACACCCAGGGCATTTAGTCTCTTTTAAAGAAGAATAAATAACTGTCCTGTAGACATTCTTTAAGGATTTCCAATTCCCAAGTGTCCAAACACCCAACCCAAATGAGGCTAAGAGCACTTCACTCACATCACTGAGTGCTTTCTGGGCTTGGGCGACCCTCCTCAGCTCCGGGCTATCGTTATAGGGGTAAAACAAACCTTTGTCAGCTTCCCAGTCTTCAGTGTACAGTTTCTAAACCAGAAAAGAGGAGCATGTTAGGAAAAGCATATTGAGTGAGAAACATACCTAATGGGATCATTTACTCAAAATACATTATCAAAAATCATCTACTACTGACCTTTGGAACCCAGGGCAGGGTGAAAGCAGAGGTAAGTGAGCGCCCCCTGACCATCCAGCTGTGCATTCATATCTCATCCTGCTTCTCCTGACAAATCTTTATCACAAAAAGGCATGTGTGTGTGATTTCAACCCATCTCCTCTCTGCCTTGACTTGCCTCCTGCAAGCAGCCCCAGTGACTGTGTCAAGAGCCAGGGAGCTCTTAGCATCATTTTTGTCACAAAACAGACTTTGCATAAGATTGATAACCAGGAACAGTCAGGGTGCAACCCAGGAGTCTACAGTGCTCTGTGGGACTTTGGGGGTCTCTCAGAGCTGGACGTCTAGGATGTCTTTGTTTTTCCCAAACACTCTTCCCCCAGGCTGCTCTGGTTCCTAATAAGCCCCTTGTCTTTGCTTTATGCAAAGGCTTTCTTCTCAGGATCTCCTTGCTCTGCCTCCACAGCCTATGTCTCAATGTTTTGAGTTTGAGGAACTGTGATCTGAATCCTCACGCATGAATCTGATATTCCACTAAGTTAATGAAAGGCCAGAGGGATGGGGAGGCAAGGTCCTTACCTTACTGAACATGGCTGTGTTCTTGATGGCCTGAACAAGCTCAGGGGCATCAGGGGGAAGCAGGTACTTGTCCTTGGTGTCTTCCCAGTTCTGCTTGTATAAAACCTAGACAAAGAGAACAGAGGATGTGTGGCCAGTTGTCTCCCCACTGCATGGGGACATTTTAGAGCAAAAGACAGTGCTGGAAAGGGGCTTTCAGACTTACACAATCCACCCAGAGATACACTCATGCACTCATGGTCTCAGGATGAAAACAGGCTCAGACCGGACCATCAGCCCTCAGACTTCTCCTGCCTTACTTTGGGGTGTCTAAATTTTTTCATATATTTAAATTTTATCTTTTGATAAGTGTCTCACACACACACACACACACACACACACACACACACACACACACATATATATGCCCATGAATCTCCCTGCCTCCTGAAAGATGCAGACATTTGAGCCACATCAGATCAGATGCCTGCTCTGAAGCCAGGCAGAGGCCAAATGCCTGCTCTTGAAACCATCCACCTTACCTTGCTGACTTGCTGCGACACTTTCTTCGCATGTTCAATGTCCTTAGCTTTTTCATCAACGTGACAAATAGTTTTGGCAACATCGCCATCCATTCGATACTTAACCTGCAGAAGAAATGCACAATTAGAGCTCAAGACAGTTGGGAACTTGAAACTATATTTAAGAATCTTATAACCTGAGAGCACTGACTCAATCCATCTGTGTCTGTCGCTCAAGCCACATTTCCAACACAATGGAATACTATGCAGCTATTAGAAAAGATGAAGTCATGAAATTTTCATATAAGTGGATTAACATGGAGAGTATCATGCTAAGTAAAATAAGTCAGAAGGAGAGGGACAGACATAGAAAGACTGCACTCATTTGTGGAATATAAAGTAACAAAATGGGAGACTAACACCCAAGGATAGTAGAGATAAGGACCAGTAGGATTGCTCCATGGCTTGGAAGCTGGCCTCACATGCTGGGGGAAAAGGCAACTCAGAAAGAGAAGGGACCACCAAGTAAAAGATGCTTGGAGGATCCTCTAGGGATGGAAGATATGTGCTCAAAGTAGACTATAGACAGAACATGATGGCCACTTAACACATGCATTGCAGACCACAACACCCTAAAGAAGAGTGAGTAAAAGGGAATCCACCTGCCACAGAGGTAGGGAGTTGGTGGGGGAAAGAAAGGTGATGGTGGGAGGGATACTGGGAGCACTGGTGGTGGAGAATTGGAACTGGTGGAGGGATGGCTACTCGATCATTGTATAACTGAAATGTAAACACAAAAGTGTGTAACTGTAACTATATCTCACGGTGATTCATTAAAAAATTTTTAAAAGAATTTGAAGAAGACATCCCAAAATAAAAAGACATTCTTTGTGCAAAAAAAATCAAACCACATTTCCCTGTTCAAGATAAAAAAATTTACGATCTCCAAAGATCTACAGAGAACAGCAATCTACTGCTTGCCTGCTTCCTGCCTTATTTTCACTGAGTTTATGCTTCTATGTGTCCCCAGAGCAATAGGGACCCCACAGCAGTAGAGCATTTGCCTTGCAAGCTGCAGGCCCGGCTGAGCCGGGTTCATTTCCTCCGCCACTCTCGGAGAGCCTGGCAAGCTACCGAGAGTATTTCACCCGCACGGCAAAGCCTGGCAAGTTACCCGTGATGTATTGGATATGCCAAACACAGTAACATTATATAATATTACATTATATAATGTTATAAATTATAATGTTATAAATTATAATGTTATAAATTATAAGATGTATTCGATATGCCAAATACAGTAACAACAAGTCTCATGATGGAGATGTTACTGGGCCCACTCGAGCAAATCGATGAACAACAGGAGGACCGTGACCGTGACCGTTATGATATAATGTTATAATGTTATAAATTATAATGTTATAAATTATATATAATATAACATTATATAATGTTATAAATTATATATATAAATTATATAAATGGAGACATTACTGGGCCCGCTTGAGCAAACCGATGAACAACGGGAGGACAGATGCTTCTATGTGGAGGATCACGGGGAGTTGAAACTTCCATCTCATATCATCCTTGTGCTAACCAACTAAGCCAATATCTTACATGTTTCTTAGGGTTCACATTTAAAGCTATGTAATCAGGGCAAAGTTGTTTCTGAAGCCTTGGATTTTCTTTACACATTCTCAGACTCCTTTATACCCAGCAGAAAACTTATTTCTGAAAGGTGTGTTTTCTTTATTTTAGCACTGTGACCCACCTCACTGAGTTGATCTTGCACTTTCTTGATCCTGCGAAGTTCTGGAGTATCAGTCGTGATGGCAGTTGGCTGCCCTTTTGCTTTCTCATAGTTCTCCTTGTATTTATTCTAAAATGAATATCATACATTAGCCTAAAGCCTTGCAAGACAGCAGAAGAAATTTCAGCAATGTACTCATCCCCCTCTGATTTTCAAAATGCTGCAAGTTATAACAATTATCAGCTATAATAAGTTTTTATTTTGTCCCTGCTCTGAATCTCAGAAAAAATATCTAAAACTGAGATATTCATTGTTCTCTGTAATCATGGATGCATACTAGGCAGTAAAAATATTTTATTACAGATTATTGTTTTGGAAATGTCCTAAACTTATTATTTTTACATCTTTGTTATCTTATTAAACATATAAAAATACTGAGCCAAAATAATTTAATAAAATTAAAAACTGAGTCATGTGTGAAGGATTTTATTACTAATACAAATGCAAAAATTATTCAGTTCAGGAAGTTGCAGCTAAATCTCAATGGTTTCAGTCACTGACATATCAGCTGAATTAGTGAAAAGTCTAATGTATGGAGTATATTTAAGATGAATGTAGCCTCTACCCATGATATAAATTCTGGCTTTTATAATAATAAGCATTATACATTGATAATGCCAATGATTTATTATTAATGCTTCGAGAATACTCAAATGAAATAGTCAAATATCTAAAGTATTATATTTATTAATTGCTAACAACTTTTAAATTTTTATAAACGTTTACCAATATTTTGTTTCAGGCTATCCAAATATCAAAAAGTTCTAGGATACAAATAACTATCCTAGATGTAAATGCTTAGTAATAATTATTCTAAATGATGTATTTGTGAGCACTAAACTTACCAAAAATTTCTCTCCTAGCTGAATATTACAGTGATTTTTTTTAAAGAGGCAAAACAAGCCCATTTTTAGAAATTGAAGTCTTAGAAACCTAAGTTTTATATTACTTAAGAATCTGACCTGTAATTTTATCAATTGGAACTCAGAAGTTAATATTCAATCAAAAATGAAGGGGCTGGAGTGCCTTGTACTCAGCCAACCTGGGTTCAATTCCCAGCATCCCATATGGTCCCCTGAGCACCGCCAGGAGTAATTCCTTAGTGCAGAGCCACGAGGAACCCCTGTGCATCGCCAGGTGTGACCCAAAAAGCAAAAAACAAACAAAAAAAAAGAATTGTTGACCCCTTCTTTTCCCATTGCCATTAGGATAGCACGCAAGGGCCGCAAGGCTGTGCTAGAGATCCACGTCACTGCCCTGCACCTGCAAGCAAGCACTCTACCAGTGAGTTACATCCCTGAGGCTCCCAAAATAAAATTTGGGAGAAGTCCCCCTAGTGATGCGCAGGAGGTTTGGAGTCCCCTCCCAGTGAATTTTGGCCAGCCTGGCTGGCAGATCGATGCGAAGGCCTAAGAATGAGGAGCTGCTGGGGCCCTGCATTGCTGGGAATTCCTTGGGCATTTCAGTGCTCCAGGAGCCTGCAGGGCTGCCTCTTGCGCTGCTCACGGGACCACGTGGTGCCAGAGATCCAATGAGAGTCAGTCACAGCAAGGTAACTGCTTTATCCCCTTACCCTTCAGTCCCCCCAAATAAATATTTTATTGATCAATAACAAAAGGATGTCACTGACATTGCCATTGGTCTGTATAGCCCAAAGTGTCTCTTTCTCTTTCCCAGCTTCTAGAATACCTGTTACAGGGGCATCTGAGAAGACATCAGCCACCATGGCCCACCAACAAATCAGACTATTCAAATGCATCTCAACCTGTTTCCAGTCCAGGTTACAGAACTGTACATGGAAATTTGTGCATCGGGAAGCTTCAAAAGGAAGACCATCAGCCTGGCTGCACACCGGAATCACACGCAACTTTTGAAAATATTCCTGTGCCAACTCAACCAGAGCCAATTAAACCAAAATACCTGGACGTTGGAGATTTAAAGCTCACAGGAGGAGTCTCTGTGCAGCCACAGTTGAAAGCCATCGTTGGAAGGTAAATTGAACATTCTGACCCTCAATTTCAAAGTTTTCCGTTTGATCCTGGCTCTAATCTACCCATTTCCTCCTCACTGCAAGCAACTAAATATGTATCATGTTTCAGAATGTCAGGGAGGTCACTTAAGTGACATCCTGCTGAGACTTAGTGATGCCATTGAAGGCGAATGAACTGATTTTCAATCCACCCATATTTATGATTATTCTAGATTAGCTAATAGATCTTCCTTCAATAACAATAAACAGTTTCAAATTAGCCTTATGCAGTTATTTGGCGGGGGGGGGGGGGGGATAATTTCAATAAAGGTGCTTCTCCTGAGGCTGTGATGGCACAGATGAACATACAAAACAATAGTTTAAGTCACAAGAACTTGCGTTTTAACAAAATAACTTTTGTCTCATTCAAAGTTGAGGGAAAAGTCTAGCCCTCCTTCCAGTCTGTTGCGATCCATTACATCTGTGATAAAAACAGACAGGCAGAATCTGCTTGCGACTTACTGTGCTAAAAAGGTCCTGCATTTTCTGACTGTGAGCAATGTACGGGGTCATGAACTTTGAAGAGTCCACTTTCTTCCGGATAACCTTCTTCCTCTCTGCCGGCTTTCCTGGCCCAGGAGATGCCAGTGCTGGCTTGGAAGTTTCAGGTGGCTCATAGTCAGTAGATGTCCTCGTAGTAGTAGTTTCATAGACTTCCGTTATTGTCTACAAAATTGGACATGAAATTTTTCACTGCTAAGAAAGTGAGAACTGCAATACCTTAATGTTGATATACATAAGCCAACTTCAGTTCAGGGTTATATCACTACTTTTACTTCTTCCTATCTAAAATGGGCCCAAACAAGAAATCATACAGTGTATCCTTACAAAGGCTACTTCAGGCCACATAAACTTGAATGTTGACTTTTCAAGACTGTGTGGGGTACAAAGGTCCCGATTTGTTAATTTGTAACACTGCCTTAAAATTCCGTTCAAATGGTAAACTTTACGGTAGGATAAAAATAAGAAATAAAGTATTATTGTTATTATTATTTTTGGTTGGGGGGGGTTATACCCGGTAGTGCTCAGATCTACTCCTAGTTCAGTGCTCAGGGGATACTCTCAGCTCAGTGCTGAGGGGTTAATTCTGACAGTGCCAGGGATCAGACCCAGGCCTTCAGCATGTAAAGCATGTACACCTGCCCATTGGGCTATCTCTCCGATCTCGAGAAACTCTTAAATCTTAAACTGTCTGGGTAAAGTAAGAGCAAATATAGGATTGGAGCATAGAGATTAATACAATCAAACGAAATTCAAATTCTAAAATTCTTATTTTGGGGACGGAAAGGAGGTTGAGACTCAAACCTTGGCTATGCAAAGCATACATTTCAGTTGAGCTTGCTCCCTGACCCTAAAAGCTCAAATTCTTGACTTTAATCTTAACTTTTAAATGAATTTCAGAAAAAGTCAGTTGCCTATTCTGCAGGTAATTCTCCCCTGTAAAGTGAAACAAAGAATAATGAACTTTAAAGAAATGAATCACATCAGTATTATAAGTGATTACCATTCTTTTGGCTTAGTCATTTAATTAATGAGAAAGGAAGAGCCATTTACACTAATAAATGCTTAGGTGGGCTAGAATAATGATGACAACATAATAGGGTAATTATCCTCACAACAGTCCTATGTATGTGGAAGGTGGGAATTTACTGTTTCTTACAACACACTATAATAAAATAAATGAGGGCCCAACATTTGAGTCTAGTCCGAGATTTAAAATGCCATTGTATAGCATTATTTCCTTCACAGGTAATGTTGTTGACAGCAAAGAAAGAGCTCCAGCTCAGACCATAAAAGAGAAACTTAATAAGGAAATTGTACATCCATGGAAACTCCCCTGGTGTCTGATTATTGCTCAAAAGTTGCTTTCTGCTCACTTCTGCTGATACATGGTCAATTGTAAAAAAAGAACAACCAGTTTATGGCATCAACAGACAGAATTTTCATGCAGAGGCCCACTAAGCAGGCTTGAGGGTTAGCCTGCTCTAATCAGAGAAAGAGTCAGATAGAAAATGAAATAGAAAAGAAGTACTTGGGGAATGTAGAGCTAGAGCTTGGTTCAATCTCTGGTTCAATCTCTGGCCCCCCCATTTGGTCCCCTGAGCTTTGCCAGGAGTGAATCCTGAGCACAGAGTCCAGAGTAAGTCCTGAACAACACCGAGTACAGCTCAAAACAAAAGACATTTCATCTTACCCCCAAAAAAACTCCATTTGGGGAATTTATAGGAATGGCTTTCTCGGAATTCTGAATGGGCTCAGCATGCCCTTCCCTCATTAGGTACGAAGAACAGGCACCTCACACAATAAAATTGCTGGTCGCTAAGAAAATTCTAAGTGCAGGGCTGTCCTGTTGCTGTAGTTAGAGCAGTGACAGTCACTGGTGTTACTCTAATTAAATGTCTCTGCAAGGAAAACACCACATGTGCAATAGAGAAAATCAGGCCTTCCATCTTGGCCAGCTTGCATAACAAAAACAGTTGGTTATATAACTCATCGCCCAGGTGCTGTTAACTCCTGGACCACCCATTCTGAGTATCACATATGAGCATGAACTTCTATCAGACATTCCTTCGACCAACTCTGCAGCCCCAGGAGTCTTAGAGAGCAGCTCTTCTTGATTTAATGGACAGTTAGTTCGTGCAGAGGCCAACTCATCCTTACCTCCCCCGGCACCTCTTCATAGATTGTCTCTTCTGTGTAGTACTGTAAAGGGAGCACAAAGTATTCATCATCAGAACCAGAGCAGAAATCACCTCTTCCTGGCCTCACCCAGACCTCTTGGCTTATTTTACTAACTCCATTGATTGGCAATATCTAAGGGGCCCATCAACACCATCTTCGGCAATGCATGCCTAATTCTGAGGAGCGTCAGAAGTTAGATTGGATGTCATCACTCTAGATGTGACTATGCACAGAATGAACTCTTAGGCAGCTTATGAACCAGGGAAAACTTACTTTACTTGAGAGAAATACATTCTTCCCTTGTGATACTCAAGATAGAATGTGGCACGGAAATAATATAAAAGCAGTATCCTCGGGGCTGGAGCAATAGCACAGCGTGTAGGGCATTTGCCTTGCATGCAGCCAACATGGCCAACACAGGTTCGATTCCCAGCATCCCATATGGTCCCCCGAGCACCGCCAGGAGCAATTCCTGAGTGCATGAGCCAGGAGTAACCCCTGAGCATCGCCGGGTGTGACTCAAAAAGCAAAAAATAAATAAATAAATAAATAAATAAATAAAAATTCCAAAAAAAAAAAAAAGCAGTATCCTCAAAGTATGGGTTGGACAGAGGAAACTATTATTAAAAACTCACTGATGACGAACAATCAAATAAACCTCAGTGTGAATAAAAATGTTTAATGAGGGTTCAGAGAGATAGTACAGGTGTTGAGGTACTTGCCTTTCACCTGGCCAACCCCAGTCCTATCCCCAACACCACAAAGGGTCCCCAGAGCATTGCTAGGAGTGACCCCTGAGCAAACCCTGAGAACCTCTGGATATGATACCATCCCTCCATTTTTAATGATTTTTAATGTGGGGGGGGGGTTACTGGGATCATGGGTGGTGGAGAATGGGCACTGGTGAGGGATGGGTACTCGAGCATTGTATGACTGAAACACAAGCACGAAAGTTTGTAAGTCTGTAACTGTACTTCACAGTGATTCACCAATAAAAAAATTTTTTAAAAGATAACATGAATGAGAATGTGTTCAAAATAATGTAAATCCCTGAACTTCCTGAGGCATTGAAGATATGAAACACTGTTCTGAAATTCTTTTAAAACTTCTTTTAGTGCAAAAATATGTAAAATACTTATGATTAAAAAAAAGAAATGCTAAGATGAAAACTTGCAAATGCCATAGAAAGGACAAAATTCTTTTTACTTTGAGTGTAGGAGTATTGCTATTTATTCAGCCATTGATTAGGATGATTAAGTTGGGCATGAACTCCACCTTATTTATTTATTTATTTTTTTATTTTGAAAGTACAAAATTCTTAGTCACAAAATGTGGGAAAGTGAGGCAGCAATTTGCCAGTGATGACTCTGAGGTGCTCTCAGCCTGGATCTGAAATCAGATCTATTTTATACTTCTGAGATCACCAGCAATAAATAAGCTTGCTTCAGAGCTGGCTGACATTTTGTCTCCAATGTTCATGGGTAGTGAAATCCTGCCCCTCACCTCACCACACAAAGCCCCACAAAGAGTGAACAGGACAGGCTGGTTTGTGCGCTAGCAGACAAGGAAGAGGATAAAAAACGCAAAATTTGGCTCATTTTCACAGTGGCCAAAATGTCAAAGTTTTTAGGCTTCATTTTTCTTTTCAGTGTCACCAAAATTTATACTTGGACAAATGGAGAAACTAACAGGTAACTTGGCCTCCTTTCTATTGCCCTTGGTTCAGATAGTTATTGTCAAGTTCACTTCTCTTTCACCTACAGTAAAATTAGTGGAAGATTTTCCTAAAGTCCCTTAATCTTGCCCTATCCTTTCTCTGTATATCCAGGTCAAAAATCATATTCTCACAAAACAGAGAGTCCCTCATCTGCATGCTAGTGCTTTCATCATATGGGATATGTCATTCAGACATTTTAAGAATTATGGAATTTTCTTAAGAATAAGAGACTGATGCTGATATACCTGGGACCATCCCTCTGGCCCACACAAAACATTAATGACTTAAGATGAAATGTGAAATTAAATGAATGAGTGCCAACAACTTTTTTGAATTGTACCTGTGGGTGCTCAGGTCTAATCCCAGCAGTGCTCAGGAGGCCATGGGATATTGGGGATCAAGCTTGGTCTCCCTGTTGAATTATCTCTCTGGCCCAATTTTTAATTTTCTTAGCAACTCTCTGATAGCTATCCATCTTGACCTTCACTATGTTCACACAATTGATAAATACATCTTAGAAATAAGCCAACCCCGAGAAGGCAACGTTATCTGGATGGTTGGCATTCACTTGCATCCAAATTGTATCTTTTTTTTTTTTTTAGAACTATGCCACAAATTAGATAGTACAAACTTGCTTCCTTTCCTTTCTTTCCAAGTTTGAGTAAAGAGTAATAGCATAACTTTATTTAGATGCCCAAGTTTCCACAGAGACATGCTTTTAAGTTCCTGTTTGTTTGCTTTTTAAAACTTTCCTAACCATTTTCTCAAATCTGCCACCACCCCATTCTCTAGGTCTCTTCGTTGAGGTCAGAAAGTCCTTGATTGATTGCAGGAAGTCTAGTGGGGAAGTGCCTTGATGGACTGACCCAGCACCAGCAAAGGAAACCAAGTGGCAAAAAGAAGCACCAGAAAACTAGCACCTGCCTTTCTATGCTATCTAATTCCTCCAGTCAAGTCTCACACAAAGGGTTATTTTCAGTGATCTAGGCACACCATTGTTTTTAAGAAAGGCAAAGGGATTTTTGAGATAAAGGCTAAAAAGGAGTTCCTGGTATTACCATCCTGAAGAAGGCACTTTGATCCACAACTTTGTTATCAGTGTTCAGGACTGATTATTCTGGCCGTGAGGAATTATGTCACATAATATGTGACACGTATGTGACATCATCCTTCACTGAGGCTACCTTTCACATGCAAACCGGAGTTTGAATATTATATTGCATGGTTTTATTTTCATATTCTCCATTGATCAAATATTTTCTTCATCTAAACAGACTCTTCACTGAAATAGATCTTCACAGATAATTTCTGTCATTTGAAAGTTTTTGGGTAGCTCTTAAAGTTAATTTCACTGGGGGACTCAAACCTTGGGGCTGGTTTGAGGATCACCTGGGTACACATGTGACAGCTGGGATTAGGCTCAGCACCTCACACTTGGGTTCTTTCTAATTTACTTATTTATTATTTGGGGGCACAGCCACTTGTGCACAGGGAATCACTCCTGGTGGAGCACAGAAGCCCATCTGGGGTGGTAGAGATTGAACCTGAGTAGGCCATTTGTAAGGCAAGCATCCTACCCACTGTATTATTGCTACAAAAACACCCTCCTTGGGTGTTTTTCTAAGCCACCAAACCTTCTTACCAGACCCCCCCCCCTCACTATGCATCACAGACAAAGAGACAACATTAATCATTTCTGCACACACAGTAGCACCAGGTTTCAAGTCATGACCTTGATCTGGCCCAAGGCAAATACTTAAAGGTATTCAGCCATCAGGCTTTTAGTTTCATTCTTTTGTTTTTCTATTTCAGTGTGTTTATTTATTCATTCATTCATTCATTCATTTGGGGTTTGTTTTGTCAGCCACTCCCAGCTGTGTTCTGACCTTACTCCTGCCTCTGTGTTCAGGGGTCACTGCAAGAAGTACTCAGAGCGATAGTACATCAGGGAGTGATAGTACATCAGGGAGGACCTTGCACATGGCCAACCAGGGTTTGATTCCCAGCATCCCATATGGCTCCCCAAGCACTGCCAGGAGTGAATCCTGAGTGCAGAGCCAGGAGTATCCCCTGAGCATCGCTGGGTGTAACCCAAAAGGCAAAATAACAAAGAAGTACTCAAGGATCAAACCCAAGTTGGCTGCATGCACCTGAACCCTTCTTGCACTATCCCTCCAGCCCCATTTACTTTCATTCTTAATTTTAAAAATTAGAGAATTTCAAATTTCCCCTTAAAGTGTCTTAGTACCGTAAAGATTTTTCATATGCTTGGCTCATCAGCATTAACTTCTTTATTAGACACTTTCAGGTTTAGTGACGGTATTTTTATATAACCTTTTGATTTTACTTATAGAACATGAAATTAAAGGCAGGAGCTGGTTGAAGAAAACTCATAATATGATAAAGAAAAAATATATAAGATATTATATAATTATAAGATAAAAAGCAATTAATAGTAAAATGGAAAAAATAGTAAAATGGATCAAATGTCCACCAATAATCTGGAAGTTTTTTAAGATGCCCTCTGTAGGCTTTGTTCTTTCTAAAAAATTCGAAAGCAAATGCTGTCTGTCTTGTTCTCTTGGGTAAAATAGCAAAATTGTTCGGAAAGCATGCCTCCAGCTGTCACTTGTGACCATTCTGAGTTTATTTTTTTGACTCTGTGTGTGCACATACACATCATATATAATTTTACATATGACCAATAGACAATATAGTATATATCTTATTCTGAACAGTTTATCTTGTTGTCCTCTGGGTAATTAACTTGTTTGTTGGAGGGAAGAAAATCATTAGGCATTCTATCTATTCATTGCTCATTATAAATACAATAAGAAATAGAATTCTGTGTCCTGAACGTTTACTAACTCTTTCTGTCCCCTTGATCATGGAGAAAGAGGAGATGGGAAAGAAGGTAGTTTTAGAAAACAAGTTAAAACTGACCTTTACATTTTGGATGGGGGGGCGGGGGCTAGAAGGGAGACAGTTGGATAATTTAAGGAAAAGCTAAAGTGGGAAACAATGATATTTCTTTTCAGTTCTGGATCCCACGTAATTATAGTGAAATTGAACATCAAATATTCCTTTCTTAGACTTTAATAGTGATCGTGAAGTTATAGTAGATGATGTATTTTTTAGTGATGAATTCACCCACATGGTTCTCACTGTCAGTACATAAAATACTTTGCTGTCAAAGTTGCATTTTTTTGTCTTACCTCCACCACCTCCTCATATTCTTCTTCATCTGCCATTTTCCCAGAGTAGTAGTCACACCTACAAACTTTTAATTTTTCAGACAAATGAAGAAACATTAGAATCTCTCCCTGGCACTGAAGTAGTCTTGTAACATTTTTACAAAAACAGAATTCAAAACTACGTATTCAGGGGCTGGAGCGATAGCACAGTGGGGAAGGGCATTTGCCTTGCACGCAGTCAACATGACCGACACAGGTTCAATTCCCAGCACCCCATATGGTCCCCTGAGCACCGCCAGGAGCAATTCCTGAGTGCATGAGCCAGGAGTAACCCCTGAGCATCGCTGGGTGTGACCCAAAAAAAGCAAAAAAAAAAAAAAACTACGTATTCATATGATTTTTGCAGGTTATTGTGAGAAGATAGTTTAAATATAAATCTAAATGCCTAAAATTTTCTCTTTTTTGGATTCCTTTAGTTAAATATGAAGTGTAGCTGATCCTACATGATCAACTTAACTAAAATTGCAAAGAGAAGTGAGACAAGGGAACAGGCATATTTGGATTTAGAGAAGCAGCTTATTTAGATGTTCAAATAATTAGAGAAAAAATTTTAAGCAGAAATTTTAGTGAAATAAAAAACTTCAGTGAAGCTAAAAGCCAAAGGTCTATTTGGCTTCCACCAGAAATTGGTCTTTCTTCCCAAAGTACCCAAATTTCCAGAGGACTGTGAAAATCTCCCTAGTGCTCTCATATATTGTGTGTGATAGTCTATTTCAAAGTAGAATGTCTAAAAACAAACAGAGCAGTAGATTTTAAGAGAAAAACAGAAACCTCAAAGAAATGGACTTTTTTTCTTCCCAAACACCATTGGCTTGTACAGAATTTTCTCTTTTGCTTCTCTAGCTCTTGTGCAAACCTGAAAAATAACCAAAAATTTAAGCCACCACATTGAAGGTCATGTAAGCCATATATAACTTTGGCCTAAGTTCTAATTCAGGAACTAAGGAAAGGATCTCCCAAAGCTTTCTTCGTCTGACGCCAGCATGGGACTCTCTCTCTTGATGAAAGAGGATGATGACTGGGAGCAGCTGTCCTCTGCCTAAAGCCACTCGTCGTCCAGTAAATCAACACCCTACCAGCCCTGGTTTTGTTAAGCGAGCAAAAACTGCCACTGCTTGTGAAGCAAATGAAGCCTAGTAGACCAGGATAAATACAGAAACATAGAACAGAGATCCTTTTATACACAAATACATTTAGAAAAAGAAAACTCACATGCAAAAACGAGGAAGGGGGGAATCGAATTAGTAGTCAAGAAAACCAACACAGCTAAGGAATAGGCCGGTTAGTAGAGGACTTGACTCGAGATAGCCCTGTCAGATTTTAGTAGGCCCTGAGGAGGGCAATGGGGGTCACAGACCTTCCCAGTCCCATTTTCATGACCAGTACCCCCAGTTAATGACCTCAGACTTGGGGAAATACTTCCAGGGATATTAATGGACTGCCTCCAGAAAGCGCATTACAAAGAAAGCCACAAACTGACCTTACCTTCAATCTATCAAATCAATCTCCTCGGCAGCAAATCCTCTCCCAACTCTCCCCTCCTGAGAACCCCAAGCAAGAGCCAGCGCAGTGCCTGGGCTGGGAATTATCATGTGGTGAGAGCAGCCAATCAGGTCTTCCGTTGCTCAAATTTCAGAAGCTAAATATACTGAGTGATCTTCTGAAACCACCTGTTCATCAATTCCACTAAGGGAGGAAGGGTAAAAAATTTGCTTGCTTAGAACTACTCCATTGTAATGGTGCTCAAACGTAATAGAAGTTCACCCAAATCCCAACATAACTGATTTGAACATGTTTTTAAGTTTTTGTCTGTTAAAGTGCCATATGAGAGCAAATTAATTTAGAGAAAGTAAGCATGAGTGGAGCAATTCTGACTCTTCCCTAAATGATTGGTTCACTCTTCATGAGGTTAGTAACGTGGTACCATGTACAACTCACCAGGTAAGCTACAGGTAAGTTATAGGTGTTGCTGTGGGGGGGAAAAATCAAGAAATTCAAGCCAGAAAACATCGAATTGGTGGAAGTAATTTTTTTGGGGGGGATGCATACTCAGTGAAAATACTTGAGGTGACAATAAAATATTCATTGGGTATAATTTGCCAGATTAGGTTCCATCATTTTCCTACTGCTCAGACAGGGGTTATGCCCACAATCCTGTACATTAACAACCCTCCTTCGTATGGCTAATTGCCAAGAACACAGGTTCTCTCTCACACATAACTAGGTTATTGTTTTTGTTTTTACTTAGTTGACCCCTAGAGGTCAAGTGGGAATGCAGGTTTCAAAGGATTCAATTTCTAACAGCAAGAGCAGAAAAAAAAATGCAAATCAACAAATTATATGGTAAAGGTAATGCTCTATTTATCAGGCAATTAACGGTGTAAGATGTTTACAGAAATTAACAATTTTCTACCTCGAGTCAATTTCACAGCATTAATCTCTCTGCAAGCCACTGCAGACAAAAATCTTGAGTCACCCACACCTTGATATAAGGATTTGGGATTATTGTTGTGTTCTTCTCTACTTCAGTTTAGGAGTAATCTTGCATTTCAAACCTGTGTGTACCCCTACACCCTCCTTCCATATGCTGGTAAATAAAATTGATAACCTATGACCTTAACCTGTTCATTCAGTATATTGAGGTCTTCTTGATTTGTTCTATTTATTTTGTTTGGGGCTGTGCTCAGGGCTTACTCTTGACTGTGCTTAGGGTTCATTTCCCCCTCAAAGTGCTCAGGGAACAATGTTTGGGGATGAGGATCAAACTGAGGTCAGCCAATTTGCAAGACAAGAGCCTTATGTTTCTTTTGTTTTTGGAACACACCCTGAGGTGCTCAGGGCTTACTGCTGGCTCACTCCCAGCACTAAACTAGGGAATCCTCCTGGCGTCAAAGAAAAAATTTTGTTGGCTTGTAGTTATGTATGTAGCTTGTTTTTTTTTTTAATCTCTACACATTTAATAAAATGACTACATTGCTCTGTTCTAGTTTTTTACCAACATAGATATAATCTGTTACTTTCTACTTGGGAAAATGAGGCTATTCATAGGCTTATCCATATATATGATTATTTTTCTTTTTCTACAATTTGTTTATTTGAGAATTGGTCTGTCTCCTGTGTATATGTGTGAGTGTGTGTGTGTGTGTGTGTGTGTGTGTGTGTGTGTATGTGTGTTTCATTCCCTCCATTCTGAGTCTGGCTTAATTTTTCTAGACAAGCAGTATTCAACAATTTTCATCATCTGCAATGATAAAAATGTACTATACCATTATCATTGGCAGGAGTAATTGAATATCTCAAATAGTATGACAGAACTGATTTTTTTACATTTTTTTAAATTTAATTTAGGTTTCAATAACCACATATGGCTGGTGGGGATGAAGTTGAGCAGCATGATTCTAGACAGATCACTAACTACCCAAACTTCCAAAATCTGCTCTTCGTATTTTCCAAAGACATCAAGTAGCCTTCTCTCACTATATTCATTGCCTCCACAACTTGCTTATGTCCAGAATCACAATTTCTTTGGGGAAAGAAATATCATAATTAAGATTTAAAAAATACTCTCCTGGGGTCCAGGAATGCAATTCAATGGTAGAGGCTTCTGGTTTGATTCCTGGCAACAACTTAATATGATCCCAGAATAATAACCCCTGATTAGATCATGACATTAAAATGAAAATGAGAGAGGCTGGAGCAATAGCATAGAGGGTAGGGTGTTTGCCTTGCACACGGCCGACCGGGGTTCGATCCTCGGCGTCCCATATGGTCCCCGGAGCACTGCCAGGAATAATTCCTGAGTGTAAAGCCAGGAGTAATCCCTGAGCATTGCTGGGTGTGACCAAAAAAAAATGAAAATGAGCAATCTCTGATACAATAATAATGAATGCATAATATATTCTTCCTCAATTCCAAGAATTAGGAAACTGATTGTGACTCAGTTTTGCCAAGAAGATTTAAGTATTAGGGTCAAGATGAATGAGATAAATCTTCAAGAATGGCTGTTGTTTACCGGCTGAGAAAGTTTGCATTCAATCCCACTGCACTATTTTCCTCTCGCCTTTCTTCCCTTTTCTATTCCTGGAACCCAGATGTGACATCTGGGAACAGAGCAGCCCCTTTGATGCTATGAGAGATAGTAAAGTTTGAAGGACATAGTCTTTAGTGACTTCCTAAGTTTCTTGTATTTTGCAATTATTTTATAATTTAGTAAGTTTATTATTATAAAATAATCCCACCCACATGGCAAAACCTGGCAAGCTACTCGTGACATATTCGATATGCCAAACACAGTAACAAGTCTCACAATGTTACTGGGCCCGCTCGAGTAAGTCGATGAACAACGGGAGGACAGTGACAGTGACAGTGAATCCTATGGTGATTATTTTCATTTTCCCTGTATATTATACTATTTTTAACTTTTGCAGTTAACTAATAAAGTTGTATTACTTTACTATTATTTTTAGGAAAATTTGGTGGGGGGGGGTGATTGGGCCATACCTAGTTTGCCAGGGGGGCTACTTAGGAGTCATTCTAGGCAGTGCTCAGCAGTCCATGTGGTGGTAGGAATCAAATCCCAGGCTCCCCCTGCAAAACAGGTGCTCAGGCTCTTTAAGTGATCTTGCTAGCCCTGATTTTTATGTTTATTGTCCATTTGTTTTTTGTATTGCTTGTCCCTTGTTCCCCTCCCACATTTATAGACATTCTTTTTAAATATTTGCTTTAATTTGGGGGACACATCTGCCAATGCTCAAGGGTTACTCCTGGCTCTGCAATTCAGGAATTACTCCTAGCGGTGCTCAGGGAACCATATGGGATACCAGGGATTGAATCCTGCTTGGCTGCGTGCAAGGCAAACACCTTATCTGCTGTACTATCGCTCTGGCCCCTATTTATAGGCATTAGTAATATATTATAGATATTAGTCATTTGTCTCTTGTGTGTCATATGAAATTTTCTCCAAGTTGTGATATCTGTGCCCATAGACATGCTTTAAATTTATTTGCATTTAAATATGTCAATAGCTGCCTTCTAATTTCAAAACTACTTACTGAATTTTAAAATTATTAATACTTGCCTCACTTTATTTTTTAGTTTCTACCACTTAGTGTGCATTCCTAACCAACACAGTTTAATTTTTTTTGCTTTTAAATCTCACATGCTAGAATCATGATATATGCAAGATGAGAACCATAAACCTGCTGCATTATCTCTCCAGCCCCCTACATGAGATTTTTTTCTTTTTGGGGGTCCCACAAGAAGTGCTCAGAGCTTTCCCCTGGTTCTGCACTCAGAGTTCACTTCTGGAACAAATCAGGAGACCATATGGAATGCTGGGGATCAAATCTAGATTGGCCATGTGCAAGGCTAGCTCCTTACCCACTGTATTATCTCTCCAATCCCCTGAATGGATTTTATATAGAACTTCTAGTAGACAATATTCTATTAAGTTTCTGAATTTATTGTTGCTATGATTTTATCTTATTATGATTTATTTTTCCATAAAATTCACATTAGAATTCTGAGAAAAGTAGAAATAAGTGTAGATGCCCAATTAGTCATCTCAAATTCAAATCTATGGGCATAGATTTCAAATAAATGTTGAACAGCACTTTTAAACTTAAAATGACAGGGGGCAAAGCATTTCAGGATTTGTTTATAGAGATGGACCATATGTGACATTCATAGACAATAAAATTAATCTGGCTTTGATTAACAAAGGTTTACATAAAGTACTAATGGAAATTATAATGTAGAAAGTAGTTGTGGTAGAAGTAGTAGACATAAAATAGAAGATACTGAATGCCCAGCTAATCAGAAAAAAAATGGTTGCTTTGAAGCTGGAGCAATAATACAGTGGGTAAGGTGTTTGCCTTGCAATCGGCCAGCAAGAGTTCAATCTTCAGCATCCCAAATGGTTCCCTGAGCACTGCCAGCAGTGATCCCTGAGTACAGAGCTAGGAATCAGCCCTGAGCACAGCTGGATATGCAGAAGGAAGGAAGGAAGGAAGGAAGGAAGGAAGGAAGGAAGGAAGGAAGGAAGGAAGGAAGGAAGGGAAAATGATATATTCTGACATTCTCATATTTCTATTCTCCTCTATCTATTGTGGTTTTATGTCAATGTGATCAAACATTTACAAAGTAGAAATGTTCCAAAAGTTCACATTAAACGGTATATAATTAAACTATATTCAGTTGTGAAACAGGCTGATTCAATAACACTGCAGGATATGTAGGCATGAACTCAAATTTATATCAGCACTGAAAAGAGCTTTTTCAAATTATCAGACCACCTGAGTGTTACCTGCTCTCCCAAATCTATGTTGAATGTAGTAATCTTCACTAATGTTTCCCACTCATTCCACATGCTTGTATCTCCTCCTACTGATGTTCCCTAAAATCAGACTATGAAAAAAATACAGTAACATGGTGAGGGAGACATTTTTTATAGTTAAAATAACTCTCAACCTATTCATAGATTCTTTTTAGTCTGTCTCTGATCTCTTAAAGGACTTAGACATAAGTTT